GCCGAGTAGTCTAATTATACGGGAACGAGGCGGAGCTCCTCCGTAACCTTAAGTCTAACACGGCCGCCTTTACCGAGTAGAAACGGGATAATTATAGCACGTATACTAACTACCGCGACCTCCTTACCGGAGAAGGGTACGATCTCGACGCGGGCTTAATAGAAAACGGTATATACTACGCCCCTCTATCTCTTCCCCCGGCTAAAGCCCGTAATCTACGCGAACGTAACTAGCTATACTTCTCTACGCCTCGTAGCACCGCCGCCCGTCGTATTACTACTACGACTCCCGCAACCACCTAAACTAGTAGAAACGCGACGTTAACTATCCGACCATAGTAGGTCGGCGCTTCCCGTCGCCCCGTTCCTAGCACTCCGTCACGCGTTCGCTTCGACGACCGTGCCCTATCGCTATCAAGCTCTAGTAATTCGTCTAGCGACTCGCTGCCCTTAGTTTTAGGCATTATAGGGAAAACCCCCGGCACCCCCCGAAACGCCCGCGGGTAGTTTGCCCCGTCGTTTAATAAGGATAAGCTTCTTCCCCCGTCGCTGCGCGACCTAGACGGAGCTATCTTCCCCGATAAAACTAAGAGGATAACTAGCGCCCTCGGAACCGCGTAGATCGCCACTATCTTAGCCGACGTCGTTAATAAGCTCCTATCCGGATAGGTGGCCTCTACGGACGCCGAGATGCTCGAGATCGTCGCTACCGTTACTAGTACGAAGTGCCTCCCCGCCTATCTAAAGATATTTAAGACCGCCGCCGCGGAGGAGCGCGAGGCCTCCGGTATACTAGGAACTCGTAAGTTTAGAGAGACCCTTAAGCGCACCCCGGCTAGGACCGGAGGATCTAGCACGGTAGACCTTATATTCGACGAGCTATTAGGGAACCCGTTCGCTAGACGCCTATTCGCCGCCGCCGCGGCCCCGCCCTCTACCCTAAGCGGGCCAACCTATTCGCCGAGGACTAGGCCCGATACCGGTCCGATAAGCTTAACCCCTTCTAGGTTCTAAGCGCGGAAGCCCGGACTATTCCTATCGCACCTTCGTGGTATACTACGATAACCCGCGATATGACGGCTATAGGTATCGTCTACTCCGGGTTAGAAGCGCTAGTCTACGGAGCCCCGGATGCGGCCGTAATCTAGGCAAATCTGTTCGCCGCTATCCGTAAGGAGGCCGACGCCGACCTCTTGCTCGGCTAGTGCGCCGCCCTCGCCGGAGTGCCCGCCGGCTTTGTCTGTCGGTTCGCTTTCGCCGCCCACCTCCTAGACGACTCGCCCGAGCTCGCTATAGTATACTAGAGAGCCGCCCGCGTCGGCCCCCTACGTACGCTAGCCGCGGCCCGCCCTTATACGGCCAACGTAATAGCCTATTTTAACTCGTTAGACTAGAAGTTTACCGACGTATACTTAGGCGGATTCTAGAACCTAGGCCCGACTATATAGGCACTAGTAGTAGCAATCCGCAACTAAATTCTAGCCTCTCGCGACGGACTAGCTATAATGCTCCTAGTAGAACCGGCCCCGAATAACGCTTACGGCGTGCCTATCTATAGAGCCTCCGATATATAGGATACCCCGGCCGACGTGCCGGCAGGCCCCGAGGAACCAATAGAGGAGGAAGCCGAGGAGGAGATCCCCTACCCTACCCCTGCCCCCGCGGCGTAAGACGGTCGGTTACCGGGTTAGCCTCGTAGTGTCCCTGGCACTATTCGTTTTATCACCGGCTTAGCTATAGAGCGCCCCCGGTTATAATTAGTTTTCCCCGGTTTGGCTACCTAGCGCCCCCGGTCCTAGTAGTATTTTGCTCCCGGCTTAGCCGCCTCGCGCCCCCGGTGTTAGTCGCACTAGGTTGCGTTCTAGATAAGAGACGAGTTGCTCCCTATGCTAACTTTAGAAATCTATGTAACTTTACCACGATCCCCCGTCGGCGCGACTCCCGCCTAAACACCGCGGGAAACCGATAGGGACGTCGGTTAATTCTTTCGCCCCGGGCATTTATTACGGGATACCTTATAGTCGATAATCTAGGTACCCGGAACGATATCTACTTCCCCTAAGGAAGATACCCCTAACTCCCTAAGGCTCCCCGCGGAAGAAGGAACCCGGAAGCCACCGGGCAAACTCCGGGAAATTACCCGGAATTCCTAGAAACGATAACTAAGCGGATTGCACGGATATTTTACGGAGATTTCCCCTAGGGATATATTACACGGGGAATATACTATAATTTCCCGAGTAATAATAAGTTCCTTAGGGACTATACCGATATTTCCCTAAGAAGTTACTATAAGAATATAGCGGGAAATTATGAGAAATACCTATGCCTACCTAGGAAAATACCGGAAATGCCGCTAAGACACGCGCTACTATCGCACGATTATAAGGTTAAGATATTACTCGGTTAAAGCCCCGAGTAAGGTCTTACGCTCGCTATAGTATATATAGAGGATAGAGAACCCGCTAGATTTTAGGCGGGTAGAGAAGAATATAGATAGTCGTTACTACTCTTACTTTAACTCGCAAGACCGGTAGCTAGTCCGTATTTAACGCGCGTAATAACGTACGGTAGCTAGTCCGTATAACACGTTTAAAACCTACGTACGGTAGCTAGTCCGTTTTATTACCCGTTAGACCCGCACCGGATCCGGGCAGACGGCAAGGTTAACGTACCAGCCCCGTACTAAGGGACTAATGCTTAATATACCCCGTAATACCTACCTATCTATATAGCTATAAGTTTCTTCCTAGGCTTAGTCGGAAGATAATACTAGGTTATAAAGCGAGTAGCTTAATCTAGCCGTGCTTATTTTCTAGGCCTAATATAGTAATGTTTTTATATATATCTTAATTATTAAGTGCCGGCTCTACTACTAACTTTAAATAACCTCCCTAGACGACCCCTACCCTAGAGGGCATGCCCCGCATGACTCCGCTAGGTAGACGGGTCGACCGCGGGCCTAAGATAATAAGAAGGAAGCCTAGGGGGGTTCTTTCTCTAAGGGTGATTCCTATTTCTTAATAAAAGTAGAAATACTAGGGCTAATAGGATAAATAGCGTATATAAATAACTATAATTATTATTATTATATATCTTAATTAATCGTGGCTACTATAGTAGACTATAGGGATCGGACTACTAAGTAGTGCTATTATTCTAACTAGGAATATATAGGGATTAAAAACTAATTAGTAGTTATATAATAAATAAAGCTTATACCGGAGATTACTATTAAGTATATAGCGGTGCTGCTATAGTTAATAGTTGCTAGTACGTAACTAGCTTATATATAGGGCTTTAGCTTAGCAAGGATATTAGCTAGAGAGGTTACTTAACTATTAAGGGGTTAGGGTATATAGACCCGATGCTACTCCTAGGTCTTACTAACGCGGATGTATGCTTTATTCTATATTTTATATTGCTATATTTAAGGTGATAGGCCGGCCAGACGTTCTAGACCGCGCTAAGGTTTCCTTCTGCTTCTAAGCCGGCCAGGAACAATTCCTATAAGACAGTCAATCCCGGGCCTCACAAAATAGGAAACCTACTATACCTAGGTGGGAGAGCGAAGTCGTCGAGGGTTGCTTAGTATAGGGGTCATTATGGGATTCCCTACGGCCCTATAATCCAAGGACATCTTAATCCCGAGCAATATTAGAAGAAATTAGAAGAAAGCGAAGCGTATTTAAGTTAGAAGGAACGGTACCCATGGATGTATATAATGCTCCTAATAGAGTGTGTAATTAGTGCGTCTAGATCCCTCAGTTACTTATTCCGTCCGTTTAACTTAGTGCCCACTGAACCACGAGTCTGCCTGCAATTTTCAAACAAGTAATAGTCTATCTATAGCGGTTAAACCGAATTGCAGTGTAAACTATAGTCTATACACTATAGTCTATACTGTTAGTGTGAGTATATAGTCTGACTTATGGCCTAGCGCTTGTTATACCCGCTACGTTACTATGAAGTTTTCTAGTGCCCTCACCTGTTATATGTCCGCGGAATTTCGTGGGATCTATGCGGTGGATCGCCGAATCCTAGCTCTACTGAGATCTTATGGGATACCACAGTGTAAAATGCAGCGCTTCACCCTCCACTATCTCTGCAGCAGTCATAGTATTGGTGCGAGACATAGAGAGGTAAGTCTTATCCATTCCTATAGATGTTCCATTGGACTCGACTTTATAGCCGTTGGGTTCTACCTCTGTCTATCTATAACGGTGGAGCATGTGTGCTGGCATGTGGCCGAGCATGCAATACCTCGCTGAATTGCCTTACCTGCACCTCTACTTATTCCTTGCCTGAACCCTAAAGGCATTAGGGCTAGTACCATAGCTGCCGGATTGATATAACGATGCTTAAATATATGATTAGATAATCGTTATCTAATGAAATAGAAATCTTACCTCGTATAGGAGGAGTATGCGCATTTCTGTCCCAGGATCGTAGGCATTCCAAGAGATTTAAAATTTTCATGTTTATAGATCCTTGCCAGTCGGCTACCCAAAGATTACCCTTGGAGAAGAGTCACTCTGTCGTAGTAAATATAGACGCAATCGATAGAATGTTAATGGCTGTGAAAGATAAGTTAGGGAACTGCTGCGCTGGGTGTGACTGCCATTTCAACGGATCTGATAGGATTATTATAGGCCGGCGATAGCATGCCTCGTACACGTCGCTATCTATGTTGGAAACTGGCATCCAGTTCATGGGTGGTGTTGCATGCGGGAGGTGAGGCTTTGAGTGGCTCACCCGTGACCGCAGGCACCCATGCACGGACCACGTCGCCGCAGCCAAACGCGTGGGGGCCCGGAAAAAAGCCTCCAGCGAGCTCCGCAAGAAATGTCGCGCAGAATTGCACGACCCGAGTCGGTCACCATCTCGAGCCGGCACTTTTCTTCCCGCACTGGGAGACCGCACTGGGGGAAGATCAAAGAAGAGAGGTGCTGGACAAGGGCAACCCGTCGCGACAGCCTTTTGCCCAGGAGCAGCAGCACGATGCGCGGCCCGTCTTCGCCGCTGCTGCTGAGCACGGCGCGGCGACTGCGGCCTCGGCAGCCTTGGACGACGACATACGTGTGCCGGCTATGCAGAGGCATACAGATCAGTGCCGCGCCGAGCACCGATGCCGCGCGGGCTGGCATGGACGCCTTTGGCACGTCGACGGCGGCGCCGAGGAGCACGGCTGGTATGCAGCGGCGACGTCCGTGAGGGTGATGCATGCGGCTGACGCTTCGGCTTCCCCAGATGCTCGGTTCGAGGTCCTCGGCTCCCCGTACTCGCTCCTCTCCGTTACTCTCTCGGCGTCGCAGAAGCTCTACACTCGGAGGGGCACGCTCGTGGCCGTGGCCGGGCAACCGGACAATGTGAGTGCGAGTGGAGGGCGTGGCGGATGCGGCAGGAAGAAAAGATGCAAAGGAAGTCAACGAAAAGACCTACTCGGACTGACAGACTTGTTTCCCTACTAGGCACGGTCGACGCTGTCGTTGCTGAACCCCCTTACGCGGGCCCCGTTGGGCGTCCCATTCCTGTACCAGCGGATATCCGCAACGTCCCCCATTACCGCCCTCATCGCGACAAAGTCACCGACGACGACCTTTAGCGTCCTGCATCTCGACGGAACGACGGATTGGATCGTGTCGCAACGCAACGCCCTGCTGGCCTGGACCGGGCACACGCTCTCGCTTTCGTCCCGCATCCAGAGACAGCTATCCGTCGCCCACTGGGGCAGCACGCATGTGACGGGGCGCGGGCTGGCGGCCCTCTCGGCGCCGGGCCAGATTTACCAGCTGACCCTGGCCGAGGGCGAGGAAATGGCGCTGCATCCCGGCAGCGTCGTGGCCTACTCGGTCTCAAGGGACCGGCCGCAGCCCTTTCGGTTCAAGAGCTCGACCCTGCGGCTCCAGGTCCCGTCGCTGACGTCGTGGATCCCCGAGACGGACCTGATGCGCAACCTGCGCAAGACGGACACGTACAAGTTCCTGGCCCGGGCGTGGTGGAATCTGCGGACGACGGCGCGGCGCACGATATGCGGAGACCGGCTCTTCCTGCGGTTTAAGGGGCCAACGACCATCATCATGTCGAGCCGCGGCGTGCGCGTGGCCGACGTGCTCTCCCAGGAGCAGGTCAACGAGATTGCCGAAGCGCCGGCCAGGCCCAGGCCCGCGGCCCTGGAGCCTCCCGGGCAGCGGCAAGAAGGCGGACAAGAGTCAGGGGCGACGGCGGAGCAGGCCCCCAGCGCTCTACACGTGGCGTGTGTCAACAGAGACGGCAAGGTGGCGTTTGAGGATGCCAAGGACCTGAAGGAATTCATGCGGTGACTGCCTTGGATGCAAGGCCGCTTGATGCCCCCCCTGATGCCCTGCACGTGTATTGTACATTAGCTTACTCTGACGACGAAGCGTTGGGCCTTGCTCGTATAGCCGAGATGAAAACACGGATTCGTCTCGCAAGGGGAGAGAAAGGCACGATTGCTGACTTGGACAACGGCCCCCTCGGCCACGGGTCGTAGGCCGATTCACGGGCTACAGGCCTCTTCGCGGGCGCGAAGGGCGACGGCTCGGAGCCGAGACGACGCGAGTCCCGGGCCGTCGGCGGCTAGAGGCTGAAGATCCCTGCATCAGCCTAGCCTGAAGGCCAGGGGCCGGCAGGTCTCCGAGTGATAGGCGGTAGCGGCAGGGGGCGCTGCGCAACACTGACCGAAAGTCAAATAGCCCCCAAAACACACACAGCTGGGCGTGCCCCCGTTCCACGACAGCCTACTAGTCTCCAGCCCAGGGCTTTGAGTTTCGTTTAGCGCCGCCTCAGGCCCTATTTTGCATTTGTTACAGGGCAGTGGACTTGAAACATGGCTGGGTTGCCGCCGCCCGCGTTGCCGTTTGCAGATCATACGAGGGCGCTTTGCTTTCCAAGACGCTTCACTGCCCTCGTTCGTATCCGGCCCTGCACGAATCGTGTTGGATACTGCATGTATGTACATGTTCTTTGATGGATGGAAAGAGATGGGGGAAAGGGACAACAGCGACAACAGCCCTTGTTAGACTCGCGCCAGGATGGATAAATCCGAAGCCCACTGCCGAACCCGCACCACACGTGGCGGCCCCACGCAGCTCTCTGCTTCCATTCTCTCTAGGTGGAATAAGGGTTTTGTGGGATAGGGGTTTTATGGAATAGTCGGTTCGTCATGATACGGAGCGGCGCCGTCTCGCGCCTTCTGACACTAACAAGGCTACTCGGAGACCGAGCGTGGTGGAGACTCGGCAGGTCCGTGTAAGGCACAGCTGCTCTTGGACGTTGAGTATTTAACTCTTGTTTTAAGTCCGTGGTCTGTGGAGGGTATATCCGTAGTCTTCCTTCCTTCCGTTCTTCCTTCCTTTCCCTTGGCCCCCTGCGTAACTCCATCGACTCGGCAAGCCCAAACTGCCTGAATCTTCTCTGTGCCACGGGCGTTGGGACCAGCGAATTATCCAGAAGCACCCTCGACCCCTGCTCTTCTTCGGCTCTGTCTCTTGTTCTTCATCCCAGTCATTGCCGAGCAATACCGCCAACTCCCCGTCGTCATTGGCTTGTCCTGCCTCGACTGAGACCGGACGAAGGCGTCGCTGGCCAGCCACTCCGCCCTGCTGCCGCCGCTGCCGGATATAGTCCTGGAAATACGAGGCGGAGGAGGAGAGAGAGAAGCAGACAAGGGAGATTTCAAAGGAAAGAGGATCGGCAAAGGTAGCCCACCATGGCAAACTCGGCGGCACCATCCCATTCCTCGTCGTCAGGCAGCCTCTATGAGAAGCACGACGGCACCTCAGACACTCTTGTTCGCTCAACGACCAACACGACGGAGGATGAGGCAACGGCAACTGCCGAGGCGGCTGGCATGCACCTCGGTCCCGATCCGGCCACGCTTGGCGACGACAAGAACAGCGACGGCGGCGCCGACATGGAGCGAGGCCGCCGCCGGGACATGTCCGCCGATGCCAAGCCCGAGGCCGGGCCCCCGCAAGCCGCCGGGCCCGGCGACTTCCCCGACGGCGGGGCCGCGGCGTGGCTCGTGGTCGCCGGCGGCTGGTGCGCCCTCTTCTGCACCTTCGGCCTCATCAACTGCCTCGGCGTCTTTGAGAAGTACTACGTCGCCGGCCCGCTGCGCGACTACAGCAGCTCGACAGTCAGCTGGATCATGTCCGTCCAAGTCTTTATGATGATCTTTTGCGGCACGGTAGTATGTGGCCCCTCCCTCTCTCCTCTCTCCTCTCTCCCTCTCTCCCTCTCTCCCTCTCTCCCTCTCTCCCTTCCCCTCTTGGTATGCCGCACTCTTCTGACAATGATCAGTTTGGCCGTCTCTTCGACAACTACGGCCCGCGCTGGATGCTCTGGGGCGGTTCCCTCGCCTACGTCTTCGGCCTCATGATGGTGTCGCTGTCGAGCACCTACTACCAATTCTTCCTGTCGCAGGCCATCGTCGGCGCCGCCGGCTCCAGCGCCGTCTTCAACTGCTGCATGTCGTGCCTCGTCACCTGGTTCTCCCGCCGCCGCGCCGCCGCCTTTGGCATCATGGTGTCGGGCTCGTCTGTCGGCGGCGTCGTCCTGCCCATCATGATGACCAAGCTCATCGACAGCATCGGCTTCCCCTGGATGATGCGCACCATGGCCTTTATCTTCCTCGTCCTCCTCATCTTTGCATGCCTAACCGTCAGGTCGAGGTTGGCCCCTCGCCCGCGGCCCTTCCACCTGATCGAATATGTCGACAGCCTCAAGGACGTCCGCATGGCCGTCACCACCTTCGCCCAGTTTCTCTTCATGTGGGGCATGTTCTTGCCCTTTAACTATGCCCTGCTCCAGGCCGAATCCATCGGCATGTCCCCGTCTCTTGTTCCGTATCTGCTGCCCATCATGAGTGCCGCGAGGTGAGTCGTGGATCTGCCCTCTTTCTTGGCGGGGGAGAATAAAACTGACAGCAGACAGCATCTTTGGCCGCATCGTCCCCGGAATTGCCGCCGACAAGCTCGGCCGCTACAATGTCATGATCCTCATCACCTTCACTTCAGCCCTCTTCTGCCTCGTCATCTGGGCGCCCATCAAGAACTCGGCCGGCATAGTCGTCTTCATGGTCATCTTTGGCTTCTCATCGGGCGGCTTCATCTCGCTCTCCCCAACCCTCATCGCCCAGATCTCCGACATTCGCCAGATCGGCACCCGCGTCGGCACTGCCTTTGCCATCCAGTCGCTCGGCGCCCTGACCGGAAGCCCCATTGGCGGGAGCATCGTTGCGGCCCAGAACGGCAACTTTCTCGGTCTGCAGCTCTTCTGCGGCTTCACCATGCTTGCCGGGTCCATTGTCTATGGTGTTGCGAGATACATCCAGGCGGGCTTCAGGGCGGAGAGGATTTAGCCCGACGAGTAGATGCATGTAGTACATGGTGTCTTGATACAGGGCGTAATGAGCATCGCTTTAATCAAAAGAAAGGAGAGAAGAGTCGGAAGGTGGAGGAAGTAATCGGGCTTATGAACCAGTTAAAGCAGACATTGCTTTCGAGGGCTAGAGGCAGGCCTCGGCTCCGTCGAGTCTAGACCGAAGATTCAGACGGGAAAAGAAAGACTGGGGGCATGGAGTCGGCGGACATGGAGTCTCACGCATTCTAGATCCTACACTACCTCGACTTGCCCTCGGCGAATGGAGGAGAGTCGGCGACGTCGCGCACAAGCGAATCTCGATTCGCACGACAGCCAACGCAACGAGATTCATGTCCAGCCAGCTCCCGGGCCTCGGATCGGGAGAGGCCTCGACGTGGTGCCACCGAGGGGATTTCGGGAGGAGTGGCTGCAAGGGGACTAGAGAAGGGAGAAGAGAACGGGGACATGGAACCAGGTTTCACAGCCTGACGTCAATATTGCTCCCCTGCAGCGCGGGGCAATGACGACTGTGTACGCACATGTGTATGCTTCATAATATAAGAATCTGTATATATATCTATATCACGGCAGCGCAGGATCTGAAGCTCCCGTCAGTATCTCCAGACTCATATACATCAACACGAAAGAATACCAAAACAAGAAAGCAGACAAAGGAAATAAGCACCAAGAACTCAATGCAAACCACTGAAAAGCCACACAAGACAATGGATTCTCCGGCCATCAGGACGTCTACTCGTTCCTGGGCGACGCTGCTCCACCGCCCCGAGATGCCCCAGCCTCCAGATCCGCCACGGCCGACGGTGCCCGAGATTGGCAGCGAAGGAGACGGCACGGCCGACTTTTGAGCACAGGGGCGGACGGCGTGTTATTCGAATGGGTGATGCGAAAGGGAAAGGGTCCTGGGGTTGAACGCATAATGAAGGGGGGGGTCGGGCATGATGCCTGTCTTCGTGCGTATTTCATACTTGGAATCACTGGCCGAGTAAATCAAGAGAGAAAATGTATGGCTAGGCAAAGCAGACGAGTGTGTTGAATGGCGGGAGCCCTAGAGCATGTGTGCTCGGCAAGACCACCAGCCCCGCCGGCCCCCGCCGCGTCACCTCGCGAGTCGGAGAAGAGGAAGCGCCATTCATCATCATCACCATCATCGCCATCACCATCATCGCCATCGCCATCATCGCCGTCGCTGGTGCAGTAGACGAAGCGTGCCATGGACGGCGCCTCGAGCTCGCTCTCTCCCGAGGTCCTTGCCCTGGCCGCCAGGATGTACGACGCGGCCAGACGAGGCGACCTGCCCGTCTTCCAACAAGCTCTGCCGGCCGGCCTGCCGCCCAACATGAGGAATGAAAAGGGCGATACTCTGGTGCGAAGAAGGCTCTTGTTTTCCGTCTCTCCCGTGCTCACCCCGTGGCAGCTCATGCTGGCCGCATACCATGGCCACGCCGACCTGGTCAGGCTCCTCATGGAGCACGGCGCAGACCCGAACCGGCTCAACGACAGGGGCCAGAGTCCCCTCGCCGGCGCCGTCTTCAAGAACGAAGAGGCCGTCATAGAGGTCCGTGGGCGCGCCTGAGAGGACGAGGGGCCGGCCAAGAGACTGACAGCCGCAGGCTTTGCTCGAGGGCGGCGCGGATCCCGAGCACGGCAGCCCCAGCGCCCTGCAGTGCGTCGAGACGTTCAACCAGGGCGGCAAGTGGAGGGCCAGGATGGAGGCGGCGCCGGGTCGGGCAAAGGCGGCGCCTGCGGAGGCATTGTGACATCGTTTTCTTTTCCTCTGGCTTCGTGAATCTCTTGGTTCCCTCTCTCTTCGAGTCTTCGAGATACTTGCGAAGACGTACCTTATCGGCCATGGTGGGGGCTTCATCTTATCGCCTGTCCGGGAACACGGGAAAGTAGAGATACTTGGGCAGTGGGCGCTCTGAAGGGGACTAAAGGTACCTATACAGCAGGCCGCGACCGTGGCCCGTGCACCAGCAACATTTTTCGAGAGCTGCCATTTCGACGACGACGACATGCGATGCTGAGCATCAACCACACGCCATCGCTCTCTCGCCCGCCATCTCTCGCGCGCAATAGCCACGCATAGGCCCCTCCCGTCAACCCTCACACCCGTCGTCTTCCAAGGCATTCCGACTCCTGGGCGACGCGTTCGCTCCAGGAGCCACCATCGCCGCCAGCCACCATGTCGTTCGGAGGCCAAGCACCCACCATCATTGTCCTCAAAGAAGGTAAGCCATTCCGCCTCTCTGACTTCTTCTTACTGTTCCGCGCTCAACTCGTTATTCAGGAACCGACACCTCCCAGGGCAAAGGCCAGGTCGTCTCCAACATCAATGCCTGCTTAGCAGTCCAGGCCACCATCAAGCCCACTCTGGGCCCCTATGGCGGCGACCTGCTCATGGTCGACGAGAATGGCAGGCAGACAATCACAAATGATGGCGCCACCGTCATGAAGGTAGCTGCCAACGCAGACACTCAAGCCAAACAAGCCGTTAACGCCCCCCCTCCAGCTCCTCGACATCGTCCACCCCGCCGCCCGCATCCTCGTCGACATTGCCCGCTCCCAGGACGCCGAGGTCGGTGACGGAACCACCTCGGTCGTCGTCCTCGCCGGCGAGATCCTCAAGGAGGTCAAGGACCACGTCGAGCAGGGCGTCAGCTCTCAGATCATCATCAAGAGTCTGAGGAGGGCCTCCCAGCTAGCCGTCAACAAGATCAAGGAAATCGCCGTCAGCACCGACGAGGGCAACCACCGCGAAACCCTCTCCAAGCTAGCCGCCACCGCCATGACCAGCAAGCTGATAAAGCGAAACACGGAGTTTTTCACAAAGAGTACACTCACCACCCCCTTTTCCGCGCAACAACGCAGCAAAGACTGACTAGTGTGTCGCGCTCCACAGTGGTCGTCGACGCTGTCCTGTCCCTCGACCAGGACGATCTCAACGAAAAGCTCATCGGCATCAAAAAGATCCCCGGTGGTTCTCTGACCGACTCCCGCTTTGTCAACGGTGTCGCCTTCAAGAAAACCTTTTCCTACGCCGGCTTCGAGCAACAACCAAAGTCCTTCAAGAAGCCAAAGATTGTCTGCCTCAACGTTGAGCTCGAGCTCAAGGCCGAAAAGGACAACGCCGAGGTTCGCGTCGAGCAGGTTTCCGAGTACCAGGCTATTGTCGACGCCGAGTGGCAAATCATCTACAAGAAGCTCGAGGCAGTCTCAAAGACGGGCGCAAAGGTGGTCTTGAGCAAGCTTCCTATTGGCGACCTGGCCACGCAGTTCTTTGCCGACCGGGACATCTTCTGCGCCGGGCGTGTCGCCTCCGAGGACATGGAGCGCGTCGTCCAGGCCGCCGGCGCCACCGTCCAGTCGACGTGCTCGGATATCCTCCCCGAGCACCTCGGCACTTGCGGGACCTTTGAGGAGCGCCAGATTGGCGGCGAGCGTTTCAACTTCTTCGAGGAGTGCCCCGAGGCCAAGACGTGCACACTGGTGCTGCGCGGCGGAGCTGAGCAATTCATTGCCGAGGTGGAGCGCTCGCTGCACGACGCCATCATGATTGTCAAGCGCGCCATCAAGAACAACCTCATTGTCGGCGGCGGCGGCGCTGCCGAGATGGAGGTTTCGGCGTACCTGCACCGCTTCGCCGACGAGAAAATCACCCACAAGCAACAGGCCATCATTAAGTCGTTTGCCAAGGCCCTCGAGGTCATCCCCAGGCAGCTGTGCGACAACGCCGGCTTCGACGCCACCGACATCCTCAACAAGCTGCGCGTCGAGCACCGCAAGGGCCGCACCTGGGCCGGCGTCGACTTCGACAACGAGGGCGTGGCCGACATGATGGAGCGCTTCGTGTGGGAGCCTGCCTTGATCAAGGTCAACGCCATCCAGGCTGCGACCGAGGCCAGCTGCTTGATCCTCAGCGTCGACGAAACCATCCAGAACGAGGAGAGCGCCAAGCCCCAGGCGCCAGGCCAGTTGCCGCCGGGGGCTGCCCAACGGGCCGTCAGGGGGCGGGGACGGGGCATGCCGCGCCGGTGAGTGTCGGGGGGGTGCGCGGATGTAGAGGGGGCTGGAGGAGAGGTGACAGATATCAAGAGGAATACAAAAAAGTTAAGAACGAAAATAGGTGGCGGTTTGGAAGAGGGGGTGGGAGGCGAGAAGAGGCCATCGAGGATCTGCATGAATATCCCAGAGACGACCTATGCCGCCAGGGTTGGAATGCCATTCTCAACCGACACCGCAGCAAGGGCCCATACTGGTGGAAAGGTCCAGCACCGGGAGTGATGTACAAGGCGAGGCGGGAGACGTGGTTCCGTGGTGTCTCTATTACGCTGATTCCTTTGTACTGCCCCATCCATCCAGGCCGAGGAATGAGTTTCCAGTTTCAAGAACAAGGGCGCAGGCGCATCACTCGGAAACAAACACGCACCGCCGCCCCCAAGAAGAAAATGGAATCTAGACCCGCTACCAAAAGCTGAATGACGATGCCCATGACTTGTCCAAGCGACAAGTCAGTCTTGCGCCCTCTTCTTCTATGACACACCCCACCCTCCACCTTCTCTGCTCTGCTCATTCCCAGCCGTCCATCTACCCTTGTGCATAAAAGCAAAAGAGAAAAATATAATACAGTGCGACGCATGCACGGCATCGTGCAATGAAAAGGGGGGGCCACTCGTCGCGTAGCCGCCTCTCACCCCCCCGGGCTGCCGAAGCCGACATCGTCGTCGTCGTCGTACAGCCCCCTCTCGCCCCTGGCAGCCCTACGGAACGACGACCCCTGCGCTTCATCGAGCCCCTGCATGGCCTCGCCGTCCACGTCTTGGTGGGGGCCGGCGCCGGTGCCGGCGACATTTTCGTCGACATCGTCTTGTTCGATGAGCATTTCCAGGTCACGGTCCACGGCTGCGGCTGCGGCTGCGGCGGCAGCTGCGGCGGCGGCGGCATCGCTCTCGGCCGGGCCGGCGACAGCGATGTCGTCGTCGACGTCGGTCGCGCTGAGGAGGGCCTGGAAGTCTGCGTGCGGCGGGTAGTGGTCGAAGGGGTCGTCTTCTGGCGGCGGCTGCTGCTGATGCTGTTGCTGGTGATGGTGGTCGGTGGCGGCGGAGGGGTGGTGGTGGTGATGGTGGTGGTGGTGAGGTTGGTTGATGATCTGCGGGTCGATGGGCTGGTACAGGTCCGAGGGATGGTGGTGCGGATGATGAGCGGGAGGAGAGGCGTCGGGGGAAGTCTGGTGATGGTGGTGGTGGTGGTGATGGCGGTGACGTTGGTGCTGGCCGAGAGGCTGGTCCTGGAGCATGGGACTATGGTGCGGAGGAGGCTGCATGTCGTGGTGATGATGAGAATGGCCATGGAGCGTCGAGCCGGACGCCGGCTGGGTGGTCGCGTCCAGGTCGTGGGACGATGCCAGGACGGAGATGTCGCTGGGGTTGGCGTAGGGGCTCGGGCTGGCCGCTGGGCTCGGCTGCGACAGTGCCGGCAGGAGGCTGTGACTCTGCTGCAGGGCCAGGACGCGGTCCGCCGCGGCCATGGTGCCGTCGACCTGCTGCTGCTGCTGCTGATACAGCTGATGTTGGCCTTGCCGTTGCAGTGGCGGTCCGTCTCGTGTCGTCGCAGCAGCACCATCCGTCGACCCAACTCCGGCCGCCGCCTTCCGGCTCCCCCCCGGGTTGGGCGTCTTTCCGAGCTCCTTACACTCGGCGCAGGCGCGGATGACGTCGCTGACCGTCTCCTTGATGCGGCTCCAGTGGTACTTGTCGGCAATGGTGGCCGTCGTCTTGTTGATGCCGCCGTGGTGGATGGCGTGGACGCTGCGGGCCACCTCGTACTGGCGCACGGGGTCGGCAATGACCTCCTTGTCCTTGAGCATGAGCTTGTCGCCGTCGAGCAGCTTGTAGTGCGTCGCGGCGCTGCGCAGCCTGCTTTTCTCGGCGCGGTCGGCGCCGTTGGGGTACTTGCCGTACTTGAGGTAGTAGCGGATCTTGTCGAAGCGCTCCTCGCTGACGAGCTCGTCGCCGTCGCCGGGCCCCAGGTCGCGCCCGTAGATGATGGCGTCGATGAGCCGGTCCGGGTGACTGCGCAGGTTGCCGCACGCGCGCACGCGCCCGATGCGCTTGAAGCCCAGCGCGTCCCAGATGCGGCACGACGCCACGTTGGTCTCGTAGACGAGGTTGAAGACGCTGTACGTGTAGCACAGCCGCGGCGCCCAGTCCAGGTACGCCTCGCCCATGAGCCGCCCGACGCCGCGATTGCGCGACCCGTCCGTCACGATGAAGCTGGCGTTGCACACGTGGCTGCTGCGGCCCGGGTAGTTGGGCTTGATGAAGAAGCTGCCGAGGCACTCCTTGGCCCAGTCGCGGCCCTCGGCCACGTCGCCCTCGCCTTCGAGGCTGCCCAGCAACATGACGGCGCCAAACGACTGGAACCAGTAGTCGGCGAAGCCGTCGACGCTGAAGGGGTCCATCATGGGGTACGTGTCGCCGCCGTCAATCTCGCGGTTGAGCTGGTCGCACAGGTAGACGAGCAGCGAGGGCGGCAACTGGTGTCGCGAGGCAAAGGGCACAATGGTGGCGACGGTCTGCCGGTCCCGGAGGGTGACCTGGCGAGGGACAATGTCAGCCGGCAGGCCCGGGTTGCTGGGGTCCGGGAACGGTGGTTGGCCCGAGACACGGAGGATGGTGGGGCCGGCCGGGTCCTCCATGACGGCCGGCATGGTTCCAGATGGTGTCTGGTTGGTCGGCCTGTTGTTGGTGGTGCAACAGAGACACCAGTCAGAGGATGCCAGATTGTCGGCGAGGATGCGTCGTCGAGCTCCTGCCCGTGTTAGTCCAGGTCTTGCGTATCATATTGTCCAAGAGGGAGGGTGCAAATGCGTCCATGAACGGCAGGGCGGTGCAATGCATCGCCCCTCCAGCTAGGCAGGCAAGCAGAAAGGGCATGGGCGATGGGTAGCCGCCGCAAAGTACCAAGTTCCAGCTCGACATGCAGATATGTAGTACGTGCTCGGTGCTGGAAGGCAGAAGCGGGAGAGGAAAGAAGTTCGGATATAAACAGGCTGACGGCAGCCAGAGAACAAGACGGAATATGAAAAGTCAGTGGAGGCAAGCCTTACCTGACGAACCACGACAATGGGCTCAGTCCACCTCAACTCGCCCTTGGTCTTCTCTTTCGCTCTCTGCCCAGCAGTCCAGCAGTGACTCGAGCCACCAGGAATGAGCCGTCGGAGGAGAGCCCGAAGCTCCTCCTCCTCCTCCTCCTCCAGCAGGTTGTCTGCCTGTCCCCTCCCCCTCCCTCCCCCTATGGCCGACTGCCCGCCTGGGCAAAGGGGGGGAGAGTCGAGTCTCTTCTCGTTTTAATCTAAACAATGGTCGCACCGGGCACAACTTCGTCGGGAAAGTGTTTCGCCTGCGTCTGCTGTGCTGAGATGTTCGGTCGTCAAGGGAGGCCCGTGATGACGGGAACTGTGCAGGGCGAAGTTTCCAGCCCGCCGTGACCGAAGGCACGAGTCACCGAGGGGTACGTAGCATCTGCGAATCATTTCTCCGCTCCGCTTTCTGTACTAGGTACTTGGTACCGTGCTCGTGATGCCCTCAAGCGAGGTACTCAACCGCATCAAGGCCATGAAAAACATTCTACGCTGTCGTCTGCTGGTTTCACACCGGGATCTATTCAGCCCTTTTATACTGTACAGGCACATCCTCCCCCAGGCCGCAGCCTCAACTCTTCCTGACCTTGTCCCCGAGACCATCCTCCATGTCCGCCAGCCGCGTTTCTGCCTTCGCCCCCGTCTCCGTCTTCACCTCAGCCTCTGCTTCTTGACCCTCGGTATTTGCCTTGCCCTGCTCGCCCGCCGCCGTCTCGCCCAGAACATTCATCATCGTTGCCTCGTCAAAGTCCGGCGCCGATTCATCGTAGTGGTTCCTCAGCATCTGCTTCTCTTCCTCGGTGAAGCCCTCCGTCTGAGACTGAATCTTTCCCATGACCTCCTTCTGTTTCACTTTGGCCGCCTCCACCTCCTTCCGCATGTGCAGCTGCAGGTCCGGCGATGTCTTCCACGGCACGTTGCCCTGGCCCGCGTCCTCGAGCCTCCGCTTCCTGCCCTTTTCGCCCGCCCTGCCGAGCACACCGGCTACTACTGCCATGGCTCGAAGGCTTTGGCCAAACATTAGCTCCCTGTTCGTGCCACCCACCAGGGAGGGGTTCAGTAGCTTACCTGTCGTCGTTGGCGGGAATTGTATACGTCACCCAAGACGGGTTTGCGTTGGTGTCAATGACGCCAATCGTGGGAATGTTCTTGAGGCCACACTCGTATAGCAGGGTGTAGTTTTCCACTGGGTTCAAGCAGATGACCAGGTCCGGGATCAACGGCCTCGTGGTGCCATTGTAATCGTCAAAGTCTTCTAGATCCTTGTCAAGGTGGTTCACCACCTTTTTCATCCGGTTCTTGAGGATGACGTCGCGGTTGGTGATGGATCCTGGCGTCCATTTGGTAAACAGATGGCATGCCCTTGCCAGCTTGGCCGCCGTGGTCACAATCTCCATGTGGCCCTTGCGAGTGCCGGCAAACAGGATGAGGCCCCCACGATATGCCACCTCCTCGACCACTCGTGCCGCCCTCCGAAGATGGGCCGCCGTCGTCTCGAGCGAAATGATGTGGATGTCTTGTCGTACACCGAAGATATATCGCGAGTTGGCTGGGTTCCAGATTGATGTGTTGTGCCCCATGTGGGTTTGCGACGCCATCAGCAGCTCCAGAGTCACGTCCTCGGGCCGGGGCGGGTTGACGAGGACATCTGAGGGGATGTATCGCTTCACGACATCGCTTCCAAGTTTCCGCGTGTTTTTCTTCATGCGCTGGAACTCTGCATATTGCTGCGCCGGCGACACGACTTGGGTCCCAATCTTATGCGGTCTCGCCCACGAGGCGCCCTGGTGCTCCCGAACTGCCTCGGAGCCTAGGGCCGTGATGATCTCTTGCGCCGACCTTTGCTTCTTTTTCTTCGACGACAAAGGTATTCTAGGCGGCGCTGCGGCCGGCTGGGGTGTGGACCAAGCCTGCTCCGGCCCGGGAGCGGGAGAGGTTGCATCAGGCGCGCTCTCAGCCTTTGCGTCCTCGGTCTTGACTTCGGTCGACAATCGTCGAATTGTTGCTCGTGGTAGAGGAGCTGCCAAGGCGCGACGGCCTAGACGCAAGCATGAGAATATGTTCTTAGTTTTTCTGCGGTGCAGGTTGACCTACCATGCCGCAAGGCGACGTTTCGTAGTATCATGACGGGCTCCGAACAAGCTCTTCTGCCAATGATGCGTTGTTGAACATGGTTATCGGTACTCCGAAGGTAGCCCAAATTTCGTCCTAGACGAAGATGCAGGGGTGCCGAGCTCGCGCGGAGCCGGTAATTTTCCGCCCGGTCTGCTCCAAAATAATCCCTCCACCTTTCAGCCTCCCAACCTCTACTGACCAGACTTTACAACGCCGGCAGATGATTCTTTTCTTCGCAATCTTTTAAACACTTGTCCCGGTTGAAAACAATGATTAACAAGTGGGTATTTTTTCCGGTTCCAAGAACTCCCTCGAATTAGGTTACACCCTACGAAGTACTTCTTCTATACATGTATTCACGGCTGTCTCTGAGCCCGTTCGTGATTTCATAACCCCCAAATGCAAGCCGGCTTACCGGCTGGTTGCTCGCGCTATGGTGAAGACACCCACAATCACCACGGCCAATGTGACAATAGCACCGGGGAGAAGCAGCTCGTTCGGCACTCCGGCAATGAGCTGCTCAGGGGCGCGAGCGGCCCTGGTCCTGCGCGAGCGGCGTACCACCGAGTCGTCGTCCTCGTCGTCCTCGTCCTCTTCGTCATCAGAGCCTTTCCGGCGCTCACGGAGAATGGAGGACATGAGAGGCGTTGGGATCACGGGCGTCTCCACGGGAGCGCCAGCAGCGACAGGGGGCTTGTCCGGGTCGTGAACATACAGGTCGACCTTGTCACGACGGCGCTGGCGAGCAAGTACAATAGCCTCGAGGAGGTCGTTGTCCGTGGTAATGGAGACTGTGTCACCCTCGTCGTCCATGTAGCTGAGTGCAAAGCCAGAGCCGCTCATCTTGCCGTCCTCGACTACCGGCGGACCACCAATCGTAGCCACTTCGTTTCCTAGCTTGGTGGCAACGGCAGCCGCAAGCACGTCCAGGCCGTGCGAGGCCACAATCTGCACGCGATGGACACGTCCCGAAGGAGCCTTGAACTTGAAGGGGAACGGCGTGTCGGCGGGGTTTAGTGGCTCAGGGGTCTCGGGGACGATGAAAGGCGGGGGCGAGTCGGCTCCAACGTGGGAGGCAGAGTCGCCCGGGGCGACGCTATCGCCAAGACGGTCGCGCGTCGCGTCCGGCGACATCATGCGCGAGCTGAGAATGGTGTGCTGGTGGCTGTGGCTGCCCTCGCCAGACATTAGAGACTCGGACTCGTTGTCGATTGACAGCCAGAATTTGTTCCAGGCCGGCCCCTCGCCGTCGCCGCTCGACATGGTGTTGATCTGCTCCAGGGTGGCGTAGGTCAGTTTCAGAACGTCGACCATGCCGACGATTTCGCCGCCGTCGTTCATGACGGGCAGGTTGAGGTAATGGCCATCTAGAAAGGTAAAGAGTCAGTACGGCTCGGCCAGCAGCCATTGCTCGTTCCGTAGGCCACCTACCATGCATTTTGCGAAGAGCTGCCTGGATGGTCATGTCCATCGGAGCAAAGTCTGGGTGAGGCGTCATGACGCGGACCACGCTGCAGTTGGCGGGGTCAAGGCCAGGGGCGATGACCCGAAGGACCACGTCCTTGCTGGTGAAGATGCCAGTGATGGCACCCTGGTCTTGCACCAGGAGAGCGGTGGTGTGGTTCTCCTTCATCAGCGCTGCAGCTTCCTTGACCGAGGTCCTCACGCTGACGGTGGTTGGTGGGACGCCGTTGAGGACGGACTCGAGCGTCGGCCCGGACATCTTGGAGCGCAGGGCCTCGACGTATTGGATGATTTGCTGCGGCTGGGTGGCGCCGAGCTCTGAATGGACGCCCTCGAGCGCATCGTACAGCTTCCTCGACGAGGAATAGGCCCGCTCGAGCTTCTCCATGGCGTCGTAGAAGCACTTTGTGATGTCCAGTACGCCCGAGATGTCCTGGTTCTCGTCCATGACGGGTAGGTGACGGAAACCCTTCCGAACCATCAAGTCCAGGGCATCAGTGGCGCTGGTGTCTGTTCGGGCGCAGAGCGGGTTCTTGGTCATGATCTCGGCAATGGTGATGTTGGCGGCTTTGTGTCCCGCACCGACGACGCGGAAAGCCAGGTCTTTTGCAGTGAAGATGCCGGCGATCCTTTCGTCGTCGTCGGTGACGAGGACGCAGTCCTCTCGCTTGGCAGCCATGAGCTGGGCCGCCTCGGAAACGGTGGTGGCCGGCTTGATCTGCAGTGCCGGGCTGGGCTTCAGGGCGAGGACGGTGCCGGGGGGCGCCTTGCGGGTAAGGCGGGCACGGCTTGTGAGGTGCTTCTTCTTGGAGAGGTCGTTCTCCATCTTGCGCCGGATGGCCTGTGGGTGTCGGTCAGCCATGAAAGCTCTCTGGGCAGCACTCAGTAGCTCCTACCTCATCGCGCTTGGACTGCTTCTGCCGGCTTGCGCTGACAGACGAGCTCGACTCTGACGGCTGGGGTTCGCCGGCGGGACGGGGGATGCCCGATGCAGCAGAGGCAGCAGGGCTGTTGGCAAAGGGGATGCTCCCGCGGCCCTGGTTGCGGTTGGGCGTGCCTCTGAGCGTGTTTCCAGACATGACGGCTGTGGGGACGAGTCGTCGAGCAAAAACGCAGGGCTGGGTCAGGTCGGTCGGGCACGAGAGACACCTAAGCTCGAATGATGCCTGTGGCCAGCCAGCTGCAAGAGAGCAAATGCGGCCACTGACTGCACTAATACGCAGAAAAACAAGGGAGCGAGTTTTTTTTGGCAAGGTGAGCAACGGGGGGGGGAGGAGGGGAGGGCGGGACTCGACAGGACTCGCCTATTTCCCCCGTGTGCAAGATTGCTATCGCGCGTTCCCGGGTGACCAGACCAGGACCCTGGACAACGACCGTTGTACCTACTGTCGGGTGCCGATGGCAGTACATGTATCGCAGCCGACGGACGATGCAAACCAGGTACAAGCGCCGACAGCGGGGCACTCTTGACCCACTGACAGAGGGGCTATGGGGACCAGGAGGCTAGCATAGGCTTGGCAAAGATACATTGTCTCTTCCTGTCGGTACGTCCCGCGACGCTTCTCGACCAAACTGCTGGATCCGCCTAGTTGTGCAGGGAAAGGAGGAAAGGGGGGGTTTGTTTACTTGGAGATGCTAAAAAAGAGTCCCGTTGCCAGAAATAACGGCGAGCACACGGTCATGGTCATCTAGACAGGTCTCTCCACAGCTTGGCGTCTAACGTTTGTCGGAAGAGTTTGGTCTTTGGGCAGTTTACATAAGTCGGTATGTGCGTGTGTGCGTGTGTTATAAGAGCCCACGGGGAACCGGGCTTCTGTAAGACACCCACTTCAGTACCATCTCATCGTTTCACGCAGCGAAGACTCTGATTCCAGGGAGATCACGAGCTTTGGCTGCGACTACCATTTGCGGATACGCACAGACAGACCACCTGCAAACACATAGTCGGGGAGCTCGCCGGAGTCCCGACGAGTCCAGGGATATCACACACGGCCTACCCTACAGCTCACAACTGGATCCTAGGGCGTGTCCGCCAATCTCGGGTTCAGCAAACACCTAGCTCGGGTCTTGTCGAAACCATCTCGACGCTACCGCCTTTCGAGGTTTAATCACCGAGAGCCAGCTGCCCAACGGTTCATGCAGGTTGATCCTGTTTACTTGCCAGGGCAGGTAAGCAGTTCCGGACGGACGCTCTTGACCACTGGCCAAGAGCTTTCCGTGCACCCACTGCAATAGGGACAGACAACTGACGTGGAAACGTGACGACAGACTGGAGACAAAACGAAAAGTGGAGAGATCGGCGAGTGACAACACCAGGCACTTGTGCAATTGCCGCTCGGTTTAGCGGTACATGGCGTCGTGGGTGCTCGGTGTAGCATCGCCGACTGTCTCACCGAGGCTTCGGCGTAGGGCCAGCACCGTGAATGAATGGAAAGAAAAGAGACTCCCGAAAGAGCAACAGCAGGCTTGCTTGGCTGTTTGACTGCAAGGCCACGGCCGCCCGCTTGGTCGAGCAGCAGAGAAACTCGGGCTGTTTGTTCGACGGCCGCCCCGATCGGCCAAAGCAACCTTGGCGTCGCTCTCCCCAGGCCTTGGCAAGTCTCCGCAAACCAGTGCATGAACATGAATTTTTTTCTTCCTCGCCCAGACGGCGGAGCAGGTCTAAGGAATGTCTTAGCATCTGGGCGCCGTGGTGACGTGATGGTGTGCGGTCTGGCGGCCGTGTTGCCATGGCAACCTGTCAACAGGCAAGCCGCCCAGTACACCTTGCCGCTGCCCCGTCACATTCATCTGCGCCCTGCTGCATCCCGAACCCACTTCCCCAATCCTCTATCGTTACTCTCGATAGCATCTCAAGGAGGACGAGCCAGCCTCTCTCTCTACACACACATTTTTCCCACTGCCATCTCCGGCAGAGAGAAAGAAACACACTCGAGAGAGGCCAAAGCTCTTCTTGTTCACAAACCACACTGCTCATCGCCTGAACAAGGCGTATATACCCCAAACTTGTTCGTGGTAGCAAATACCGCCCTCTACTGAGCGCGACCACGACGCTCCCCTAGCCCGGCGCTCTGTGCTTGCGCTGCGTGAGGTGAGTCGGCACATCCCACGGATGCGCGAGAGAGAAAAGAGGCCTGCAAGAGGGTGTGTCTGTCTGGGGAGGCATCCTAACAGGACGGTTGCACAACAGTTTCGGACCAAAACGGTTTCCCTTCGACAACAACTTCGACCGACGACAACGTTCCCCCTTTCCGGACTCCCCTTGCGACCAATATGCTGTCCAATCCGACCACAGGGCTTCACGCCAGGCAGAGGCAGCATCGCCGCCAAAGCTCGACACCCTCTGCCTTTGAGGGCGTGAAGATCCCGACCTTGCCCAACGCCAACCAGCAAAGGCAGGCCGCCGGCCACCGCCGCGGTCTCAGCCTCGACACTCGACGACAACAGCAAATGGCGTCGCCTACGACACGGCAGGATTACAAGGTAAGTATGAGTACTAACAACCACGGACTAGCACCCAATCCGCAGCATCACGTTCTGCGAGAAGCGCAGCAGCAACGCCTACAAGCACGCCCGGGCACCCACCACCATCATCATCAGCAGCAGCAGCGGCGGCCGCCTCAACCGCAGCAGCAGCAGCATCAAGCGCCGCCGCCGCCGCCGCAGTACGCCTCAATGGCACTTGGCGATCGCGAGAGCTACCTCATGTCTCCCCATGCGACGCCGCAGACTAACCGGTTCAACCCGGCACCGTGTTTCGACACAAGCTCCATCCCCTTCAACCCCTACGGAGCCCAGTTGAACCTCATGATGCAGAAGAACCAGGAGAGCTTTGCCAACAACATGGGCGAGGCCAAGGAGTTCGAGCTCTACACCAACGAAAGCGATCTCACCACACCCACCTTCGTCAACTTCCCAGAAAGTCCCTCCGGCCAGAACTGGACTCCAGAAGACGCCTCTCGGAGAAACTCGAGGAGAATCAGCAACGGCATCGTGGACCGGGTTCACAAGTATGAGAATATGGGCATGGAAGGAATGCAGAGGCCAATGACGCCTCCCAACCAGAATGGAAACAGTACGTTGTGGCCCTGGTCAAGAAGAAGAGAGACGGCTGACGAGCGGAGCAGACTACTATCCTCCCACGCCAATGGAGACCCCCCATGACCGGACGACAAAGCGTGAGCAGCGGCCTGACAGGTTTCACGACGACTATGACGAGTCCATGGAGGAAACCATCAAGCCGATGCGCAACCGGTCAAACCAGCGCGCCCCCAACATGTTCCAGGAGATGCGGCAGCAAGCCGAGAGGAGCCCTGCACAGCCTAGTCCGCCGCGTTCAAACAGAATGCCCAACGCCAAAAGATTCGTCGGAGTGCAGGCGCAGGCCCCTGAGTTTGTGGACATGAACGCCCTGCGGAGCCAGTTCGCCAAGTTGGAGGGCAGATACGACGACCTGGGCTTTGAGGGAGACGCTCTCCATCAGGCCGCAGACCTGCACCATCCGTCGCCCGCAGATGCGCAGCACATGGGGCAGTTCCTGGGGGGGTTCGATGACAATCCAGAAATGCCCCGGTTCCCTCCCCCGGGCCTCGGCGAAGCCGGTTCAAGTGCTCCGTCGAGAAGAGCATCGCCGCACCGGCGCAACGAGTCGGTCGACAGCATCGCCAGCATCGCCAGCGTCGCGAGTGTTGCCAGTGCCGCCAGTATCGCGAGCATCAACATCGAGGAGACCAAGACGGAGACGGGAGTGACAATTGAGGAGATTGCGCAGTACATCCGCAGCCCCGAGACGACCGATGGCAAGTGGACGTGTCTGTTTGATGACTGCGGCAAGAAGTTTGGGCGCAAGGAGAACATCAAGTCGCACGTCCAGACGCACCTCAACGACCGCCAGTACCAGTGTCCGACGTGCAAGAAGTGCTTCGTTCGGCAGCACGACCTCAAGAGGCACGCCAAGATCCACACCGGAGTCAAGCCCTACCCGTGCGAGTGCGGCAACAGCTTTGCCAGGCACGATGCCCTGACCCGCCACCGCCAGCGAGGCATGTGCATTGGCGCCTTTGACGGCATCGTGCGCAAGGTGGTGAAGCGAGGCCGGCCGCGCAAGAATCGCCCAGACATGGAGGAGCGGACGGCAAAGTCAGCCCGCCAACGTAGGAAGAACATGTCCATCAGCTCCACGTCGTCAATGTCGGGCTACTCGGACAGCTCGGCTGTCAACTCGCCGGACAATGACTACAACATGCTGGACGATGTGGTGGATCTGGGGGTCGGCAAGACCGCCTCGTACTCCTCGGCGCCGATGCCTAACATGATGCCCATCCCCCCCCCGACGGCCGTCGAAGCCGCGCCATCGCCGACTGCGAGCGTGCATTCGTTCGTTTCCCCCGACGACATGATGGAGAAGACGCTGTCCAACCCGGCGACACCAGCCAAGAGCGTCGCGAGCCACTACACGACGCCGCCCGAGCTATCGCAGTCGTCTTCGCCGCCGGCGGCTCCATTCTTCGACGCCAGCTTTGGCGGCCCGGGAGGTTGCGACGACATGGCGGCCGCCATGGCTTCGGCAAGCGGAATGGTGGATCCGGCAAACATGGGCGCAGCCATGCCCCCGGGCATCGGCGACCCGGACGAGGATCTGCTGCTCCAGTTCACCAACGACGACGGCCTGGCTCAGTTGGATCGCGACTCGCACATGCTCATGATGACCAAGTTTGACGAAGAGTTTGACAACGTGGGCATGTTCAACAGCGACGACATGTTTTTCGGCAGCAGCTGAAACATGCAGTCGCCTTCTGAACATGCCTCTCTTGCCACATAACCGCGGTATGTACTGATTATGAAGTAACGTCACGCTCAGCTTTGGGACTGTTTTTCTCGTTCGATTCCCTTTTGATTCGACGGCTCGAGCAATCTCGGCTCGGCGCCACGCTCTCGACGCGTTACTTTGCACGGCAGCTTTCTCCCCCACGACAAGGATGTAATGGCGGTTGCGAACAGGGACGACGGCGGCGGCGGCGGCGGCGAATCTGGCGGGTTGGTCAGGGGGAGACTCCAGGACAATGTCTGTACAATATGAGGATTCACGACGGACTGGCTTAGAAAAACTGGCCCGTTTCGATGCAAGGGCGAAAGGATTTGCATTTTGATTTCCTGTTTAAGAGCCAAGGGACCTGGCAACGGGGCTTTGGGCGGTTTTGCGCTGCTGGAGTTTCCGACGACATGCTTTGGCATCTGAGAGAAATGCGAATCAACTTGCGTTGAACCGTGCTTTACCAATTCGTGTGGAGTCAACAGCGATGTATGCTGTATGTAGGTTGTGACACAGACGAGCAGAGTGAATCGACGGCGAAACTGGCCCCCACCAAAAAGTACTTTGGTGCCCCCAACTTCTACAGGCCGTGGGGGCTTCACCTCAGCCCGCCCTCGCTCACCGTGAATCTTCACCTCTACGCCCAAGCAAACAAAACGCCGTATTTGTGGCATCAAGACATTGCCACGTCTCGATCCGCCAAGCTGGCTCGGCCTCGAGAACAAGCAAAGAACCACAAACATGCTGACTCCAACCGTCGCGAATCGGCTGAGCTGGCTCTACGCTGTCGGCAACACGCCCGCGACCAGCCTGACAAGAAGCATCCCCCATGGGCAGGACGCCGACATTCTCACGCTCGGGTGTGGCGACTTGAGGAACGTTTTATTTACAGCTTATGTCGAACGTGGACTCGGTGAGCTTCACTTCTAGCCTGCCTCTTTGCCTTACTCTCTTGCCGTCTTCGTGATCTGACTCTGTATCCAGTGCCCCGAAAGCTCGACATTACCTGCTGTGACTATGACGAGCGAATCATTGGTGAGCGAATACCTCGTCGCACAATGGCTGGAAATATACATTATTAACATTCGCCAGGACGCAATATCATTCTGTTGACCCTGATCCTCGATGACGACGCCAAGGTCACCGAGGGCTCGCTCTGGGACATTTACTACCACCTCTACTTGGACGATTCCACCGCACAGCTCATTCTTCAACAGACGGAAAAGATCCTGCCCCTCCTAAAGTCAGTCGAGGCATGGCGTGACGGCCCGTATGGTCGCACCCTCAAGTTCTGCGACCGCGATACCCTTGACGACGTCCGTCGAATTTGCCGCCTTGTCATGCGCGGGTCCCAGAACCGCGGCAACAAGGCCTTCAAAGACGCCTTCATCCGGCACTCGAAGGCCTCGACAGATTCTCGCGCTCGGCAGCTCGGCAACGGATCTAACCTGGCTGCCATGCGCTCTGCGGCCCCCCTTTCAATGTCGGCCGTGGATGAGCTTGTCAGGGCAGGCAACCAGTACTGGAACGAGGGCACAGTGACTGCGAGAAAGATTGCGGATCCGGTCCCCAACCCCATGTTCGCGGCCTTGGTCTCTGAGCATGGGATACTCCACTACGGCACAGACCCGATCTTGGGCTACCATCTCGCGACTGCCTTTGCGCCGCTCTCCCCTCACTCTCCCCTCGAGCTCAAGGATCCGGTCCCGGCGTTTAGGGCGGGTGCGGCGGCCATGGCGCAGTTTCGGGAATGGATCGCCGCGTTCCGGCTGGCAGTCAAGCGCGGCATTGTGCTGCGATTTGCAGTGGCAGAGGCACTCGCCCTCTGCCATACGCTGCAGCACGTTTCTGCTTCTGGCAGTTCCTCGGCAAACTGGTACAGGCGCCAGTTTGAGCTGAAGCTGCTTGCTCTCGACGAGACTGCCTACGGGAGCGGCCGCGAGGGCCCGGCGGCGTTCGACATGGTTGATACCTCCAACCTGTCGGACCACCTGGGGACGCTCAACGTAGTCATCGCCACGGCTCCGCTGATGAAGCAAAAGCCCTGGGCCACCGTCTACACGGAGCTGATGATCAAGCGGCACGATTCGCAACAGCGGGCCTTTGACAGCCTTCTCTGCGGACACGCGCCGACCGTCTCGCTTCTGCTGGGCGTCAGCCCCGTGCAGTACTGGACCAACGCAAAGTGCGAGTCCCACGTAGTTGAAGTATTTCTCGGCCTTATGACCAAAGAGTCCAGCACAGGCAAGGAAACGCAACTGCACAGCCGCCTGGCCTGGAAGAGAGACGACCAGTTCTCGGGCCAGTTTGGAGGACGCGGCCGGTTGCACATTGAGGCCCAGACCCTCTGCCGTCTGCTCTTTCAGATATATCTTGACATGTTCCAGTGGGAAAGCTATCGAGCCGGCCTCGCTGCCGCTTCGCCATTCTCGAGAAGCGCCACGTACTCCCACTATCACAGAGGCAGCTTCGCCACGCTCCTGCAGCTTGTCAAGAGCCGGGTCAAGACCGACTGGTCACAGGTGTGCTCGGGCCTTCTCGACTCCATCGCACAGGACCGCACGATTGCGCTGTCCAGCAACCAAGTACAGGAACTTGGCGTTCAAATGCACCTGCTGGGGGTCAGCACGGAGCCGTGGCTGCTCAACGAGGTCAAGACGCAGCCTGATGCTGGCCCTCTTAAGGGGTGGAGGGATATACCCCCAGCCGTTGCCGTCACATTCGTGGTGCCCCGAGAGGCGTTTGTTCGACTGTACGACTTGTCCCAAAAGAACAAGCTAGCCTCGCCCACGCTTGTCGGCTCTCTCAGGGCCAGCCCTGCTGCGACAAACCAGTGGCACAATATATACAGCGTCGTGCACATCACCTTTGGCAATGTCAAGTCCAATGCCGGCGAGGACGCCGCTGTTGTGATGGAACAAGACGAGCTCGGATGGGAGGGCTCGTCGCCTCTGATCGCCTCCTTTGTTGTTCCCACAGCCTCGCTCCAGGTGGAGCCGACAACGGCATTGCTTGGGCTTTCCATACCGCCCTCGGCGCAGGGCACAATGCTATATGGACCCATCCTCGGCATGTCCATGTCAGTCTTCGAGACTCGACTCGGGGACGAGAAAAGAGTGTTTGTCTCGAGGCTCATGCCTGGCCAGTCGGCTCATCGCGTTGCTTGTGGCGGCGTGACGCCATTTGAAGATGCCGCTGGCGAAGAGAGCAAGGATCAGAGGGTCAAGATCTCAGCCGAGGTGCCTGCGTCGGAATCGCGCATTTCCACAGTGACGGGCCACGTCGACATCTCCTCAGGCAGAGGCAAGAGTCTTCTACGGGACAAGGCCCCGATCGAACTGCGGCAGCAGGACCCCTTTGTCATCGAAGTCGTCTTTGGACGCGACGAGCTCGTCTGCCCCTTGAGGTTTCCCGTCCCCGTCACCAAGGCGGACAGCAAAACACGCATCGCTCGCACAACTGGCTATGTCGAGGTCATCGCACCTCTGGCCGACCCAGTCGTCTCAGACAGCCTTGCCGACTTCATCTATCCGACGAGGCTGTCTCCCGCCGGTCTGCCCGTGACGTTGAATACGCCACATGTCAACTTGGTCAATCTCCCTGTCTTGAATATGGATGACAAGGCCGCGATGAGGTGGCTGAACACGCAAACATCTCTGCAGTTTTCAGCTCGAGAAATGCAGCTGCGCAAGGTGACTGACGCCAAGAGCGGCATATCCGAGAACCCACGCGTCAACTTCAAAGAGTCGATTTTCACCATGTTCATGCTTGTTTCCGGCCTTCAAGGAGGGCAGACTGGCTTGTTCGCCATAAACCACCCGGAAAGGGGCGGCGTGCACATGCTCATCCTCGTGTCGGCCATGCGGCTGGACGGCGACGCAGCCTCGGTCGTGCTCGACGCAGCAGTAATCCCGCTCACGATGGAGCTCATAACCTCGGAGCGGTTCAAGTCTTTCCTGATCATCATTCAATCGCTCGAGTGCTGCATGCTCAACGTCAACGACGCCGAGCTGATTCTCTGGAAGAGGGCACTCCCGTCTCTGGTGGAGCGATGTCGAACGTGGGGCCATGTGCAAAAATGCGAATACAGGCGGAAAGGGGCTACAGTGCCGTTGAGCATCGAGCCGGGCAAGCAGGTCGTCTGTTCCTGCGGCAATGGCAAACTGCCCAAGGACTTTGTGTCGCTCCCGGAGTGGGATGCGGCGGCACCGAACGCGGTCCGCGTCGCCATCAGCCCAACATATGCCGTTCCCTTTGTCGAGGACGCGGTTGACTCGTCATTTGCAGACATGATGGACGGGGCCGCGCCTCAGACGACCATCAGTGAGAGGTGTCATGGTTGCGGCAGGGGGGAGGGAGGGGCCCAGGCTGTCACGTTGAAGAAGTGCACGAGGTGCATGCGGGCCAAGTATTGCTCGGAAGAGTGTCAGAAGAAGGACTGGAAGAAGCATCGCACAGAGTGTAAAAGAGGGAACTAATATCGCAAACCCATGGGAGGAATATGGGGTCTGGTGTTTGGGCATGAAGACTGCTAGACCAGAATGAAGAAGCTGGTGAGAAATGATGCGGCCGCGCGGCCAAAGATAAATGACAGAATATTCTTCCGAACGAGGAATTGGAAGAGCAAAGCAGCAAAGCAATGAATTGACGCTTCTTCTAATTGCGCAAGATACTTGTTGGCCTCGCCATGATTCTCGATTGCACGTCTAGGAACCAGAGCTCTCTGATTGGCCCCTCACCGAGCAGCGTCCGGCCTCACCGCTCTCAGTGGGAGGGGCAGAAAAAAAGCCCAGCGCCTCCATTTCATCACTTCGTGCGGGTACCTGTTGCCGCGACACCACACCAGCATCCATCCGACGCCGACAATTTAGCCTCCAAGCATCACAATGTCGGCCGCGCAACTGCTCAACCCAAAGGCCGAGTCCCGCGTACGTCTTTGCAGAAGGCCCCAGCTGGCCCGACACGTGCTAACTCGACTTGCTGCAGAGGAGGGGCGAAGCTCTCAAGGTCAACATCAATGCCGGCGTGGGCTTGCAGGATGTCCTCAAGTCCAACCTGGGGCCTCTGGGCACCATCAAGATGTGAGGAGAGATGCTTTCCAGCTTGCACAAAGTCGCCATTTGCTGACTGCTTTCCAGGCTCGTCGACGGTGCTGGACAGGTACAGCGGCCTCGACGCCTCAGGAGAACAAGCCCCCGTGCTGACGCCAGACACAGATCAAGCTCACAAAGGACGGAAACGTGCTGCTGCGCGAGATGCAGATCCAGAACCCGACGGCCGTCATGATTGCCCGAGCCGCGACAGCGCAAGACGACATCTGCGGAGACGGCACCACCTCGGTCGTGCTGTTGGTCGGCGAGCTGTTGAAGCAGGCAGACCGGTACATCTCGGAAGGACTGCATCCCCGGATCATCACCGACGGCTTCGAGATTGCAAAGATCGAGGCGCTCAAGGTTCGTGTCTCGGGACGCTCACCTCTCTGCGTAAAGACTGACAATGCTGCGCCAGTTCCTGGACTCCTTCAAGCTGCCCAAAGAGGTGGACCGAGAACTGCTCCTCAACGTCGCGCGCACCTCCCTCGCCACCAAGCTCAACGCCAGCTTGGCCCAGAAGCTCACCCCCGACATTGTCGACGCCGTGCTTGCCATCTACCAAGCGCCCGCTAAGCCCGACTTGCACATGGTGGAGATTATGAAGATGCAGCATCGCTCAGCCTCAGACACGCAGCTGATTCGGGGACTTGCTCTGGACCACGGCGCCCGGCATCCAGACATGCCGAAGCGACTGGAGAACTGCTATATCCTGACCCTCAACGTCGGCCTCGAGTACGAGAAGACGGAGATCAACTCGGGCTTTTTCTACTCAAACGCCGACCAGCGCGATAAGCTGGTGGAGAGCGAACGCCGGTTCATCGACGCCAAGCTCAAGAAGATTGTGGAGCTCAAGCAGGAGCTCTGCGGCACCGACGGCAAGAAGAACTTTGTCATCATCAACCAGAAGGGCATCGACCCTCTCTCTTTGGACGTGCTGGCCAAGAATGGCATCCTGGCGCTTCGTCGGGCCAAGCGGAGAAACATGGAGCGGCTGCAGCTGATATGCGGCGGCACCTCTCAGAACAGCGTCGACGACTTGTCCCCCGAAGTTCTGGGCTGGGCCGGCCTCGTCTATGAGCAGACGCTGGGCGAGGAGAAGTACACGTTTGTGGAGGAGGTCAAGGACCCCAAGTCGGTCACCATCATGATCAAAGGCCCTAACCAACACACCATCTCCCAAGTGACGGACGCCGTCCGAGACGGGCTGAGGAGCGTGTACAACATGATTGTCGACAAGAGCGTCGTGCCAGGCGCCGGAGCTTTCCAGGTGGCCTGCGCCACTCACCTGAAGAGCGACGCGTTTTCCAAGACGGTCAAGGGCAAGGCGAAATGGGGCGTGGAGGCCTTTGCCGACGCGCTTCTCATCATTCCCAAGACCCTAGCCGCCAATGCGGGACACGACATTCAGGATGCCCGTAAGTGCTTCTTGATCCAACGTGCATGGAGCCCCTTTGACTGACCTGACTACGCAGTTGCCACGATGCGGGATGAGCATTCCGAGGGCGAGGTGGTTGGCTTGAACCTGGAGACTGGCGAGACGATGGATCCCGAGCTCGAGGGCGTCTTCGACTCGTTCCGCGTGCTGAGGAACTCGATTGCGTCGAGCTCGAGCATCGCGTCGAACCTGTTGCTCTGCGATGAGTTGCTGAAGGCTCGACAGATGGGCAGGCAAGGCGGACCGGGCCCGGGCATGGATGGGCCCGACGACCACATGTAAATGGGGGAAGGTAGTTGATGTGGTGTTTAGACTTGCATTAGACGAGCTACAACGGCTCTGATACATTATGGATCCATGTGCATGTATCAAAGCCTGACAGGCATGCCTTCAACATTGACGACGGTAGGTACTATTCAGTACAGAGTGCCGACAGGGGCCTGAAGGGGGATGATCGGGCACTAAGTAGGTAGAGCCCCTCCCCTGCTCAGGGCCCCTCCGCCTCAGGCGCATGTAAGAAAAAAATCAAAAAATCAAAGACGAACCCCCACCATCGCAAGCTTCCACGGCTCGATCAAGGCTTGCCTGGTCGGACACAATGGCCACCGACTACGACTCCGACTCGACCGAGGGAGACTACACAGAGACAAACGTTCTCCTTGGCTACGCGTCAAGGGACGCCGACGAAGATGCCATTAGCAAACTGGGAGGCCGTCCCGTACGTTTCTCACCCCCCCAAACCCTTTGGCGCTGCTCTTTGACGGCTAACAGTGGGTGAGTGTAGGACTGGCTCGAAGCCGAAAAGGCACCGTCAGCGGCCCTCGCACGGTGCAAGGCCTGCGGCGACTTGATGGTCTTGCTGCTGCAGCTCAACGGGGAGCTGCCCGAGCGCTTCCCGGGCCACGAGAGGCGGCTATACGTCCTTGCGTGTCGCAGACATGCCTGTCGGCGCAAGGAGGGCAGCGTCTGCGCACTGAGGGGCGTTAGGGTATGGGAGCAGGGCGAGGTGGGCGCGCTGCAGGGGGAGACGCTGCCGCGGGAGGAGGGAACGCACGTATCCGAGGCGGAAGCGCCCCGGACGGACAGCGGGCCTGCTGGCGGACTGGGCGATGCTCTGTTTGGGGGCGCAAAGGCCCTGGGGAGTGGAGGGAATCCGTTTGCGACAAACGTGAATCCATTCAGTTCTGCGCCCCCGTCATCATTGCCGCTCGCCTCTTCCAACAATCACAGCAACCCCTTTGCCAGCGAGCCAGCGTCCAGCACGGGGAACAAGGCCCAGTCACCGGTGCCGGCCCTCACCAAGACCTTTGCCGAAAGCCTCACCCTGAACGCGCCGACGCCGCCGTCCCACTCAGCCGTCGCCGCCGCCGCCGCCGCCGCCGCCGCCGAGCCATGGCCCGAGGCCGCGGAGCAGCCCAAGCCATACCCGACGTCGTACCTGTCCGACGCCGACTACGAGACGCTGGACCCGACGCCGGAAAAGGTGCCCGACCACGCGCGCCTCGACGACGCCGACGCGCCCGAGCCGTCGGCGCTCGACCGCGAGGCCTTTGAGTCGGCCATGGACGCGGCGTTCCAGAAATTCGCCGACCGCCTCGCGCAGAACCCGGACCAGGTCATTCGCTACGAGTTTGCCGGCGCGCCGCTGCTCTACTCCAAGACGGACTGCGTGGGGCAGCGCCTCGCCGCCGGCGCAAGTGCTATTCCTGGGTGCGCAAACTGCGGCGCCCGCCGCGTGTTTGAGGTGCAGTTGACTCCCAATGCCATTACTGAGCTTGAGGCTGGTGACCTGAGCCTCGAGGGCATGGAGTGGGGTACCATCATTGTCGGCGTCTGCGGGCGCGACTGTGTGCCTAGACATACCGCCCCGGGCGACGCTGGCTATCTCGAGGAATGGGTTGGCGTGCAGTGGGAGGAGTTGACCAAGCAAAAGTGATCGTCGCTCCAATGAGACGACGGAGACGACGAGGCATGACGTTTACCAAGAGACTGCATTCTGAGTCCGCTTGTTGGACCTTGATGCTTCATTTCTTCCTCTCCACGTTCTCTCCTCTCTCCGTTCTCTTTACTTCCAATGACATGTCCTGTATAACGCCAAACGTGAATCATCCTTCGTCTCCCACCACCACACGCCGCCATGCCGCCATGCTCGCAGCTCTTTCGCGTCATGGTTCGGCATGATTACCAAGTCCCCCCGCGTACCGTCCAGTGCTCATGCGGTCGTCTCCCAGGACCTCCGAATCACCCTCGCAAACTGGTCGACGTTGACGTCCTCGCGAATCTCCGCCTTCTTAGCCTCATTGTCCGGATTCGAAGGGATCTTGATGCTGCCGTCGCCGTCGACCCCCCAGCCGCAGACATCCATGACGAACTTCTTGGTGGCGTCCTCGCTCAGGCCGAGCCATGATTCCAGGTGGCTGAGGTTAATCTCCCTAAAAGCCTGCGAGACCAGCAAGGCGATGCGGTGCCGGATCATGTCCTCGAAGCCCGAGATATCGGCGACGAGGTCGGCGCAGAGGTCGTCGCCGTCCACGTTGGCCCAGAACTGGGTGTACTGCGCGCCCTCGAGCTGGGAGTTGAGCGTGCGCAGCTTGGTCAGGGCCTCGTGCAGCTCGCCCGTGGCGGCGACCGAGGGGTTGATAAGGTGGAGTGCGAGAGAGAATTGTGCCGAGGGGAACTGCGTCATGGCTTTGACGAGGACGTTGGTGACGACCTCATCCTTGATCCGGTCAGGATTAAGTTGGTAGCTGTTGCCAGTCAGTTTAATGCGCCTGCACAGACATGCAGCATGACGATGGGGGAGAGAGGCTGGTCAGATAGAGCTAATAGCTAACTTCATGAGAGACTGGGCCGATAAGAGCCGTCGCAATCAGGTAATAGGAAACGTTCACGTCTAATCATCACAATGGGACAAGAAGAGAAGGCCCACTGGCCCGCGGGGGAGCACCACTCACAGCTTCAGCAGTGTCCGGTTGGCACTGCAGTCGCAATACTTCTGATCGCATTGCTCCGTCAGATACGTCTCGAGTGAGCCGACGGCCTCTGGATTGTACCGCTCGAGGCCGTTGATGATGCTGGTGATGTAATCGGGCCGCTCGGGTGGGTCTTCGCCGTTCATCTTGCCGGGCTTCGAGAAGGGCTTTCCTTCCGCCGCTTGAGTGTTGAGGGGGGAGTGAATTCGAGGAGGGAGAGACTCGCGATGGTGGGGCGGTGGAAGTTTTCAATTGTGTGAAGCATGTCGCTTGTGGGAGGAGCGGAGCCTGCCGTTATTCCGTGCCGATGCCGAGCTGTCGACCCAGACAATACCCCGGCCAATACAGTCACGTGGTGTCGCGTTTGCAGCGTCATCGGGCAGCGCGGCAAGTCGCTGGTGGGAGCAACGTGCCTACGATTTCGGAATCATGTCTGGGCTTTGATGAAGAGTTGCAAGTGCAAGCCATGCGCTGAATTCAACAAATTCGTCGCCTGCTTACTCGGTCGGTTTCGGGTGAAGCTTTACTGACACCACCACTGCTCAGCTCACCGAGCAATGTCCAGCCCACTCAAGAAGAAGAAGCTGAACAATGGAACCAAATCGGCAGCAACGCAACCCAAAGGGCTCGAGTATTTTTTCTTGAAGCAGAAAGGGAATGGATCGGCCGTGAATGAGGCCCCGAGCGAAGCTGCGACTGAGCTCACAGACGAGGAGCTGGCCCGCAAACTTCAGGCAGAATGGGATTTGGAGGCAGCGAATGAAGCCAAAAGCGAAGACAATGGCCTCAGAGGCGAAGCCGGCGATGCCAACCCAGGGTCACCGAGAAAATCAATGATATTTAGAGCGAAGGCGAATCCCCCAGCCGCAGACGTCGCCGAGTCAAAGAACCCAGACCCCCCCGCCAGGACGTCCAAGTCTACGCTGAGCCTCCAGTCTGCAGGCATGGCTGAGGATGAAGTAAACGCGTTCATTCCACTGGACGAGTCGCCTCTCACGTTTGACTCGTCGAAATATGTGTCACAGCTGCGGGAGCATTGGGCGTCGGAGGGTGGCAATGCCTCGTATGCCCTTCTCACGAGGTGCTTTGTCCTTGTCAGTGCCACAACGAGTCGCATAAAAATCGTGGACACTCTGGTAAACTGCCTGAGAGTATTGATTGAGGGAGATTTCTCCAGTCTGCTGCCAGCTGTAAGCTCGACCCCGCCGCGTCTTTATCCAGTGCTAACCAGGGCAGGTCTGGCTGGCGACCAACTCCATATCTCCGCCATACATCTCCATGGAATTGGGGCTGGGCGGCTCGGCAATATCCAAGGCTCTGAGGCAGGTTTGTGGCCTGGACAATCGCGCACTCAAAGCAATCTACGACAAATACGGCGATGCGGGAGACGTGGCCTTTGAGGCAAAGAAGAAGCAGAGCTTTACTCTGAGGAAGCCCAAGCCCCTGACGATAAAGGGGGTCTACCAGTCTCTTGTCAAGATCGCAACAAGCCAGGGCCAAGGGAGCAACGAAGCCAAGCAGCGGATTGTAGATCGACTCCTTCAAGATGCGAGAGGAGGAGAAGAGAGCCGCTTCATCGTGCGGACTCTTTGCCAGCATGTTGGTCGTTCCCTCCTCTATTCATACCCGCACTGACATCCTTGAAGCTCAGAATAGGCGCCGTGAAGACGACGATGCTCATTGCGCTGTCACGAGCATTCTTGCTTTCACGTCCGCCAGCCGCCGACTACCCGCTCAAGTCTGTTTCGGGATTGAGCACACTGCGCAAAGATGAACTGGCCGAAGTCTGGGGCAAGGCCGAGGAGACTGTGAAGGCTTGTTTCGCACGGCGACCAAACTACAATGACCTGATACCGGTTCTTCTCGAGACTGGCGTCACTCAGGAGCTTCTGGTTCGCTGTGACTTGACACTGCATATTCCTCTTCGACCAATGCTGGGAAGCATCACGCGAGACTTGTCCGAGATGCTGACAAAGCTGCAAGGACGAGACTTTGCCTGCGAGTTCAAGTACGACGGGCAGAGAGCACAGATACACTGCGATGAGCAAGGCAAAGTGTCCATCTTCTCTCGACACCTGGAGCTCATGACCGACAAGTATCCCGATCTTGTCGAGCTGGTACCCAGAATCCGAGGAGAAGGTGTCGGCAGCTTCATCATGGAAGGAGAAGTTGTCGCCGTCGACCGAGAGACGGGTGCGCTCAAGAACTTCCAGGCACTGACGAATCGTGCGCGCAAGGATGTTGCCATCGATGCCATCAAGGTCGACGTCTGTCTCTTCTCGTTTGACCTCATGTATCTCAATGGCCAGCCTCTCCTGGATCGTCCCTTTAGAGAGCGGAGAGAGCTCCTGCGGTCGCTGTTCGTTGAGATCCCTCACCACTTCACTTGGGTAAAGAGCCTCGACGCCACCTCCGGGGACTCAGAAGCTGTTCTCGAATTCTTCAAGTCCGCCACGGACAGCAAGTGCGAAGGCATCATGGTCAAGATTCTCGACAACCTGCCTGCAGTGCCATATCTCGGCGACGTGGAGGACACGGGCCCGGCAGAGGCTGAGAAATTGTCAATGCCAAAGTCCAAGTCCAAGTTCAAACAAAAGCCCAAAAGCGGGGGCACCGCCGACACCGACGACAAGAAGCCCAAGTCTCGCAGGAAACCGCTGCTGGCGACGTATGAACCGGACAAACGACTCGATTCCTGGCTCAAAGTCAAGAAGGACTACAACTCGAGCTTCGATACGCTGGATCTCATTCCTGTAGCTGGGTGGCACGGGCAAGGACGCAAGGCAATGTGGTGGTCGCCCATTCTCCTGGCGGTGCGCAATGAAGAGAGCGGAAGTCTGGAGGCCATCTGCAAGTGCATGTCTGGCTTCACGGATGCGTTTTACAAGGCAAACAAGGCGTTTTACGACGAGGGCGCGGAAAGCGGGGAGTCGAAGAACACACGTTTACAAAAGCCCAGCTTCGTCGAGTATTCTGGGCCACGCCCGGACGTGTGGTTTGAGCCGCAAGAGGTCTGGGAGATGGCCTTTGCAGACATAACGCTGAGCCCGACGTACACGGCCGCGATAGGCCTCGTGAGCGACGAGCGAGGCCTGAGCTTGAGATTTCCTCGGTTCCTGAAGAAGAGAGAGGACAAGAGCATCGACGAGGCCAGCACCAGCGAATTCCTGGCGGGGCTCTGGAGGAAGCAGGAAGCAAAGGCTTCGACAGACAAGGACAGCAAGGAAGAGCCCGTGCAGGAGTATGGCGACGACGAGGACCACGAGTAGACAGAAACGGACGCATAAGAGATGCGTGCCCTCTTGAAGGCGGAAAGAGAGATTCATTTGCCCGCATTAAGTTTTTGTGCGATTAAACTGAAGACGGCGACGGATCCCATGAAGAGAACGGCATTGTAGAACTGGTAGAGATTAGCACGAGCGGGTGCTCGCCGACGGATGGGCACGCACGGCCTTTCTGGAGACGGCTCTCTCCTCGTCATCAGTCCTGGCTTCGATAAAGAGCCTGCGGAGATTTGGGAAGTTGGCCTGTTGACGAGTGTAAGTTTGATGGAGCCTGGTCGAGCAATCAGGCTCCGGGTCGGGGGTTACCATTGCGGCTCGGCTTTGTCGGGTTACTGGCCGGCCGGCAGAGTCATGAAGAGGGAGCGGTCCGGGGTCTGGACGAACAGCCTGAGCCCTATCTCCGCACTGGTAGCGAGACGTTGTTCTGATGAAGAGACGGCCGATGGTTTGTCGATGGCCTGGTTGCAGTGAGTTGCAGACATGGGGCACGTTGACTAATACCCGGTACTTTCTCCATGCGCGGATGAACACTCAGCAAGAAGTACAGTCAGGCGCAACTTGTTAGCAGATGCAGCCACGGGGCATAACTAAGGTTAGGGGTTGCCTGCCCGAAGCGCCGTCACCAGCGAGCTCCCGTCCCTTTGGCTACAACACACCATCCACGAACAAACGGCCGTCTGCTCCAACCCGCCCCTGCATCGGCTGACGCGAGGCGAGTCCCGAGCGCTGCCCTGCAACCGAGGCGCGACGAATGCCTTGTTTGCTACAGTCGAGCCCACCACCGGCTTCCACATCGCCGTCGCCGTCGCCGGGCATCGTGCTCAACCTGACCGACCCATCTCCACCCTCCCGAGACGCTCGATGGCGGTGAATCGCATCCGCGGCGCCTTTGCCGCGCCGCGCAAGGGCGAGACCTTTGAGCTACGGGCGGGCCTGGTCTCCCAGTATGCCTACGAGCGCAAGGAGTCGATCCAAAAGACAATCATGGCCATGACGCTCGGCAAGGACGTCTCTGCCCTGTTTCCCGACGTCCTCAAGAACATCGCCACGGGCGACCTCGACCAGAAGAAGCTCGTCTATCTATACCTCATGTGCGTCTAGATCTCTGGTCGCCATGAGGCGATATCGCTGACACGTGAGGCCAGGAACTACGCCAAATCGCACCCCGACCTCTGCATCCTCGCCGTCAACACCTTCGTGCAAGACTCAGAAGATCCGAACCCGCTGATACGAGCCCTGGCCATCCGCACCATGGGCTGCATCCGCGTCGACAAGATGGTCGACTACATGGAGGAGCCGCTGCGCAAGACGCTGCGGGACGAGTCACCCTACGTCCGCAAGACGGCGGCCATCTGCGTCGCCAAGCTCTTTGACCTGAACCCAACCATGTGCATAGAAAACGGCTTCCTCGAATCGCTGCAGGAGCTGATTGGGGACCCGAACCCCATGGTGGTCGCAAACTCGGTCCAGGCCCTGGCCGAAATCACCGAGACGGCCCCCGAGACGAGAGCGCTCGTCGTCACCTCGCCCACCCTCAAGAAGCTCCTCATGGCCCTCAACGAGTGCACCGAATGGGGCCGAATCACCATCCTGAGCACCCTGGCCGACTACCAGTCGCTCGACGAGAAGGAGGCCGAGCACATTTGCGAGAGGGTCGTGCCGCAGTTTCAACACGTCAACCCCGGCGTCGTCTTGGCCGCCATCAAGGTCGTTTTTATTCACATGAAGGCTGTCAACCCTGAGATGGTCAGGTCACTTCTCAAGAAGATGGCCCCTCCCCTGGGTACGTCGACACATGTTGGACATGCCGTGTGCCTTTGCTGATGACTGGACCAGTCACCCTGGTCGCCTCTGCCCCCGAGGTGCAGTACGTGGCGCTGCGAAACATTGACCTCTTGCTCCAGGCCAAGCCAGACATCCTCAGCAAGGAACTGCGCGTCTTCTTCTGCAAGTACAACGACCCGCCGTACGTCAAGCTCCAGAAACTCGAAATCATGGTGCGGATAGCAAACGAGAAGAACTACGAGCAACTTCTTGCCGAGCTGAAAGAGTACGCCCTCGAGGTGGACATGGACTTTGTGCGGAGGGCAGTCAAGGCCATTGGACAGGTGGCCATCAAGATTGAGAACGCCAGTGCAAGGTGCGTCCAGGCGCTCGAGGACCTCATCTCGACAAAGGTCAACTACGTGGTCCAGGAGGTCGTCGTCGTCATCAAGGACATTCTGCGAAAGTATCCCGGCTACGAGGGCGTCATACCGTCCCTGTGCAAGCACATTGACGAGCTGGACGAGCCAGACGCACGCGGATCTCTCATCTGGATCGTGGGCGAGTATGCGGAGAAGATTAACAATGCAGACCAGATCCTCGAGAGCTTTGTCGAGGGATTCATGGAAGAATTTACCCAGGTACTGGAGCCGAACCCTGCCCCGCGCGCTGCATCTCCCTTTCCGTCTCGTCCGCTAACAGGGAGCCAGACGCAACTCCAGATCTTGACGGCCGTCGTGAAGCTGTTCCTGAAGAAGCCTGGAAACACGCAGGGCCTTGTTCAAAAGGTGCTACAGTTCGCCACGGCCGAGAACGACAACCCAGACATCCGCGACAGAGCATATGTCTATTGGCGGCTCCTCTCGGGCGATCTGGACGTGGCCAAGGTGAGTCGGAGCATCAGACAAGACGGACAGAAGCGGATGAGCGCAAGTGCTGACGGATTCGTAGAACATCATCCTATCCCAGAAACCCACCATCTCGACCACCATGACCAGCCTGCCGCCGGCGCTGCTAGAACAGCTGCTGGCCGAACTGTCGACACTGGCGTCGGTTTATCACAAGCCCCCGGAGTCGTTTGTCGGCGCGGGCCGTTACGGAGCCGACGAGATCCAGCGGGCAGCCATCATGGAGCAGCGGCAGAACGCGGCGGAAAACCCCATCGCGGCGTCGATGGCGGTCGGGGCGGGTGCCAACGGCACGGGCGGCGGGGCTCCGCAAAGCAACGTAGAGAACCTGCTGGACATTGACTTTGACGGGGCGGCGCCGGCATCACAAGAGCAGCAGAGCGCCAGCGGGACGCCGGACCGCGTGGCCAGTCCCTCGGGCGGGCCCGCGTCGGGGGGCATGGCGGACATGATGAGCATGTTTGACGCTCCCCCACCGACAAGCGGCGGCGGCGGGCCGGCGGCAGAGGGAGGAGGGAGCGGGATGAATGACCTCATGGGCGGATTCGACGGGCTGAGCTTTGGCGGGACGCAGGCCAACCAGCCGCTGCCGGCGGCGATGCAGCTGCAAAACGCGCAAGAGGGCGGCGCGCAGGCGCCTAAAAAGGATAGCGACGACTTGTTGGGACTGCTGTAGACAGTGTTTGTATTGTTGCTCGTTTGGCTGGGAGGGCATATAGGGGGAAGGTGTTTTTGAGTCAATGGGCCACGAGGCTACATCAAATTAAAGAGTGTCGCACATGATGATACAACCAAGGTGATTTGATAAAGGCGTTGCCCTCAGGCGTTGGTGATTCGGCTCTGGCGTCCGTGGCGCCGTCTCTCCCTCCCTGATGAGAAAGATTGGAGATTCCAAGGCGCCGTCTTTCCCTCTCATGTTAACCAAGGTGCGAGACTTTAGCCATCCAGCCGTCCTTGTCCTCACATGTTGCCTTCATTCTATCGCGGCCAGCCTTGCCTCGGCCGTACTTCCTTTCCCATGTTCGCGTGACGCAGCAGTCTTGTCCTTCCATGTCTTCGATGCCAACCAACAGACTCGACCCTCCTTGCGCCCATTGACTTAAAAAGTCCCAAGGGGAGACGTAACGTAGATGGATATATAGATGCGTGTAAAAAGGCCAGACAGAAAGGGGATGATGTCACGCCCCCATGCCCTCGACGGGCTCGGCGGCCTTGTCGCGCTCCCACTCGTCCGGGGTGCGGCACTTTGCGGTCCAGGCGTGGATGGCGGCGATTTCGTCCCTGAGGGCGGCGTTGACGCGGCGGTGGCGCTTGAGGGAGTTGAGGCCGGTGAACTGGGGGGAGACGATGAGGGCGGCGAAGGCTTGGCCGCATCCGCCTGTTCCGGGTGCCCGGGGGATGAAGAGAGGGGGGCGGAGAGAGGGGAGAAGAAGAAAGAGGGGGTTCCATTCTCTCTGTTGCTCCTCCTGTTTGCTCTCGGCGGATAGGTGGTCATTCTGTGATATAGACACCCACATCCCTTTCTGGCTCCCTCTCATCCTCCCCCTCTCACTGGCTCACCCCCATCAGGCATCCCAAGTCAGCAAGCCTGAATACAGCAAGTGATGCGAGTGCGTGCTGACCCACCCGACATGTCCGTCACCTCGACGTGGACGGCGTCGAGGCGCTCCGTGATGGTCTGGCGCAGGCCGGCATCTGTGACGGCGACGTCGGCCATGCTGGGCTTCAGTCGGTGCCCAAGGTCTGGACGTTGGCTTCCGAGAATCTCCTTCGCTTTCGAGTCTGGGTGGCTGCTTGCTCTTGGCGTTGTTTGTTCCTGTTTCGAAAATTGTTCTTTTGTGTTGGCGTGACTTTGTTGCGGCAGCCGAGGAGAGGAGATGCGATTGATTAGATGCATTTAAATACAGAAAGTGTCTTAGCTGGTCCATGCTTACTTATGTCATGGCGCCGATGAGCTCATCGCAGTGGTGCTAAGGACTGAAGTCCCGCTGCGCTAACTAATCAATGCTGCCGCTCTTGGAAAAGAGCTTCTACGGGATAATATTCGCGTGAACAATTAATTGGCCGAGAAAAAAAAAAGAGGACGGAATCGAGCTTCCTTTTCCTCCTCCAGAGACATGCGGCCATCTCGACCCGGGCCCCGTCTCCGTTCTTTTTCGTCCACCGCCATCGTCACCTGTCCACGCCCCTCGCCAACGCCCCTCGCGCAGCTTCGAAACCCGCCTCCACCACTTGCCGGCAGCACCGCGCCTCGCCGCCGCTCCAGCATCCAGATCCGGAGACTCAGCTCATCCGCCGCTCGGCGCCAGCCCCAATCGCGCGTCATGGCCGCCACCGGCGCATCGGCACGAGGAGCCTGGGGCGCCTGGCAGGTCCGGCCGTCCCGGTTTACCCAGCTGGTGGCCGACTCGATGAGGAAGCTGTGCGATGCATGCTCTTGCTCTTGCCGCTACCCGTGTACTCATGCCCGTCGTTTAGGTATCCTGAAGAGCTCGCCGACCGATCGTGGGACAATGTCGGCCTCCTGGTCGGCAACGAAGAGACAGGGGACGAGAAACCAAAGGTGCTGGTGACCAATGACTTGACCTTTCAAGTCGCGGCCGACGCCATCGGCCAGGGAGCCAGCGTCATTGTCAGCTATCGTGCGTACAAGAAACCTCCTTCTTCCGTGTCACCTCTTGCTGACTTGTCCCCAAGACCCCTTCATCTTCTCCGGCCTCAAGTCCATCACGCACAAGGACCCTCAGCAAGCCACCCTCCTGCGCCTGGCCCAGGCCGGCATCGCCGTCTACTGCCCGCACACGGCCGTCGACGCCGCGCCCGCCGGCCTCAACACTTGGCTCGCCGACATCGTCTCGGGCCCCCACCGCTCCGCCCGCTCCGTCGCCGTCCCCTGCGCCCCCGCCGCCAAGGTCCCCGACTCGCACTCGCCCGCCGGCTACGGCGCCGTCGGCCACTTTGACCAGGCCGTGCCCCTGCCCGAGATCCTGCGCCGCCTCGCACGGGGCCTCGGCGGCCTGCGCCACGTCATGGTCGCCCGCCCCGTCGGCGCCGACGTGCGCGCCACGACGGTTCGCAGCTTCGCCGTGTGCGCCGGCAGTGGCTACGACGTGCTCAAGGGCGCCGACGTGGACCTCTTGGTGATGGGCGAGACCAGCCACCACTCGGCCCTGAGGGCGGTTCAGCAGGGCAGGACGCTCGTCCAGGTCTTTCACAGCAACTCAGAGAGAGCCTACCTCCACGACGTACTGCGGCCCCGCCTGCAGGAGCTGCTGAGAGAGACCGTGCCAGAGGCAGAGGTGGTCTTGAGCGAGCACGATCAAGATCCCTTTACGATTCTCGACGTGGGCGAATTGGACTGAGAAAGCGAGCACAGAAAACAAGGACACGGCCGTAATGTAGAGTAACGGAGGCGTCGGCATAGTCAGGGGGCGTGCGCGACGAAAACAGCCTCGAGAACTTGTTCGGCTTCCATTTCTACCGTCCTCTCGCGCTGCCGTCACCGGTTCGCATCCCTCGACGTCCTCTCCGACCCAGGCTCGCTCGTCGTCGGCCCAAACACGGCGTCTCCCTCGTCGATGCAAGCTTGAACGTCGTCGCCGCCCACGCCCCTGTCCATCCACGACACCAGCAGCCTTCGCGGCAGCTCCCACTGTCTCGACGCCTCGTCCGTCTTGCCCTGCCGCACCAGCTCGCGTAGCCGCTGCGGCGTCGCGAGCGCCTCGGCTGCAAGCTGTCTCGTCTTGCGTCTCCGTGCCTGTGCCTCTCTTGCTCTCCACTCGTCCGAGTCGGGTGCCGGCACTGTCTCGCGCGTCGCTTGCCGTATGGACGACGCTTGCCTGTATATTTGCGCAATGGCGGGGTCGAGGGTTGATGCCAGGGGTTTTAGAGGATCCATGTTGGCGCGCATCTGGGGACGAGGTTGCGTTAGCCCACCTGTCCTGCTCAAGGACTCTCTCAGCGATCAATTGGGACTTGAAGGGCAGTAGGGGCATGGGATATCGGAAGACACCTGGGCTAGATCAAGCAGCGACGCACCTTTCGTATCGTCTCGGTCGCTGTGATGAGCTTGCTATAGTTGTCGTAGACCAGGGCCTTCTTCTCGGCATCAAGTGCCCTGACCTCGCCCACAACTCGGGCATAGAGACGCAACAGATCCTCGAGGCTGCAACGCGCCACCAAGTCCTCAACATAGGCGACCGAGTCAAAGTCCGGGGCATCGAGGTCGCTAGCCGGCACCTCGGAGTCGGGAACCTCGATGCGCGGCAGCGCCGGCGGCGGCGGAGAGCGCAGCTTGTAGTACTCGCGGAGGGCGGCGCGGTTGGAGCGGCGCGGGGGACCACCGGCGGCCGCGGCACCGGCGGCGGGTGGAGGCTGTTGCGCATGGGGAGACTGCTGCCGCTGCGACGAGGACCATGGCGGCGCGTTGTCGACGGGGGATGCCACGCCGGAGCGGACGAGGTCGAGGGACGGACGGCTGGGCGGCGGCGAGGTGGGCGTGCTGGAGGGGCGGCGGAGGGGCGGCGGGTCGCGGGGGGAGGCAATCGTCGACATGGCCCCGGGGTCGAGGTGTGTTCGTGGGGGCGGAGGGAGGTCGGAAGGGAGTTGGGCGAGGAGGACGGCGTTGGAGCACGGAGGAGAGCTGGTTGAGGAGTGCGATGGCGGGTTTGCGCGATGAGGTTTTCAATGCTGCCTGGCGTATCAAAGAGGTGAAGCCGATGGCGCTCTTTCGGGAAGCGTCAATTTGCAAGATGATGGTGATGCAGAGGACGAAGCCTCGTGGCGGCAAGGGGGCGAGGCTGAGGCAAGCTGGCCCGCTGACGGGCGCTGCAGCACAGCACGGTAGCGGGCCGCAGCAGGGGCCCACAGAAGGCAGCTACAGGGGGTCCCCTTAGCCTTGCAGGCTTCCGCCAATGTCCGTCAAGAAGCACTACCTCGCCCACGCGGCCGAGCCTCGGCATCTCCAGTCCGTGGCTTCTCCGTACCGCGACCAACATCTCCGCTTCTTCACCTCTCCAACTTGTCGACGCTGCACACACACACACACACACACACACACACACACCCGTCCACCACCAGGCCGGTAGCCTCCAGGGGGAAATCGGGGGGAGGGGAAAGGTGCAGTTCCAAACACGCCAGGGCGAATTGATGATCAAAAAAAAGGGAGAAAGAAAGGCGCCGATGGACCTCATCCCCCAGCTCCGCGCCTCGCTGCTCGCAAACTCGCTCCCCGCGCCCTCGACCGCCTTCCTCACCACCCTGGTCGCCTCGCGCTCCCCGCCGCCGCCGCTGCCGTCGCTGCTCGCCACCGCAAAAGCGCGCCTGCTGGCCTGCGACCTGGCCTCGCCCTCGTCCGCGGCGCTGCTCGACCCGTCCCTGCTGCCCGCCCTGCCCGCCGACGCCGCCGACGCCGCCGCCGCAAGCACGAAGCTGCCCCGCGACGTCCACGTCCAGGTCCTCGACGTCGAGAACCTCAGCCTTGCGCGCTGGGACCAGATCGAGCAGCTCGAGGCCGTGGCCCGCGGCGAGCGCTCCCGCGGGCGCCAGGTTGTTCGTGTCGCCGCCGACGCCGACGACGACGACGATGGCGCCAATGGTATCCGCGACGCCGCCCATGACGCTGCAATGACCGAAGGCGATGGCCCGCCGCCCCAGCGCGCTGCCGCCGCCGCGGGGGCCGGGGCAGGTGCAGGACCTTACGCAACCCACCGGCTCGTCCTGCAGGACTGCCAGGGCAGCCGCGTCTACGCCATCGAGCTCCGCCGCATCGACCGCATCGGCGTCGGCAAGACAACCATTGGCGAGAAGATGCTCCTCCGCGCCGGCACCGTCGTCGCCCGCGGCATCGTCCTGCTCACCCCGGAGACGTGCCTGCCCCTGGGCGGCAGGGTGGAGGCTTGGCACGAAGCCTGGGCCGAGGGTCGCTTACAGCGGCTCAACGAGGCCGTGGGCGGTCATCGCCCGCGGTGAGGTTTCGAGACGCATTTGTTGTGGCCCGCCGTGTTTCGCCAACTATTCTCCCTTGTTTTTTTCTGCTCAAGAAATGATACCCAGTCCTGCCTCTTTTTTCTTCTTCCTTTATCGCGTTCGATGTTCATTCAAATACCATCCTAGCTAGCTCCCGCTGTTGTCCCTTCGTGAAATATATCAAGGATGCACAGCGGAACGTCAATGGACTCGCATCGCCCTCCACCATCTAGACAGCTTCCGTTGCGACCCGGAGCGCCTCCCATCCCGCCTTCTCCCAGGGCGCGAGGAGCGCCGCCTTTTGTGCATCGGCCACCATGCCCGTCCCGGCGTGCGCGTGCGCAATGTGCTGTGCCTCCAGGGATCCCCTTGGCGGCAGCCCGCGGGCGGCCACCTTGAGCGCCATCTGCGCCGCGTGGCCGTCGCCCGTCGCCTCGGCCAGCGAACTCCAACCGTGGGGCAGATGGGGATGGAGCATAATGTCCTCCTGCACCTGCGTCAACACGTCCTGCTTCGTGTGCCCCTCGCCCATGCCGGCAATGGCTCGGAGCACTGCGCCTATCTGCCACTGCTCCGTCACCGTCACCTTGTCGCTCGCCCGCAGCCCGTGCAGCTCCTCCACCACCGCCTCCAGGCTGCTCCCGTCCTGGTCCAGAAGCGCCACGACGCCCAGTAGCAGCACGCTCTGCACATGTTCCGGCTGCTTTTCGATGACTCCGTATAGAGTCGCCCGTGCTCTCTCTCGCGCCGCCTCTGATCCTTGCGCCCACAAGACCTGCGCCAAGAGGCAGGCTGCGTCTGGGTTGTCGCCCGATTCCTCGAGCGCCGCTTCAAACCGCTTCTCTGCCTCTGCAAACTCGTCAAGGTGGAATTGACCCAGGCCCACAGTCAGGTGCGCCGAGAGCCTGGCCTTCTTCCTCTGCTCACTCGTCAACTCGCCCTCCGTCTCATCGCCGCTAAGCCCCAGGGCCATCTCGCCACACTCCACGGCTTGCTGGTACGAGCCCGTAGCCAGATACGCCCTGGCCAGGTCCGTTTTGGCTAGCGTGAACCTCGAGAGGCTATCTGCCGACTCCGTCGTCTCGTACTCGGCCTCGATGACGCTACATATATTTTCCAGACTCTGCAAAGCTCGCGACCTGTCACCGGTCCGTTCCTGGAATAGTGTCGATAGGTGGACAAAGGCGAGATCCTGGGGTCGCAGACTTCGCACCTGGCCCAGCGCGAAGAGCGGCTGGATAAGTGACGCTGCGATCATACCCGGCGGAGCGCTCAAGGTGTGGTCGAACACGGATGCGGAATAATGCTGACGGCTTAGCAACGACGAGGAATCTGCAATGTCCATGGCGTGCATGAAGAGCCCTCGGGCCTCCTTGGCATCGCCGAGCAGCAGCGCGACAAACGCTTGCCCCAGCCATGCGTGTGCGTAGTCTGGATCTGCCGACTGCGCTCGCGTGTACGCTTCGTTGGCGAGCTTCATGTCCCCCGACAGCAGCGCCAGAGTTCCCAGGTTGGTCCACCCCACGGGGCTGCGCTCGTTCAGGTGCAGGCTTCTGGCGAACGCGTGTTGCGATACGGGCGGGTTGATCTCGCTCGTCACCACGCCCAACGCGTTCCAGAATTCCGAATTGCCGCTCTCCAGCTCAATGGATCGCTTGAAGGCCCGCACCGATGCCTTGAGATAGCTGCTCGACTTTTTGCGCAGATGTGAGGGGAGACAGGCGTGAGCCCGGAACTCAGCCCATCCCAGGTTGTAGTGAGCCACGGCTCGTGCATGCACGTCGCCGGACGAAACATATATCGCCTGCTTATGGCACAGAATTGTCGCATGCACGCATCTCGTGAGGTCCACCCCCGTCTGCTCATCGTTGGCGTATATGCCCTTTGCGTAGACGACGTCGGTGCCGACCTTGTCGACACTCGTGAGCAGGTCGAATGCCTGCTGGTCGCTGCTGTGCAACAATTCTTTGATGGCCTGGGTGGGAAAGTCGGCCAAGCGGCTTTGGACTGATGAAAAGATGGAGCACGCGTCGGCGATGCTCTTCCAAAAGTTGAACGTCTCCCGAACGTGTCCGCTCGTGGTGGCGGCAAAATCAACCGTGTCGATGGCTAGCTGTACGGCCTTTCCAAACAGACCCTTTTCCACGCTCGCAAGACCGCTTTCCACCATTGTTTGCATGAGCGCAATGACAACGCCCTCCTCCCCTGCATGCGTTTCCAAGACCGACTGGTACAGGGCGATGGACTCGTCAAACTCGCACAGCTCGCGTCGAATGTTGGCAAGCATGTACTTGGTGAACCACGAGTCCTCCAAGACATCTCCTTGGGCGCCTGGCTCCAGACTCTGCGCTTGTAGGATGGCCTTGGTCGCAGCGATATATCGTCCAGAGCTATGGTAGCTCTCCCCCAACCCAACCCACGAGTGATAGTCGTTGGGCGAGAGTCTCAAGGCCGACTGGAAAGAGACGATGGCCTTGTGAAACTCCTGCTTGTTTAATTCAGCAACACCCAGTGCGGAGAACGGCCAGCTGATTCCCTTTCTTTTGGACCCTGGCGGGGGCTTCACTTTGCCAGAGTCGACCACCCGCCGCGCCACCAGCTCGACACGATCCCAGTCCGCGTCCTCGGCAAAAGACCGAGCCAGCCGTTCGGCGGCGACAACTTCCGCAGAGGAGAGCTCTAGCGCCTTCTGGAAACAGCGGCGTGCCCTCTTCCGGTCTTTGGCGTAGTCGCTGTAGAAGATACCGAGGCTGGTATACGTCGGGGCGTGGTTCAGGTTGTTGTTGAGCGCAGCCAGCCAGTATGCATATGCACTCTCGCCCTTGCGTTGCTTTCTCGCTTGCCGGCTCGTGTCCAGGTTCCAGACGCAGCATCCGACGCGGTACTGGGTGTCTGCGAGCAGGTCCTTGTCGACGGCGTCTTGCTGCTCGAGCGGTTTGATACAGGTCAAGAGTTCATCCCTGGCCATCGGCCAGTCCCCCTTCAGGGCCTTGACCCAAGCCGCCTCCGACTTGATGCGGAGGTTGGAGGTGTCCCTCTCGAGGGCCCGGCCGAGGAAATCGATGGCCTGGTCGAATTCTTGCTCCTCCTCAAAGATCAACCCGACACCAATCAGTGCCGAGGTGCAAGTCTCATCACGCTCGAGAACGCCATCAAACATGGCTTTTGCCTCTTGGTGGTGCCGTGGAGACTGGTAGTAGACCAGGGCCGTGGCAAGACACACCGAATAGGCATCTTGCGTGTTCTGAAATTGCAACCCGATCCTTGCGCGCTCCCTCGTCACGAACTGCTGCGCCTTGCGCATGAACTCGACAGTGCTCTCGTACTCGCCCAGCTGCAGAAAGTAATGGCCGACGAGCCGGTACGCCAGAGTTGATTCCATGGTGCTCATGCCCTCGGTGATCATGATCAGGCGGTCCTCGTCGGTCAGCGGCACGAAAGATGTAGGGGCGCCACCGTCTTCGTCATCGTCCTCGCTGTCGTCTGACGCCACCGCCGTGGCCTCCTGAGACTCGACCTTTTTCGCAGCAGGAAAGGGCGAAAAGGTGGCGGTCAAATATGCCGTGATGACCTTGTATAGATCACTATCTGGAAAGAAGGAGCAGTAACTCCGCAGCAAGTCGGCGTCCCAGTCCACAATTTCCTTGTTGTCTTGCCAGTTGACAGCAATGTCCCAGGCAAGTTTGAAAGGGTGTTTGATGATGACCATATCCTTGGCCAGGCCGAACACGGCAGCCTGCTGCTCTGGCTTGGCTGCCGGTGGCGCGACGAGAAGGCGGTCGTAGCAGTACTGAAGCAGCTTCTCTTCGTAGAGCCGCCTCAGGTCATCGTCGCTGGTCCAGTCAATGAGACGGCGATAGATGTACTCGAGTTTGCTCTGGCCATAGACTTCGCGCTTGACCTCTACGGTGACGTCGCTGAGTTTGGCACCAAGTCGAGTGCGTCGCTCGCCGATGAGAGTGTTTATGCGCTTCTTCTCAAACTCTTGGAGGATGTGCGCGATGGTTTCGTAGGTCCTCGCCGGCTTGGGAAATCGGCCCTCCAAGATGGGGTACAGAGGGCTCTCTGGGAGCTGAATCCATAGGGCATCCGCGTACTGCAGCTGGTCACCATGCACCCTGGCAAAGTCGACAAACTTGTCCACGACGTCTTGGCATTTGTACATGTCGTCTGCATCGTGAAAGATGCGGGCCAGGCTGACCACGGCGCGCTGGTAATTGGCCAGCTTGTTAGTGCCTTGCCTCTCGTGCAGCTTGATGAGTCCCTGGAACGCTGGCGCATCCTGGGGCCGAAGCGACGTGGCTGCTAGGTAAGCCTTTTCTGCCTCTTCCGGCTTGTTCTTTTGGTCCAGCGCAAAGGCCAGGAAGATGTGCCTGGTGGACTCAGCATTTCATGTCCGAATTCATGTGCTTCTGTGCGCACTCACCCTTGGTAGCTCTTTGGCTCCTTGCGTAGAAGCTCCTGGGCCTTGACTATGGCTTCGTCAAAGTCTTGCTGCCGAATGGCATCGTTGATGGACTTGAGCATTGCCTTGAGGTTCGACATGATGCCGGCGCTTCGGTTCTGCCCTCTTAAAGACTCTTCAAGAGAAGGTTTCTACTGTAGTTCAAGTTTCGAAAGGTTTCTCGTCATGACGGATGCTTTGGGAGCTTCGATTTCGGGAGCCGCGGTCATCGTTTGCTCCGTGGTGAGGTTCGTGATGAGCTCTAGTGGGTTGGCATGACTCCCTCCCTAGGTACCGGTACCCCGTACCTACCCATGTTATTCACTAGGTACCTAAGTAGCTGATGACAGATTTACTGTTAGCCGGGGATACCCCGCCGTCGAGGTCACATGTCGCGACCACTGGCTGTCGCCTCCTCCCCGACTGCTGGGCATTTGACTAGCTAAATACCCTTGTAATCAGACCGAATTGAACTTTACTGAAGCCATGGTGCATCTCGTGGCGCATAATTCTACCGGCTACGTCGCTCAACGGCCGCTCCCTGCAAGCCCAGGCAGCAATGAGGGCTGGCAGCCTCATTGTCGAAGAGCATTACTAGTCTATCTGGGCAACGGCTCGGTAGGCAGGGGCAGCAGTCGGGCAAGCTGTCAATCAAGCAGCCAGTCGAACAACCGGTCAGCCAGTCGAGCAGTCAAGTGGGCAGCCAGTCGAGAAATCAATCGAGCTCCTGCTGACAGCCTGACAATACCGTAACACTCTTGTCGAATCCCCGCACGGCAATGATTGCGAAGCAACTCCCAAGGTTGTACGGTCCAAGCCCGCCATCCAACGGGATGCGTCATTTCATGACTTGGTCAGACCTAAATCGAGTGTGAGATGATGCCGGAGCGGCAACACACTTCAGCACGGATCCAAAACACCCGACGCGTCTTCGCATTCATGGCGACCTGAATAAGGAGCCAAGTGCACTGGACACAGCCTGGCTCAGCTGAAGTAGGGGGCCACGATGGCTTGAGCTGTGCACCAGGAACCGCATTGTGCGACGTGAGCCGAAGCGCGGCGTCCAATGGCATTGCTACTAAATACTAGGCCAAGGAAACAAATGACGAGCAACGCACTGGGCAGACTCGAACATGACGTTGACTCAAGGTAAGTAGACAATGCCTTGTCCTAGGCCGCCCAAATGCGAGACGGCTGCATCTACTTTTGGTGCCCAGGACTCTCAATAGTGCAACAACAGGGGTGTCGGGTGTCATGTGCCAATAACGACGAGCGTTGGTGCCTGTTGGTGGCTTTTGCCTTGCGGCTACGGAGTACCGTTCGCCTCGTCCAGACCCCGGCGCGGGTCGCCTGACATTGGCCATGCTCGTCTCTTGCTCGCAAACGCCATGCTCAGCCTCCACATTTGGCTATGTTTGTGATGCGACGGCCTGTTGTACTGAGCTGGTGGGCGTCCTCAGCTACACTTGGCTCCGAGGTCTAGAGCCCCTGATGGGATACGGTGCCTTCTCGTGGCGCCCGCAAGTACTTGCTACGTGTTGGCTGGGCCCATGTCACAGCTCGGCAGAGTCCTAGTCTGCTCGTATACAGCGTTCCAGGCGCTTGATGCTGTCAAGTCGGGCGAGCCCGAACTTCTCCCACCGTCACTCTACTCCCCTCCGGCTTCCTCGCTTGTTCCCAGTGCTTCCCACGGCAGTCACCTCCTTGAATCCATCACGGCTATACCGATGAGCCGCAAGACATTTTCTCACGAGAACCATGAAAAGTTCGCGGCGCAAGTGCGCAACAGGACAACCAATGATGGCGCCGTCATCGAGAATGCTCTGGGTATGATGCTATCCCCTCATGACCATGGCGGAAGCTGACGCAAGAGCATACGCAGCACACATGACGGATTCCGAACTAGAAGAGGACGTGAGACAGTTTGCCGAGTCTCACTTACGGTCTGTCCCGTACGAAACCATTCTGCGCGCCGCGAGGGTGGCCAAAGACAAACGCATATACGACGAGGTTGCGGCGAGGCCGCGTTTCAACGTGAGAGGCCGTCTGCCCGTCCACCTCACCCCCGAGGAGAGGGACGCTCTGTGCAGGGAGAAGAATGTTACGTTTAGCGAAAAGGGCATGCGCATCGTCATTGCCACCGTCTCTCTGGCAGCTCTTTTGCAAGGTGAGCTTCCCCGGTTACATCGTCGTCCTGGTCCAAGCCCTGACTCGTCTGTTTCCCCAGGCTTCGTCCAATCTTCCTTCAACGGGGCGTCTCTGTATGCGGGCCAGTGGGGTTTGACGTTGCCGGACAAGGAAAAAGACATCACCGGCGATGTCTGGCGTCTCGGGGCCGCCAACTCGTCGCCATGGTTCTTCGCCGCCCTGGTGGGCTGTCCTCTCTCGCTGCCCATCAACTATTGGTTCGGCAGACGGGGCGCAATAACCACGGCGGCCTTTCTGATCCTAGCAAGTTCGATCGGCGCGATATTCGCAACCAACTGGGTGCAGCTGCTTTGCGTCAGAATCGTCAACGGCCTAGGTTCGTCTATCACGCCTCTTGGGCTGGAGCCCTTGTTAACAACCACCCCTAGGCATGGGCATCAAAGCTGTTAGCACCCCCATCCTCGCTTCAGAGACCGCTGTGGGCTACTGGCGCGGCTCAGCCATTCTCGCCTGGCAGCTCTGGTATGTGCACAAACAACATCCCAGAATGGCTGTACGCGGGCCTGACAAGCGAAAGGGTTGCTTTTGGCATCATGCTGGGCTTTTCTTTCAACATGATTTACACCAACGCCAGTTCTCCCCGAACGACTCTCGCCCTGATCCAGGGCGCGCCTCTGGTCCCGAGCCTGGCCCTTCTTATCCTCGCCCGCTTCTGCCCAGAGTCCCCTCGCTATCACCTTATGAAGGGGCCAAACTACAGCGTCGAGGAAGCGTACCGAGTTTTGCTACACGTCCGGAACACCCAGGTGTGTCCTCCCTGCAGCATGTCCCTTTGGACCTGCGTGCTTCCATTTCCTGTCTCAATGTCTAACGCCGTGTCAACCCAGTTGCAAGCTTTACGAGATTTGTACCTTGTCCACAAGGCGCTCGAACAGGAGCGAGTTGGCATCAGCGACTGGGATCCACAAAACGCCGCCTTGTCCCCGGGCTTTGTATGGGTTACTCGCGACTTTTTCACACAGTTTAAGCAGCTGTTCCAGCAGCGGCGGCTGTACAATGCGCTGATTTCGGCTTCGACAGTCAATCTAGCGCAACAGCTCTGTGGAGGTGGGCTTCCATCCTCTCATGATCACCACGGGGCGTACATATTGGCTAACTTTGCGGCTCGCAGTCAATGTTCTCGCGTTTTACTCTGGTTGGTCGCTTTCCTCGGCAGCTTCATCATGACGCACGCGCTGACGGACAGGCAGGCAACATTTTCAATCCCGAAAACAAGCATACGCTGGAAGCAATGGCCTATAGCCTTGGCTTCGGTTTGTCACCCTCCTAGTAGCAAGCACTCGCCAAAACTGACCATGAGTAGGCGCCATCAACTTTCTGTTTGCATTGCCGGCCATCAAGAGCATAGACACACTAGGGCGAAGAAAGTGGCTGCTCACTACTTTGCCCTTTATGTCGTTGTTCATGCTGGGAGCGGGGCTGGCAGGACTCGTCAATGACGCTGGGAAGCGAAGAGGGCTAACGGCCTTGTTCTTTTACCGTGAGTCGCGGGTGCCCTTTCATCTGCGCCGCGAGTTCTAATGCAGTTGGAAGTGTTCGCCGTCGCCTACTCGCCTGGCTTGGGCCCTATACCATTCACGCTTGCCTCGGAAAGCTTTCCCTTGTCGCACCGCGAAGCCGTACGTCCTATTTTATTATGGACTGGGTGGCAAATACACTAAACATTTGCAGGGAACCGCGTGTGCAATCTCAACCAACTTGTTTTTCGCGGGCCTGCTCTCCATCTTCTACCCGAGGTGGGTACCGAATCAGTCATCCTGAGCCGCTTGTGCCCCTTGACTGACAGTCCACGCAGCATCGATGGGGCTCTCGGTCAGGTCGGGTCGCTGGGGCTTTTCAGCGGACTCAACATCGTGGCCCTGGCCCTGGTGTTCCTGTTTGTCGAAGAAACAAAGAGACGAAGCCTGGAAGAGCTCGACCACATCTTCGCCGTGTCGAAGCGAAAGTTTATGCGCTTTCAAATCACGGAGCACCTGCCGTGGCTGATGAGACGCTACTTGTTTGGCGCTCAGTACCCACGGCCGGAGCTGTACAGAGATTTGATTTGGGGGCCGGCGGACGAGGAAGAGCTTTCATCGCAGCTGGATATAATGAGTTACATGGGGAGACAAGATCAAGCGTCGCCGACTGCAATGAAGAGTGAGAGGGGCGGGGCGGGCCGGGGCCAATACGCCGTCGAGATTGACGACGGCCACTCGCGTTATCCGCCTCCACGAGTCCCGTTTGCAAGGGATTGGTCGTAATCTGGGCATGAAGGAAGGAGTCGCTCTGGCTCTCACAGCGAAGGCAGCCTTATCGCCGCCCATCTGCAGTCTGAGCTTTATGAGGTGGTAGGCTCGGGACAAGAAAGTGTCCGTCCCCACTGTTTTAACAAAGTCGTCTCCCTGAAGCTATCGCCGCACCTTTGTGGACCGCGCCCCTAGCGGGACGTGGGGAGAGCAAGGGAGTCGACGTCATACAAGCAGGCCCCGTCATGGGCCGACTCTAATGCATGTATTAATTACATATGTGACGGGCCTGGGTTTCGCAAGGCTCGAAGGAGATGTAGTTCTGTCGACGAGCGAGCTTCGGTTCGTTGAAAGGAGCAGGAGGAGTTGACAGTTTGGCGCAGTCCCGTGGTTGACAGTTAAGATTTCATCGCGGGACTGCAGGTCACCTGTCATGTCATCGGGAGGGCTCGCGTGACGAAGAGGGCCGTGACGAAACACAAAAGTGACAAGAATTGTAGTCTTGCACCATTCTGGACTTCATTTCTTTTACGGGTGATTTCTTCATCTCCCTGTCTTAATTGTCATACATGCGATTTCGGATTTAAAACCATCACTCTTAGCGCTTCGACCCTCGGCAAAGAACCAGCTGGGACCTGGAAGCTATCGGGTACCATCAATGGAAAGTACTGTACGCACTGCACTGCATAGTAATACCTGCCAGCACTGCTTAGTGGCTCGCGTAGTGCCGGGGGGCGCCTGTGCGCGCCGGACATAAGCTGTCCAGTCCCACCAACCAAGTCTCCAGGAGCCTCCTCTCCTTGTCATCTCCCTGCCTTTGCATCCCCTTTCACTCACCCGCCTCCATTTTCCACGAGCACGCTCGGCCGGCCGCACGGAGACGATGGCTTCCTTTCGCTTGGAAATCGAGGATGGCCAGTTCCGTGACCGCCACGGCCGGCAGGTCGTCCTCCGCGGCATCAACATGGCCGGCGACTCCAAGCTCCCGAGCGAGCCCAACCAGCCGTCGCACGTCGTCGACGACTTCTTCGACGGCGACAGCGTCACCTTTCACCAGCGTCCCTTCTCCAAGGAGGATGCGCCCACTCATTTCGCCAGGATAAAGCGCTATGGCTTCAACACGGTTCGCTACATATTCACCTGGGAGGCAATCGAGGCCGCCGGCCCCGGCAAGTACGACGAGACCTTCATCCAGCACACCATCGATATTCTGAGGATAGCAAAGTCGTATGGGCTCTATGTTTTCATGGACCCTCACCAGGACGTCTGGTCGCGCTTCACCGGCGGCTCCGGCGCCCCCATGTGGACCATCTATGCCTGCGGCCTGAACCCCGAAAGCTTCGTTGCCACCGAGGCCGCCCTTGTCCACAACACCTGGGCTGAGCCCGACAAGTTCCCCAAGATGATCTGGGCCACAAACTACTTTCGCCTCGCCGCCGGCACCATCTTCACCCTCTTCTTCGCCGGCAAGGACTTTGCCCCAAAGTGCGTCATCGACGGCGTCAACATCCAAGACTACCTGCAAGGCCATTTTGTCAATGCCTGCGCCCATCTCGCCAGGCGCATACACGAGGCCGGCGACCTCGAGGAACAGGTCGTCGTGGGCTGGGAGAGCCTCAACGAGCCCAACAAGGGCATGGTTGGCTACGCTGACCTGGCCGTCATCCCCAAGGAGCATCCCCTGAAGAAAGGAACCTGCCCGACCATGTGGCAGACCTTCTTGACGGGAATGGGGCGCGCCTGCGAGGTTGACACCTGGGATATGGGCGGCCTGGGGCCCTACAAGACGGGAACGACTCTGGTTGATCCCCGGGGCGAGGTGGCCTGGCTGCCGAAAGACTACGACGACTCCAAGTACGGCTGGAAACGAGACCCAAACTGGAAACTGGGCGAGTGCATCTGGGCCCAGCACGGCGTGTGGGACCCTTCCACCGACACACTCCTGAAGAAGGACTACTTCCACAAGAAGCCCGCCACCGGCAAAACGCTAGACTATCCCGAGTTCACCAACACGTACTTTATGGACTTCTGGAGAAAATATAGTCGGGCTTGCCGGAGCCAGCACAAGAACTGCATCATGCTGCTGCAGTATCCGACGCTGGAGCTGCCGCCCCTGATCAAGGGAACCGAGGACGACGACCCGAGGATGGCGTTTACGCCTCACTTTTACGACGGCATCACGTTGATGACGAAGCACTGGAACAGCACCTGGAACGTCGATGTCATCGGGGTGCTCCGAGGGAAGTATCTCCACCCCGTCTTTGCCATCAAGCTCGGCGAAACGGCGATTCGCAATTGCCTCAAAGAACAGCTGGCAACTCTGCGGCAAGAGGGGCTGGATCGCACCGGTAAACACCCATGTATCCTGACAGAGTTTGGCATCCCCTATGACATGGACGACAAGAAGGCATATAAGACGGGCGACTACTCGAGCCAGTCGGCGGCCCTTGATGCCAACTACTTTGGCGTCGAGGGCTCGCAGATAGAGGGGCATTGCCTGTGGCTCTACTGCGCGACCAATGACCACGAACGAGGCGACCAGTGGGATGGCGAAGACTTGTCTATTTTCTCTCTCGACGACAAAGTGCCACCTCAGTCTCCCCTTCCCAAGATCACTCTGCCCAACCAGTCGGCGACCAGCCTCCTGCGTCTCTCTGCCATGAACAGGGAGGGGGGCGACGACGAAACCGTGACGCCCGGCAACCTTCAGCGCACCCTCACGAACCCGTCCATCAGCTCTAGCATGTCGGCCAAGGACCCCGAATTGACAAACGCGCCTGGCTACCGTGCGGCCGAGGCCTTTATCCGACCGACACCGACGGTGGTGGCCGGAGACGTCATCACGAGCGGCTTTGATCTGCGGCGATGTACCTACAGTCTCAAGGTCAAGGCCCCCAAGGCAGCGACGGACGAGGTGCCCACCATTGTGTTCCTGCCCGAGTTTCACTTCCCCAAAGACCAGTGCGAGGTGACGGTGTCGTCTGGCAAGTGGGAGATTAGCTCAGACGAAGACGAGGGCCCTTGGCTGCAGAGGCTGCGGTGGTGGCATGCGGCTGGTGAGCAGAGTCTGACGGTGCGAGGGACAGTCAGGCAACATAACGCTCTGCAGGGGTCGGCCGAAGAAGCGGGCTACCTGGAGCAGTGCCAGCAGGGCTACGGGTTCAACATTGGAAGCTGTGTTGTCATGTAACCAGAGGGTCGTTTGAGATTCTGAAGGACGCGGACAGGTTTGCTTGAAGAAACGCCGCTGGTTGGAGTTGGCAATGGGCGGGAGTCTTGGTTGTTGGATTGGGTCAAGGCGTTGGCGCGACGCTCGTGGGCATGCATCAGTTATCTGAGGCGATGGGATATGGTGGGAACAGGGCACTCTTTGTCCGCATCAGTTGTTTTGTTTTCTTGTCTGCATTCACACCCTTTCTTCGGAGAGAGCTTGGGCGGGTCGCTAGAGCTAGAGCGGGGGCTGGATGAGCCAAAGGTGCAAACAGGCAGGCTTGGAGATCACAGCGGTTGCAAATCTAACCGAGGCTCGGTTGCGCAGACTAGATATCTTTGCAGCTGGTTATCAACACGAAATAGAGCGATGAATTTTTTATGCTAAACTGTTTATAACGGCGCGGGACAATGATGCGACTGATGATGCGGGGACGGTGTTTCGATCCAAGAGACTTGTTAAAGACTGTGGCAGCAAGAAGAGAGAGAGAGAGAGAGAGGTCAGCTGGGGGCACAGAGTTGGCCTGGCCGTTGGCACGGAACTTGGCCGTGCCGGTACAGCGTCCGTCAGGGCGTGTAATCAGCCAATGGGAAGCAACCTCTGCCGAAGTGAGTCTCGGTCGTGTCTTTTTTTCCTTTTCCCAATCCTTCTTTGCTTTTCCTTGTCTCTTTGAGGCGGGGCTGGGGATGCTGTAAAAGCCTCTCTGCAGTCGAATGCAGCTTGAAGGGGACTTGGCTGGTTGAGATTGGCTGCGAGAGGATGCAAGTTGTGTCCAAGAGGTGAAGAGGGTTATTTCCGTAGATGTCTGTAAGAACCCACCCCCGGATACGGACATACGGGGCCGCTTATTAACACAGACCGCTTCGGCGAGCCAAACAAGCAATTTCCCTCCGACTCGGCGGGGACCATTGACTGATGGCCATGGATGCTTGATGCAACCAGCAACAGGGACGACGGCCTCATTCTTATCCGCTGCGACAGGAAGACGAGGTCGCGCTCACGGCTCGCGGCCCAATCGCTCCCCTCGCCGCTCCTCAGCTTCTCTCTGACACCCTCCTCGTCGTCTTCGTCTTCCCCTCTCTCTCACCCGCTCTCGCGCCTTGTCTACCACCGGCCTTTGCCCATGGGACGACAACGCATTTGCCCCCGCACCGGCGTCCTCGTCTGAGCAGCCGGCGTCGACGGCAGACGACATTCCCGGCAGTCCGCACCCCGGCCGGGCAGCTTACCGGACCGGGCTTCGGCCAGACTGCAGAGCGCGCGCCCTCTCCCGAAGCTGAGCCAGCCTGGACGGGTCTCCTTGTCCCGGGCAACGGCTGTCACCTGGCCAGCGATTGCTCTCAGGGCCATCCATCCAGCTCTGGACTCGACCGTCTACGCGGCGGCTGGCCTTGGGTCAATCGCCGACAATCATCCATCATGTATCAGGGCGGCCAGAGACATGTCTCGGCCAACGATGGCACCCGAGCCTTTCCTCCTCCGCCTCCCATCTCGCCGCCCATGGCCGGAACTCCCATGAACAACATCATGGGCATCCCCCCGCCGCCTCCCCCGAGATACCCCTCCGCCGCCTCCGCAAACGTCATCCCGCCTCCTCCCGGTCCTCCCCCCGGACCTCCTCTCGCCAGCGCCGCCGCCCTTGGTCAGCCGCCGTCGTGGCGCGGCAACTACGGACGCATGTACGAGACACACGGCCCTCTCTCTCTGCCGCTGCCGCATCCTTCCAGCCAGCACCAGCCCTACAACCCCAATAAGTTCCACGCCCACATGGCCGCCGGTCAGTCCTTCGCCATCCCGCCGCCGCCTCGGCCGAGCGATGCGATGAGCGCCACATATATCCCCACGGGCGAGACATACGGCGAGGGCGTCGGCATCCCGGGCTTCGGCGTTGGCGAGTCCACCATGTCCTCGAGCACCCTGAGCTCCTGGCACGGCGTCGCGTCCCAGAGCGGCACCGACACAAACACCACGACGCCCCTCGACGACGCCGGCACCAGGGACAGGCTCTACATGGCCTCCCACTCGAGGGGCCTGTCTAATGCCTCCAGCTCCGTCGTCAGCAGTTCCGTGCATCCAGACACAATAGCGCAGTGGCCCCTCGACACCGTCCTCATCTGGCTGGCCCATAACCAGTTCTCAAAGGACTGGCAGGAGACATTCAAGGGGCTAAACCTGCACGGCCTCCAGTTCCTCGAGCTGGGCAGCCTGCATGGCGGCCGCGGCAACTTTGGCATGATGCACCAGAAGGTCTATCCGCGCCTGGCCCAGGAGTGCGCCAACAGCGGCACCGGCTGGGACCAGCCACGCGAGCGCGAGGAAGGGAAGCGCATGAGGCGCCTCATACGCGGCATTGTCACCGGCAAGTCTGCGGACCAGTCCAAAATGACGAACTCTCATGCCCGCAAAGAATCGCTCACGGCTGGCCATGGAAACAACCTGCCCAGCGCCGGTACTGACCCGGCAGACTCGCCCAATGTAAGTGCTCTCTCGCCTGTCCCCGTCGCGAATTCGGCGAGTTGCAGCATATGTATAGATTGCGCTGACAAGCAGGCAGACTCTCATGAACACGTCCGAAACCAGCTTCTCCGCCCGGCGCTACTCTCAGTCACAGTCGCGGTCCACGACTCTGCCCACCCTCAACAACGGCACCATGAGCTCCGACGCAAGCCATCGCTTGGCCCTCAAGCACGTCGACACGGAGACCGGCAGGCGGCTCAGCCCCATTACCAGCGAGCTCGCCGAAGGGGGCACCTTCTGGGGAGTCTCTTCCCGGACAGACAGCCCTGGCGGCAGCCCGGGTCCCCAGTCGGCCCTCTTTCCCTCGGTCACGACGCCGATCCTGTCAGCCTCGACCCCCGGATCCGCCAAGTTTGGACACCGTTCCCGCAACAGCACCGACTCGGTGTCCTCGAGCGCCGCGATTTACGGGTCCGGGGTTCCCACCGAAGCTGCGGCGATGCTCGCTCGGGGCATGAGCCTCGGCGAAGTCATGGCGGCGGGGAGGCATCCTCCCGACGCACGTTCCAAGAATTCGTCTCTTGACTTTGGTGACAGGTCGGCTGGCCTGGATGGCCCCGCCTCGGCCAAGGACTCCAAGAGCTTCCTCAGCTTTCTCTCGCGCCGTAAGCGAGCGACGAAAGAAGATGGATCCTTTCCGTCTCCAGACGACTTTGACTCTCCCGAATCGCCCAACACCACGCACAAGCCTACGTCACTGGGCTACCGCGCTGCAGGCGGCAGCGATACCCACCTAGACCCGCCCGGGTCGAGCTTTGGTGTCAAGGACGGCAACGACTTTGCACCGCACCAAAAGGTCAATCGAGCCAGTACCGTCAAGACGTATGTCTTGGCTACCATGGACCACTGGAACTACCGCATGTGCGACATCACCGATGCGGATTCGGCAGGAGAGATTCGCCAAGCCATCTGTGCGAACCTGGGCTTGGCCGAATCTGAACAGTTGTTGATTTACGCGACGGAACTCGGGAATTTCGATCACAGAGAGCCTCTGGACGATCAGCAGCTCCTTATCAATAAGCGGGTCAGGGCTGACTCTTCGGGAACGCTCAAATTCTTCGTTGCCTCTGGAAGTGGTCCGGGCTCCAGAGTAGCCAGCGGAGTGCCCGCGTCTCTGTCTCCTGGATATCTGCCCCCGGGCATGGATGAGGAGGCTTATGCACGCCTCAATGGCCGGCATCGATCGAGCTCTTCGCCACCGACGTCCCGGTCAAACACCCTGTCAGGAGACAGGATGGACGAGAAAACCCTGGCTCAGGAGGCCAGCGAGTACAGAGCCGAGATTGAGCGGAAACAACGCGAATATCTGGCTAAGAGAAAACAAGCGAATAAGAGGGAAAGTCCTACAGCGCTAGAGCTTGCTGCAGGATACGGAATCGTCGGCCGGAATGTGGACTTTGACCAGCCGCGGAATTCGCCTTTCGAAGACAAGAAGCCAGACCAGCTCTTCCCGCAGAGGAAACCGCCTGCGCCTCCCAGCGACCCTTCCGCGACCCTGATCAAGGCCAACTCGTTGAGCAGGAAATCCGGTCAGAGCTTTTCGGCACTGGCCGGAGGCCACGATGGCCATCCCCCCCTGAGGCGCCCACCGTCGACCCCGGCTGGAGACAGCGGGGGCCTAGACTCAGGCCTGAAATCTAAATACGCGTCCCAGTCCTCCGGTGCCGCGGGCTTCATCGGCGCCGCACTGGTAGGTATGGGCAGAAACCTGGGCGCCATCGGGCAGTCGTCTGTCGGCGGGGCCCGGGCAGGGTCGCCCAGCGCAAACATGTCTCCACCGGTGGCTCCCGCCAATGGCGGCGGTGTTCAGCAGTCAGGTAAGAGGGCAATGTCCAGCGTTCAATCCGGCCAGCAGGGCTGGGATAAAGGCAGCCCCAAGACGTCTGGCTCGCCGGGTACCGTGACACGAAGCCCTGCAAACATGACATTCATCATTCCAGACTACTCGCCTGGGGGCACACCTCTGGTGGCGGTGCAAACGCCAGACAGTGGAACAAGTGCTAAACAGCGTGATGCAGGGCATCGCCCGGCGACCCCAGGCGACCTGAGTCCGAATTCGACCCACTCGCGGGCAACGACGGGCTCCAACGACGCGTCCTCGCGGCGAAAGTCGCACGGGCCAGACCTAGACTTCAAGGAGTCCAACGTCAGCTTTTCCAAGTCGACGCCGCCGTCTCGGCCGGGGAGGCAGCGGAATCAGCCGGACGACGACAGCGATGACGACTCCGACGATGGCTTGTTCGCCATTCCGCTGGCCGGCAGGAACAAGGGCAAGGCTGCCGCGAGCGGCGGCGACCAGGCCAGGGACGCATCGGGTCATACTCAGCGACCGAGCTTGACGCTCAACACATCACGGTCCAGGGGCAAGCAGCTGTCTGTGTCTTTTACGTCGCCGCAATCGCTCGGGAGCGCCGTGACCGCCGAGAGCGCCGACGGCAACACAGGTGCCGGGAGCGGTTCACGGAGAACACCGGCGACTCCCGGCTCCGAGGGATGGGACTCGGAAGACAAGGAAAGCAAGATTAACAGGCGCAAGTCGTTTATCGAGAAGGATGTCTGGGCGAATCGGCCCCCTACAGACGACCTTCTCAACAACCTCGACGACTTCTTCCCGAATCTGGATCTGGATCAGCCTGTGCTCGAGGATAGCTTGAACGGAGAGCTTGTCCCGTCTCCCATACCGGAGGCGGAGGAACATTCCGATGCAAGAAACGCATCGAGTTCGGTGTCGCCGCTGATGCCAAGCAGCTCTGGCTCAATGGCATCACCGTCGCGGCAGTCGTCGATGTATAGCGACGCCGATACCCTGGGCTCGGACGAGTCGACGCTCAAGGCATCGGAGCAGCAGCGTACCAACGCGTCCCACTCGGTTGCACACCGGAGCCTGCGACGTTCGGGTGGGCTGGGACGCATGAAGTCGATCCGCGAGGTGGCGCGCGGCGCGCACGAAGCCAACAAGAGGTACACGAGCGCCTCGCAGAGCGTGGACAAGACGGCCACCAACATCATGCGGCGCAAGAGCACCAAAATGTTCAACGCCAACATTGTGCAGATCCGGCCGGACCAGCGCGGGAGCATGGTGATGCCGCAGATACCGCAGGACACGCTGCCCAAGCGGCAGACGACGTTCCGGTGGTTCAAGGGCCAGCTCATCGGCAAGGGTACGTACGGCCGCGTCTACCTCGGCATGAACGCGACGACGGGCGAGTTCCTGGCGGTCAAGGAGGTCGAGGTCAACGCCAAGGCGGCGGGAGGCGACAAGAGCAAGATGCGGGAGATGGTCGGGGCGCTGGACCAGGAGATTGACACGATGCAGCACCTGGACCACGTCAACATTGTGCAGTACCTGGGGTGCGAGCGCAAGGAGACGAGCATCAGCATCTTTCTCGAGTACATCTCCGGTGGCAGCATCGGGTCCTGCCTGCGCAAGCACGGCAAGTTTGAAGAGTCGGTGGTGTCGTCGCTCACGCAGCAGACGCTGTCCGGGCTGGCGTATCTGCACCGAGAGGGCATTCTGCACAGGGACCTCAAGGCGGACAACATCCTACTGGACCTGGACGGCACGTGCAAGATTAGCGACTTTGGCATCTCCAAGAAGACGGACAACATCTACGGCAACGACAAGAGCAACTCGATGCAGGGGTCGGTGTTTTGGATGGCGCCCGAGGTGATTCGGTCTCAAGGGGAGGGGTACAGTGCCAAGGTGGACATTTGGAGCCTCGGGTGCGTGGTGCTCGAGATGTTTGCCGGGCGGCGGCCGTGGAGCAAGGAGGAGGCGGTCGGGGCCATTTACAAGATTGCCAACGGGGAGACGCCGCCGATCCCGGAGGACATCCAGGAGACGATCGGGCCGCTGGCGGTGGCGTTTATGATGGACTGCTTCCAAGTGTATGTTGCCCCGGACGGGGTCATGCCTCGTTGACACTGCTGACTTGCAACGACAGAAACCCTTTTGACCGACCGACGGCAGACGTGCTGCTCTCGCAGCACCCATTCTGCGACCTGGATCCCAACTACAACTTTTTCGACACGGAGCTCTATACGAAGATCAAGGAGACTTATAAAAACCAGTAGACAAGCTACGGGTGCGTTCTTGTTGCCGTCCGTGCCAGCCATGAATGATGGTCAACGACGATGTGGTGGGGGGATGACAAGGAGCTTACAGTGCCCCTTGTAAGCGGGCCCTTGTGGACATGGGCGCGTGCAGGTGAAATGGGATCGGGTTCGAACGAATAATGTCATGATCAGTGCGCAGTTCTCCATGCGAGTCACACGGTGCGGGTGACAAGTGGCAGGAGTGAAAGACTCAGGGACGGGGGAAAGAAACGTGGGATCTTTGGTTGGTTCACGATATATGTGATGTATGTACGGAGTACGGCTAGGAGCGACAAAAACGACGATGAGAATTAAGGGCAAGGCCATGGCGACGCGAAGAGAGTTGTTGCGTGCTGTTGCGTGCTGTTGCGGGCTCCCTCTCCCCGGTAGCGGACTTGGGGGTCGGCGACGTTGAAACGCCTGGCCTATTTGCCGGACGGATGAAGTTAGTTAAGCTTCGAATTACTTATGTAGCTAACCTACCTAGGGAACCTAGGTGGTTTACTCCGTACAATTAGGAGTTTGCGCTGCGATTGGACGTTCGTCTGTCCCGCCAAGGGCTTGGAGAGAGAACAGACTTTATTTCCTCCTAATCGTTGATCAAGGAAACGCTGAAGACGAACTCACCCGTACGGCAACCACACAGAGGGCCTTGGTCGGTCGAGGAATGCGTGCTAACTCTCTAGTCGGAATAGGCTTTGACGCCTGCCCGTCGATGCCGGTCCCAGCGCGCCGTCGATTAGGCACTACCCGTTGATCTTGGTGTGGGGCCACAGCAGCCCAACTAAGTGTCTTCGCCACTTAGTTGGCCCAAAAAATCCGGCACAGCCCAAAAAATCCGGCACAGCAGCCCACCTCCAAAACGTCAACCCTATGCATCTCAACCGCGTTTTCTCGCGCAACTTGACTTTATTTACGTATCTTTTGCCGGAATACATTATGACAGATAACATGGCTACCCTGGAGGCAGCAAAGCCGTTCTGGCGTCTCGTCGCGACCCCAGAGCCGATGTTCGTCGCTCAACAACACCAAAAGAACGCCTCTTTCCGTGCGAGATGCGGCCATCCGTTACAATGTGAAGAGCTCATCCGTACAGAGAGCCATTAATTTCATAAGAAACCCCTTTTCCCGTGCTCCAGGGCGTCCATTGGCGCTGACGGAGGACGAAGACGACGCCCTGGTTGCGTATGTACAGTGGATGGAACGCACCGGCATGCCCGCCACGAGAGAGCAACTTGAAGCTGTTGCAAATGCAATAAGAATGCGTCGAGATCCCAATGCCCGCCCGGTCTCGTCAAGTTGGCTTGACAATTGGCGTGGAAGTCATCCTGCGATCGCGAAGACGTATCTCAAAGCAGTTGAACGAGCCCGGAAGTCCTTTGAAGCCCACGGGGTAGAAGAAGTCGAATTTTTCTACTCAAAGCTTCGAGAAATCATCACCAGCTACCGTATTGGCAGTTCAGAGATCTGGAATGAAGACGAGGCCGGAATACGCATTGGGTGCCTGCGAGAACGCATCCAAGTTCTCATCACGCGCACCACTAGAGTCAAGAGCACCCGGCCCCGAGTTTTAGACCCAGCAAACCGAGAATCCTGCACGGTAATTGCCTCAGTTAACGCAGTGGGGGACTCTCTTCCACCCTGGCTTGTTTTCCAACATTACCCTACCACCAACTGGGCCGGCATCGACATCATGACAGGCGTACGGTTTGCCCAGTCGCCAACTGGCTTTTCCAACGCAGAGATACACCTTGAGTGGGCAAGGCATTTCAACTGCTGGTCTTGGGCATCGTCAGCGCAAGCAAAACAGTCAGGAAATTCGCTGGAAGAGTGGTTCGGCTGTGACGAGCATCTTCGGCGCCCCAACATGGGGATGAGTCGCGTGGAGGCGCCGCCAAACCAACGGCCTGACGACGAGAAGATCTACCGATTGCTTGTTGTGGATGGCTTTACAGGGCATACCACCCTTGACTTTGCTGAGTATTGTATCAAGTTTGATATCATCATTGCTATTTTCCTCCACATTCCACCCACCTCATGCAGCCGCTTGATGTTGGGGTATTCCAGCCACTAAAGTCAGCACATCAGAAAGCGCTTCGGAAGTCGCTCGCAGAAGGCAACATATCATTTTCGCGGGTCAACTTCCTCACAGCTTTTCAGGACGTATATGAGGCTGGCTTCACGCGGCATAACATTATGGCGGCATTTGAAAAACAGGCCTCTTTCCTGTCGACCCAGCGCCGGTGATCACCAAGATCCTCCACGAGCAGCTACGACAACAGCAGCCGATCAATCCTGCATACGCCTCGCTCCTACCCTCGGAGACGCGTTTCCAAGTCGCCGCGGATGCCCTCAATGATATCCGGCAACGGTATGGGCCCCTCATGAGCTCGCCATCACGAGAAAACTTGCGGGTTCTTGCGAAAGTGAACACCGAGTCTATCGCGATGGCGTCACATTCCCAGGGCATAGTCAGCGATAAGAATAGCCGAACCCAGGCGTATGCGAATCGAATGAAGAGAGGCAAGATTGTCAGGCCGCGCGGAGAGTTTATCACGAGCTCCAGCATGGCCGACATCACCCGGGAGTATGAGGAGCTCCAGGCAAAGCAAACCCGGCTTCAAACGCGCCAGGAGATAAGGATGCATCTTAAACGAGTTCGTGGAGAGATGCAGAAGATCCGAGAAGACTATAAAGTCGGGAAGAAGCAGTTAGTCAATGGCAGAGTCAAGACATTGAACTTTAAGCCCTGGCTAGAGTTTACGGGACGAGACGTTGAGTTCTACACTCTGGAGCAAAGTTGCGATACCCTCATGCGGGAGCTCAAAGAGCCATCCAAGGAATCCTTTTCTATGATACCACGAAGAGAAATAACTCCGCCAGAGATGTCAGGCGCGCGCAGCGACCCGACCTCGCCCACTTACAGATATGTCGTCGTTGCCCGGCAGTGACGATACCGTCTATTTCACAGGCCTCGATCTTGACAAACATAGTGAGGATGGCGCCGACGATGAAGACGAGGACAATTTACTCGACACGCAAGAGAATATACCTCATCGCCGCCGTTAGCAGCGGTTGAAGCGGTAGTCGATACACCATGCCCTCGACCGCGCACCCGATCGTCCAACAAGATACAGCAGACGCTCCAGGAACACAGGTATGGATAAAATAGCTCTCAGAGACGCACAACAGGCGAAATTACTACATAATACGTCTATTTGGACTCACAAACGCGGTCTTCCTATCTCTTCGACTGGAAGGCGGCAGCTCCTAAATAGGCCCAAAGACGTGATTTTTTCACTTTTCGTTGTTACTTGCGTCTTTAGGTGATCCAGCTATTGATCACATGTATATTTTAGCTATTTGAAGTCGCATTGACGGCACCATGAAGCGAAGCGTAGAATTTCCCTTGATTTTGCACCCCAAATTGAGGACCCTGCTGTGCCGGATTTTTTGGGCTGTGCCGGATTTTTTGGGCCAACTAAGTGGCGAAGACACTTAGTTGGGCTGCTGTGGCCCCACACCAAGATCAACGGGTAATTACCTACCTATCTTAATGCCGTACGAAGTACCTCTCCGTAGGCTACAGTAATTACGGTACGTACTCCTTTCTGCTTGTGTGCTTGTCAAGTGACTGTGTGCAACCAAGGGTGGCCAACGCTAGATCCAAAGCAGGTACTACGGTAATTAATTACATGCATATTATTATTTAGCCCAGTAATCGGGTTACAGAGCTCGACAAGTGCGACACAGCTGCTTCCTAGAGCCTGCGGCAGGTACCTGGCATATGCCCTAGCGCAGGTGAAGCTCCCTGTACCTAGGTACTCCGCGGTTACTGATACCGGCCAGTGCCGAAACGGGACTTCAACGGTATCGAGCTGAGAGTGCTTCCCAGGTACAGGCCTCTACTCTTGTAGCCGGCAAAGTACGTGCAAGGGACATGCCGCTGCCAAGGCCCGATCAAGGGTTCTGTCTGGAGTCTCTGGACACCCCTTGGCGGAGGCAAGGAGCGACCCCTCCGCAACCACGCATGCATAAAAGCAAGCTTCGACGCAACCGCATCCCTGCTTTACTTCTTGCCTTCCCTTTTTAGCCCGTCGCCTGCCTCTCCTCGTGTGTTTTAAAAGTCCTCTCTTCATCGTCGAGGGCGACTTGTCGACGTGGCCCAGCTCCAACCAAGGCTGTCTGATTAATCAATATCATTGCTACTTTCGGAAACTTGGTCGCGCTTTTATTACCTTGCCACGAGCTCCATCGTCAGCAGCAGAACCATTACCGGCCAAAGCCGATTGACTCGCCCCCCTACAACAGACCGAAACCGTCGGCGACGTCTGTCTCCCTTACCTCTATCAAAGATTGGGCAATGCGGTCTTCATAAACGTATTGAACCCGTCCGTGCGCCGAAGCAACATCTTTTCCCCTCGCGGCATCCCTTCAACCAACAAAGAAGCATTCGCAACCAGCCTCCATCCACCATGCCGAGACGCAGATACAGGCTCTTTACCGTCTGCGCCGTCGTCGTCGTCTTCTTGCTCTACCGCCTCGTCCAGAACTCATGGGCCCCGCAGCCCGACCTGGCGAGCACCCGCCGCCCGCCGCCGCTCGTTCCCCAATCCGCGCCCCAGGGTCCGAACCGCGAACATGCTAAGTCGCTCGCCGCCAATCGCCCGCAAGAGCCACTAACGGGGGCCTCCGAGCCCCTCGCAAACGACAAGCCAAAGTCAGGCCACGTCGGTCAGGGAAAGGCGGGCGGTGACGAGCGAGTCGACCTGCAGCATCCCCCGTCATCCAAGGATGGGAGTCCTCGGCCCTCCCTAGACGGCTCCGACGACCCAACTTCTCCAGACAAGGCCGACAAGGACGAGGTCCCGCTGGGCTGGAAGAATCCCCCGAAGGGTGCCGCCCCCGAGTCGATGCCCCTCGCCGATGGCCAGGTTCACTGGACCAAGCCCAACGAGCATTTCCCGCTGTCCAAGGCATCCATCGTTCCGCTTCCCACCGGTGCCGCCAAGAAAATCCCAAAGGTCCAGTTCAACTTCGCCTCCGAGTCCCCACGGGCCAAGGATACGCGCCTGCAAAGGCAGAAAAAGGTCAAGACGGAATTGGCTCGCTCCTGGGCTGGTTACAAGAAGCATGCCTGGATGCACGACGAGCTCTCCCCCAGCTCGGGTCGCTATCGGGATCCCTTCTGTGGCTGGTCCGCCACCTTGGTCGATACTCTAGATACCCTATGGATCGCCGGCATGAAGAAAGAGTTTGACGAGGCGGCAAAGGCCGTCAATAACATCGACTTTACCTACACCCCCCGCTCCGATATCCCCGTCTTTGAGACCACCATTCGATATCTCGGCGGCCTCATCGCCGCCTTCGATGTCAGTGGAGGGTCTCGAGGCGACTACTCCTTTTTGCTGGACAAGGCCACGGAGCTGGCCGAGATCTTGATGGGTATCTTTGATACTCCCAACAGGATGCCCCTGCTGTACTACCAGTGGAAACCCGAGTACACGTCTCAGCCCCATGCTGCCAGCCAAGTCGGCATCGCCGAGCTGGCTAGCCTCTCGATGGAATTTACCCGACTGGCACAGATCACTTCGGAGAACAAGTACTACGATGCCATTGACCGCATCACCAACGCCCTAGTCGATTTTCAGCAACAAGGATCGCTCATACCCGGCATGTTCCCCGAGTCTCTGGACGCTTCAGGCTGCAATAGGACCGCCACAAGCTTGCGAGACTCGCTCAGCAAGGGCGCCAAGGAACAGGTGGATTCTCAGGAAGTCCTCAGCGAACCACAGGGTTTTGGTGGTCGGCCAAAGGGGCTGCGCTCTGTCCTTGACTCGAATAGGCGGAGAGAGCTTGACAGTGCTTCGGAGGGCCAACAGCAACGTAGGTCGAGCGGAGACTCGACGAATACTACATCCAATGGCACCCTCAAGAGCAGAGAGAAGCGAGGCGGCCCTTTTGCAGCTGACGGGACAAAGTCCGAGTGGGACTGCGTGCCCCAAGGGCTGGTTCCCGGCGGAAATGGGCTTCAAAAGTTCCACGTGGGCGGTGGGCAAGACTCGGCCTACGAATATTTCCCCAAGGTGAGCATCCTGCAAAGGTCGACTCCTGCTTGGCTAACTTTGGCGACAGGAATACCTGCTTCTCGGCGGTCGAGAGTCCAAGTACCAGAAGCTTTACGAGGACGCGGTTGGCGCCATCAACAAGTGGCTCCTATTCCGGCCCATGATCAAGGGGAACTGGGACGTGCTGTTCCCCGCCAAGCTGAGCACTTATCGAGACTCCGTCGAAGACTTTCGATACGAGTACGAGGTTGCTCACCTGACATGCTTCATTGGTGGCATGTACGGGCTCGGGGGCAGGCTCTTTGACAGGGAAGAGGACGTTGAAACCGCCAAGAAACTCGCAAACGGCTGTGTGTGGGCTTACCAGTCGACCTTGTCGGGCATCATGCCAGAGTTTGGGCACGTCATTCCGTGTCCTTCCAAGGACCAGTGCGATTTCAATCGGACTCGGTGGTGGGAGGAGCTTGACCCGTCCAAGGGCCGGCGAGATGAGCAGGCGCGAAAGTGGGAAGCGGACCAGGGAACAAAGAAGGCAGGCCGAGCAGCGGCTGCCAAAGCCGCATTGGAAGACGACGAATCCAAAGCATCTGACAGCAGTGCAAAAGACACCATTCGGCAAAAGAGCAACTCCTTGGGTGACAAGTCGAGCGTCATTGACAAACGAGCGGCTGTCCCAGAGCAAGGCAAGAACAGCGAGGGAGGCTCTGAAGATGAAGACGACCACGACGGTTCGAAGCTGCCAGCGTCGCTCAGGAAAAAGGTAGGCAAGAACTTCGGCAAGGATCACAAGTTCAAGAACGGCAAAAGCTCTCAGCTTGACATTCCGAAGAATTCATTGGCGAATGATGACACTGAGGAAGCCGCCGAGGCCGACTCGGACGGCCCGGCCAGCTCCAAGCGGCAAGGGCTACTGGCGTCTAAGTCGGATAGCTCGGCTGCGGACAAGCCGCAGTCGCACGAAGAGTACGTCAAGGAGAAGTTTCAGCGGGAGGGGCTTCCTCCAGGATTCGTGGACGTGCCGTCGGCGTCGTATATTCTTCGGTATGTCGGGCTACATTCGCCTGCACCCCTCCGAACTCTTGGCTCCCATTTCCCGTCTCTTCTCGATGGGGCATCAGAGCTAACGAGCACCCCGACAGGCCTGAAGCGATCGAGTCAGTATGGTACATGTACCGTATCACCGGCGACGTGGAGTGGATGGACAAGGGCTGGCAAATGTTCGAGGCGACGGTGCGGGCGACGAGGACCTCGATTGCCAACAGTGCCGTGCACAATGTGTTGTTGGAGGAGCCGACGACCAAGGACGAGATGGAGAGCTTCTGGATGGCGGAGACGCTCAAGTACTACCTTCTCCTCTTCTCGGAGCCAGACGTGATCAGTCTCGACGAGTGGGTGCTCAACACGGAGGCGCACCCGTTCCGGCTCTAAGGAGCGCCGGCTCGCAAGGGCAGCATACGTGCTTGCTTGCATGGTGTGATTTTTGCTTTGGGACAAGAGGCGTTGGCCGGCGGAACAAGCGGCCGCGGAGACTTGGGCGTTTCAATAGGGTAGGATAACATAACTCATGATGACGTTGGGAGGGGTGAATACCGAGGGCGGACAATAGACGTCGGGCGGACAATAGACGTCTCCGGAGTTCTCTCTTTACTCTGATTGCGCTGGAGCTTCTCGGTCACTGGCACGTCTTACTCAAGGCAGGATCATTGGTCTCATCGGAGAATGGGCTCTCAAGAATCTTGGTCCCATTTCTAGAGCTGAGCCAAGCCGTCCCCGTTCCCAGTCCCCTTGATTTGTACATGGCTTGTGACCGCAGGGTGAATTCTCACGTTCTTTTCTTGATCCGCTGTATAATATGTGCCTGGGCCGCTCTATATGTTCGCTCCCCCTTCTTCTCCCTCATGTCATGCAGAAGCGGCTTAGGAGTGTGGAAGGAGAGTAAAGGGGAGGCATGAAAAACGTCAACCTCCGACACATACTAAATATGACGGCTCCTCCGACCGGGTGCGATCGACGATAATGATAAAAACCACAAAAAAAGACTCGTTCCAAACATGGGGCGCATCTGTCGTTGGAGGGGGGAAAGGTTCTCCGTCCTGTATATAACTGGGCTGTTGATGAATGCAAGCTGGCGGGTTCTGCGCCTTTTTTGTTCCCGTCTTCCTCTTTCTCCCCCCGATTCTGCCGATTTCGAAGGTGGTCGAGGAGGCTGTACGGGGTGGAAGAAGGAGAGGGGAAAGACGGTTGCTGTTGGGTAGGGGGTTGGTCAGAGTTCAATGACTGTTTCATTGTCCCGGATATCGGCTGGGGGAGCGGAGGGGAGATTGTAGTCGTCGAATGCAGAGGAGGAAGGCCCAAGGGGACTCGAGCTTGGCTGGCGGTTCATGTGGACTGAGTTGCTGCTGCGGCTCGCCTTGCTTCGTCTCGCCGTTGCTTGCGTCGCCCATTATTATTTTCGCTTGTTCTCTTCTCCCTCTTCATCTCTCCCCCATGCTCTGCCCAAGCTCACTCCTCGGCCCCAGGCTGTGTTTCTCAGGAGCCCCCCTCACGAATCTCGCATCATCTGGCCGAGGACGCGTATACTCAATATCATGACGAGCAGGCCGATGGTGACGATGATGAGGAGGGTGAAGGAGAACCAGCCCATGACCATTGCGCTGGTCCCGACGCCGCTGCGGACGGCGCCGTTGCCAAAGTCTTGGGCGATGATGGAGGCGGCGACCGAGGCCGTGTGCTGCCACAGGACCGAGACGAGGACAAAGATGGAGGCGATGAAGATGATGGCGAGGGCGATTTGCGAGACGGGCCGCGAGGGGAAGGGCTTGACTTCGCGCTCGGAACCCTCGGAGTCTTCCTCTTCGTGCCAGCCGGGGAAGGTGGCGAGGAGGAGGAAGCAGAGGAAGGCGAAGATGATGGCGATGATTCTGGGGTGTAAGTCAGTATATGTGCAAGAGTAGACACACATACGTATATTTATATGTATATATGTATATATGTATAGTCAGCCTGGGGAGAATAAACATAAACTCACATTAGATAGGGGAACACAATCATGTCCTTGAACTGGGCGGCGAGCCAGATGAGGTTGAGGGGGTCCTGGTCGACCGAGACCTCCTTTGCGAGCGCCGTGGCGTTGTTGCTGCAGAGCCAGGAGCCGCCGTCCGGGTTGACGCAGATGCCAAAATAGCCGACGCGGGCCTGCATGCTGGCGCCGCCGGCAATGTTCTCGATGGCCGTGTGGACGTTGTAGTCGACCTGGGCCGTGTCGGGGACGGCCTCGTAGTGCTGGTAGTAGAGCGAGAGGAGGAAGATGTCGGGGATGAGGGGCGACGACGACGAGCATCCGGCGAGGAGGAGTGCTTTGGCGCAATACGTTAGCTGGGGGAGTGAGGGAGAGGATGAGACTGGCAAGGTAGGACGTACACAGCAGGATGATTGCGACGACAATCAATATCATGAGGACATGGTGGTAGCCCAGAAACGGCACGAACCCTAGAGTATCAACGTCTTAGCCTGGGCTTCTCCTTCTTCGACTCCCTCGGAAAGGGGCCTTACGGGACCAGCCGGCCTGCATCGGAGCCATGGTCCGAGGTGAGCTCGACGAGCCGCTCCCGATGGCCATGCGCCGAGTCGGCCTGACAGCTCCTCCACGGCGCGATCAGGCAAGAGGGGAGAGATGGGCTCAGCCTCCACACTCTTGTGCGCGCGCGCGCCCACTTTCTCGATGCCGAGCTGCGCTCGTTCGCTCGTTTGGAATTCTCGAGCCTCGGGACGGCCCGCAGAGGCGATGAGGGTCTCGTCGGTGGCGAGGAATGCGGGAGGTTGTGGGCGGATCAAGGGTCCTTGTTTGCCAGCTGGAATGGCAAAGCAAGGCTCGCGCGCGGGGATGAAATGGGCGAGGACCTGGAATGCTTGGTGAGGCTGTTGCTGCAAAGGTGAGTTTGGTATAGATGAGGACCCCTTGCTTGTGTGAGGAATGTACTGGACTCTCGAGATGGGGAGTAGAGAGAGACGGCAAGCGTTGGTTGAGCCACACACACCCTGTAGAGAGAGAGCGAGAGAGGAGAGAGAGTCAATGAGTTTGTTAGGTAGAGAGAGAGAGGTATGACGAAAGCAAACTTGACCTTGGGGGCAGCTTGTGTTGCCCCTTTGCAGCTTTACTCACTCGACACGGCGGCACGCACAGTATTTTTTTTTTCTTGGCTATAAAATGCGATGGCTGGGAGAAAGGGGAAAAGAAACAGCAGGTGATTGATTGATGTAAGGCGCATGCAACACGAGAAGGTGACGACGACGCTCCCCAACCTCTCTTCTCACTGACTTGGCCGCGGCGGCGGTTGGCCCAGCCACGTCCTTTTTTATTGACTCTGCCGCGTTGACGGGACGACGCGCACTGTACGTACCTCGGTACCTTGCCGTGGAGGCCATGCGAAGGTGGGGCTGCGGCGGCTGCGGGGCCGCGCGGGCCAGGGCGAGAGCTGGAGCTGCGCTGTCACGTAGGGGTATCGGGTACCTTTTGCGTCCGCTTGTGTTGGCGGGGAGGGCTTGTAGCGAGACTGCCGATGAGGCTCAAGCTAGATGCAGCTGGCAAGCTGCGGCAGGTATACCGAGTATACTGTACTTTCACTGACAGTGAAGTAGGTAGGTACCTTAGGGTATGTACATGTATTATGGCGGCGTCGCAAAACTCCTTGGAATCGTCGAGCAAGGTGGAATCAACCTCCAAGTGCCGCAAAACTGCACGCGAGCTGAACCAATCTCCTACGAGTCAATCTTGACTATCAGATCAGTTCTATACGACGAGTTAGATGCCCAGACCTCCGTCCCTGGGCAGGGCAATAAGACGCCGTCCAGGTCAGGGGTCCGTCTACTCGCGCAGCACACAGCCCGCACACTTGCTTGGTCAGGTACCAATCTCGTCTCGCCCGTCATGGATGCCCTCGTCATTGGTCGCCAAGCAAAATAAAAGGAAACCCCGGCTGTTCGGAGATCCAAGCCTAATGTACTTGCTGCAAGCCCTCCTGGGTGCCCAAGCTCAAGTTGTGCGACCTACCCTGCAGGGACACGTGCCGACTTGGAGCAGAGACAACTTCACCGCCACCACGAAGTCCCGATGCCTCTTGTAGAAGCAGTCGGTTCGGCGCTGTGACACAGACACCCAGTGAATTTTGAGAAGAAACAACGCCCCCACGTGGAGGTGACAAGGGACGATGTACACAGAGTTGAAGGCGCTTCGAGGTCGATCGATTACTGGATACAAGGATATTCGCTTGGCCACTGCTTCTGTGCATGCACAGTATCTATGCAGCTACCCGTGCAAAGTGGCAGCATGGCACAATTACGATCCCCAACGTCATCTGCTCCTCTTCCACTGTGAACCCTTTTCTCCTCCACCAAGACAGTGCAGCACGCTCTCCTCGACAAGCATCTCATGCTCCCCCAGCTTCACCGAGTCATGGCAGGATGACCACCCTCTCCGAAACCGCGCCCGGGACTTCCCTCGACATGCGCGTTGAGGACTTTCTCGATGATAGGCTCCAATCCACCGCCGACCTCGACACCCTCGACGAGCTCCTCGCCAGCGTCGAGACCCAGCGCACTCAGCTCCAGTCGCAGCTCGACGATGCCGTCAGGGAGCTCGACGAGGCCCGCCGCACCGCTCAAGACCGCCATTTGTCCCTGCAGGCCCGCATCGACGACTTCAACCAGCTGCAGCAGAGCATCGATGTCCGCGCAAAGGTCGCCGCCGCCTCCGACGCCCCTAGCGAAGCCATTGCCCGCCTCAAGCGGCCCATGAAGAAGCTCCAGACCGTCGACCTCGCCCAGAAATACCTTCTTCTGCTGCAAGACGTCGAAGCTCTGCGCGCCGAGGCCCGGTCGCATCTACCCGCCAGCCCCAAGGCCGCTCTTAAGCCCTATGCTCGACTCAAGGAGCTCGCCATGAAGCTGAGGGCCGTTCAGGGCAGCGAGGGCCTGCACCTAGTCGACCACGTCGAGAGGGTCACCGATGTTCTTTGGTCCGAGATGAAGAAGACCATGTCCGCCGAGCTCGAGGCCGTCCTGACCAAGCGGCAATGGCCCCGCGTCGACCCTCAGTCGCAGATGGACGACGAGTGGATTGCCTGCTTCGAGAAGCTCCTCGACCTCCAGATGCCCGAACTCGTGCACAGCCCGGGCGTCGTCTCGCTCCTCCCATTTGACGTCATGACCAAGATGTTTGTAACCGAGTTTCGCTTCCACTTCCTCAGCGACAAGCCCACGAGCAACTTGCAGGCCGTCGGCTCGCATTGCTTCCCCTGGTTTCTCGCCACCATTGACAAGTGGGAGGCCTTCTTCCGCGACAACCTCAGCCACCTGCTCTCTGCCAAGTTTCGTGACGGCCCGCTCGACACCAAGACGGCCTACCTGGACCCCGTCTGCGGCTTCGTCACTGCGATGCTGCCCGTCATGCGGGAAAAGGTGCAAGTGGTGGCAGCTGAGGCAATCAAGAATCCCCCCTACCTGAGTGGCTTCATGTCGCAGCTGATGGCCTTGGACGATGACATCCGCGCGAGATACAGCTACGACGGCGGCGATCCCGAGCTCGGCTGGCCTGGTCTCGCCGCCGATGTCTTGGACACGCACTTTGACGACTGGTTCCAGGTGGAACGGGACTTTGCGCTCGAGCGTTTCGAGAAGACTTTGGAGTCACAGGACGCTCGGAAGATCGACTATGACTACGCCGTGGCGGGCAAGATGAAGCCTACCTTTGCCGCTGTGCGAATCCTAGATCTACTGCGGGCCGTGACCTCCAAGTACGAGCGGCTGCACAAGCTCAAGCACAAGCTTCGCTTCCTCACCGACATCCAGCTCGACATACTCGACGGCTACCATGACCGGCTGCGAGGGTCCCTGGAGGCGTACCAGTCCATAACCTCCACGCTCGGCAGGACCCTGCACGGGGCGACCAGGGAGCAACTGGCTGCTCTAGAGGGGACGGGCGCCCTAGAGACGCTGTGCAAGGTGGCTGGCAGCGCGGACCGCGTCGCCAGCACCTTGTCGGAATGGAGCGACGAGGAGGTGGGTGATGCCTCGCACATGCTTGCTTTGTATTCTGATTCACACGTGACTGACAAGATCCTAGTTCTTTGCCGCGTTGTGGGAGGACATCCAGGCTCGTGATGCGCGGCGACGAAGCAGCGAAGTCGGCCGGGATGGTTTGCAGGGCCGCCTCCCCGACACGTCTGCCGAGGGCGACGAAGAAAGCGGCATCTTTGACGAGACGGTGGCCGCGTACACAATGCGCCGCAAGGCGGCAGAGGAGCTGCTGACTGGGGCCCTGACTGAGTCGCATTCCAAGGCCTTCCGAGCCTATCTCAACCAGGTTCAATGGACGACGGTGGGCGAGACGGCTGTGTTGGGTAAGTCGTTCCTCTTCTTCCGCACAACCCCGTGATGACGGTAACCAGTTACTGAGCTCTACTGCTGCTCATAGACGACCCCTCGCAACTGTCCATTACGCCGGAGTTGGATGAGCCGCTGCACGTCCTCAAGCGCAACCTCGACTTCCTGTACAAGACGCTGTCGACGGCGTCGCTCCGACGCGTCTGGCACGAGGCGCTGGACCGACTGCAGGACATGCTCTGGAACGGGGTGCTGGTGCGGCAGTCCTTTACCACGCTCGGCGCCGCGCAGTTTGCGCACGACGGCGCCGCCATCCTGGCCCTGGTGGACCGCTACCTGCCCGGGGGCTCGTCGGCGCTCGAGGCGCTGCGCGAGGGCACGCGGCTCCTGAACCTTCCGGCGTCGGTGGGCGAGGGCGCGAGCGGCACGACGCTCAAGGAGGCGAGCGACCGGGCCTTTACCAGCAACGACGAGGCGCGCAGGGTGCTTGAGGAGCTGGGGCTCGAGGCGCTGACGCCGGTGAATGCCAGGCACATCCTGGAGAGGCGTGTGGAGAACAACGAGAATGTCGGGTGGTGACGGGCCGCTCACTCGCTGGAGGCGGGCGTTTTGGCTTGAATGGACAGGGCCGTGTGTCTGCCCCCGTCCTGTTTGTCTAGCAGGGTCAATGTTGCAGCTCGGAGCGTGGCCAATGCCAACCAGCACTCGTATGTCGTCGCGGCTCAAGTCACCACCGTACTGCCAGAACTGGGTGTTCGATTCTCGCCAGCTCCGTCTTGATGCCTTTGACGCGTTTCTAGTTAGGCCTCTACAGCTAAAGAAGGCCGGCCATGTCTTTGTATACAGGATGTAGTACATGTCTTTTCCGTTTATCTTCGCCACCTTTTCCAATGACGGACGAGAAACCGCCAAGTTGAACGGCAACCGCCCAACGTGTACAGAGTCAAACCATGAGGATTTGTATGTGTAGACGACAAACCGGACAGAGTGGGGGGTACTTCTAGTTAATGGCGCGCATGGTCATCTCGACAACGGCAAACGTGCCGGCGCTGACGGGCATGGCGCGGAACAGGGTCGGCCAGATGCCCCTCCAGAAGCCAGCGAAGCCATCGCGGCGCCACGTAGCGGCGAAGCAGCTGCGCATGGTGGGGAAGCTGCGGTCGGCGGGGACCAGGGCATCGGTCTGCATCTTGCTCTTGACGACGTCGAAGGGGTAGCTCGCGAGCCAGAGGGCCTCGCCGGCCAAGCCGCCGTACAGGGCGACCTTCCAGGCGGGCACGGCGGCGCGGTCGACGCGGTTGCGGGCGGCGTCGGCGTTCATGAGGAACTCGAAGGCGGCGAACCAGGCGCCGTAGGCGGCGGCCTCGCGCAGCAGCGTGACGCTCTGGCCGCGGTACAGCGCGGGGAGCAGGCCGCGCGGGTGGGCGGCGGCGAGCTTGCGCACGCAGTCGAGCGGGCCGGCGTACAGGCGCGCGGCGGCGCCGTGGGGCTGGCTCTGCAGCCGGATGCGCACGTGCTCGATGGGGCCCGAGAGGGCGGCGTTGGCGACGCCGGCAAAGGCGCCGGCGGCGTAGTACTGGGCGTACGAGAGGCGGCCCTGCTGCTGTTGCTGTTGGCGGCCCTCGAACCAGCGCCGCGCGGCGTGGAAGGCGCCAAACTGGATCGACACGCACGCCCCGATGCCCAGCAGCGGCGTCAGCGTGCCCTTGTAAAAGGCCAGCGCGCCCTCGTGGCGGTATATCGAGGCGGCTGCGTCGACGGCGCCGGCGTACTGGTTCGTCGTCTGCAGGCGGACCTTGACAATGTCAAACGGCTGGCCTGTAGTTTTGCCCTCACCCAAGGCATTCAGTCAGCGCGCCGCACCCCTCTTCCATAGATGTAGATGTATAGATGCTTGGAAGAACCACCATTGGAGGAGGTCTATTTGCTTCCGGGGGGAAGAGGGGGACAGCCAACACACCAATCAAGACTTGGGCGATGCCGCCCACGGCGCCCGAGAAGAGATCCTTGGCCGCCTGCTGCGCGCCCACCTGCGACGACGGCGGCGGCTCGACCGTCTCCGAGGCCAGCGGCGCCTCCATCGCGAGCGCAGAGCCCTCCTCTATCCTTTCCTTATGCTCCTCCCCTTTCCCTTCCTGCCCTCTTCCAACGATGGCGTGATCGGGGGTAGGGGCGGATTGACGCTGCCGAGGGACGATTTGTGTCGGGGGATGAGAGGTGGAAGCCCGAGCCGGTGTGGATTTGTCGTCTGGAAGGGTTGAAGCTTCTGGCGTCGTGGGTTGGTGATGTTGGTTTGGTTGGGACTTTCGATCAAGATTGCTGACAGACGGCGGTTCCTGGTGGGGCAGCTGCAGATGCGCCGAGCCGCCGTGGGAAAACCTCCCCGCTTCCTCACCATTATCTACAACTTCTCTGTACTGGATGTTTTCTCTTTCCCGAGCAAATTGCGCTCATTTTTCTACTCGAGTATTCATGTTACTTGAGAGTGCTCTCCACAAAATCCGGTATATATAGCAGGAGCTTCAAGAGCAGCGCGACGGATATCCAACTGGGCCACCGACTCCAGGCACTCCGGCACACCTCTTCCCATATACAGCTTCATTCCTGACTGTGAAGAGGTTGAGCAGTGTGTCATGTCATCCACGATGAATCCAGGTTGAGCCACCCGCCTACCTGGATCAGCCGGGAAGTGCAGTTATATAACCTCGCTCAGCATCATGGCAAGTAAACTCGCACTCTCACGGATTCTCGTACGGTGGTGGCAACGAGTTGGCCCCGTCGTTCATCTGCGCCGGCCTCAAGCCCGACAGATCCACATTGTCCAGGACACGCAGGTTGACGGGGCGGTACGTCTCAGCCCACGCCTTGAACGGGCCGTCCCTCTCCGAAATGGCATCGTCGGCCAGCAGTGCGTTGCGCTCATTCGTCATGCACACGCCGCAGGTCCTGCAAAACGTCTTGCTCATAATGTGCCGCGCAAACGAGTATCGGCCGATGTCGGCGTCGTCGCCAGCCAGCACCACGGCGGCCACGGGCGGATAGACCCAGCGGCACCCGTTCTGTAGAGCCTCGGTGTCAGCACTCGTACGTCTCTCCGCCTCCTAGTCTCCTTGTCCTTCGGGGCTCTGCTCACTCTCTCGCAGATGCTGCAGTTGCACTCGACTATTCTATCGTCGTAGCTATCATCCAAGGGCTTGCTCATGAGCGCCACACGCACTTTGCCGCAGTGACAGCTTCCCGTGTACAGCTGCTTGCCTGCGACGGCTGCCGGCAAGCTGCCCTTGTACTCATGAGGGACGTATTTGTTCCCCATCGCAGCCCCGTCAAACCTGGGCAAAGCTTTAGCTCTGAAGTCTTGATGGTGGAGAGTTGAGCGAGAACCCGACAGCAGAAACTCACATCTTCCTTTCCAACTTCCAGGTGTTCAATCCCTGGATGGCATGCACCTGCTCAGTCCGGTCTCGTCAGTCTCGACCTCGCCGCCCTTGTTCTCTTCTGTTTCTCAAGAGGAGAAAGCAGATGGGAAGAGAAAGCCATACGTTCAAACCCCGCTGCTTGCCCGGGGGCCCGTCTGGAAATACCCCCATGAGGGGCGTAGCACACTTGGGACAGAACTGCGCGGCACTCGTTAGCTCTTCTGCTATTCTGTACGAGCCACCCAAAAGATCAAGGAGAGGAGGAGGAAGCACCTTGTGGAACATCTTGCCGGAGCCAAACGAGTAGCTAGTAAGCTCGTCATCGGTCCCCTTGACGGCCCGGAAGTCGTCGCTCTCGCCCACAAAGACCCAGAGATAGCCCTTTTTGCGGCAGATGCTGCAGTTGCACTCGTGCGCCGACGTAATCTCCGGCAGCTTGGCCTCGTACACGTAGGCGCCGCAGTGGCAGTTGCCCCGGTACGTCTGCGTCTGCGTCTGCGTCGTCGTCATGGTGGCAGCGGTGGATGGGCGGTGCGAGACTTGGGGTTTCGCGAACAATGCTGATGGAGATGCCTGGCCTTCTGCTCTCGATGACTCTGCTGAGTGTGTACGATGGGTTGTTTCGTTGGGGGAAACTACGCTCCTGCGAGGGTTGCGAGGGTATAAGCCCCGCTGACTCCTTCCCTCTCGACCTCTTTCCCGCTTATGTGGTTTCTGGAGCGCCGCCCCCTCCTTCCCTGTCTCATCCCACTCGCTCCCATAAGCCGAGGAGATCCGGATGACATGCCCGCTTACTTTTTACCTCACTGGCTTACCCGCAGCCACGTCGGATCAGCGACTTGGACCCGCTTCGCGTTAGCCGCTTGGGCTGCAAAAGCCGCAAGTGCTTGCGTGTGTCAGACCAGGCTGTCGATCCATGGTCAAGCTGAAGATCCAAGCCGTGGACTCGGTGCGAATCTATTCATCTGCTGGACTGACTCCCTCGCTTCCTTGCCCGTCTGCTCGTTGAAGCGCTCGTCTCTTTCGCAGAATACTTGGAAAGACAAGGCATCTCTGGACCTGCATAGTATCTAGACGAGGCCGGTTCTCAAGATACAACAAGGACAGTTTCGAGTCTTGCTCCAGAAGAGTACTGCATCGAACACTCCATCTGACAGGTATCCGATATGCTGACAAGTCTCCGCCAACATTGGTTCGTCTCTCATGACTCAACCCCCACTCGACGGCCGTGAGTACTTCGCTCCATGCCGCCTGCCGTAGGCCTCCGGTCCTTGGCCTAACTGCTTTTCAGCGCTTGATGCCGGCCTCTCATGGCGTCCGAAACCTTGTTCGCAGAGATAGATCTGCCTCGTCAAAGGTATGGGTGAAGAGAGGTGTCGTCCACGAGGGCTCCCCTTGCAACTTAATACCGCTTCGCGCCCCTCTTCGCGTCCTTGGCATTATTCTGCGCCTGGGCGTTGAGCCAAATCGCCTCCTTGAGCTTCGAAATGACCTCGGGGTGGTTCTGGAACGCGTTCGCCAACATGCTCTCCAGCTCGGCCTCCACCTTTGCTATCGGCTTGACGCCCGTCTTCCGACTCTGTGAGTCATTGATCAATGTGCCCCAGCGCTTCGTAAAGGCGTAGATGGACTGCCGTAACAACTCGTCCAGCTGCTCGCTCATGTCTTCGGCCGTCAGCGTCTTGGCCGTCACCGCCGGCGCCCCGCGAGTCCAGAGCGACCCGCCCATGATGCTGCTGAAGAAGCCCACCCAGTTCTGGGGGCTGAGCGTGTCCCAGATCCGCCCGAAATGCTGCATCGACTGCGGCTGACTCCTAATGTCGCCGATTTCGAGGGAAAACAGCTCGTTCTTGATCATGAGTAAGTTTTGGATCATAAAGAGGTCGGCGTCGGTGCCTGTTTTGAGCGACCGGATCCTCGCCTCGGCCCGCTGCAGCACTTGAATGGTCTCGCGAATAATATTGAACACCACCGAGCTATTCTTAGCCTAGGCAGGAGACAAGAAAGTCAGCAGATAATAGATGGAAAGCAGCTAGCAATCTGACGCGTCTTACCGATCGTTCCTTGGGCATGGCCTGGTCAAACATGGCCAGCAGCTCAATTGCCCGCCTGACAAGGGGGTATGCATTCGAGGAAGCCGCGCCATCCACGGCTGGCTCGATCTTGAGGGCGCCATCCTGCATCGGAGCTTTGGAAATCGACTTGGTCACTTCTGCGGCAAACGCGCCGTCGGTAAAGGACCAGAGATGCTCGACAAGCAGCCGCGCCGCGTACTCTCGGTACCTCCGAAACGACGGCGACTCTTCGTCGTCACTCTCCGAGATGGAGTACTCGCCAGCAAGCCACCCCACCACATTGCAGACAGCCTGTAGGTCGGCGGTTTGCAGCACGTTCTGTAAGCTGGTGGCCAAGGGGGCCAAATTGCCTGGGTGAGCCATAGATGTGTTTATCGCTTTGATTGCCTGGAAAGCCGAACTGGCTGAGGAGTTCCACATAAGCTCGACGTTGAACACCCTAGAGAACAGGCCGTCTTCGTTGTACATTTTTTCAAACGATTGCTTGATAAAGTTTCGACAAGCCGTTTCCACGGAGAGGTTCTTGACTTCCTTTTGGAACTCCTCGGCATGGTGCTGCGTCATAGCCTTGAGGTCCCGGTCCCTGGTGGTGAGATAGGTGCGAAACATGTTTGCGGCGGAATTGGCGTAGACTCCCGAGACAGACGACGCCTCTACCGGCCTACCATATGGGTCGTAGGCGCAGCGGACCGCCCTTTGGATATTGGGGAGCAACGAGTACGAGTCGGTAATCATCTCCTCGAAACGGCCGTAGGCCAGGGCATGGCGGGCCGACTCGGACTTTGTGGCGGCAATCTGACGGGCAATCTCGGGCGACACTTTTTCCAAGCGGCCCGTGAAGGCGTGGTCCAACAGATGCAGGGCCTTGGTGAGAAGCGCGTTGTAGCGAGCCAGGTACGACTCGCGCTCGCGGTATGATTCCTACATGGGCCTCTGATCAGCGGCCGCGCGGCGGGACGAGTAAGCGGAGCGCGTATACATACGTGAGCGCTCATGAAATGAATGCAAGAGTCGATATTCTCCACCATGTCGCCAAATGCCTCGTCTTCCACCAGCCGGCTGGCTCCAGGGGCATTGAGACGACGCGTGGCCGTGTCCAAGTAGGCGTAGTAGTGCAGGTCTGTCCCGACCTCGTCTGCGAGCTTCTCCAGTCGTCGTTGTTCAGTCAAGAGGCCTTCGCACTTTGACTGGAAGGACGAGGTCTGGGTTTCGACGGATTGGAAGGAGTTTGACAGAGACGTGAGCAGCTTGAGCGCAGCATTAGCGTCGTCGATGAGCCCGTCAAGATGGCGTTCCGTGAGCGTCAGCTGGTCTTGATAGAGCCTGGCGAGGGTCAGCGATCCCCCCTGCTCCAAACTTCACTCGCCCGACTCGTACAGATATTCCTGCTGGCTGGCCTCGAGCATCTCGTCCTTGAAAGCCAAGTCGGCGGGCACAGCGCCGGACCCGTCGTGCGCTCCGATGGCAGAGGCTTCGGCGCAGAGCGTCAGCGCTTCCAAGCTCCTGTCCTTCCTGCTCGCTGGCGTATTCTTCCTCCGTGCGCCCCCATCTTTGGCTAGCTGCGCCTTGACAACGCGATAAAAATCCGAGTAGGAGGCGGCGCGGCGCGTCAGGGTGGGCTCGGGCGGGGTGTTGGAGTCCTCAATTTCCTCGTAGACGTTTTCCAGCGGCTCGGAAATGTCATCAACCTTGCCGGTGCCCTGTTCAAATTCGTTCGGTCAGCTTTCCCGCGTCGGCGCATGGCGGTGGAAACCAAGGGGGAAAGGGCGACATGCATTCGGTTGCTGGCCGAGAGACTCGCTTCGGCGATGGGTCTGCGGCTGGGCGGTAGTCGTCGGCTTCTTGCTCGTAATTTCCGGCACGAAGCTGTACCACGAGTCTTCGTACATGACGGCCGATGGCTGGGGCAGGCCGTGGAAGTCCGAGCTGCGAGGAAGCTTGTTTAAGCTTTTGGTAGAAGCCACGGACGACTGTGCGACTCGAGGCGGCTCCGGCCCGAGCGGAATCAATTGCTCCGTCCGCCGATGTAAAAAAGTACCAATCGTCGTACCTTTAGCAGCAGCCTCCGGCGAAACGGATATCGATTATGTAATGCAGGTGCGGGCGTCGCTCCAGCTGCAGGGGCGGGTACTTTCCATCTACTTTCCCGACTACCGCCCATCGCCGTTTGAGGGCACGTCAGCCAATAGGAGCCGTCGTAGATGGCTTGTAACGACGGGTAATTAAGCAGCCGCACCTTTTAGCGTCGCAAAGTCTCAGTTGGTGCAAGTGGCAGAAAGTCCATGACCTCACAATCCATTTCCTAGATCCGACCATCGACCACTCTCAAACCCACTGCTTTGTCTGTGGCTCTCCCAGATCACGGTCTCCATCTTGAACGCCTCTCAAGCCATCCAATCCATCCACCCACGAGATACGGCAAACTTGTTCGTCATGAACTCGTCCCAGAAAGCTCTCCGGCGAGCGGCTCAGATCGGCTGCTCCGCGCAGAGACCAGTCGTCGCATCCCAACGCCAGTGGGCGCGGCACGCCAGTAATTCGACTCAGAAGCGTGGCCCACGTCGCGGTGGGAAAGTCGTCGGCTTTGCTGCTGTGTTCGCCGCCGCAGCTGCCGGCGCATACTACTATCCCCAGCTCTCGGGGCAGCCCGCACCCGAGCCGGACCAGGCTGAGCGGGCCGCACCCGAGCTGGAGTTCGAGAAGCCGAGGAAGCAGGCCGTGTCCAAGGAGGACAACAGGGACCTCATCAGCTCACAACATCTCCAGGTCAAGAACAGCTGGGAGCACCCGGGCGTCTACGCCTGGGGCTCCAATGTCGGCAAGGTCATCGATCCCAACTCCAACGACAAGTATGTCAAGCTGCCGCGGCGGATTGGCTTTTTCGACGACCAGCTTCTGCGAGACTTGAAGCTCACCCGGGAGTTTGGGGCCGCCATTACTGAAAACGGAGACCTGGTGCAATGGGGCTCGGGCTTTTCCAAGGCGGACCCTAGGCCCGAGGCGACTCTCAGGGGTAAGGATCTCGTCAAACTGGAGGTTTCGGCGGACCACGTAATTGCGCTGTCGCGGAAGGGCGCCGTCTACTCTATCCCCGCGTCACGCGACGATCAACAGGAGGGCGTGAAGCAGGAGAAGAGCAAGAGCTCGTGGTCTCTCTGGAGCTCCGGTGGCAAGGAGCCCATCAGCTTTAGGAACTTGACCCCCACCAAGCTGACTCGAGGTGAAAAGGTGACGGATATCAGCAGCGGCCTTGAACACTGCCTCCTGTTGACCAACCGCGGGCGAGTCTTTTCTGCGGCCTCAAGCGCCACCTCGTTCCCCGCCAAGGGCCAGATGGGCATCCCCGGTCTCGGCTGGGAGACGAGGCCGGCGGGTCCCTATGACCAAGCTCACGAGGTGGCGACTCTCGGCGGATTCGACATTGACAAGATTGCCACGGGTGATTTCCACTCGGTAGTCTCGGACAAGGCCGGGAGAGTGTTTACCTTTGGCGATAACACGTTTGGCCAGCTCGGATTTGAAGCCGAGGTGAGCCTGCCATTCGTATCGACACCGTCCATGGTGTCGACCAACAAACTCTACGGGAACAGCGGGCTCGTGCCCAAAGTGACAGCGATTGCCGCCGGAGGGGTCAACACCTTCTTCACTGTCGACGCAGAAGCGCCAGGGACCGGACGAGGCGTCTTGAGCGCGGCGCCGGCGAAGCGGATGCCTCGAACCGTCTCTGACCTGTGGGCCTGCGGGCAGGGCGTGTCTGGGACGCTGGGGACAGGCAAGTGGACGCACGTGTCGCTTGGACCGGCCAAGGTCAAGACGCTCTCGTCGCTGTTTGAGTTTGACGAGAAGACCAACCGGATGATGCCCATCAAGCTCAAGTCACTGAGCATCGGGAGCACGCACTGCTCGGCCGTCATGGACAACGTGACGGAGACCAACATCTCGAAGCAGTCGAGCGAGAACGAGACCAACTGGGGGGCGGATGTGGTGTTCTGGGGAGGCAACGAGCATTACCAGCTGGGCACGGGCAAGAGGACCAACATGAACACGCCGACGTACATTGGCCCGCTGGATGGGGGTTCAGGCGACGCGGACAAGGGGAGGGGGGGCGAGGTGCACCGCCTCTGCCTGACGCCGCGGTCGACGGCTCGCGTGGGCGAGGGTGGCATGGGCCGCAAGGTGACGCTGGAGCAAAAGGTCGAGTGCGGCAAGTTTGTCACGGGCGTGTATTCTGCCGTTTGAGGACCTGGCTGGGAGTATGAGGAGCGTCGCGTGGGGGCGTGGTCATGATGGGAGGCCGACAGGCGGCAATGCGAGGTGTCGGTGTCGAGCAGGAGGGTTTAGAGGTGACGTCGAGACGGGCCCTCGTATCGCGAGCGAGGTTGTCATTCACAGATGACGGGACAGATGACGGGGACGCCTGCATGGGCCTTACGTGGGGGGGGGGTTGCCCTGGCTTGGGGTGTGATTCCGTGGGCCCCTGGCAAGCTGAGGACGTCGTTGACGGGCCGTTTTCTTGTGTATCTCCCCATTTGGAGTCATAAGAAGGGAGGGAGGTATTAGTTCTGGACCAGAACTTGGCGTAGGCTGTAACTTGTAAGGGAGTCTAGCCGGAGGTCCCGTGTATTGACGGGGCGTGTATATTGCAACGAGGCCTGCTCCGCTCTGGAAAGCCTGGTCTAGACAGCACGGCCCTGACACAGTCTCAGCCGCGGCCACGCGTTGAGCGGTCGGTGGAAAACTTGAGACGGGCAAACCAACGCACTTGATCTCGGCCGCCGCCACATGGGATTAGCGATGCATTATGGAGGAGGCGGCGGCCTAAGAATAGAAGTCGCATGCAGCCTCATCCGTGCATCTGCTATTACCCGCACGAGGCTTGAAGAATACCTGAATACAGTACCTAAGGTGCTACCTACCTGCATGATACGGTCATCATATACGTACCGACTCAGCAGCAGGCTCCTCGTATGTACGTGCAGGCGCCTTGTCTCGTACATGGATGCAGTCATGAGTACTGTTCTCTTTCGTCCTGCCAGTGCCGTCACCGACCAAGGTAGACAGAACAGGTAATTACTGACTGTAATTATGAAGCTGTACCCGCACAAGCCATGTATGCTCAAGTACCTAGGTACCGACGGGGGCTCGCTTCTCATAGCCCTTTCCGCTATAAACTCACCTAGGTATCTAGGTACGTACCTGACTCACAGTACTAGTACCTAGGTACCTAGTAGCAGCACTCACCGCTGCCACCCACCCACTGCCGCCCCTAAAATACCACCCGTTCCCCCGCTACCGGTGCTACCGCAGCCGTCCACAAACGTCTTCAACGAGCCCGTCATCGCCAAAACCGTCCCTCTCCTCCCACTGCCACGAGCGCCGCCTCTTCCTCCTCCTTCTCACCCGAGACACGGGGCTTTGTCGGCTCCCCTCTTTGTCCCTCGTGTCCGGCCAGCTGAGCTGGCTACTGCCCCTCTCCTATTTTGTCCCCTCGCGTTGCTCTCTGCTGGCTGGAGACGGGACGAGTAAAAAACCGGCTCTCCTTTCTCCCTCCCCCCCTTTCACATCCTCTCTTGTTGCATCCCTCTCTGTTGCGTCTCCCTCTTCCTCCCCCCGGGCACCCGTGCGTGTGCGATCCGCCAGCATCGTTTTGCTCCCGCGCCGCCGCCGCCCGGGTGGTGGCCTCACCGTTCAAACCTCTGCCGACGCCTCCCAACGCCCAAGCCATGGACACGCTCTCGCGCCTTCGCCGAAAGCCCAAGCCCCCGACCATCGAAACCGCGGTCCGCCGCTCCAGCAGAGACGCCGCCGCCAGCGGAGAGTGGCCCAAGAGCCCCGAGGCCCCCGCTGCTGCTGCGCCTTCGTCGTCACCATCTTCGTGGTCGCCCCCGCCCCCGCCGCCGTCGCCGCCACCGCAGCAGCCGCGCATGCTGCTAAATCACCAGCAGAAGCAGCAGCAGCAGCAGCAGCCGCCGCTCCTCAAGAAGTCGCCTTTTCGGAGCCTCAAGATTCGCGCCTCGGCCAAGCGCGCCCGCCGCTCCTCGCCCGCCCACCAGCCCTCGTGCTCGCCCGTCGTCGCAGTCTTCAACCAGGACGGCGTCGCACCGCAGCCCGTGTCACGATGCACCACCAGCCATGGCCTCCAGCACCTGACCAACCATCGCCCTCCGTCCCGCCCCGAGCTGCCGGGTTTCCTCGCCCTCTCCACTCAAGGTTGGTTGTCTCGCCCGCACACTCCCTCCCCCTCCCTTCCTCTGACATGCGCCCAGAGATCGATCGCAAGTTCCACGAAATCACCTGGGCGGAACGCCTCCGAGTCGCCGACGCCCACCGCAACCAAAACATTGACGAGTACCGATGGGGCCACTACCAGCAGCTCGACTTCCACCTCCGGGGCGCCATGGACCGCTACAGCAACATCCGCCCCTGGAACTACAACCGCGTCAGGCTTCACGTCCCCGCCAACCAGTTCGATTACGTCAACGCCTCGGCCGTCGTCCTCTGCTCGCCCTCCGACGACTCCCTCCCGCCCCTGCGCTACATTGCCATGCAGGGCCCCACCGAACCCTCGTTCGACTACGTCTGGCGCATGGTCGCCGAACAGATGCCCTCGCCCGCCGTCATCGTCCAGCTCACCACCATGCACGAAAACGGCTTCGTCAAGTGCCACCAGTACTTCCCCAACTGCGACGACGAGTCCACCTGGTCCCTCAACGAGGATGACGTCTGGGCCGACGGCTGGACCGCCCAGCTCACCTTTGTCTGTCAGGACGAGGCCGCCGACGGCGCTATTGAGATTCGCAAGCTGCTGCTCGACGTCGAGGGCGAAGACAAGACGCGCGTCGTCTGGCATCTCCTCTACCGGCGGTGGCCCGACTTTGGCGTCCCCACCCTCCACGACATGGACGGCTTCTTCGAACTCATGAGGCTGTCGCGCGAGTACAGCGCTCCCTCGGGGCCTCGCATCGTCCACTGCAGCGCCGGCATCGGCCGCACCGGTACCTTCATCTGCCTCGAGCACCTGATGCGCGAGCTCGAAACGGGCGCCTTTGACGGTTATGACTCGTCGGCCAAGACGCCCGACCCTATCTTCGATGCCGTCGAGTCCCTCCGCCAGCAGCGCCGCGGCATGGTCCAGGGCGAGATCCAGTACCAGTTCATCTACCACGTCGTGCGCAAGCTCTGGCGCGACAAGTACGGCGTCCCGGACGACGACGAAGGCGGCGCGCACGACTGCGGCGAGCCTGCGCCCAAGAGGCTCGAGGTGGCGGATCCCTTTACCGACAAGACCGCCGACGCGGTGCCGGCTCCGTAGGCCGCCGCCGGCACCGACGCCTCGAGGTGGCGGCTCGGGTCGGCTTGCTGCATGGCGCGGCTGGGGCTCATGCGATCCGAGGCTCTGCGCCGGGCCAACTCTCCTTGGTACGACGAATAGGCCTTCCGTCTGCAATCTCACCACTACCACCGACACCAACACTACCAGCGCCATCATCACCACTGCCCTTCACACCACACCCATTCACTTGAACCTCAAAGCGCAAGGCCCTTTTTGGGGGGTTCGTTTTGGAGATTGGATATACATCTCCCTATCATGCCCTCCCTGTTTCCATTCCTCTTGTCTTGTTATACCCTCTTGTACACTTTTTTCATCTTTGTTCCAGGAAGGAAAGGGAGGAAGGAAGGACGAGATGCTGCATCGTACAGTCCGCAGCCCGGCGCGGCTACAAGGACGTTCGCCCGGGGCGGAGGGAGAGGTTGGAGAGCGGTGTTTCGGGCCGTCTTTTTCTTGTTTCTTTGCATCTCCGTCCCTCCATGTTCCGTTCTGGCTCGTGTTTGGTATTTCACGCGCAGTCTGTGCAAGGCGGCATAGCATGGTGCTTAGCCGAGAGCTTTTGGAAGCACCAGTCTTAGTCGCTGCCGGGGAAGGGGTTGGTGGGCAAGACTAAATCAATCAACCCGGTCGTCTGTCCCGGGACTGGGTCCGGCTCGTCACTCACCACATGAAGTCGCGCGCCCGCGCGGCCTGTCGTCAAGACCCGCCAAGGGAGGTGCAGCTGAAGCTGTGAAAACGCGTAACCAGCAATGAGAGCCGGCATAGTCCCAGGGCCTAGCCAGAAGAAGGGAGAACCCCAAAACGGGTGGGACGAGGACGAGTGAAGGCTCACCGCGCGTTGCAGTATTCCAGCTTCCACCCTCGTTCAACACCGCGTCTCCTCTCCATGTACGGATACAGACCACCGTAAAGCAGGGCGCAATATACCCAGAAAGGAACGGAAACGGCATTGCTGCTACAATGTAGCGTTAATTCCAACGATGTTGTCAGACCCATAAGTGACAAAACTATTACAATACAGTACACCATCGATGCCCATTCTATACACTGCTCTCCATCTCCCAACTTCTAAAGTGTGCATTCGTCATGCGTATTACGTGCAAGAACCCAACGGGCCCCTTCCCAAGAAACGAATCCCCACTCGCTCAATGCGGCCCCAATGGCCCTCCCCCTCCCCCTTCTCCAACGCAGCCTCAACTGGTGGGCACAAGAAGCGTAACCGTCCGGGTCTCTCGCTCCTTCTCCGTGACTGTGACGGTGAGATAGACGGACACGGTGGGCGTGCCGTTGACAACTTCGGTGGTGCGAGGCGCGCCGCTGTCTCCTATGCCGCCTCCTTGGCCGTCCTCAGGGCTGGCGGCCTGCGTGGTCACCGTCGCCGCCTTCCCAATAGGTAACGGATACTTGGAGGGATTCGGATGGGCCAATTTCTCGCTCGGGCCGTCTTCGATGGGGATAACCACCAGGGGCGTGGAGGCGGGGTCTCCGTTGCTGGAAGAGGGCTCGTCTTCGATGGGAATAACCACCAGGGGCACGGAGGCGGGGTCTAGGGGACTGGGAGAAGCGGGGGGAGGAGTTCCCTGAGCGACCGGGCCAGGGCTCGAGGGTGTGGGATTCGGCTTGAGCGATTGAATTGCGGACGCAAAAGTGTCCACGTCGCTCAGAGGCAGTTTGGGAGGTTCGCCCACAAGCGCTGGAGGCGGAGATGGGGTTGATGGCGGGGGCGCCGGCGATGGTGGAGGCGCCGGCGGTGACATGGACGAGGGAGCTGCTGGCGGCACAGGCGAGGGAGCCGGTGGAGGCATGGGTGACGGAGCTGCTGGCGCCACCGGCAATGGCGACGCCGGGGATGATTCAGGGGGCTCCGGCACATTCGTCAAACTAGTAGCGGGAGAAGCGGGCGGCGGCTCGGGAACCGTGGATGGCGTCTCAAGAACATTGGCCGGCGGCGATAGGTCCGCGATCGGAAGAGACGTGCTACCCACGATAGTGATGAAGGTCGTCGTGGTCAGGGGCGGTCCCCCCATCACGGTAGCTGTGGTCGTCTCGGCCGGTACCGGGGCCACACTGGTCGGGGTCCCTCCGCCGGCCCCATTTCCAATGACACTCTGCGCCTCCTGAGGATTTCTGCAACCGATGGAAACGCCCTCTGTCATGGGCATCGGGAAAGCCAGGCATTTCTGGTCTCCCGGACACGCCTCGAGTTGGAACACGCCGGAGCTACAGCGAGCGATCTGGCCTTCGATACAGGCAACCTGCGTGCCGGAACAGGCGGACTGGGGCGTCAGGCCAGAGTTCAGGTTGTTGAGGCTCTTGGCCTGAGCAAGGTTCGTTTCGTACACGTTTGCCGGTACGGAGGCGGTACCAACGGGGTAGTCTGTCCTTTGCGTGGGCACCAGGGGATTCGGTGAACCAGTTGGCTGGACGGTGACTGGAGGAGATTCCGGGGTTGGTCCTGGCGCCATCGACGAGGGAGATGGCGTGGGCGGCAGCGAAGGCGGCAGCGGGTCAGTCCTTGGAAGAGCCAGGGAGTCGGTGGGAGACTGCGTCGACGGTAGTGGCGGCGGCAGAGGGTCGGTCCTTGGAAGAGCCAACGAGTCGGTGGGTGACGGCGTTGATAGCAGTGGCGGCGGGGGGAGAGGGTCAGTCCTTGGAAGAGCCAGGGAGTCGGTGGGTGAGGGTGTCGATAACAGTGGCGGCGGCAGCGGATCAGTCTTGGGAAGAGCCAAGGAATCAGTAGGAGATTGCGTCGACGGTAGTGTCGGGGGCAGAGGGTCAGTCCTTGGAAGAGCCAGGGAGTCGGTGGGAGACTGCGTCGACGGTAGTGGCGGCGGCAGGGGGTCAGTCCTTGGAAGAGCCAGGGAATCGGTCACCGACTGCGTTGAGGGCGGAGGTGGCGGGAACGGGTCGGTCTTTGGAAGAGCCAACGAGTCCGTGGGTGACGGCGTCGACGGTAGTGGCGGCGGCAGAGTGTCAGTCCTTGGAAGAGCCAACGAGTCTGTGGGTGACGGCATCGACAGCGGCGGGGGAGGGTCGGTTTTTGGAACAGCCAAGGAATCAGTGGGAGACTGCGTCAACGGTAGTGGCGGCGGCAGGGGGTCAGTCCTTGGAAGGGCCAGAGAGTCAGTAAACGACTTCGTCGACGGCAGCAACGTCGGCAGCGGGTCAGTCTTTGGGAGTGCCAAAGAGTCAGTAAACGACTGCGTCGAGGTAGAGGCCAGGCTTGTAGCAGGTGTTTCCGTGGAAAGGTCGCCAACAGGTCCATTGTAGACAGTCGTGCTTGGAAGCACTTTTGACGGGCTGGCCATCGTTTCAGGCTGGGCAACAGGTGGTGACGAGGCTAATGAGCCGCCTCCGGTCGAAGCGACATCACCTGTCCCTGAGCCGACGGCGGCGGAGCTTGGGATCGCGGTGCCGGTCGGGATTCCCCTTTCAGCGCTCGAGATTGACGAAGCCTCAGGCTGTGAGGTTGTTGGAAGAACGGAATCGCTCTCTGCCGTGCCCAAATGGGTTGTCGTGCTTGGCAAGAGCCCTGCCATGCTCGGTGATGCGGTCTTCGAGTCCATGCCTGTGGGCAGATTGTCTGGCGGGGTTGTTGTCCCGCTCGGCAAGGCGGTTGGAGATTCGTACGACGCAAATGGCTCTGAGGTGGAAGCCTGCGAGCTGAGGTCACTTGGAGACGTTGTCGACTCAGAAGGCTCCGTACCGGCAGGAGAAGTAGCGGTTGAGAGCGTGGTTGGCACAGGAGTACTCGACGACTCGGCTGTTGATAGCGTAGCTGCGCCAGACGAGCCAGGGGTGGACATGTCAATGCTTGACTGAGCACTTGTGGTCTCTGCGCTAGAAGAGGGCGCCGTGATAGACTGTGTGCTTGAAGCAGTTTCCCCGGGGGGGGTATAAAGTGCGGTCGAGCTTCCAGTCGCAGTTGACGACTCGTCGATAGGGATAACCACGAGAGGTATACTCGACGGCTCGGCTGCAACTGGGGTGACAGCTGGCTTGGGTGAAGAAGCAGGGCCCACACTCTCGCTTGCCGGCGTCACTGGAGTCGTCGCTGGAGCATCGCTCGAGCTGGCATCTTGTAAGCCGTCGAAGAAGTGAGGCCGAGAAAGGGGCGAGACAAACCTGTCGGGCACTGGAGAGAGCGTGTAAAGTTTCGGGGTACTAGAGACATCTTGCCGCCTTTCTACTCTGGCCGCTGCTGTTAGCCATAACGGGGAGAACAGAGAAGAGAGATGAAGGGAGTCACAAACACTTTGCCAGCCCAATTCAAGGGACCTGCCTGTCCGGGCTGACTAGTCAAGAGAAGGATGGCGGCGGCGGCAAGTCGAACCTGGCCGCGCATCTTGCTGCCGCCGGCTGTCAGTGCGGCAGAGACGGGCGAAAGACTTGTGTAAACGGGGAGGATGCCGAGAAAGAAATCCGCAAAAGGAAATGATGGGCCGGGTTGGATTTTGTTTAGAGAGAGGGAAAAGAAGAAGAGAGGAAATGGACGGGCAGGGAAGAATGAGCAAACGGTTTTGTGATGAGTTGCTTTATCCGCAGCAAAACGGCATCTTCTGGACAGACAGAGGACGGTGACGGGACAAAGCCGCAAGATAAAGAAGCCAAATGGCGTGGGAAGAAGGAGGAAGTGAGAGGAACCGCATACGAAGAGCCGATGAAGAACGGACGCGTCTAAAGACGGACGAGGAAAAGCAAAGGGGTTCCTGACAGAGATGTTCGGAGACACAAAGGCAACGACGAAGAGGCAGACGACTCAAGGAAATCCACAGTTGTACAAGAAACAGGAGCCCAGGCCGAATCCGCCGGCGGAGAAGGACAAAGGGAAAGGGAAGCAACAAAGAGAAGAAGATCCAAGATCACGAACACACGGGCAAATCGAGAGCTGATCGACGTCCCCGAGCCCATTATGTATCCCCCCTCCCTCGCCCCGACTCTTCCTCTTGTCCCATTGTCACGCTCCAGGCCGCCCGACCGTCAGCTCGAGCAGCCGCGGGCCACCAACAGCAGCCCGGGGCCTTTTGCAACAAAGGACGGGACATTGGAGCCGAGCCCCCAGGCCCGCCCCAGCCAGCCAACGCTCGGGCGAGGGGAGACAGGGCGAGCTCTGCATCCGCGCGGCTGCTCGACTGGGCGCCAGGTCGCGTCGTGATTGGCGTGCGAGCTGCGGCTTGCGGGAGCCGCCCGCCGCCTGCCGTGAGACGCTGCTGGCCAATCGCCCGCGCTTCACCGGCCTCGCTTGTTGCATCGCTTTCACGCCGCTGCTCGTGTCCGGGATGATTTGCTGCCTGTTTTCGTTGGGCTGTGCCGTCGAGACTTTTCCTTTCCACTCGTCGTGTTTGTCTCGCTCTCTTGTTCCTTCGTTCCCCGCCCCGGTTCTTTCCTGCGACGGTGGTCGCTGGTCTCACGCGGCAGGTTCTGGCCCGGGCATGCCTTCCCACCACAGACCCCGGAATGCTTAGCGCATTGCTTGCGTCCAGAGTGAATTCGAAATAGACCTCCGTATCGCCATCATTTCTCGCATGCACGCAATATCCAACGTATAATGCACGGGTGCCGGCATCCAGCATCGCTAGCCGCCGAGCCTGCTTCTCATGCGGTATGCCGTAGATGATAAGAGACGGACAGTTTTGCCACACCCTCCAGCCACCGCGGTGTCTGCTCTAGCCATGTGATGCAACATCTATGATCCATCAATCCATATCTTGCATGCGCAATCAGGGGGTATCCATCCGTCGTCTATTGTCCTCATCCGTCATGGCCACCACACGCCCAGCCGCCGCGTCTAATCAACACCAGTTCCCCGAGGGGTCCTGTGGCCCTGCAACGCCGTCCCCATCGCCGCCGCGAGGCAATCCGCAATAGCGCATGTGGTGTAATCTTCCCTTGACGAGAGCGTCCTCCACGCGAAACGCGGCCTCGGGCTCCGGAGCTTCTGCTGTCTGCTCGACCGTCTGCCAGTGTCGTACTCTGCCCAGTACGCGCTGCAGCGTGGCGATGAAGTCGTCTTGCTGCATGTCCACAAACATCGCCACGGCCTCCTCATCGGGCCACGCCCACCCTGCAGCCGACGCCTCCAACCCCTGCCGCAGCGACTTGACCACTGCGTCGCCAAGCATCGGCTCTGCCAGCAGCCGGAACGCACACAGCGTCTCGAAAAAGTTTGCGTGATGTGGCGGCTCATCCAGCTCCTGAATCGCGTCCACCACGTCCGGCTGTTCCCACTCCTCCATCAACCAACGCAGCGTCCTTGCCATCTCGTCAAACTCGCCCAGAAACGCCAACGAGACCATGTAGTCGTATGCATGTTCACTGCTCACCGGGTCCGTCCGGCAAGCCATCCGATCCAGTGGTGCTACTTGGTGCACCTCCAACAGCCCTTGGTTGTGCCTCTCCTGCGCCACCAGCCCATTAAACATATCCTTGATGCGCTCTGCAGCCGCCCTGAGGAGCGAGTAGGGCGCCTTCCCGAGTGCATCGTCTGTTCCTTGATCTGCAGTACTCAAAGTATAAAAATGTCCAAGATGATTCTTCTTCGCCCCCTCGGCCGTCTCTAGATCAATCAGTAGCTCGGGCAGCTCCCGTCTGATAACCTTGCGAATGCATTTAGCAAACTGGATGAACGTGGGCAGAGTCATTCCACTAATCTCGTCGATGCGGTCCATAATTCGCAGGAAAAGTCGGAGCTGCTCCGAGCGGGAGACCTTGATGGCTCTGCGATGCTGCGAAAGAGCCTTGAGCAGGGGCCCCCAGATGACCGGAGCCCAGCGAGAAGAGGCGGCATCCAGTCGAAGGCTGGCTAAATGCATGCCGCGCCTCAGCGGCCGATCCCCCCGCCTTCCATCCACCCGCGAGCACACCTGAATGTAGGCTTCAAACAGGTTCATGGGCACAGCCCTGAGCTGTTCCGGCTTGGGATCATCGGCGGTCAGGCTGTCAACAATCGTTTCCTTCTCTGCGCTGTCTCGCAGATAGCCGTGTGCAGTGTCAAGGGACTCGGCATTCGCTACGAGGATCTGAAGGCAGCTGCCCTTTGGTCTGATGCCGTTGAGTCGCATCTGCCGATACAGTTGCGTCACACTTGGGGGGCGTAACCGGACCCTCTCAAACTCGGCCAGGTTTGCGTCCCGAAGTGTAGGAAAGCTCAACGCCTTGTCTCCGGGCAACAAGTGGCTGTTCCCATCGGCCTCGCGTAGAGTCAGCTTTTCAAACATGGCCGAGTACTGCGCTGGACCAGGCTTCCAACCAGGATGTGGGGGGTCCTGGAATCTCTCCCACGCCTCTTGCGCGTTCCGCGTCGCTCTGATGGAGGCCTCCCAGGTTCCGACGTGCCGTTGATTCACAATTGTGATCCTTTGGTGAATGGTGGGTGTCCCATCTGTTGTCATGCCCTGAAGAACGTCGAGAGCATCATCACGCTCTTCCTTTGCAAACCCAGCCTCTTGCATCAAGATGCCAGCGTTTACAGCCCGGCTCCAGCTGTCCTCTGGATCGGCCGTCTCGTCCATACCGTCCGCAGGCCGCAAGTAAGGAGGCCAGGTCGCTGCATATCGTGTTGCGCTGTGCATTTCCGTCTGGTTCTTGGCCTGGCCGGCTAGTACGCCACGGATGGCCCGAAACGCTTTCCGGCTCACCTGCAGTGGCTTCTCCAGGCCGGCGGACGCGGCAAGCAGCGTCCTCTGCGCCTCCCAGAAGTACGCATTGGGGCATCTCCTTTGCATCGGATGCGCTCCTTGTCGCGGCTGGAGCATCGACAAGGCGTTGTTGAAGACCTCGCACTGAATCAGGTACAGCTTCCCAGACGCATCGGCATACGTCGCCATCTTTTCCACGAACCGCGCGGCGATAACTCCAAGCTTGACAACGAACCTAGGCTCCACCAAGAGACAGTGAGTTACCAGCAAAGACATGATGTGGCTGAGCCCGTCTCGGCTTAACGCCAGCGATTTCTCGAGTCTTTCCGTCCCTGTTTGGAGGCCCAGTTTCGCTCCCGGCTCAGTTTCGTCCTCATAATAAGTATGGCAGGATTCAATCAAGGAATAGAGCGTGTTGGCCTTGGTGATGTTCGAATACGGTCTGAGAAGAAAGGCGAAGAGAAATTTTGGTCCGGGGGAGTGGCGCTCAAGGAATCGTTCACAGCGCTCGTCATCTGTCTGGCCCTCGAGGACGTACAGGCAGTCATCCAAGTCTCTGCTTGTTGGATCGGACCTCGACGCAATTTCGGCCTTCTTGTCCAGTTCCTCGTCGCTCGGCAGCAATTCTCGCAGTTTGCTACTCCCGGGCAGCGCGAGCGACCCTTTTCGGAGCAGCAGTTGCAGGAGAAGGATGGGAAGTTGCAGACTGCGAGCCATTGCAGCCTCTCGCATCCAGTAATGGCCGCTTTTTCCGCCACGGATTGCTTTGCTCAGCAATACGCACGGCTCAGCCTCTGCTAACTCATGCACCGAGTGTTGTTTCCGTACGATTGGTCGCCCGGCTGAGCCAACGTGGAGGTCGTTGGGTATGAGCTCGTTCCGATCGCCCCAGCCGAAGATGGTTTCTTCTTTTGCAGCCGTCGTTTTGTTGTCAGCGTAACGCAGACGCTTACGCCAGCCAGCGGAAGAGAGCTTGCCGGGGGCTCCGCTACTGTGAGCGACGCGAGGCCGCGGAGGTTCATCGTATTGGGGGGCGACAGCAAGCTGAGCACCAGCTATATGGCGGCTCCAACCGTGCGACGGAGAGCGGCAAGGCTGTGCCTTGGTGCTCGGTCAGTTGTAGTTCTTGCATTTAGAATCCGGTCCAAGGCTTGTCAAACTCACTCCAATCGCACCGAGCACATGGTTTGGCAGTCGCCGCCTTCGCTCCAGCTCCCGTTTCGCATTCCTGAGCATGCCTCGTCATGCTTTCAACGTAATGGATGCGGCGACAGCGAAGGGATCAGAGGGATGGACGGCTTATATAGCGAACGATGGACAAGGTGTTAATTGCTCTTGATATTTCCAGCTTCGGATGGAAGCCGGGTGGATCCAATGGAATATGCATCAACCGGGGTGTATGAGTATATCGAGCTGCAGGCGGTGCTAGCCGCCGCAAAGCAAACAGCTCCAAAGCCAACGGCATCAGCGTCGGGAGTTTGTTTGCAACAGTTGTAACAACCGGAACAGAGCGGAAGAAATCGCTTGTTTGTATTTGATTATGAACAAGTTTTTTTTTTCAGTGGCCTCCCGGCAAACGCCATTTCGGGAGACCCGTGGTCTAAATCACCACCAGATTTACCACCCCAACACATCCCCCGATTCGCTCGATCAATCATTGGGCGACTTCTCACTGTCTTTGGATTTCTTCTTTTCCTCATCGTCAAGTGCCTTATCTTTTCGCTTCTGCACGACCTCCCAGTTGTAAACTCTGGCAGTCGCAACCTCCATGGTCTAGCCATGTCGTCAGTTCCCCGTCGTCTCCTGAAGGGATCACTCTGAACACATACTGTGATCTGTTCTCGCAGAAAATCCAAGTCCTCCTCGCAGTTTGTAAGGCTGGCCTTTGCCGTAGCCAGCTTTGACCTTAACAGAGTCTCGGCTTCCTCTATGGGGTATGAAAGCATTACATTGGCCTATGCCTCTGTCAGTGTTACTTGTTCTCGTCGCGGTCATCGTGCAAGTCGAACCCCTAGCCAGATGTAGACCTCGTCAGTCGGCGGAACGTTCGCCTGGGCATAGAGCGTCTCGTTGAGCTCAAATGTCGTCTGTATGGGGTCGGTCTCGTCCTGGAGGCTCGAGTCAGCTCTGCTCGGCCACGCTCGAAGCTGCCAAGCGCACTTTTCTCGACTTCAAGAATTGAACCGTGTCCAGAGTCTTCTGAATGTCCGGGATCTTCTCCTTCAGCCCCGCCATCCTGCGCTGTAGGTTCATCTCCATGAACTGGTATTTCCTGCAGCAGCCTGGTTACCACCGAATACCTAGAAGCCGGCCTCGTCCCGTATCCTCGGGCATCAAGTCGACTTACGAGATCATCTCCTGGAAGCTCCGCAGCGTCGGCTCGACATCTTGACGTGCTGCGACGTAGTCCTCGACCTTGTCCACGAATGGCGCATGTGGGATTCCCCGCGGGTTGCTGGACGTAGCATCGTCGGCACTGCAACAAACTCTCGTCAGTAACGCTTCAGCACTCTTGTACGAGGCTCTACAGCTTCAAGACTTACCCTGCGACCGGCGCTTTGTCTGTGCCCGCCATATTCGCAACCATGCCACTCTTGAACGCGCAGTGGAATTGTAGCCGCTAGGGAGGAGCTTTTGCACCAGGGTTATGTATTTCGTCAGTGGGGTGCCGGCCACGGTGAGAGCCAGAGTGGGGTCAGTCTCACCGCGGTCGTTTCGCTCGCTCACCTGGATTTTGTCGGTGAGAGGGGTACAGGGTAGTAGGAGCAGGGAGATGCCAAATGTGAAGTTCGCGGGAGTGGAGAGAAAGAGAGCCATGGCTGTGGCTTATCCGAGTATATATGACCGGACGGACCCTCGAGCTGAGATAATGCATCACATATTGGGTAAGGATGCACGATCATGTGTCTACAAGGCTATGCTTTGAGCCTTTGGTAGTAAAGGTCAATCCTTTCTATGACTGGGTGGACATGCTCAATAAATGAACGCATGACGAAGCTCTATTATGCTGCCATGACAAATCGATATACGGTCACGAGTGGATGTGAGCTGCGTGGTGGCAGCTTCACAAACAGAGAAGCGATCAAAAAGAGAAAAGTAAAGTATGTGTATGCTGAACCCCTCCCCCGTCTTTGCCGGATCGTCTCCAGGACGCACGACGCACGCCTGGAACAGCAAGGACAGCAGGCAACAACGACGAGTCCTGCTTCGTATTAATATTCAACGACTGCCAAAGCTCTTTTACCTCGGAGGCAAAACAGCTAGGCAAGGAAACACATCCGTTCAGGAACTCCAAGCGCTCAGCATGACGACCTAGTAAATCGACTCTAACGCCAAGAATAGCATGCCCGTAATCACTAGTACACATGATAAAACGTCAACAGCCGTCGCAGCAGTCCACGCAGAGAAGCCACTATGGCTTAGTCCGCTCGCTTCTTGGCGTCTCCTGAATCAGGGGCGTCAGAGTCTTTGTTCTTGCCGATCGGAGACGCGAACGCATCAGCGGCGCCATTCCCGTCCCAGTCATCGGCCGCGTTTTCGTCCCAATTGTCAACCTCTTCCTCCAGTGTCCTGGGCTGGACTGGGCCTTCCACTATTCCCGTCTCGTGGTCATGGCCCAGCTCCACGTCTGCACCGTCCTCGCCAGGCACCGCGTTGTAAGTCTTGAGCTGTCTTCTCCGCTCGAGCATGCGCCTGTGGTACCACGAGCAGAGACCCACCCCCGCCAGGCTGCCCACAACGTTGGCCACGATGTCGTACATGTCGAAGTCGCGGTCGTTGGGCAGGAAACTTTGGACGAATTCGGAGCCCACACCGAGTGCGAGGGTGCAGACGACAAGCGTCATGTTGAGGGTCCGCCGGCGATTGGTGTCGACGATCCAGTAGAAGACAACTGTGAGGAGGAAGAAGGTGACTGTATGGAGGACTTTATCGTTGACGAAGTGGCCGACCTGGAGCGTCGTGAGACCGGCGTACCCAGCGAGCAGGAGCAGCAGCAGGAAGACGCCTTGTCGCAGACACAATCAGCCGGTTGCCTGCGCCTAATTTGATGATGTTGGGCACCGTGAGGAAGTACGGAGAACCTACCAGCAAACGGCAACCGTATGCGCATCGTGGAGCGCAGCCGAGGCCTTGCGATGCCAGAGGGTTGCGAGTCGATAGATTCCAGGCAGAGAGCCAGCCACTTTAGCTACTGAGCAACCTCGCCCAAGCCAAGCCTCGGGATTTGCGGGAGAATCGATTGCCGTAAACGCTTCTCGGAGCAACAGCGGAGGGAGAAAGGTACGGAGAGGCGCGGCGGAGTCGAAGATGGCTGTCAGGTGGGAACGGGGGGGGGGTTAATCGAAAGCTGCCACTGGGGCTGGGAAGCTGTGGCCAGGAGCGAATGGGGGCATGGTCTAGACCTGGAGATACCGGGACCTATGTACCTATGCGGGGTGCGAGGCTTGAAGCGGTACCCCGGAGAATGTACCGGCTGGTAGTGCATGGTTTCATCTGTCCTGGCCTGTCGTGGTACAGGAAGACGAAGAGGAGGCGGGAGGCCCGATGACGAAAGGCGGCTTGTTTCCCGGCGCAAAGTCCACTACTCCGAAAAAGTACAGGATATGCCGCATCCCTGCCACGCGGCACGTCTTTTGATTGTGCATTTGGGCAGCGTCGATTGTGCTATGCTCCTCGTGCTGTTGATGGCGGCTCTGAGGTGCGAGTCACAGAGTCACGTGACAATTTCCACGACCCTGCGCGGGGGTTCCGTGTGCGTCTTCGGCGCCGAAAGAGGAGGTTAACCACCTGCGAAGCGCCGCAGCTACACAGGCCCCGTGTCGTCGAGTTTGCTGAAGCATCACCGCGCGCGCATTTTGACGTAAAAGAAGCCTGACTGTTCCTCGGACCGACTTTGGACTCGGTTGAATCGCCTTTCTGCCCCCGTGCGGCTCGAGCAGGTATATTTCCAGCTGCCCTGCGGCGGCCGCCAAACGCGACCCCAGAACCTCGCGATACCTCTGGCTCCTCGGCCCAGCCAGCGACGCTCGAGGTACCGGTACCTCAACCCGGCGCTTGGGACCCCCGGTGTGGGAAAAGTCCCGCTTTGGGGGCGATACCACGCTCTCCCCAAATCCTCAACCTCACCTCTTGATCCGCCGACAAATCGCACTCGTCGCGATCCATCAACGCTCCGCTATCGCGATCCCGTTTGTCGCGAAACCGCGTCTGCCATCTCTGTCGATGCCGCTCCAACGCTCCATGGCGTTGTGATTGCCCCAGCCGCCCTCGCTTTGGCCCTGCGCGATCACATCTCCCTGCGCATGGCGACACTGCGCCCGGTCGTCGCCCCCATCGCCACGGGCCCGAAATGTCGCTACCCAACGGCCAGCCCGCCTGGCCCCCTCCATCCTTTCACCACATAGGCAGCGGTCGATCTCTGAATCATCTCGACGATGGTTCGGCGCGCACCCAGACACCCGTCGACAATACCATGGGCTTGATGCCTGAGGCATCAGTAGATGTCGAGGAGGAGCATCGCCGCGCTTTATTCGCCGACATGTATCGCAAAACCGAGGACAAGGTCGCGCTGCTCTTTGCAGAAGACGGCTCATACAATCTCGGCGCGATTGCCGCCCTCAAGCGAAAACCTTCCCCTTCCACCGTCGCCCTGCCCCCAACCACCGACCACGAGCCCATCAAGGAGCCACCCCTGAAAAAGGCGAAGCGCGCAATCAACGAGGATGACTACGACGACGACGACGACGACGACGACGACGACGACGACGACGACGAAGCAGGCGAACCCGCTGCGTCAGCACATAAGCCGCCCATCGCCGCCGTTGGCTCGCTCTTGTCTCCCTCAAAGTCCGGCAGTTCTCCAGTCCAGTCCATCAACTCGCCTGGAAAACATATTGACAGGCGCAAAGGCCAGGATGGCTCGCAAGGAAAGCTCCAGCCAGACGATGACGGCATCAAGAAACTCGAGGAGGCGAGGATCGCCACTGAGGAAACCGCGCGGAAAAGCTTCCACACAATCTTCTACACACTGGAAAACGACAGTATAGCTATGCTCGAGCAACAACGACTTGAGGATTCAGAGAAGCAACTGCAAGCAGAGATGGACCACAACACCACCTCGCACGCCGGTGGTGCCCAAGCCACGAATCAGGGAACTCTGAGCAGCGCGAATCTGGGTGCCTCCAGCCTGACCCTCAAGCATCTTATTGCTAGAATCGATATGAAGCGTGACCAGGTGCGCGCGTCCGACGCAGAGCTGCGGCTTCTCATGAACGAAGTGCGAAAGAATCGAAGCAAGTGGGCGAGTGAGGAGAATGTCAACCAGGAAGAGCTTTACGAGGCTTTGGAGAAGGTTTTGACGGAGCTCAAGGCGCACACGGAGTACTCAACGCCTTTTCTTACCCGAGTCAACAAGAGAGATGCCCCCGACTACTACAACTGTAAGTTCCAAGGCAACGTACGCCTACGCGACCCTTGCCCTCGTTGACCACGACCCCTCAGTTATCAAGAACCCCATGGACTTGGGGACAATGACGAAGAAGCTCAAATCTTTAACCTTCAAGTCGAAGACGGATTTTGTCACGGACCTTAACCTGATCTGGGACAACTGCCTCAAGTACAACCAAGACATGAACCATCCTCTGCGGCGCATGGCAAACGGAATGAGGAAAGAGGCCGAGAAGCTCATCCCGCTGATTCCGGACCTCGTCATTCGCTCTCGAGCCGAAGTCGAAGCCGAGGAACGACGCAAACAAAACGGCGGAGACGACGACAACGGCGACGACTCTGACGACGAGCCGATAATGTCGTCTCGTGGACGAAAAGCGGCCACCAAGGGCGCCAATAAGTCTCGGAAGGCGCCCAACGACCAGAAGGAGGACACCCCCGTGGTAGACCAGAAGCCAATCCTCCAAGTCAATGGCCTGCTGGGAAAGCCAGGCAGAGAAGGCTCCGAGGCCATGGATGGGAGCAACGGATTTGCCACTCCTCCAATTGGCGGATCGAACACCCCTAGCGGGATAGTCAATGGCCACTCGGGCTTGGCAAGCAATGCCGACGCCATGGATATTGACGGGCCTAGTCTCAATGGCATGGGCTTGAATCAGTTTGGGGCGGCCGTCGAACAGGTCTACGAGGACGACGAGTACAAGCTTTGGAAGCAAACGACCAAGAAGGACCGCGCTCTGGTGGCCAAGGAGCGCCACCTCCTTTTCAAGGATAACACTCTCAATGTGGACGCCCCGGCATTGCTCAGGAGTAAAGCCGGCATGCAACGAATCTTGAAACACCAGAAGGAAGCCGAAGCGCTCGGCATCGCGAGCTATCCGCAGCTGGGTGGCACGACGAGCACAGAAAAGGACGCAGGCAACAAGGCGTCGGAAACACTTGCAGATGGAATCGACGAGGAAGCAGAGAAGGTCATCCCGGACTACTACGATTCTCTCAGCAATATTCCCGACATTCAATCAAACCTCCAGTGGGTCGAGGATGGGGATGGCCAGGTTATCAACCAGCATGAGGACTTTCTGCGGCTCGTGCCATCCGGGGCCTTTGTGGCGCCGCGGAGTCGACTGACGAAAAGGATGGACGACAATATCCACCAAATCCAAGAGACGAGGAAGCTTGCGACAAAGATATCCGTCATCAAGCAAATGCAGGTGCAATCCCAGGTTTACACCAACCAGTTTCCCAAGTCCAACACCGAGGTTTTCGTCGAGCAGGACATTGAGCCGCACTTCATTGCCCATGACGGGCCTGTCATGGCATCCGAGACTTGCCAAGACGCCTTGAAACGTTCCATTGCTAAAATTCTCTATCTCACCGGCTTTGAGGAGCTACAGCCGTCGGCCATCGACACCCTGACCGGAATCGCGGCCGACTACTTCCAGACCATCTCCAGGACGTTCAACATTTACCGCGAGGCCGAAAAGATGACTGTGCAGACACCCGAGGGACCGCAACTGCGGTCCCGCTTCACACCCGAGGAAGTCATCCTGCACACGTTGGAGGAGAACGGCCATGACGTGGCTTCGCTGGATTCATACGCCAAAGACGAGGTGGATCGACTCAGCTCGAAGCTGGGTGCCCTCCACGAGAGGATGAAGCTGCATCTCACAGACCTCCTGCGGCCGGCCTTATCTGCAGAAGCTGGCACTGACGGCGTCGGCGCCTTCAACGACGGCAGCGAGCAGTTCATGAGTGGCGACTTTGCCGAGGACTTGGGCGAAGACTTCTTTGGTTTCCGGGCCTTGGGCCTCGACAAGGAAATGGGCCTCGATTCCTTCTCCGTGCCATTCCACCTGCTGCACAGCAGAGTCAGGAGCCAGTACCAGATGCAGACCCAGGTTACGGGAGGGACTTCGTCAGATCTCTTCGAGGCTCTGCCGGCCTCGGACCCCGTCACCAAGGAAAATATCCAGGATCAAATCGGGCTGGCCAAGAACTTTTTCCTCGCCAAGCTGCACGCTAACGGTGATCAGCCGCTGGTAGAGGACGAGGATCTCCCGGTTAAGCAGAGGAAACCACGGCCCCGGCTCGGTGCCAGCGGCAAGATCATGTCCGCTCAGAAGCGCCCGCCAAGGGAGCAGCTGGCTCTGGCGAAGAAGAAGAAGAAGATGGAGCTTGCCGCCGCCGCCGCCGAAGCCAAGGCCAACGCGTCTGGTGAAAAGGGTACGGGATCAGCAAGCACCACGCCGGCCAAGAAGAAGCTCGGCAGCCTGCCCAACGGGACAGCTGCTCCCAACCCTGCTGTGCTCGCGCTCGGGGCCAGCATGGAGCGGACGGACAGCACGCAGAGCCAGGCCGGCAACAGCCAGACGGACAAGGATGACAACACGGGCATGATGAGCCCGGAGAGCATTGCTCAGTAGCCACGGCAATCTCTCGACATCGAAAGGACGAATCGTTTACCACCATGTACATACGAAGCTACGCAAAAGGCGCCGAGCCATGTTTACCCCTCTTTTTCTTTTTGGTGTGGCCCGGTGTGGCGAGCAGCCGACGAAGAGAGCGCTGAAAGCTTGGGAGACTCTACGGGGTCACGAGAGCAACGCGACGTCCCATAGCGTTTTGGAGCTCGACTGCTTTCTTGTGCGATTAGTGTACTTTTGTCTAGCCGTTTTGTGCATGGCATCTCGGCCCTTGGCTTTGTCTGGCTTGCTTGCTCTTGGGCCTCGACCTGCTCGCACGCAGACCGGCCTAATTCTGGCTTATGGGGTCTTTCGATTCCTCATCTAGACCTTTCCTGCTACCGAGACTTTCCCCTGCCTTGCCGCATGTTTGGCGCCGCGTCTGGAGCGAGCCACTGCTTGGAGTTACCACGAAGTCAAGTGGAAGGGGCGCAGCGTCGAAGAGAACAGCCCGTCTGGGCGGCGTATATGGGGAACGGGGGAGAGAGGCCTTCTCGACATCCGACTTGGCCCAAGAGACGCACCATCTGGCGCTCTCCCCTCCCGCTACTGCCGACGGCTCTTGAGCTACTTCCCAGCATGGCTCGAAACAAAAGCGGGAAAGCGAAGGACGCGGAGATGACGGGCGGGACACGTGCTTCGAATTGGAGGCTTGAGCCCGGGTCAAGGCTGTGGGATGATGGGCCGCAGCGAGGTTGGGGCATGGGCCCCTGGCGCCTTAATCCCCCTTTTCACAACTTCTTGCCCTTTCTACTCCTTTACTTCTTATTCTCTTCTTTCTCTCCTCGTGCCAGCTCCTTCTTTTGGTTCTCTAGATATCTCGAAAGAAAGGGGCACCGACGGATCGGACCGAATTGGATGGCAAGGGGCTAGGCGGACGGATGGATATCCAGCTGTTTTGTGCCCTTTCCTACCACCCCTTTTCCCACGCTGTTTGTCTATCGCCCCCTTTCCCCTTTTCCTTTTCTTTCTTTCTTCTCATATTTGTTTTTTAACTCCTCTTGGCGCTGCGGAAAGGACGGCCGGACAGACGGACGGATGTGGGCACGAGGCGCACCTGGAGGATCCATATAGTGCGAGCAGACGAGTTGATGATTGGACAAACCAAATCCTCTTTAATAATGGAGAAAAGACAATCATGGGAAAATCACGTACATTGCCTCACGCGAGCACGTGTAAGAGGATTCAGTAGACTCAGGGTGTCTGTGTGCCATGTGCATAATCTGCCAACTTGTTGAAGCCGGTAGCGGACACCTCGGATTCGGCGCGTTGAGCGCCTCCGCTATGAAGTCTTATCGTCATTGCAGTCGTTCCGTAATTCCTCAATAGATTCCTCCATTTCGAAGAGAAAAACAGCCAAAAAAGAAGTCACAATAAAAACGCCGAGTCTTGCCGATTCTCCGCCGGCCAGATGAGCCAAACCCGAAACTCAATTGCGCCAGCCGTGGAAATGCAACATGTTGAAACATTGGCCATTTGCCCCATCCCATGTTAAATGCCGTGGATGCAGAGCCCTACAGCGGCCCGTCCTTCCTCCCCTTCCATCATTTAGATAGATCACTGCTTACGCCTGTCTGCGTATGGCTCCCCTGACGCCGCTATCAAGCCGCATACTTAGAGACCGGCGTCCAGGCGCCAGCCCTCGACGGGGAGGGGAAAGGCGCTTGTCCAGGCCGAAATCTCCTTCTTCAGCTCGTTGATCTTGGCAATCTCGCCGCTGGTGACCTTGGTCTTGAAGTCCTTGAGCTTGTTGGCCTCCTTGGGGAGGGAGGCCTGGGTCTCCTTGCAGATCTTGATGCTCTCATCGATGTAGGTGGCGACGCGCTCAAAGTCCTTCTCGCCAAAGCCACGGCTGGTCATGGCCGGGGTGCCAATGCGAATGCCGCAGGGGGTCAGGGCGCTCTTGTCGCCCGGGATCGAGTTCTTGTTGCAGGCAATGTTGATTTGCTCCAGGACAGCCTCGACACGTGCGCCGTCGAGGCTGTGCTGGCGGAGGTCGACGAGGACCATGTGGCTGTCGGTGCCGTCGGCGACGAGCTTGTGGCCCAGAGACTTGAGCTTGTGCTCGATGGATTTGGCATTGGAGACGACCTTTTCCTGGTAGGCCTTGAAGTCCGGGGTCTGGGCCTGCTTGAGGGCGACGGCCAGAGCCGTGATTGTGTGGTTGTGGGGGCCGCCCTGGTGGCCGGGGAAGACGGAGAAGTTGATGGGGTTCTCGAGGTCGTAGAGGGTCTCCTTGCCCGTCTTGGCGTCGACGGAGCGGACGCCCTTGCGGAAGAAGATCATGGCACCGCGGGGGCCACGGAGGGACTTGTGGGTGGTTGTGGTGACGACGTCGGCGTACTTGAAAGGAGTGGGGATGACCTCGGCGGCAATGAGACCGGAAATGTGAGCCATGTCGACGACGAGGTAGGCACCGACCGAGTCGGCAATCTTGCGCATACGCTCGTAGTCAATGAGGCGGCAGTAGGCCGATGTGCCGGCGACGAGGATCTTGGGGCGGTAGAGAATGGCGTTCTTCTCGAGCTGGTCGTAGTCGATGATGCCGGACTCGAGATTGACGCGGTAGGGCATGGTCTCGAAGTAGGTGGAGACGGCAGAGATTCTGGGCAAGGGTAAGCCAGGGGAAGGGGAGGCGGGCGTGGAAGACTCACTTGCGCTGGGGGGTCTGATAGCCGTGGCTCAAGTGGCCCCCGTGGGGGAGGTCAAGCCCCATCAGCCGGCCGTGGGGGGGCATGATGGCCTGGTAAACCTGCAGGTTGGCAGGGCTGCCGCTGAGGCACTGGACATTGACGCCCCACTTGTCCGCGTCGAGGTGGAAGGCCTCGAGAGCACGCTTCTGGCAGAGCAGCTCGACCTGGTCAATGTGCTGGTTGCCGCCGTAGTAGCGAGCGCCAGGGTAGCCCTCGGAGTACTTGTTGGACATGGGGGAGCCGAGGGCGTCGAAGACGGCTCGGGATGTGATGTTTTCGGAGGCGATGAGGACAATGGACTCGCGCTGACGCTGAACCTCGTCTTTCTGCGGTTGAGCGTGTCAGGAGACGCGGGCTGCGGGCGAGTAAGGGCCTCGACGTACCATGATGGCGGCGACCTCGGGGTCGGACTCGACAAGAGACTTCTCGAGCATCTAGATGGACATGGTTAGCCTTGTGGTCTGTTCCGCAGGGGAGGAAGACGAACCTCCTTGTGGGACGCGGACAATGCGTATTCGGACGACATGGCGACGGATAGAGAGGCGTGGATTGGGAGGGGAAGAGGCACGAGTCGAGAGAGATGAGGCTTTTGCAGCGAAGATGAAAATTTTCAGAGGGCTGCAGCGGGCGATGGATGGGTGAGGGAAAAGGGCGGGGGGGCGACTTCGGCTTTGGTACAGTATCGGTACAGTATGCGGTACAGTATGCGGGGCTGTCGCCAGTGTGCGAACTGGCCAATCGATGGCTCGTCTAGGATACAGGGGCCCCTGCGAACGGGAGTTGTCACTGTGTACGGAGTAACAACGTCGTCGGTGCTTTGCATGATGATGCTGGATGCACCTTGTGAGCCCGCCAGCGACTGTTGCTCTATTCCGGTGAAGCCATCGTCGATTTCGCCCCTTTTCATTGGCAGCCCATCTCAGGGACTTGCCAAAAGGTGCCTCAACTTTGTGACTGCAAGCGGAAGCAATGTGCTTGGTCCTCGTCGGCAAAAGGCACGGATACCTCGGCCCCATGTCTTGGAGACGTCGTCTGGCCTGAACCTCCAACCCACACTGACCATCGTCCTTCATCGCTTCCTCCCGCCGGCAACACCCTGCTCTCAACGGGTCCCCTTCTTCCGACCGAGATAGACCTACGTCTACACCTGCTGCCACGACCGGCTCTCCCACGACCGGCTCTCCCAGAGAGCCAGGGCCGCGCCATGGGCTGGCCGTACGATCTCTCTCTGAGCCTCTCCGACGACGACAAGCTCGTGCGCCGCCAGACCATTGACTTTTACGCCTGCGTCGCCCATTACTCGGCCATCGCCCCCGTCCTGGCCTTGTTGCTCCTCCGCCTTGTCCGCCGCGCCGCTGCCAGCGGCCGGGACCCGCGCGATGGCCATGGCCGCTACGACGAGGTGCCGCCCTCGCCCCTCGCAAAGGCCCATCGCCGCCACCCGTCCGGCTCCTTGGCTGCGCGGTGCCGGAGGCTGCAGTGGTGGATGCACGACGATGTCAACCTGGGTGGCATGTACTGGGGCCAACGCCATGAGTGGATTCTTGGCTTGGCCTGGGCCTCTTGGCTGCTGGTCTTGTGTGTTCGGGACACAGGCAAAGGTCAGAGGCACCAACTGTGTCTATACCGCGTGCGCTTCCGCTGACATGGACCAGACTACTTGCATCTCACCAAGCGCTTTGGCGCCATAGCCGTCTCCCAGCTGCCCATCCAGTTCCTCCTGGCCCTCAAGGCCCTGAACCCCTTCGCCCTCGCCTTCCACTCCTCGCACGAAGGCGTCAATCGCTACCACCGCGTCTTGGGCCGCATCGTCCACTTCCTGCTCCTCCTCCACATCCTCTTCTACAACTACTTCTTCTTCGTCGCCGCCATCTGGCTGAAGCGCTTCTTTGCCCCCGTCGTCTTTTGCGGCGTCGTCGCCTTCATGGCCTTGAACGCACTTGCCACCACGTCCTTCGCCCGAGTCAGGCAGTTCTCGTATCGCCTCTTCTTCGTCGTCCACGTGGCTTCCGCCATTCTGATCCCAGTACTGATCTTCTTCCACGCGCCCTCTGCCAGACTCTACCTCGTCGAGGCCTTGGTCGTCCTGTTTCTTGACATTGGGGTGCGCAAGGCCACGACAGTCACCGCTCCCTCGACCGTGGAAATCATCCCCGGCACGAATCTCGTCAAGGTTTCCTCTGCGCTTCCTCTCCGGCGGCTGAGCTCCTTCAAGGCCGTGCCCGGAGCGCACATCTATCTAAACGTCCCGTCTGCCAGCCGCATAAATGCCAAATCGGGCCTCTTCGACTTTCTCTTCAACCCCTTCACCGTAGCATCTGTCGACGACCATCACGGCACCATCACCCTCGTAGCACGCGTTCGAAACGGCCCAATGACCCTTTTGCTTAGCCAATTTGCCGCTTTGAGTCCCGTCCCGCCCGCCGAGGCCCGCAGGATCCCCCTCGCCATTGAAGGCCCATACGGTACCATGGGCAAGCATTTCCACGACCTGCTCGGCTGGGGCGCCGCGCGCATCCTGCTCGTCGCGGGCGGCGTCGGCGCCACTTTCGCTCTGCCCGTCTACCGCGCCATACAACAGGAGCTGCCGTCGACCAAGGTGCAGTTGGTCTGGGCCATCCGCAGCGCCGGCGACGCGACGTGGGCCGTCTCGAGCGGCGGCAACAACGGCGAGGACAGGAGCATGCTCGATGACGACAACGTCCACATCTTTCTGACGGGCGACGTGGATGTCACTGATGGGCCTGAGAGTGTCCCCCCCGGCGCCGGCGCCGTCGAGATGGACGCCCTGTCCCGCGAGACCGTGCTGGCGGCGGGTCGCAATCGCCGGCGGCCCGAATTGAACAAGATTGTGGACAGCACCTTCCGCCAGGGGCTGGAGGAGCCTGTCGCCGTGCTTGTCTGCGGGCCAGCCGAGATGGCGAGGGAGGTGAGGCGATGCGTGCGGCCGTGGGCCATGCGAGGCAGGAAGGTCTGGTGGCACAGCGAGAGTTTTGGCTGGTGACGATGAGGAGGTGTTTGGTCCTTGTCCATTTGGTTCTCGTCCATGGAATAGTTGAGTATGCTGTGGTTTGAGTAAAAGCCCCTTGGCGGTGACATCATCTTGTAGTGCTGTATGAATGCACCCGATCTTGCGAAAGGCCTACCGGTACGATCACCAGAGAGGGTTGATGAGAATGGGGCGAATTGCATCTGAACGAGCGGCTACTGTACAGGGCAAACGCCTGATGGGGAGAGCTACCTATTCTCGTTAACGAATGCCTGCCTAGTACGTCAGAGACGCGGCTCGGTGGAATCCTCCCTCCATTGCCTGCAACGCCAGCCGTAGTCATCGTCAACTTCTCTCCTCGAGCAAACCACACAAATTAGCACAAGCCGACATCCAGTGCTACGCAGCGGGAGTATTCCTTTGAACCACCAATCCCTTTTTCCCCTCCTTTCGCCAGATAAGAGAGCCCTACCACTCATTCTTCTCGGTCAGCATCAGCCAGATAGATGTATATCTTACTCTCCCTTCAAGGTCATTGCCTGTACCGCGCAAGCTGGGCCATGATGTTCTGCACCTGAGCTGCTGCGTCGCCCCCCGCCGGAGCCGCGTTTGCACCTCCGTTGGGAGCGGCGGGAGGCTGGGCGCTGTACGCCGACCCGTACTGCCCCTGGTGGTGAGCGTGCTGCTGCGCAGGGGTTGCCCCCCCGAGGCTACCCAGGATGGCCTGGATATCCACCTGCGGGTTGGCTGTCGCCGGGGTGGGGGGATTGACGCCGTACCCGCCATGTGCGGCGGGCATCCCTCCTGGCGCCTGAGTTGGCCCTTGCATAGATGCGAGGAGCCGCTGCAGGGTGGCATTATCAACCTGTCCCATGAGACTCGCGATGTCTGCGGCAGCAGGGGGTGCGTGCTGCTGCTGCTGCTGCTGCTGCTGCTGCTGCTGTGGTGGAGGATATGAGCCGGGATAGCTGGCGCCATGAGGGGGCTGCTGATGCTGCCCTGAGTAGGGATTGGAGTAGCCACCCGCCGCTGCCGCGTATCCTTGTCCATAGTTTGCGGCGGCCGTTGCCTTGGATCGCACAATCACCTCGGCCGCCGTGCCGGGATCTAAGTCCACATACTGGTCGAAGCGGACATTGCTGCCTCCACCAGAGCGATCGAACGCCTGCACGGGTATCCGGCCAACGCTCTGTGCACGCAAATCCAAGTCGATGACGCCGTAAACACCTTCGGCAGCCTGTCGCTGAATGACCTGGTCCTTGGGAAACCGCGGGTGCAGGTACATAACCTCCGTCTTGAGGCCCTTTGCCTTGAACGCGGCCTCGACCCAGGTGACAAAGTCGCGATTGACCTCTGGCTGCAGGATGATCTGCACATCCGGCACATCGGCGCCATACCTTCGAGGAAGGTCAAGTTCCGGCTCATTTCGAGATCGTCCATATGGGCTAGGGCTGCGCCGTCGATACGACTCCCGGTCCTTGCGGCCATACTCGGGAGAACGCGAGCGCCCGCGCCCTCCTCGACCAGAATCATGACCTCGAGATCGACCAAACCCGTCTTCCCTCGTGTGGTGATCATTGCGTCGTGGCGACTGATTGCGCCCTGGTCTGTAATCGTCGCGGCCTTGGTGATGCTTCTCATTCCTGCGGCCACCGCCACCGCCATCCCGGCCCCGACCTCTCTCTGGGCTGCGGGCACGGTCCTTTTTGGACTTGTCTTGTACTCGAGATATCTCGAGGTCTGAACAAGAGTTAGTCAGGGGTCTTTTCTCCTCTGCGGCAGGCTATACTCACGGATGCGGCGGCCCTTGATTTCGATACCCTGCAGGTTTTCCATGGCCTGTCGGCCCTCGTCGACAGTGTGATACTGCACAAAACCATAGGCCGACTTGAGGGATATTTGCGCCAGTCTTCCATACTTGTGGAAAACATCAAAGACATCCCGCTTCGAAACTTTGTCGCTCGAAAGGTTTCCTAGAGGCACAAAGAGTCAGCACTAGATCAAAGGAGCGGCCCTTGGCGGCGTGGTTCATACCAATAAAAATACGCGACCCTTCAGGGAAGCGGTCCCATTTCGCATCCGACATGTACTGGCGTTCGTCAGTCATAAACTGGTCCCACTGGCGCTGGTAGCTTGCGTCTGGCTCTCCGTCCTGGGAGTACCCGGGCGCGGCCTGGGATGTCTGGGGTGGGGCATTCATGGATGCTGTGACGGGGAGCGCATTCAGGCCTGCGGCCGGGGGGAGCGGGATGCTGCCGACGGCCTCCGCGGAGGTTCCGGGCGCGCCACTCGCGACAAAGCTGGACAGCGGACCTGGCGCTGGCGGCACTGTGCCAGCACTGCAGGCGGCTGCGCTTGGGCTGGGTCCTGCGGCGTGTTGCTGCGAGGCATACGATTGGGAGCCCGACTGCGGCAGGGGAGGCCGCGGTGGCAGGGAAGAGGATGAGGGCAGCGAAGTGGGAGAAGACAGGGAGACAGCAACGGCGGGTTGCTCGGCCTTTGCAGCAACAGACAAAGACGGCTCAGGATCGGGGCTGGGCTCGGTGGGCTGGGCAGTCAGATCGGCCACGAGCTTCTGGATGTCAACCGACGAATTCTGCGACTCGGCATCGGCGGAGTCTTGGCGGGCAATAGGCTCGGGCTGGGCCACGGAGGAAGGGGAGCCGGTCTGCTGCTGGAGCCCGGCGGGCGGCTGCGATGGCTCCGTCGACGGACCGGTAGGCTCTAGTTGCGGTCCGGATGGGGTGGCGGCGGGAGCGGCCGGTTGAGCGGTAGACGCGTCATGGGCGGCAATGTCAGGAGCAGCGGCTGAAGCGCGATTTGTATTCAAGTGATCGGATTGCAGCGAGATATCGGTGGATTTCGGTGGCATTGAGGACGACGATACATGGTGCTGCTGCTGAAAGCCCTGCTCACCCCCTTCTTCTGGATCAATGGGCGAGTCGAATGTCTTTGCATAATCGTCGTTGCTATCGGGCGGCTCTAGCTGAGGCTGGGGAGCAGGCTCGGTGGGAGCGTCGGGGGCGTCTTGGTCGTCGTACGCACCGTCGAGGCTGTCGTCATCTACAACATGGTCGTTGCCATTGGCAGAGGCAGCGTCACCCATCATGGCCGGGTCGAGGATGGCGTCGTCGACGACGCCGTTTGACGAGGCCACGTTGGCAGCGGCAGCGACCATGGCGTCGATAGTATCGACCGTGTCCTGCAGCGCCGGCACCACGCGAGGAGCAGCTGTGTGGAGGGGCGAGGGTGACACAGGAGAGAGGTTGGCAGTGGCCTGAAGCTCCGCCTCTGGTTCGGTCATGAAAGCAGCGATGCGGCAGGCTGAGCGCAGCAGCAGCGAGCGATGGGATGCGAGAGGCACTAAGGAAGCTCTGGGGACTGCATCCGCGACTGATGGCCTACGCAGCGGACGGGTCAGGGAGAGCTGGGTTGGGCCGAGGGACACGGTCGGACGATGGTCGAGGACGACGACGAGATGGTGTGTCAAGTCAAGGTAGGATTGAATGCTGCCATTATCGAGTTGAGACAGACGACGGGCTGGGTTTGGTAGGCAGGCTATCGAGCCTGGGATGGTGTTTTCTTCCCAAGATGCTGCTGCTGGCTGACGGGCGAATCGCAATGTCGGCTCGTGTCCGCGTCGGCTCGATTGCCACAGCGTGGAAAGCGTGCGGTGGCTGTCGTGGGTTATGCCGGCCGCCTGGATCTGGAAGTGTTAGGCGAGGAGGAGAGGGGAATCTGGCAACGACAGTGCCTGAGAAGGGAGGCTTTTTCTTGATGCAGCTCGCGGTGAGCGGGTCCGGCAAAATCTGATATCTCGCGCTAGGCGATTCTGGGCCGCCAGTAGGGGAAGGAGCCTGGTTGCCTGGAAACCTTTTTCGCACGACACAGTCACAGGTGATCCGGAACGTTCCTGTAGTTAAGTTACTCCGTACTTTGGACAGTATCGGCGTACAGTGCTGCACAGTGCGTCAGGACACATTGCGATTCTTGGATCCATGACCCACGTCTTCGGGGTCGTGTGTCCAAGTTACTGTATCGTCGCCAGGGCTGTCGCAAGAATGCAGCTTACCAAAACATGACGTGAGTTTGCGTCTCTGATGTCACGTGCCCGCCCGGTGTAGCAACTGCATGCATCCCCCTCATCTCTCGAGCCGAAGCCGCGAGCTCAATGCCTGCAGTGGGATAGATGCCTGTTGAGATAGACAGGGCTAGAATCCAGAGTCCAGCCGCGGCAGGTTTCTTACCCACTTGCACTGATCGAGACTTGGACGAGACCGTCGCCAAGCCGATCGCTGGACGCAGCATCAAGGGATCGCCATCTTTGCTAGAGACATTCGCCGTATAGATCACAATTCCCTAAGCTTGGAGAGCAAAACCGTCGTTGATGGTCGTTGAACGTTGGATTACGAGGGGACAGTCACGTGACCCGCGTTTTTAAGTCCCCCAACGTGCTGAGAAGGCTCTTCGCCTTGGAAAAAAGAACATTTCGCCCAGCTTGTGTTTTCACTGCACCGATCTGCAAAAGCTATTCGACTCGTGGAACTCATGGAGTATCGGCCGTAAAAAAATGATGCAGTTTATAAGTAGGGTCTCGCGGGTCACGCCATGGACGAGACTGGCGCTCACTCGATGTCCTTTGACTACTGCGAGATTCAAGAGATACCAGGCCTTTGATGCTCAACTTGACCAAGAGGCACTCACGGAGGCGCGATCCTGGTACCGGAAGTTTGACGCTTCGCATCTTCCCCGCGGCAGCACGACATACGCAAGGTCCAGCGGGCCCGGGGGGCAGCACGTCAACAAGTAAGAGGCAGTGATCAACTCCTTTGAGGAGGCCAATTAGACTCAGGGGATATCCGGGCTAACAAAGGGGGCTCAGAACCGAGACCAAGGCCATCACAGCTTTTCCGGTCAAGGACTTGGTGTCTATGCTGCCCCAGTCTCTGCATTCCGGAATCCGCGCCTCCAAGTATTACACCGCCAGCAACGACAGCCTGACCTTTCATGCCCAGACTCGCCGATCTCGCACGGCAAACACGGATGAGAACCGGAGGAAGCTCATGGAAGAGGTGAGTCGCGTCTACCGGGAACAGGTGCCGTCAGAGACGAGCGGCGACAAGAAGCAGAAGCACGGGGAAATGTGGGTGTCGCCAAGCTAATCTTTATCTAAAGTGGTCGCATGACTGACTTGGCTTCCGGCTCTGACTTAGAGAGAAGAGGTTCCATGAATCTAGGATCAAGCAAAAGAAACTCGCCAGCTCAAAGAAGCGGTCCCGCCGAGGACCTTTGGATTGAAAGGTCGGCGTCATTTCGAGCGAAACACGCTCTTGTCTCCAATTTTGCCTAACGACGGGTGAGCCTCCAAATGGATGAGATGGCGTCTCGTGTTCTGACGGCGAGCAGAACGGTTTGACGCCGAGTGAAGAAAGCAAGCATCCCGTACTCTTGCCGGCGCTACAGGGGCACGATGCACCTGGAAGGTCTCTACAATTAAAACCGTCCCGCAGACCGAAGAGCCGATGAGCCAGTGGGGACTTTTCGCATCTGCGGCTCCTGCGCCATCTTACCCACGGCAAGGGCCATGGAGAACACCTTGACTGGCCCGATACGTGCCCTTTTCTTGAATTGGGATCGGGGTTAAGGAGGTACCGGGGGAGGCAAAGAGAGAGCAGCAGCGACCATCAGTCCACAGTCCGACATCATCTGCTCACCTTTATCTGTAGCTACCTTTGCCGAGCAGGTCGCGCGAACGGCACTTGGGCATCGTCGACCTGCCTCGCTAACCTCGGTCTTTGCATCATGTAGCTGGCTTCCATCATACCTCTACTTCGACGCCTTCTGCGGGTTCATTCGCTACAGGGCAGGCCCTCTTGCCACCATGACGGTCTCGGTGTCGGCACAGAAACAGCATCAGGAGAAGCTTGGCTCGGAAAACGCGGCGGATCTGCCCCCGAAACGCCCCCAACTTTTGAGACAAGGCAGCTCAAGACTCGCATCGCTACGGCACTTTGATGTCATTGCAGCCGCGGCCGGCTCGCCCCGTCTGGACAGAGTCAGCCAATGCACGATTTCGTGTCCCGAGCTGCGCCAGCCTCACAAGCACGGATGGGTAGCGTTGCTCCAGTCGCCCCGCTCTCACGGCCCGACGCGCCATGCTCATCGTCGTCTTTAGGGATTACTGCCAGGATACGAGAGTCCAGACCTTCATTGCGGCCGCCGCGGCTCTCGCTCGCAGTCGTCTACCCCAATACATCGACGACCGCACCGCCTCGCATCCCGGCTACGATTTACCCGGCCGCTATTCATGGCGCGCTACCGTGCAGACGCAACGATCGGCCGACGCGAGCCTCCCCCAAGCTTACAGGACCCCCGGGAGCGTCGGCGGCGGGCGAGGGACTCGCAGGACGTTGGCAGCTGCTCCGATGCGGACCGTGCGTTGACGGGTAGCCCACGCGGCGCTGGGAGGGCCAGTCCATTGCTGGCAATGGTAGCCACGGCGTTGGCAACGGAAGAGCTCGATAGACTGAGTCTGATGGCGAGGCGGGCGGGCGGCTGAAGAGGCGCTCTCACTGTTCTGGTGGCCTGGTCCGTGGCAGAGGCAAAAATGACCATTCACCGGCGGTTTCAGCTGCTGGTTTCCTACCACGCGCACGAAAATATCTGATAGAATACTCTGAAGGCGCAACCACGGTGATATGGCGTGTGGTTCAACGAGGCCCAGACGATTGACAAGTGAAGTTGGCGGCGTTTAGTTTTTGCGGGGCGCTCCTTCGGCCCCCCTGGGCGGGTTGCATCGGCCGTTCGGGGCGGCTTTGGGAGGGGGGAGCCGGGGTTGCGCAGCGAAACCGCATACCCGAAGCCTAGGTAGCTACGTATCTTCTTTTGTTCCTCCATAGTAGCAGCCGCTCTCGGTCCCGGCTCAGAATCGACCCTCGGCCTCCTCACATCTTCCTCTCGCCATCTATTCTCGTCGTCGGCGCCACCGACATACGCTAGGTGCACGAATTGCTTTGCGCGAGCTCACAAACGCCATGTTTCGACATGGCATGCGAATCGCTGCCAGTGGCGGCGCGCGGCGGGCTTGGTTGCCGCCGACGACCGGTCGGTGCTTCGCGTCAGCCAGCAAGACGGCTTTCCAGTGGGAAGACCCTTTAGCTTCGAGGAACCTCCTGACCGAGGAGGAGCTTGCCATTGCCGAGACGGCCGAGCGGTATTGCCAAGAGCGGCTGCTGCCCAGGGTTCTACGTATGACACGGCGGCGCTCCCTTTTCACGTTGGTGTCGGTCAAGGTTGCTAACATGGTGTTTGTGGCAGAGGCGTACCGTGACGAGCACTACGACGCCAAGATGCTTGAGGAGATGGGGGAGTTGGGCCTCCTCGGCGCCAACATCCAGGGCCACGGCTGCGCGGGCGTGTCGTCAGTCGCCGGCGGCCTCATCACCCGTGCCGTCGAGCGTGTCGACAGTGGCTACCGATCCGGCATGTCGGTGCAGTCCTCGCTCGTCATGGGCGGCATCGACGAGTTTGGCACTGAAGAGCAGAAGCAAAAGTTCCTCCCAGACATGGCAAGGGGCAAGCTCCTCGGGGCGTTTGGCCTGACGGAGCCCAACCACGGCAGCGACCCGGGCAGCATGGAGAGCGTCGCCCGGCCGCACCCAAACAAGACGGGGTACTATTCGCTCAGCGGCGCCAAGACGTGGATCACCAACAGCCCCATCGCCGACGTGCTGCTGGTCTGGGCCAAGCTGCAGGACACGGGCAAGATCAGGGGCTTCCTGGTGGAGCGCAAGGACTGTCCGCCGGGCACACTAGAGACACCGGCCATCAAGGACAAAAACGGGCTGCGGGCGTCCATCACGGGCATGATCCAGATGGACGGGTGCCCGGTGCCCGAGGCCAACATGTTCCCCGACGTTGAGGGCCTCCGGGGCCCGTTTAGCTGCCTCAACAACGCGCGCTACGGCATCTCGCTGGGCGTGGTGGGCGCGCTCGAGGACTGCATCGCACGGGCGCGGACGTATGCGCTGGAGCGCAAACAGTTCAAGGGCAACCCGCTGGCCAAGTACCAGCTCGTGCAGAAGAAGCTGGCCGACGCGGCGACGGACGCGGCGTACGGGACGCTGGCAGCGATCCAGGTGGGCCGGCTCAAGGACGAGGGCCGGGCGGCGCCCGAGATGATCAGCATGGTCAAGCGGCAGAATTGCGACGCGGCGCTGCGCAACGCGCGGGTGCTGCAGGAGGTTTTTGGCGGCAACGCTGTGAGCGACGAGTATGCCATCGGACGACACGTGGCGAACCTGTTTGTCACGCAGACGTACGAGGGCCAGAGCGATATTCACAGTAAGACGCTGCCCCGTTTGCGACGCCGGAGGAAGCTCTCCTCTGGTGTTGTTCCTTGCTCTCCACTGCAGGTTTCCATGCATGATCAAACGCAACTGACAATTGTTTGCCTTGCACAGGTCTGATTCTGGGCCGGGCCATTACGGGCATCCAGGCGTTTGTGTAGAGGGTGAAGGGTGCATCGGGGGTGGTTTGTCTAGACGGGCGAGAGTCGGGTTGACTTTGGTTCTGTGTACAGGCTCAGCTACAGATCGCGTAGAGGTTGACTTTGCCGTTTGCCGTCGGCAGCTCCGTGGGCGTTCTGACGGGTACGGGATAATCAGACATCAGACAAGATTGGGCGTTGTTGTCGGCTGCTGGCCGCCTCGGCGTCTCTTGGCTGTTTTCCGCTTCCAGCATCGGCCGTGAATTGCCTGACATTCAGTACCGGGCACGCCACAGTGCTGGCATTGTTGCCACTCTCACCTGCCCTGGGCTGCCAGCTACGACTCTTTTGAATGAGGCGTCGCTGAATGGTTTAGTGCCACCCGTCTGAAAAGAAAATAGCAAGACTTTGGTTAACAATAGGCGCGGCGAAAGTATGCAGCCCCTTGGCTCCTCCGCCCCAACCCAGCTCAGGCCGTCGAAGCCGAGCGAAGGCCATGGCAACGGGGACGCCGCCACCAGCGCCAGCAAGAAGCCGCCGAGCGCTTAGCAGCCGAAGCCGGCGGAATGCATGGGCCGCTGATAGCGTGGGGTTTCCGCCATTCCGTCTTGGGCTGTACGTCTAGGCGCGGGCGCTCGTCGCCGCCGGGCGGGGAGTTGCATCGGAACTTCGTACGTACAACAACGTGTGCACAAGTTTGGCTGTGAGTCACAGGCTGGTGTTGATCAAGGGCGAGGAAAAGGGAGATGAAGGAAAACATGAAGCAGCAAGGATTTTTCTCCCTCCGAGTCCCCCTCCATCGCGGCTGCGCTGGAGCAGTCGAGGTACCGCTACCGCCAGCGAGCAGGTACAAAGTACCAGGTCGCGACAGTCAGCGGGCACGGGCCTGTGGGTCCCCCTTTGATCTGGGCTTCTTCCCGCTGTAATCTTTCCTCTCTCTCTCTCTCTCTTTTCCATGCACCTCTCCAAAACCAATCCACACCACACCGCATATCCCGTCACGGCCCTCCCCCCCTGCGACATCATTCCACGAGCGACATCTGCATCCTCACCGCGCGCCGCGAAGCCTTTCGAGCCTCCAAAACATCTCGGCATCGACTGCCTGCATCCCTTGTCGACCAAGGCGGCGTCGTCTTCTGCTCAGAGAAGCCGTCGTCCCCCGTTACAGTGCGTCATTCTCGCCCTCTCCCGGCTCCTTCGCTCTTCCGCTAACGCAGCCCGCCCACAGAGTGTCAACGCAGCAACTTCTTCGCTGCCCTCAAAGCCATCTTTCCTCGCCGCACCTCGATTCTCACAACAACCTCAAAAATGGCTCTTAAGCGCATCAACAAGGAGCTCGCTGACCTCGGCCGGTAAGCCTTCCTCCCTCTCCTTTGCCTGTTACCCCCTTCGTTCTCGTAGGGGCCCTTGGAGCCCAAATCAAAGGTGGGGCTGAGCGTGAGCGGGGTCCTCGAGGCATCCTTGCAAGGTTTTGAGAAGCCCTTTGTTCGCCTCGTCGCCTGTCGCGGCCGCTGTGCCTTGCTGCCATGATGCGCTCTCTAACTCTCTATGCATTCCGTCTTTGCTAGACAAAACCGTGCATGTGCTGACGCCGTCGCCCTAGTGACCCGCCCTCGTCCTGCTCCGCCGGACCCGTTGGCGAAGACTTGGTACGCGAAAACCTCTCCGACGCATCCTCGAGGCCGCCGCCCAACAGCTGCCGGCGCCTCGTGGCTCGCCCGCCCGCAAATAAGATCAAGGGCTAACGTTGCATGACCCGGTAGTTTCACTGGCAAGCAACCATCATGGGACCCGTAAGCTGCTCTCCCCAATATGCAAACCGCCCCAAGATGTGACTGGGCCGTCGACGAGATGGCTACGCCTCGCTCGTGTCGTCGCTCTTGAGCTTCCCCGCTATGGCCGGCTAGATGCTTCCTCCTTTGTACGCGGATCCTCAAGACGGGCTTCTGACATGCACGACAACAGGGCGATTCGCCGTACTCGGGCGGTGTTTTCTTCCTCGCCATCCACTTCCCCACCGACTACCCGTTCAAGCCGCCCAAGGTCAACTTCACAACCCGCATTTATCATCCCAACATCAACTCCAACGGCAGCATCTGCCTAGACATCCTGCGTGACCAATGGAGCCCTGCTCTGACCATTTCCAAAGGTGCGTGCGCTGCCCCTACTGCATCTCTTGTGCCTCGAAGAACGCCCATAACGTGGTGGACGCCTGCTGACGGATGCTTGCCACCCTCGCAGTCCTCCTGTCCATCTGCTCCATGTTGACGGACCCCAACCCCGATGACCCTCTTGTGCCGGAAATCGCCCATGTGTACAAGACGGACCGGTCCCGATACGAGGCTACGGCTCGGGAGTGGACTCGGAAATATGCCGTCTAATCCGATGGCGGCATGCGGTGGCGGCTTAGGGCGAGGCACCGGAGTGGATTTTCACCGTTCTCTCTCTTGCAGGTTGTTATCCCTCGGTGGATTTCTCGGAGAGCCGTTGCTTGGACGCACCATGGCGGGAACCACCTCGGCCGCTCGCGGAAGTGGGGATTCCTTGCCTCTGAATAAGCATCGGTCGGGCTGTATCTAGGGAGACTGACAACGAGGATCATGACCATCGGGGAGGCGAGACAGGCTAGACAGACACATGAGCTATTGCAGGGATATCATGCGGTTGGGCACGGGGTTTGCATCAACAAGTGTGTTGTTTTTCTTTGTTCTTGCCCACGCCGTCCCGGCACGCAGAAATAAGCAGCGCGTACACATCTTTCCACATTTGCCGCTTCAGAAAACGTGACGAGACAAAGCTTGTCGGCCAGAGTCGGCATGGAGTTGGCAAGGGACGACATGTGTGCCCGTGGAGGGGAAGGCTTGGTCCATGGGAAACGAGTATGGGCAGTATGTGAGTAGTCTGGGCGCAGTCTTGGCCTAGCGTTCTGGCATACGAGATGGAGCCTGGGCATATAGGCTGGGCACATGGTTTGGATGTAGACTCGGGTGTCTGGGCATGGTCCGGGCATAGAGTCTGGGTATGGAGTCGGGGCACGGAGTCTGCGTATGCAACAGGATGGTTGAGGGCCTTCCGACCAGTTAACGATCAGCAGCCAGCGGGTTGTGATCTGCCGCATTGTCTGGAAGTCGGTCCAACGTCGGACGGAGATTTGCGCGGCGAATCGGCACGGCAAGCTGTGCCAGCAGGCCTCTTGATGGGTGAGACCGGGACGCTTTCCCGCATGCACAGGCCCTTGGATCCATACAGGGGAGAGAGGGAGGCAAGAGAGCGTCTTGATACGCTGTCCCTGCATGTGCATTGGGGGACCTGATGCAGACCATTACGTACAGGGCCCCGTTCCTTGGGCCTGGAGGGAAGCAACGGGGGGCTGAAGGCATACATATTGCAAAGGCAAAGCATGGTAATCCGTTAAAGGACCAGGCTGCTGCTGTCTGATCTCTGAGACGCGTCTCGAGGGGGGCAAAAGGGAAGGGGAGGGAGACTCGGCAATGGTTTTCGGTTTGAATGGGGCGCAAACGATGGCAATTTGGTGATGTGTTTGCGCCACATCCATCACTTTGGCTCTGCCTCGACAGTCTGACTTGCATGACCATATGGCAGAAATTGGTGTGGGATGTCGATGTGTGTAACTGTCGGCCAGGCGTCCCAAAGGCGGACGGAGTGAGGTGAGGAGGCAGGTGGGCGTTTCATGGCGGGCAAGGTCTAGTTTAAGGTTGCCGTAGCTGCCCTCGGCAACCAGACAAGCTGGCGAGCAAAGCTGATTATTGAGCAGTGCCGAGGAGTGGGGAGGGCAGTCGAGTTCGGGACGGTGACAAGGGGGGAAGAGACGCGACGATGCCTGTCACAGCATGTTTCACGTCGAGGCTTCAGACTTAGACGCAGGCCACATCGGGAAGGAGGTCGGTGGCTATTTGTTTTCCGGGGGGCGAGCGGGTAGAGAAGGACTGATGGGAGGGACGCTCGGACTGGGTTGAAGCTGTCTGGAATACTTGTTGGGAGGCGGCAGCGGCGGCGGCGGCGGCGGAGGAAGTGGTCCGCGGTGGACCCACTGTCCGTCGACAGGCCGGCCGGGTAGGGCCTAAGTTATCATGCTGCTCGGACGGGCCGTGCGAAGACGTCGAAGAGTCGGCAAGGGAAGAATGAATTAACCCGAAGGGAGACGCGAAAAAGTCGGCGACTCTAAGTGTGAAGAAGTCCGAGCGACGGTCTTGACGGGCTCCGTTTGGCCGACTTGTTGTCGACCATGTCCACGGGAAGGGCGGATCGCGACGACACGCCACGTGGATAGTAACTGGCTTGGCCCGTGGAGGGAGGCGAGCCAGATCACCTGCAGGCCAACCGACAGCATTTGTGGGCATCTGACAGATTGCCGTCCTTGTTTCTGGCTGTGGTGCTCGAGAAGGGAGCCGGCATTGGCCATGATAGAATACAAATGCTCTTTTGACTTATGGCCGGCCGATACCTGTGAGCAGCAGCAGGAGCAGCAGGAGAAGCAACAGGAGCAGCAGGAGGAGCAGCAGGAGGAGCAGCAGGAGGAGCAGTGAGCAATTGGCGTGCCTGCGTGCCTGCCTGCCTGCCTGGAGGTGGAAAAGGGCCAAGGGCCTCCTGTCGCAGGTTTACCGCAGCCGAGAGACGCCTTCCCCACTGCCGGCCCCGGGGTCAAGTAGACGGTACCTCGCCGGGCCACCCGTCTGCTGCCGCCGCTGGTAGTCGTCGTGACCAGGCGCTGTTTGGCTATCCCACCTTCCGCGCCCTGTTCCGAGTCTAGTCCACTCTGTCTCGATTTCTTTCGGCTGTTGCGCCTCCTTTCCCCTTCCTCTCTCTATTCTTTTCATTCACCCTATTATCACCATCTCCCCACGCCGCTTGCTCCCCTTCTCTTCGTTTACTTCCTTTGGCTTTTATCTGATTTGCGCCGAGGCAACGACTCGTCAAGCGCCTATCGAGCGGTAATTCATAACTCAGCAACTCCTCGTTGGATAGAGGCCCCTTGCGCGTATGTATCATCCTGTTTCATGTCAACTGCATGACGCCTGACAAGTGGCTGCGGTGCGTGATCCGCTGACAATCTCGAACCATTCCCAGCTCAAACACTGTGCATTCGTTACACGTATGCGCGGCCACGGCGACTAAAGGGGCACCTTGGTTGACCCTACTTCTCGCTTATTCAACTCCAGCGGTGCCTTCAGCGGGTTCTGAATTCCCTGCACCACCTTTTCCACACTCTTTTAGGAAGCCCAGCGCCTCCTTTCGCAGCCTCGAGCCCATTGTCTGGGCTTGTCCAACAGCGATAAACACTCACATCCATACGCATCCGTCTCTCACTCTTCCGCGGGTCCCAAGGAGAGGAGGAAGAGAGAGAGAGAGCGCGGGCGCCACAACTGAGCTGTAATCTTGGGCTCGCGACGCCCACCTTCACCATGGAGTACGAGTATGCGGGCTGGGACCGGCCCTCGGAGCGCTCGAGATGGTCCCCCCTCACACGCATGTTGCTCTCGGGCGAGATGACCCAGGAGAGACAGCAAATTCTGTCGACGAGGGACAAGTTTGACCGGTGGATGATCAACGAGGGTTACCGAAGATTGTAAGTCCCAGACAGGCGGCTATGGCTTGTGGCTTCGCTGTGCTAACTGAACCACTCATTTCAGCTTCGTCTTCATCTTCATGCTAGCCCACGCCCTCATCTTCTCCTTTGCCTCGGTCCACTACGCCGTCAAGGACAGCCTGCAAGGGGCACGGGACGTCTTTGGCTTCACCTACGTCATTGCCCGAGCCTCGGCCGTCGTCTTGCACGTCGACGTCGGCATCATCCTCTTGCCCGTCTGCCGCACCCTCATCTCCCTCATGCGACAGACGCCCCTCAACGGCATCATCCAGTTCGACAAGAACATCACCTTCCACATCACGACGGCGTGGTCCATTGTCTTCTGGTCTTGGGTGCACACGATTGCCCACTGGAACAACTTTGCGCAGGTCGCCGCCAAGAACAAGCTGGGCTTCTACGGATGGCTGCTGGCCAACTTTGCCTCGGGCCCGGGCTGGACGGGATACGTGATGCTTGTCGCCCTCATGGGCATGGTCATGACGTCGGTCGAGAAGCCGAGGCGGGCCAACTACGAGCGCTTCTGGTACACGCACCACATGTTCATCATCTTCTTCTTCTTCTGGTCCCTGCACGGCGCCTTTTGCATGATCCAGCCCGACGTGGCTCCCTTTTGCTCCAACATTGGCACCTCGGCCATTGGCGTCTTCTGGCAGTACTGGATGTACGGCGGCTTCATCTACCTCGCCGAGCGCGTCGCCCGCGAGATCCGCGGCCGCCACAAGACGTACATCTCAAAGGTCATCCAGCACCCCAGCCAGGTCTGCGAAATCCAGATCAAGAAGGAGAGTACCAAGACGCGTGCGGGCCAGTACATTTTCTTTTGCTGCCCCGCCGTGTCTCTGTGGCAGTACCACCCGTTTACGTTGACGAGCGCGCCCGAGGAGGACTACATCTCCATCCACATGCGCTGCCAAGGCGACTTCACCATGGCCGTGTCCAAGGCGCTCGGGTGCGACTGGGGCAAAAAGGGCGGCGGTGCCGGCGGCGGCGATGCCAGCAGGGTCGTCGGCGTCGACCAGGACAATGCCGCGGTGGACCCCGTCCTCCGCCGAGTCCTGCCGCGGGTATACATTGACGGGCCCTTTGGCTCGGCATCCGAAGACGTGTTCAAGTACGAGGTGTCGATCCTCGTGGGCGCGGGCATCGGCGTGACACCCTTTGCGTCGATCCTCAAGTCCATCTGGTACCGCATGAACTACCCGCAGACCAAGACGCGCCTGTCCAAGGTGTACTTTTTCTGGATCTGCCGCGACTTTGGCTCGTTTGAGTGGTTCCGCTCTCTCTTGATGGCTGTCGAGGCGCAGGACGTGGACCACCGCATCGAGATCCATACGTACCTGACGGCCAAGATCAAGTCGGACGACGCGACCAACATCATGATCAACGACGCCAACGCGGACAAGGACACCATCACGGGGCTGAGAAGCCCGACCAACTTTGGCCGACCCAACTGGGACATGATTTTCCGGGGCATCAGGAAGCTGCACTCGCCGGGTGAGGCGGGCGTCTTCTTCTGCGGACCCAAGGGGCTGGGCAGCTCGTTGCACGTCTACTGCAACAAGTACACGGAGCCTGGGTGAGTCTGCGCCGTCTCGGCTGACCCTTGGGGGCAACGGAAGCTAACATGTGTCAATAGGTTCTCGTTTGTCTGGGGCAAAGAAAACTTTTAGGCCTCTGCGCGACGCTCTATGCTTCATCTCTTCAGCTATATCATGATTCATTGCATATATATCACATTCAGCGCCCCCTATATAGGACGGAGGGTCAGGGGAGAGGAAGACGGACTCGGCCTTTCTTGCCCTCTTTCATCTCCAGCTTGCATACGTGCGCCGGCCGCAGGTCAAGGAACGTGAGGATGAGGGAAGAGAAGGGCTGGCCGATATGGGTTGGAAAATAATACGAGGATTCGGCGGGAGGGGAGGGGGATTGGTTTCGGGTACGACTTGACGGCATTGCAGTGGAGGGTAGAGGAGGCTATGGCGGTCGCTGTGCATCTTTGAGGATGTTTGTAAAAGAAGCAGCGAAATCTTTGAAGAATATGATGACGAGCAGACGATTAAATCTGTTGCGGCCTCTGGGCGGAAAGCAAGTCGTGTACGATGTACGTATCTCTGTGTTTTGGGCCAACAGCAAGTGCACGTCGAAGTGTAGATGCGGGGCGAGGGAAAGACGGTTGCATTCGCTTGTGGCATTGAAAGAGTCGTATCTTGTCAAGATGCTGTCATTATGTACAGCACCTAGGTACCTACTTACCTTATCTTGTGGGACATGGCTAGGTACTTCTTTGGCACGTCATGGCCTATGAGAGGAGAAGCAGGCGGCTTCATAGGGATGTAATTATGTACTGGATGAGATGGGACAAGATGGGACAAGATGTCAGGGCCCTTCCAATCTGAGCGCGCAGGGGGACTAGGCAAGAATCCACAAGCCGTGCGGCGTCGTCCATGAACCGCTCATCCGGGAAAAAGGTTGCTGCTTCGCTTCTTGGCATCTAAGTGGTCTCGCGTCGGGGCCGTGGGTTGCGGCTGCGAGAGGAGCGAGTTGTGCGACGTTGGCGCCGAGGCGGCGGGATCGACAGATGGGATGCAGGTGCTGGCCTTCAGGTGCTGGCCTTCAGGTGCTGGCCTTGACGCACGTCAGCCTGGGGGAGGCTTCATGTTGTTAGACGCCGGCCGACATGGACCCCCTGCCACGGTCGCATCCTCGAGCGCCTAATGGCCGGCTGCGATTGGTGGTCCAAAGACACGGAGAGAGACCGGAAGGATCAAAGAACTGAGCGAACGGCCTAACCTGCCCTGCCCCGCTGTGCTGCAGAGTTGAAAGGCGGCCGCATGACCGCTGTACCAGGCAAAAGGTACTGAGGACTATGTATCCGCACATGCCTTCTGAGTTACAGCGCATCCTCCCCCCCTGCAACCGCCTGTCAACCATCCAGGATACGCTGGCTCTTCACCCCCCCAGACACGACTGCAGGCGCAATGGAACGTGCAGTTGGTCCGCCGAACGAAAAATCATGGAAATCGTCAGCCTTCATCCAACGGCCCGCCCCATTCCGTTAGCTGCCCGACGGCTAGCGGCTCCCCTCCCCTCTCGGAAGCTGCCTACAAGACTCCATCCTTTGCCCCCTTACCGCTGCGCCTGTTGCTCACAGCCAGCTTCGCCGCCTCTCTGTGCGCTCAACCTCTCGGCCCCGCTGGCCCACCAAGGCTATGCGCTGACGCCCACGTCTCCAAGGAGCAAAGAAGATTCCCAGGACTAAACAACTCGGCAACGGCAAGCGCTCCGTCATCATGAAGATCGGATGTCTGCAGTTTGCGCCCCATGTGGCCGATATTGACAACAACCTCAACCGCGCCGATGCTGTCCTCTCCAAAGCGAGCCCAGATGAGTCGGATTTGGATCTGCTAGTTTTGCCCGAGCTGGCCTTCACGGGTAAGTGGTGGTTTGGTTGCCCGTCTGATCGGTTTGCGTCTTCTTTTCGTCATATTTGACAGCCATACCGTGTTTCCGCCCTGCTGACCTGGCAAAAAAGGCTACAATTTTAAGTCGCTCCAGGACATCTCCCCTTTCCTAGAACCCTCAGGCTCCGGCATCACAGCTCTCTGGGCTCGAACTACCGCGCTCAAGTACAACTGCATCGTCACGGCTGGATACCCAGAAAAGGTAGACGTTGCTCCCAAATGGCCTACTGGTCCCGAGTACTACAACTCGGTCATTGTTGTCAACGGAGACGGTGAGACAATTGTCAACCACCGGAAATCGTTTCTATATCACACCGACAAGACTTGGGCGCTTGAAGGCCGTGGCTTCCATGACGGCTTTATTCCTGGTCTGGGAAACACCTCGATTGGAATCGGTAGGACCATCATATGCCTCGTTTTCCTCTACAGCATGCTAATTTTACACCGCAGGCATGGATATCAAGTATGGCGTGGCCCTGTCTCCACAGGAATCTGACTTGACTGACACCTTTGCAGTCCGTATAAATTCGAAGCGCCTTGGCATGCTTTCGAGTTTGCCTTCCACGTGCTAGAGGTCGAGTAGAATCTGGTTATTGTGTCTATGGCTTGGCCAACCTTGGAAGACCGCCGGCGTTTTACGCGAAAGCCAAACGAGCCAGACATGGACACCCTGACTTATTGGGTAACCCGACTGGAGCCCCTCATCCGCTCCGGCAACCAAGAAGAAATCATCGTCGTCTTCTGCAATCGTGCTGGTACTGAAGACGATACGACTTACGCCGGAACAAGTGCCGTCATCGGTATCCAGGACGGCGAGGTCAAGGTCTACGGGCTGCTAGGTCGCGGCGAGAAGGAGCTGCTGGTCGTGGACACCAACGACGCTCCCTACGCGAAGCTGATTTATCAGCCTGAATCGAGCTACGGACTACGACAAGAGGAGCAGGGAAAGACGAACCCGTCCCGCAGCTTCTCTACTGGACCCCAAGGCAATGCAGGCCCAAGTGTCCAAGTCGTGTCTGAGTCCCGGCAAGTGAATGGGGAACAGGACACATCAAAGTCAAACTCGCCCGGCCATACAAACCGATCTTGCTCCTCGTCCAGCTCTGTAAACAATGAAATCCCTCAACACGAGGGAAAAGACGGGCCCGCAAGGACTCCAGTGAATTGCCGGTCGAGTCAGTCACACTTTCCGCACCCAACATCATCTCCTTCCTCAAGCCATTCATCCGATCGGAAGAGAGATGGAGTTAAGAGTCGGAGGACTATTCCGAAACGTCTGGATTTGATGCTGGAAAGCATGCCTCTCGACCCCCCAGAAACCGACAATGCCAACATTCCAACACCGTCGGCACCCAGTCCGACGCCCATGGCAGTCCGTCCTCGACTGAAAATACCTGACTCGCCTTATGGACTGCCTCAACCCTACAATCCCGACCATCCATCCAGCGCAGCTTCTCAGATGTCGGCACGTTCCATGCAATCGATAAAGTCTAACGGATCGGAGGCTTCAACAATGACGGTCAAGTCCAACCCTCGGCCCCCCGAGGATAGCACGCCTTACCCACACAGCGGCGCTACTCTAAGCTCGTATCGCATGAGCGCATTCCGTGGCGACAGATTCGCGTACGACGGCCATATGACGAGCTCTTACGAAAGTGATACCCCAAGACAAAGATTGTCCTCCAAGGACTCCTCAATGAGATCGCCTCGCTGGTTCTGGCGGCCTCCAGAGAATCTTTTCCGAACACCTGTACCACCAGAGCCTGAAACGGGGACTTCTTTCGCAAGAACGTCCGAGTCATCCACAGGGAATGTCGTGCTGGCGTCCATAGCCGGACTTGTCGACACGGCATCGGAGGGTCATCATGGCAGGAGTTCAATGGCCCACCAGGTTGGCTGGACCACAAGCGCACATTCGGCCATGGTGAATGGCTCTTCAACACAGTCTGATCGAGCCAGTAACGTTAATGAGAAACCAAAAATGCCCTCAAAGGAAATGGAAGCTTCCACCAACTCGGGACCTTCGACGTCACAGAGTGCCAGCTGGCCACTTATGAGAGAAAGATCAAATTCGGCCTCTGATCAGCATGACGCTTTGGAAACGGCATCTCATTCAGGGAAACAGACGCCTCAACGTGCAGAGTTGGCCAATGAAACGCCCCAGGAAGCCTCTTGGGGCACTCCAATCCCTGAGCGGCCTGCGTCGCCAAAGTCTAGGAACTGCAGTCGCAGCCGCCCAAGCGATCCTGCTGACTTTTACCGTGACTTTCAGACAATTCCAATTGCTGCCAGCCCGAGCATACTGTCTGAACGAGGATCACCGTCCCGAGAGGCAGTATGTCCAGACCATCGTCGACGCTATCGGCCCATGTCACGCATGGGTCATCAAAACCGAAGCAACTCCATGACGAACATTGCGGGCAGTTTCCAAGCGACTGGACCTTGGGCGACAGGTTACAGCGCCAGCAGGGCTACTAGTCGCGGAAGGCAACCTGTGCCAAAGGTGCCGCCGATACTTTCGGATGGGGCTTTTCGCGTTTCTGAAAGAGCGTCATCGGCCGACTCGACGCGCAACGCAGTCCTCCACAGGAGACTCCGCAAGCCAAGTGCACACACACAAGACGGCTACAGTGACAGGCGCTCCTCCCATGGACCAGGGTCTCGATCCAGACGCCGGCCTTCTGTGGGCCCCGGCGGCGAAGAGTTTGAGAGGGTCGAGGCCATCGTCTGCCCCAACTGCCCTGTTCATGGCAGGCAGGCTTTCTCAGCGGGGCAGGCTTCAGATGAAGGTGATGACGCGCTTTCGGCGCCATATTTGAGAGAGTCGATGATTGTGAATCGCTCGACATCCCCACCCGCGGATCCGCGAAATGCTCCTGTGAGAGAAATGGTGGAAGTAAATCGAGGAGCCCACAACTTCAGGGCGGCGCTATCGGGCCACGGAGACGTGAGCCGGAGAGCTCGGAGAGCCAGTGACGACGGCGCAGACATGGAACACTACCAACTGACCATCGATCCGCCTCAGATAGGGGCCATTGGGAGACAATCGCCAGAACACGTCTACTCATCGTGTCCTACTACGCCGAAAGCTATGGTACTTTTGCTAGACGATTGCAACCCATGCCCGTTGGCTGTAGGGGAGTCTGACAGCAAAGGCTCGGCCATTGTGCACTGCGTTGAAGGTCAAGTTGCCTGAGACCAGGAAGGCAATGGCGTTCAACGAGGCTGGTGCTGTCTGGACAGATCAAATGGCGGTGCGATGGCGCTCAAGCTTTCACTTGAGGCCTCGGCTGGCTCTCACACGCTGAGCTTGCCAACTCCTTAGACGATGAGGCTTCTCTTGTCCAGGCAACCAAGGGCGACTTTATGGCGTGCTCCGAGATGGACTTGGCTGGTTGGAGTTGTGACGGGGGAAGTCAAGGTGGACGGTCCCAGGGGGAGCGACATGATGGCTATGATCTTTGACGATGTCTCTTCTGTTTGTTTGTTTTCCCTCCTATCCAGGCTTTGACGAACGATGATGATGTAATTAGCTGGTTCCGCAGCTTGTATTGAGAGGAAATCATGTCAAATTGCGCCCGGTGCCCCACACTGCAGGCGCTCGCCAACATCGGGCGCGAAACGGTCCTATTAAAAACATTCCCAGTCAACAGGCTTCGCATGGTAACACAACGGGCGAGATCTACCAACCCCATGAGGCCACGCAAAGGGGAAAGCGGCCTTGATGGTAGCCCGCAGCTCGACTCGCATGAGGCACGCATAATTAAGCTGGCGGCTGTGCACGGGTCTGCGGCCACCCAATCAATGGGCGAGGCCAGGTTGGCGCTCCGGATGCTACCCTTGCGAGGGGCAGGCCGGCATGCCGGTCGGGCGGTTGTAGGGGCTGTGACGTTGGCTGCAAAGTCACCCTGGACTCATCACATCAGGGGTCTCTCTGTGAAGGAGCGGGACAAGGTCGAACAGAGGAGGGGTTCGAGGGTCGGCGTCACAGTAAAGGGACGCCCAAGGTCTCGGGAAGGGCAGTCATGACGCGGGCACGGTGAGCGAGGCTTGTCTCGGCCAGGCCCGGGCCCCCGTATGTACATTACATAACTATAGGGGCGACATGACTCGGGGCTCTGAGTTTTCTCCGGATACGAGGCATGGATCTGGCCCACTTTCTCTTTCTTTTCCAATGCTCGGCGTTGGGGTATTCACGGGGCTTCCATTCCTTGCGTGCTCTTTTATCTGGGGAGGAAGGGGGGGGGGGGTTGCCTTTGACACTTGGGGCGAAGTAGGGAGTAGGTAGGTACAGTACTCGGTAATAGAGGGGCAGAGCAAAGCGCAAGCGTAGAGGATTGCGGCACGACTCGGATCAGCCATCGCATGTGGCGGTCAGGATTGAGATCTCTGGTTCCAGGTGGAGGCGATGGCGCTAGCTGGGGTGAAGGAGAGGAGGGGAATCAAAGACGCCGCCATCATCATGGTCGCCATCGTCGTCACCATCATCTTGGGTTGAACAACACGTCGAGTAAACAAAGAGAAAGAGGGTGGATGGAGGAGGAGGAGGAGGAGGAGAAGGAGGAGGGGCCGGGGCCGGATGCTTCGGAGCGTCTCCTGTTCCTGGCCAGTGCTCGACGGGGTGTCCCTGGCTGGTTGGTAGGTTATACCTCGGAGGGCCCTATGACGGACACTGGCGTGGTTGGCGTAGGGAAATTGCGGGCCCCGCGGGAGTAACTTGTAATTCTCGACGACGAGATTGCCCGGCTTGTTGATGGTGAGTGTGTTGGAACCTCGGCTCTGTGCATGTCATGTCAACAAGGACCATCCGGTTCATGCAGGCTGCTGCGGCTGCTGCTGCTGTTGCTGCTGCATCGTTTGGGGAGCGCGCCATGCATGGCAGGCAGGCCGGGGGTGATCACGGCAGCAACCGGCGCTCAATGTCTGTCTGTCTGTCTGTCCGTCTGTCCGTCTGTCTGATGGAATACAGGTACGTACCCGTACGGATACCGTCGCAAAAGACGAGTGGCCGCACCGCCGGGGCCAAAAATAGAACTTGCTTGCATCTCGTATACGTCAAAACTGATTAGTCCTGGTAGACAATAATAAAAAGACGGGCGACGGGCGAGTGTTGATATACACTAGGAAAAAGGTTGAATCACGCCCCTCTGCAAAGTCGGCCTCCCTCGCTTGTGCCGCGCGTATGTGCTCCGGGGACTTGCAGCAGGGACTTGCTCCAGGGACTTGCAGCAGATACCTCGGGCTCGTGGCCGCTAATGCCGTGCTACCCCGACGCTAAGTAGGTACCACCAACCAGTGCAATTTGCGTGCACGTGCCCCTCGCTGCGCGTGCGCACTGCATGTACAGTTACAGTACGGAGTACTCGGCATGTGCCCTCCAGATGCTTGGCCAGTGGCCCGGCAGCGTCCAAGTATTACCGCTTCGACGGCGTGCCTTGGATGGCACGAGATCTAGGGAGCGCACAATAACGCCGGTTTTTCAAGAATGCAATGGCTCTGTGGGCAGAGAGCACTGAAAGGCACAGACAGGTACTGCCCAGTGTCGGCCCGGAGAGGCTCTGTAGGTCCTGCCGCCTGGGGTAAGTTATGGTTAGTTAGTTAGGTTCCTGCCTACCTATTCTGGGCCCACGAGCAGAGGAGGGTCCCCCCTTCTACAGTACCCGTCGGCCGCAAGACACAACAACTCCCCTCCCTCCTTCCTGGTCGTCCCCAGTTTACTTTCCACACGCAAACCAGAACCGTTGCTCGACCCCGATTCTTCACTCGTTTCGCCCCCGTCATTTATTCTTCATTTTGTTTACGTCTTGTGCCGTGCCGCCGCCGTCTTCTTCGGCACCGAGGTAGGGACGGACTGCTTCTTTAATCCGCGGTGACGAACTGCGCCGTGCCCCTCGTCCCCCTTTTATCGTCCCCCCCACCGTCTGTCCGAACGCCGCCCCGACAAAACCGTCCACCAACTTGAGCGAGCGAGACCTCACCCCCCGAAGCCGTCGAGGCTCCAACTCCGTCTGCGCAATCACCATTTCCACCGCCCGCCCGCAGGATGAGGCTCCCCCTGGGGCTCGTCCTCGGCGCGCTGCTAGGCGTCGCCCGCGCCGACGTCCACCTCTTCGCCCGCCAGAACAGAGCCACGTCGGCCAGCCCGCCAGCCCGCCCTCCCGTCACCTCGGACGACACGCCGCCCGCGACATCGGCCCCCGTTAGCCCTAACCCTGGCCCAGGTGCTGGTGGAGGAGGCGGCGGCGATGTCACCATCACCTCAACCATCACCGTCACCTCGGGCGCCGTCTCGACCACGACACAATGGACCACCGTCACTTCCACCACTACGACCGTCTCGACTGTCTTCTCCACCGCCACCATCACCGGGTCCATCACCGGGTCCCAGGCAACCGCCACCTCGACCGTCTTCGAGACGTCGACCGTCCCCGTCGACCAGAACCGGAGGCGCGCCCTCGACCCCCCGACGGCGCCCCGGCTCGCCACTCCCGCTCAAGTCGAAGCTGTACCCACTCGCGCTCCTGTCAGCTCAGGCACGGGTGACGACGACGACGACGACGACGACGACCAAGACGCACCGCGACTTAACCTGCTCGCCAAGCGGGCAACCTCCACCCAGTATGTCACGTCCACCGCGTCAGCCAACCGTCGCGTCACCGCCACCGCCACTGCCACCTCCTTCTCCTTGGAGAACAGCCTCACCACCATCGTCGTCACTCAAACGGACCAGCCCAATGCCCGGACTACAGTCACAGTCACAAGCACCCTCGCCGTCACTTCGACTCGTGTGACGTCCTTGGTCGAGGGAACGCCGACTGAAGTTCCCGGCAGCGATGGTGGCAGCGGAGCATCCGGAGCATCCGGAGCAAGCGGCGACGGGCTGTCGACGGGCGCCAAGGCGGGCATCGGCGTTGGCGCGGGCATCGGCGCCCTGGCCCTCATCGGCGCTGCCGCCTTGTGCTTTCTCCGCCGCCGCAAGAGCCCCAAGCCGGTTCACGACGACTTTATGGGCGCCTCCGAGGTGCCTGTGGGTGGGCCCGGCGGCCGTGGCTCCGGCTCGCAGCACATGTCCGAGTCGACGTCGGCCGGCGGCTATCTAGCCCCCAGCCACAGCCAACACAAGCCCGGCGGCAGTGTCGAGGGGTACCGCGGCACGGCCATGGGGGATGGCCGCGCGGGCTACGCCAACAACCTGACCCCCTACGGCGCCGCCTACACTCCGAGCCGCAACACGACCCTGAGCCAGCAGCAGCAGCACCGAAATAGCACGGCGGGTGACAACCAACTGCCGCGCCACCCGACACCCGGCAACTCGTCCATTGTCAGCCCGTTGACGCCCGAAACTGCCGAGTTGGGCAACGACAGCGCGGCGGCGGCGGCGTGGAACAATCCGGGTGCCGCCGAGATTGACGGGCAACCAGTCATGAGCCATCATAGCGGACCCGTGTACGAGATGCCCACGCAAAGCTATCGGTAGTTGAAGCGGCGTGCCGGATTGAGTGCGGGAAGGAAGGATCCAATGACCGAAGACTTGATGGCGACAACGCACATCACGCACGGGGCGGTTTTATTGATGCAAGGGGCACGGATGAGGCGAGAGAGAGCCTTCCTCGGTACAAGGGACTGTATGATAGCAGCAGCTCTTTCTGTATGTATGAATAGCCGGGGCCACGAAGGTGGAGATGAGGGCGCGGCAAGCACTTGGCGCCTTGTTCCCTTTTTGTGCAAGGGGCAGTGGGAAGAGAAACGGCTGGGCTGGGACGATACCTCTTTACATAGGAAACAAAAACCCATTGAGGGTAATTAATAATTAAACTAAAGAAGGCATGGATTTTAGCCTCTGCGACGTAGGCGAACGAAGGCTGCCACTTTGACTTTTGGCCAGCGCGTGGCCAGCGCGTGGCCAACGTCGGACGGACATGAGCGTTTGGCCGTTGCCGCTGTGTGGATCAGGGCTCGGGAGCCTAAAGTCCATTGAACGATTCACCGTAGTACCATGACGGGGCGCTTTCGGGCCTCGATGACGCATTGGTGCCGAGAAAAACAAAGCGTCCAATCAAGTGGCAGCAGTCCCGTTGGCGAGGTACATGCGCAACGGGCCGACCGCCCCGCAATCTGCAAGTATCTTCACGCTCATCGTAGTGTTGCATGTACATTCCGGGAAACAACAACGGACCCTGCCCTTTTCCCTTGCCGCTGATTCATTACGCTTTCCTTCTTTCCGTGTCTGCTCTTCCCGGTTCGCCTCTCGGCTAAGATACTAAGTTATCCGTATAATTTGCGGAGACATCCACAGGGCGGGGGACCGATATCCTCGGGGGAGGATTTTTTCTTCGTGAGCTTTTAGTCTCCGTCATCAGCGGCCTCTTTCTGTCTTTGCTCGCGCGCGGGGTGGGTACTGAACATACCTCTCGCAGCCTCGGCGCCGACGACGACGAGAACGACATCGCGGAAAGCTTGATTGTTGGTTCCTTGGCCTCCACAAGAGGCTGCCATAGCAAAAACACACGGCCCAACCAACCGCGGAGAGAGACGGGCGGACCAAAGGGCCCCGCTTGGACGACGTCTCATAGCGGTTCGCGAGTGTCGGTAGGACTATTTTTGCTTTGCTCGTCCGGGGCGAGGCTTCGAGTGAGGGCTGTCATCATGAGGGAGACGCCGTCGCCAACCGAAGGCAGAAAGACGGTGCAAGAGTCGAGTGCAGCTGCGGAGCCGGCAGACTATGGCGTCGACGAGAGGAGGCTGCTGAAAAAGCTCGACATCCACATCATCCCCCTGGTCATGACTCTGTACCTGTTTAGCTTCCTCGACCGGTACTGTCTCTTCCATCATCTTAGTTCGCCGTCATGACCCAAGAAGAGCCAAGGCTAACACTCCCCCAGAGTCAACATTGGCAACGCGCGTCTCTACAAGCTCGAGTCCGACCTGGGCCTGTCGCCGACGCAGTTCCAAGTCGCCGTCAGCATCCTCTTCGTCACCTACATCGCCTTCGAGGTGCCCTCCAACCTAGTGCTCAAGCTCTTCACCCCGCGCCGCTGGATTGCCTTCATCGTCGTCTCGTGGGGCCTCGTCGCCACCCTCAGCGGCCTTGTCCAGTCCTACGCCGGCCTGCTCGCCTGCCGCCTGCTGCTCGGCGCCCTCGAGGCCGGCCTGTTCCCGGGCCTCAACGTCTACCTGACCCTCTTCTACACCAAGCGCGAGCTGGCCCTGCGCGTTGGTTATCTCTTTGTCAGCGCCGCCGTCGCCGGCGCCCTTGGTGGTCTGCTGGCCTACGGCATCGGCCACCTCGACGGCGTGCGCGGCATGCACGGCTGGCGCTGGATCCTCATTATCGAGGGCCTACCCTGCATCTTCCTCGGCGCAGTTACGTACTTTGCCCTCCCCAACGACGGCCAGACGGCCTACTTCCTCGACGACCGCGAGAGGGCCCTCATGCAGGCGCGGAGCAGGGGCGAGTACGGGAGTACCCGCTCAAGCCAGGAGTTTAGCCGCGCCGATATGAACAAAGCCTTCACCGATTGGAAGATCTGGGCCTTTTCCGCGGCTCAGTTTGGCGTCGATACGATGCTCTATGGTTAGGACCCTCGAGCATGAGTCCAAGAAGTTGACTGACCAGGCGCCGACAGGATTCTCAACATTTTTGCCCACCATCATCAACGACCTCGGCACCTGGACCATCGCTCAGGTACAGCTGCTGACGGTGCCGTGCTACTTCCTGGGTGCAACCGTATACATGGTGACAGCGCTGGCCTCGGACCGGCTGCAGATGCGAGGCGTCTTCTGCGTCGTCTTTGGGGCCGTAAGTGTCATCGGCTACGCCGTTCTCATGTCCGACGTGGCGCCGGCGGTGCACTACTTTGCCTGCTTCTTGATAGCGGGCGGGCTCTACGTCGTCGTTGGGCTGCCGCTGGCCTGGGTAAGTCTGGGTTTCCTTTGGTTCTATCAAAGTGCCCTTTGATGGTCGGCCTTGAGCGCAACAAGACTGACAAAAGGACGCCTGGTCTGCTATGTTGATTAGTTACCCAACAACACTCCGCGATACGGCAAACGCACTACCGCCACCGGGCTGCAACTTACCCTCGGCAACTGTTCTGGCATTTTGTCCGCCTTCATCTAGTGCGTCTTCACCTCTCATCATTGACTGTCACCTGCCAAAGGTCTGCTCTCGAGGTCCGAATGCTAACGGGTCGCTCGCGTCCGGCAGCCCCAAGGGAGACGCCCCACGGTACACGCGCGGTCACGGAGTGACGCTGAGCATGGTGGCCCTAGGGATCACCATCTACAGCCTCATGTGGCTCTGGTACCGGCGGGAGAACAAGAGACGCGCGGGGGCGCAGCTGAGCGATGAGCACAGGCGGATGAAGGAGGAGGAGCTCGAGGAGCTGGGAGACGACAGCCCGCGGTATATGTACACCGTGTAACTTGACAGGGGAGAGATACAGGTCGACCCGGACTTTCCTGGACTGAAAGCGAGCACTGCCCTAAAGAGCGACAGCATAATCGCCCGCAAGGGTTGGCAGCCGCCAGGTCCGTCCTTTTCTTGGCCCGGCCTATGACGTCTTGGGCTAAAAGCTTGGGCAGACACTAGCCCCTGGGTCCGCAGGTGTCTCGCCTGGAGCTGCCGCGGCTCGGCAGAAGACCGAAAGTCAAGCGGCAAGCACCGTCATCGTCGGGCGGCTATGTTGAATCATAGCGCTTCCCGATTTAGAAACTCAGCAAGAACGGAAAAGGCTGAAACCACCAAACAAAAAGAGTAGTAAGTTCCAAGTGTGGAACCAAGAGAGAGGGGAACTTGTTGACGGGCCCTTGACCGCTTAGGGCGAATGGAGTGAACCGACGGCGGATTACCATTTGACTGCCGCGGTGAACCAGCCAAGGCTTGAAATATCTTTCCAGCCTTGTGCGCCCCGGCAGGTCCAAGGGTGTTTCGAGGCGTCGCCAAAGTTGGTGTGAAGCACGGCGGCGGCGAGGAATCCGTGGGGGAGGCCTCTTATGCTACGACATACTGATTCGAGGGCTCGCGTCAACGAGCCAAAGACCGGAGGACGATCTGGTGACGGCCAGGGGGCCGGGCTACATCGGCCTCGAGGCGTAGGTGGATGCCCTATGTTATTCTCAACAAAGAAAAACCCCCTCCCAGACAGCCCTGGGCTACTTGTTTTGGACCGAGACCTCTACACGTCTCGTTGCGGCTTCATGCTCGGCTGCCTCCGTCCATGCTAGGCACTCGGAGAGCCAGCCAGGCAGGGAATCTGAGACCTGTTTGCTCAAGTCATGGCTACTTGCGATACGGCTAGTTACGGCCTGCCTGGTCTCCCACCGGCTCGACTGGTTCGCTTCCACTCATGGAAGATGGGGCGACAAAGATTACGGACTAGTACCTTGATGCGACAGTGTGTGCAAGCGATCCCTTGGCAAAGAACGATCCCCGACTTTATCTTGATAATGGGGACGTGAAGGGTCCGGGCAAAGTGCACGAATTCGGCTTGGGGGGAAACTGGAAGGCAGACGTGACCAAAAGGAATCAGACGAAAGACGCCGTCGATAATCAAGCCGGAAACTCGCAGCGTCCCACGAAAACGATTCGGCAAGGGGAACTGCCTTGTCGGGGACTAACTTGCGACGCCAACGGACCGGCCGCGCTCTCTCTCGTCCATCCTCGGTCTCCCTCTTGCGGTATTTCTCCATGTTTTGGAATATACAGGGCGAAATGAAAGGATAGGTGATAGAAGGCGAAGAAAAGTGGCACAGGCCCACAATTCCGTCACGGAACGTTGTCGAACGCTTGACAAGGCCAGCTCTCCAGGTGAGCGAGGGTCTGAGTGTGCGGCTTAATAAGGCCTGACTCGTTACCCGAGGGGGGAGGGGGGCAGCCGAGTTTGTCTTGAGGGGACAGGGTAAAAAGAGGCCGAATATAAACAAACGCCAGCAAGGACTCAACGAGGAAGAAAACGAAGATTAAAAGGATAACAAAAAAAGAGGCAAAAGCAAAACATATAGACAACGAAACAAGCAATGAAAGAGTTGGACAGGACGTTCTTGCCTCCCTGGCCCGCCATCTGAAGCCCTCCCGGCTCTAGCTCTGTGCCCCCCGAGGACGCCGACGGGGCGATCTTCCCTGTCATCTGGTGGAGGGGGTTGCGGAGCGGCAAGCGATTCGGGGGGCGCGCCGATCAGACGCGCATGAAGCACGTTGTGAGTGCAGACGGACGGAGTCTGGTATTACAAGCAGTTTCTGTTCTTTCCTACAGCGCATAGCCCCTAGTTCCCTACCGGGGCTTTTCTTTTGTTGTTGCCGTCGACTATCCTGTATCATCGCCACACCGCCCCGCGGAAGTCCGACGGGGTTTGAACGCGACGCTGCGTCGACGAGAGGGTGGCTGGGCCGGGAGCGCTGCCTGGGCCGGTTTCGGTGGGTGTGTCCGCGCGAGAGAGAGGGAGCGAGAGAGGCGCCCTGGGACCTGGCAAGGAAGAGGCGAGGATGGGAGGGTGGAAGAGAGGGAGGAAAGAGCAAGGTCAACTGCAAAGCGCAGTTGTGTCAGTCGGTGTGATGTGTATCTGCTGCCGTTTGGTTTCGCCGTGGGGCTCGCCCTCCTCGAAACCCTCCGAGGATGGCTGGGTGGGGAGGGAGTGGTATGGTCGTCGTCGAGCGAGCAGGGACGGACGACGACTAATGAGGAAGTCAATGCATGGCGCCGGGTATATAAGGGGTTGCCGTGCTCTTCATCCCGAGGGCCTTGCCACCATCGCCAGAAGCAACACGTCGACAGCAGAGCCGTCACAGGACACGCGAGCAGACACAACAGACTTTCGTCTACACCCGGGGCAGGCCTCTTTCTCTTCTCCAGACACACTTTTTCTTCTTCTGTTTTCAGCGGTCGGAATACAATCGAAGCGGGCTTCACCGACCAGTTTCTTTTCTCTCCCATCTCATCTCTTGGTTCGATACACCCCTCTCCTCTTTTCCTCAACCAACCCTCCCAAACGCAAAAAAACACATCACTTCATCATGATGGGCCCCAAGATCTACCACGTCCTGGCCATGCTGGTCATGCTGCTCGGCATCGTCGTCTCGCAGACGCCCAGCCCCATCTCGGCTGTCTCTGCCGCGGCAGCGGCCTCCAGCGTGCCGGAGGCCAGCGGCGGACCCAACGGGGGCAAGGGAGGCGATGGCGGTCGGGCCGGAGACGACCCGTGCCGGCGCGCCAAGCGGGCGGCGAATGATGGCCCTGCCGGCCCCAACGGACCCTCGGCCGAGACGGCCAGTGGTGAAAGCTGCAAAAGCGGGGGCGAGGGCAGCAGAAGCGAAGGATCCCTGCCCCAGGCGCCAGCTCCTGCCGGGCCGGCGTCTGCGCCCGCCGCCTCGGGCGCCGCGGGATCCTCCGGCTCATCCAACACCACGTCGCCAAGGCCCGCGGGCAATCCCGCGGGCGGCGCCGCTGGCAATCCCGCGGGCAATGCTGCGGGCAGCGCCCAGACAACGGCGAGGGTCGCGACGACTTCCATGGCGGCAGGCGCGGCCTCCCAAACCCGGGTCAGCGGCGCTTCTTCCACAGTCAAGGAAGCCGCAGAGGCGACCGCGGCCCGCAGCGGCGGCTCCTCGACCGGCTCCTCGGCCGCCCTGAACAGCGCCGCAGTCAAGGCCACCGACTTCACCATCATGAGCGTCGCCCTGACTGCGGGCCTGGTCGCCTTCGGCCTCTACATGTCCTAGCTGCGCCCCGATGGGAGAGCAAGGAGAAAGCACTAGGACGGCGACGAGTCTGCCAGTCCCCTGAGCAGCCTGCATCGGCACAAAACTTGTCCTCTGGAGGTTTCATGACGGACAAGGAGGAGGAGAGGGAGGAGGTGGTGGAGGGGGCAAAGGCATGATGTGTCCCGTGCGAGAACCTGAAATGGTTGGGCAGCGTTCACGACACGATAATCACTCTTTAATCTTTTTTTTTTGACAAACGAGTTGCTGCGGCGGGGGCGGCACGCTCAAGAGGAACCTGGATTGGTGTCATGTGCATATTCTAGATGACGCAGCTCCAAGGCATCCCGGCAGATGCAGTCAGCGATAGGTCGGATGGAGAAGAGGGCAAACAAAGCTCACAATCAGGCCATGGCCGACAAACCTCGGGGCACGACCCCCTCTTGTCTTTTTCCGTTCGGGCGGCTCGTGCTCCAGCTCATGGAGCTCCGCTGTGATAGGTGACCGCTTTCATAGTGTGACAAGACGGCTGCCGTAGGCGATGGCGTCTTTTGGTCGTTATGGGGACGGAAGGACCGTCGAATTTTGCAAGAGAAGGACGAGCAGATGCTCCGGAGGAACAGGCTCAAGACGCCAGATTGCGCGAAGCAGTGCAAGTCACATGCAGCCCCCGCTGAGGAAAAAAGGAACCTATCTGAGGGAAGAGTCGGAATACGTGGCGAATGCACGCTAGGAAGAGTGGCATCCGAAGCCAACTTGGGGCCAGGCAGCATACCCAGCAGTTCCGAGACCCCGGGCCGGTCAAACTCGGAGGGGGTGGTGTCCGAGGCACGAGGCGGCCGAGGATCGTCGGCTGTGGGGCAGCGAATCGGCCCACGCGGTGTCGAGGCGGCTAGAGGCATGGGAAACTCGACAGCGACTTGTCAGAGACCGACAGGATGCATATGAGTTGCGTTGCAGCGGAAGCCACAGGGGAGAGGTGTAGAAGGACGGCACGAAGCGGTGATTGCCTTGCCGAACATGAAAACCACATGGCGAGATCAACCAACAGACCAAAAAATGGGCAAAGATGGAGTGTCGTAGAACCCGGTCAAAACATGTGGCCATTGCCGATGAGGCGTAAGGCACGCTCGAGCGGTAACATGGAAAGAAACGTGCGTACAGGGGTCCGAGCCGGGGACAAATGTAACCGAGGACGACCAAGAAAGGGAAATGACAGTGCTTGAGACACGTAGGGATGGCTCCGATCGGCGAGCCGTCATCCAGCGGGCCTTGTTGCAGTATGTATGTAGATTCCATGAGAGCTTGCTGTCACTTGATCGATCGGTATAGTTGAGTGGTTCCCGCACCTAGCAGGGGGCACTCATCAGCCCATGCTTATCCGTAGCCTAACTTGATGTTGGTTGCTTCTTTTGCTTGAACCCATGCTGGCTGGTGGTTTTTAAGCAGGGATAGAGCCCAATGGTCGAGCGGGAGTCATGACGAGAGAGAGCCGTTTGCTTGCTTTAGTTTGAACCAGGCTCGGGCTTTGAGTTCCTATCCAACCCGTGCTCTGGGAAAGGCCGGCGCAGCGTGCATACGCGCGTGAGACTCACACCAGCAGTGACAATCACCAACACTGCAAGCCGTTGGGACCCCCCACCCCCCGACAGCTTTCGGCGCTGGAGCAACGCCTCGACTTCGCCGCGCCGATGGACTGCCAGTACATATTGAGTCGACGAGCCCACCTCGGGATGAGACGACCGACTTCTGCTTTCTGCGAGCACTCTCAAAGTGTTTCCATCTCATATCCCGCGGATCGGAAGGCCAGTAAAAAAAGTGGGAAGAACGAGTGAGTGAGCCGGAAAACCACAAACGACAAGCAAGAGAAGGCGGATCGAAAACGAGATGTCGCCCATCGTCCACGTCGTCTTCTTCCAATTCAGGCCGGAGCTCACAGTCACGGAGCGCCAAGAGGTATGCAAGACGTTCAGCGTCTCTTGATTTCTCGGCTGTCGCTGTATGCTCGTCGCTCAGCATACTGTGTCGTCTGGCCTGTTTACCTTTGGCCAAAGCGTGACGAGAAATGCTTGGCTGACGCAGTTTGCCCCCCTTTAGCTGTGTGACCAAATGTTGGAGCTCAAGAACAGCTGTCTGCACCCGCGGTCGGAGAAGCCATACATCCAGTCATCGGTGGGCGGCTTGGACAAGAGCATCGAAGGGGCGCAGGGCGGCATCACGCACGCGTTTGTGGTCCAGTTTGCCAGCCAGGAAGACCGCGATTATTACGTGCAGGAGGACCCGGCACACCAGGCCTTTGTAGAGGTCATGGTGCCCAAGCTCGTCAAGGCGCAGATCATCGACTTTAGTCCGGGTGACTTCATGCCCTGAAGGGATCGGCCAAAGAACGGCTACTTTTTCGGTTGGTGCTTGGGTTTATTGCTTTCTGGAAGACGGCCTGTCATGCAATTTAGCGAGGAGCACGGGCGACGGACACGGGGGATCTGTTACTGGAAGATGGACGGACAGGCCGTGAACACGAGCCTTGTCGGGCAAAGAACTAGCTGGCAGCAACTGATGGCGCTGAGCCATGACGCTGTCGACGGATGAGCGGGTGCGAGCCCGTTTGCTGGTCCGACGAGATAGAAGTAAGAATGGGGCAGATCCGACTCTTCATTTCTGTGTCTTGGTTCGGTCTGTCTGTCTCCGTGGTGCTCGGCGTGGTCCAAAAGGACAGACGAGGTGTTGCTTTTGGGTTTGCCGTTTCCACATCCGTCCCTTCCCTCCCGGGGTAAATGATGCGGGAGGGACCCGTCTACAGCGGTGTTCTGCGATGCAGGGGGCTTCCAGGGGTGCACAGCGGCTGAGGGACCCTGAGACGCTGCCCGTGGGAGGCCCAGATGACATCAGGGCCACTATAACCGCCTACTAGCGTCTGCCATCGCCTGAACCCGGGCCACGGTCATCTGGATCGCTCCTTAACGTGCACGGAGCGAGTCGAGGATAAAGGATGTTGGCCGCTAAACCAATGGATCAAAGTATTTGTACTAGGTCAGCGCACCGTTTTGTCCATTGGCTTAGCGCCGACTTGAAACGAAACCTTCGAGTGCCTCCCTACCTGGAGGATACGTCATGCGCCGGTGCAGCCCTGGTGCCAGCACGTGTTTCTCTCGAGTACCCTGGCGAAGCTCTGAGCAGCAGCACTTGCTCGCTCACTTTAGGTAATTAGTAGCAGCATCCTCCTCTTTCCCTCACCTCTTGTCCTCCTCCATTGCCTCTTCTCCTCCCCTCTCCCCTCTCCCCTCTCCCCTCCGCATCATCGACGACGAGACATAGCCTCTGCCGCACCCAACTGTCCTAAAAACCGACGCAGACAACCAGCTTCCCCGCCTTGCCTTTGGATGCAAGCCGATTCGCAGCGTCGCATATGCGCGCCGCGTCCTCCCACCCGCCAGTGACGTTGACCAAGCACCTCCAAGCAACAATCCTCGGCTCCATCGCCGCCGTGACAAGACCTGGGACTGAATAGAGCCCGCGACAGCACCCGAAAGACGTCATACCGCCGCCACTCCGTCCTCGCCAACCCGTCGCCATGGCTCAGCCGTCGCACCCGACCCTCATCAACCTCCCGCCCCCGGGCTCCAACCCTGACACGCCGTCTGAGATGCCGTACGTTGCCTCCTTGTGCTGGATCTACATACAAAGGCTGACCGTCCACTGCAGCGGCACCCCAACCAGCACAACAACCTCGCTGTCTGCCCTCTCCACCACCGCCATCAAGGACGGCCACCGCGGCCATTTCCCCCCCGGACCCCTCGGTCGCGGCCATCAGCACAGCCCCTCGGCCACAAGCCTCGAGGCCGAGCGTGCCGATCGCATCTCCCGCCTCGCCGGCCTCGAGCGCGTCTCGACCCTTCGTGCCGCCCCCCAGACGCCCGCCCAGCCCGGCTCCAGCTCCTCCCACCTCTCCCCACAGACAACGCCCACTTCGACCACTGGCTTCCCTGCAAACTTCCCCGCTTCCCAACACCTGACGGCCGCCTACTTCGATAGCAATGGCCAGCCCGTCGCCGTCACCAAGATGAGCACCGTCGGCTCCGCCAGCGCCACGGAGAGCCACGTGGGCGAGGGCGAGGGCGAGGACGCCCGCACCACCGCCGGCGACCGCGACGAGGACATGCTCAGCACCGGCACAAACTACCGCGAGGCCGGCTCCGTCACTAGCATGGCCCAGGACCAAGACCCCATGGACGAGGAGCTGGACGCCCTGGCCGCCCGCTCCCTTGGCGGCTACGACGACCGCATGAGCGACGACGGCTCCGCCTCCCTCGTCGGCTTCGGCGAAGGTGCCGGCAGCACCGTCTCCGGGCCAATTTACCAACGCCGGCCTCCCCCGACCGCCTCGGCCGGCGCCCAGCTTGCCTGGAACCTCGAACGCACCAGCTCGGGCCTCGGAAGCGACGCCCGACGAGACCGTGACACCGTCATGGGAGGAGCTGGTGGCGGCGGTGCACCGGGTGGCGGCGACACGCCAATGAGCGCATCCGCAATTGAGGAGAGCCGCGACGCACGCATGATGGACGGCGTGGCCGCTGAAGCCCCTCATCCGGGACACGGCCACGGCGACGAGGCTTTTGTCGACACGACCTTTCGCGGGCCCATACAGGCTTCAGGGCGGCAACCGAGCAGGGAGACGGCCGAGCGAATCGTGCAGCAGCTGGACCGCGGCGAGCGCAGCGTCGGCTCGACGGCGCTGGGGAGCCCCGGCAGGGGTGGCGAGCCGCTCGGCAAGTTTTACTTCGAGGGCGGAGAGAGGCGAGAGGATTAGGATTGCCCCCCTGCCCAGTGAATGCCACGGCTGCTCTTTGCGGAGCTCCACGGCGGCCGCTAGACTGAAGGAGATGAGTGGATCGGTGGTGGGCTCGCTGGATGGTGTTCTTTACTTGTCCTGTCCTCTTCCGCGAACGTGTTGAGAACTGTAGGGCTCATGGGGGTAACCGAGTCTGTTTTTGTCCTTGTCCGTCATGACCTGTTGGAGAAACTGAGCTGGACTGCCGAGAACATGCGCAAGAGGGAGTGGATGGCGTGGTAGGGGTTGTCTTGTGTGCAGTGCTGGCAAGCTGACGTCGTCAACGGAGCGGCAGAACTGGATGCAACTGCCGAAGCTCGTCCTTATCATGGGATAAAGGGGTTTTGAAGAAAGACAGAAGAAAAAAAAGATGAGAGAGCTGGGAGAAGGTTATAAGCCCGGCTTTTTAAGAAGTTGGGAGTATAAGCCATTGACGCCTCAGGTTATTACATACAGGGATTTCTGTGCGCTGCGCTGTACGATAGTATATGCACATTGGCTGGGCACGCTCGCTCGTGGCGAGAGCCGCCAATACAACCCCCCCTACTGCGACGGTTCTGTCCTGCTGGCAGGAACTCATGGTCTGGCTTCGGAAGCGTCCTCGGGAAGAAGTCACAAGAAGGCGAAGCTAATAGGACGACGGGGAGAGAAAAGGGGCCATGCTACACCATCCCCCTCGTGGTGGTCGAGGAGCGAGAATGCTCCGTCTGCCATGCAACGCCGGGGTCGCCCGCGGGCACTCGAAGCTATATAAATCAACGATAGGAGAAGAAACAGACGAGAAAGCAAGGCCAAAACCACCCAAGATAAGCGGAAGAGCGCACCCCAGGCCACCAAAAGCCGTTACTGGTGCCCGTCTCGAAGAAAACAACCTCCCGCACCAGACATGCCGCCGTCTCCAATCGACCTCGGCTAAAACCGCCTGCAACTCCCTTTTGCCCCATCCCAGCGAGCCCGGCCCAGAACAAAATCAAACACGGGGCCGAAGATTCCCGAGGCTATGCCGTGCTGAAAAACAATCATCTTTCCCGCCCCTTCATAAACGTGGGTGGCACTGCGTTGAGAAGCACCTGAAAGCCTTAGCCGGTGTCATTCAGGGAGGCATCCAAGCCAGTCTGCCCGACGCCCGTGGCTGATATCGCGGGTCCGGCACCTGGGCCGCGGACAACAGTCGAGGCATCAACGCCCCTTCGTGTTCGACTGCGCCCCGTCCCTTGCGATCCTGCTACTGGGCGTCCGGGCTTGTGGCATTAGAGCCGCCGTGATAGATCAAAGCAACATAACGTATAAATGCAGGCCGAGCCGTGGACCGTCGCCGGCTCAAGCGCAGAGGAAATCTAGACCCATCCGTCTCGCCACGCCTTGCCAGTCCCAAACCGAGACCCAGTCGCCCTCGTCCATCAGCGCCCACACCTTCTCCAGGACCTCCCTGACACGGTCACAGTTGCGCAGGCCCGTGTAGCCGCGGACAAGCCTGACTGCAGTGCGAATGCGGTTGCGCTGCGCCGGCTCGAAACACGACGTGCCGATGATCAGGCAGGGCATCAGGAGCAGGGTTTGAGATGGATCCGACGGCTTGAAAGACTCCAGGATGGAGAGCGATTCTTCCACGGCGAGCGTGATGCGCCCATCGTCGTGCGTCGGGCATCGTGTCGGGGGTGGAGATGGAGGACCAGGGCTGCCACATGCTGGAGCCGGGCCGGCTGCCGCTCGCGAGTCCAGCTCATGCATCGAGCTCGTCCGTGAGGGCTTACGAGGCGGCGGAGAGATCTTAGCCAACGGGGAACCTCGAGGCGAGCCGCCGACAGTCGCGTTGGGCGCGGCGACGGCTCTGAACCTCACGCTGGCCGCCATCGAGGCGCGCCGCTGTGGTGCCGACGACGTTGGCGGCGCCACCGGCAGAGCCCCCAGCGTCGAGCGTCGCGGCAGGTTTGTCGACGGCGGATATATGGTCCGGAAGAGATAAACCCACATCATTTGCTTGTACAGCGGCGCCACTCGATCCCGACTATCCCCCGGCGGCCATCGGGGAGACCACTCTCTGATAGCGGCGTCAATGTCGACGGCTTGGAACAGGGTGATGTAGTCCACGAGAGGGACTACCGAAGCATCCATGTTGGCCCGGATCGTGTTTCGAATGTTGGTGATCTGCGAGAGATGCTTGAACAGGCCATCGGCGACCCCGAGCAGGCGAGGCGCTTCGATGGGCACCGACGGCTGCCAGCTCTCAGACGACAATCGCTTGGTCAAGGACTCTGGGTGCCAGAATAGGTCGTCGGCGTAGACGTGGTATTGGAAAAACTCGGTGATAAACGTATAGAAAGCTGTGTCCTCGGGTGGTGACTGCTGAATGAGGCTTTGGTAAGCCTGTAGGTGAAGTCTGTGCTCGCCTCGCGGATTGCCATCGGCTCGAGTCCGGAGGAGGAGGCAAAGTATCTGCCCGTACCTGGCAGCGAGCACGGTCTGGTACTCGGGGTCGTCTTTGCCAATCGACTTCCCAATGTCCTCGCAAAGCCGCTTCAGGGCTTCGCCGTGGTGGAATTCTGCCCGCTGCTGCAAGGACTCCCGGCTTGTGCCCGGGTTGCCCTGGAGAATCCTGACGCCGTAGGGCGAGCCAAAGTCAATGTGTTTGCTGCTCAAAGCGAGCACCGAGTGCATCAGTCCCTGGTGCTGGTTGGCAAGCTGCAGAATGACGTCCTTGAAGGCGTTTTTGGCTTCACCCTCGACGGTCAAAACGTTGCTGAAGTGGTTGACGTAGTGCCGCCAGAATATCCAGTCCTCCTTCGTCTCCACACCCTTGAATATTGGTTGCAAGGTAATGGTGGGTAAGGACTCGAGCCTCAGTCGTTCTGCCTCTGCAATTAGCGATGACCTGCGAGCACCAGTGGGGGGGGGGACAGCATCGTACCCTCTTCCGCCCTTTCCTTTCCGCTCCTCCACAGTTGCTTCTCGTGATATCCTTCGCATACCACAGCGTTCTTCTCACAGTTCATACCTGATGAGACTCGGTCAGCGGCGAATCTCGACGAAGAGGCCGAGAGCGCCTCGAACCACCGACATACATCGCGGCTTAGCCTCGTCGCACTTCTTCTTCCTCTTCCTACAGGTGATGCATCCCGTCTTGGAGCGCCCCTTGGTCACCTTGGTCGCGCTGACCGTCGGGGTGGTCAACGAGTTCTTCCTCGGTCGCCCCCGCGGCCGCTTGTGCTTCGCTTGAGAGCCGCTGGAGACCGGGCTCCGTAATGCAGATGCCGTGCATGGGGCTAGCTTCACCTCACTCAGGTTGACATCATCGTCCGTGGGCTCCAGCTTGGGGATGGCTCGCGCATCTTCCGGAACACGGTCCAAGTGATCCCAGTGGGCATCGTCATCGCCGTCGTCTTGATCCGCATATCCAATACTCCATGAGTCCGTGCAGGACGACGAGGCCGAATGTGCCGTCGTCGGCGCAGAAGAGCCATCCATGGACAGGTCAAGGCCGGAGCTCACCGGCGACAACTGGCCAGTCTGGGCTGATGCCGCCATGGATGGTGCTTTCCAGGCCGGGTCGGTTGGGGAGGGCGATGGCAGGATCATGGCACTCCAGGTTCTGGCGTCGGGCGACATGGCCTTTCTATTAGCAAGCCAGGTCAGGGGTCCTCTTTCGGTTACAAGGGCGAGTGACGGCTCCATGTCGCATTAATAGCGAGGACATGCCCACGCGGGACTGAGCTCGAGGGTCGCAGTGCCTTTATCAGATCCGAAGGGGAGACTCCTGCGAGGACACCTGAGGCGCCTGGCTGGGGTGCAGTTGGCAGAACTTGCCCCCGGAGATCATATGTAAGTCAACGAGGAGGAACAAGCATGCAGGCGAACTGTGGAGCGTCCAGGCAGCATGTGCAGGCAGAGGCGTCCGCTGTCGCCGGGTCCGACTGTCGGCGCGAGCAACGGCGGCTGCGGTATATGGACAAGATACGAGGCTGCGGGGCCAGCCCGGACGAATATCAGGAACGTCTAGAGGCGATGGAAAGGGTCAGGAGAGGGAGTACAGTATGTAAAAGGTCGACATAAAATTGGCCAAGAAAGGATGGTGTGGTGACAAGTCTTATCACGCCGCGAACAAACAGGAGCAACCAGAGGCTGCCAGAGTACTTGGACTCTCCACGTCAGGCCATCGGCGCCGGCCTCTCTGCTCACAGATGGACGAGTGAGAGCGAGCGATCGACGCCCCATGCTTTCGACCGAAGTACACGAGGCATGTATCGTGGACCTCTAAGCAGCCGTCTGGAGCCAGAGAGACCGAGGGCCAGGAGATGGGTGGCTCCGGGGGCGATCAAGCGAAGGGTGCCCGCCAAGAGGGTCTATCGAGCACGTGTGCCCGAGTTATGCCGTAGTTCCCGTGCAGTAACGATGCGTCCGAGGGTGCAACCGTGGAGCCCGAAGGCCTTTGGGCGCCCGTTGTTGGAAGACGGCATCAGAGGGTGAGGTCGAGGCTTGGCGTCCGTCTCCACACCACGAAGCCACGCGGGGGCCACCACTCCATCCCTCCCTTGTCGCCTGCGTATGGGGCCTAGTCCCTGGACGGGTAGACAAGAGTACGGGTACAAGCCTGTACATGCAGTGCAGTACGCGTCCCTGCTGCCATACCCCTGCCCAGACGCATCACCTCGTCCTCTCTCGCGAGCCCTGGATCTGGTCAACTAGACATGGTTTGGGACAACCGAGCCGGCACCGTGGCCAAAGTACTTGAGTCGAGCGGCAAAGGAAGAGACGGAAAGATGGAGAGAGACTTCGAGAGCGAGACAGCAAAGGAGCGCATGTGTGAGCGGCAGCGTGCGCCCGAGTTAGTGGGATGCAGAGACGGTGAGCGGAATAGCCCACGATGCAATATAGAGACGGAGAGAAAGGGAAAAGGGGGACCGTCTGTGCATGCGGTGAGGCGTCGGGAGCTGATTCCACACACACACACTGGAGGTGACCGGCGCCGAAGGTCGTCAGCAGATGGCTCGAGGCGAAGAGAGGGTGTATCGACGAGGTCCCTGGGCCGGAATGTGGCATGTTGCGGGGAAGACATCGGAGCCGCCGCCATGTGCTCGCTCGCAACACTCCCCCCGTCCTCCGCTTCATCTGCACATGACGTGTACAGTAGTGCAGTGCAGTGCATCGCCCGCGCTGTCACTCTTCCCAATGATGGCTCTCCCATTGGAAGCGGACTAGGACCACTGTGGCTGCCTCGGATGCGCTTGCATCCTGTGTCATGATATCATGGCGAAGAGTCTCGCCGCTGGCCGCGCTCGCCATGCGTGCATCAAGCATCTTGTTCCATCGTGTCCCCTCTTTTTTTTTTGGTTCTGCATTCGATTCATTGTGCTTGTTAATATCGAGATGCCGTGCTACCTCATCGGGCACGTCCAACGGGGCGGCCGTTTGGCGTGTCTTTTAAGCCCTGGTCCGTCTTTGGGCACGCACACAGGGACCGGGCTCGAGACGGGACGGCATCGCGACGCTGCGAACCTGACGCCTTGTCAGTCACTCTGGTTGCCAGGGCTTGGACAAGGTCATGCTCGAGGTCAGGTGCAAGGCCCTGGCTGGCTAGCTGCGTCTGGCTGTTCCGGCGAGCCATGCAAGCAGCGACCAGTGAGCTGGCCGGCCCACTTGTTGGCAGGGACATCAAACATCGCCTGGCCTGCCGACTGGCCTGCCGATTCGTGCCGGGGAGATCGACGCGCGGACGGGTTCGAGAGGCAGGACGTACGCGTCGAGGATCGCGAGACCACTCGGACAGCTGGAACAATGTGCAGACCGACGCTCTGCGGGAACTGCTCGACGTCCTCCTGGTCGATCACCTGAGATAGCCCGTCTGTTTGCGCATGCAGGCTGCTCCTGTTGTTGAGAACTTGCATTGCCCTCTGTGACAAGTCACATTGCGGCCCCAACCGGGACGAGGGAAGTGTACAGTGCGGATCCGGGAAGGATGGATCATCAGTCAGGAGCCTCTCGTGGTGTCCGGCTGCCGGCCCCGCGCCCGCTCCAGGGGCGAAGTGAGGCTCATGCAGCGGTGGAAATACAGTTCCCACAAGCACAGCTGCACTGTACGTACCTTGAACCGCCAACGTTCCCAATTTCGGCAATTTCCAAACGACGGCGGGCCTGGTGTCTGGAGACACCAACAGCCAACCGTCATCACCAGGCCGCCGGGAACCAACAGCGGACGACCCGTCGACCATCCAAGAATCAACTCCGTCCTGCAGCGTTGCTGAATAACGTGTCCTGAACCAACCCAGCCATCGACGGATGTCCTCGATGAGCAACTGTCAACGCCCACCGACAACCGAATTATCATGTGAGTTTGCCAACCCGCTACGGGTCTGCGTGATCGGCGAATCCTGGTGGTTGGGTGCCGAATGGTCGATATTGCATTGAGCTTCCAGGGTTGGCCCAGCCTACAGCTTGCCATGAAAGCAAGTGCTCGACTTGCTTCAGAGGTGCTGGTTGGCCCGCCCCTCTACGGCCCCGAGCGGGGGAGAGAAGAGAGATGGTCGTCTCCCAGATTACCTGGCTGTATCAACAAGTTGACAACCCCCAAGAGACAACGCCATCCTTGCTGATAGCTTGGGGGGGGTTGGCTGTTTACCAAGTTGCTGCCGAACGGCATTTTTAAAGGTGGTTGCTGATCATGACGAGTAGATTAAACTCCTTCGCTTTTGACACGACTCATGCGGTGTGTATAACGAGTCATGGTGCCGCTCAGCATGGTGTCAACTGGTGCACCAAGTCTTGACCGCCAAGGATGGGCGACCACCGGCGATCACGGCATCTAAACGTGGGCGTTTTACTGCATCCCGCGCCCGCTAGATCGGACCAGCGAATTCGCTAAACAATAGCCTTCGGACGACGACGATGTGCCTATTGACTGGATCGGAATCGGGATCCTTTTCGACAACATGTCATGCGCATCGGGAAAAGGAGCGGGCTCTTAGTCGTTCTGGATGGACTTCTACTCGCAAATTGTCGGCAAGTCCCGTGCAAAGGAGCGAGCGCATGGGCATCAGCAACATGACTTACACGGCCACGTCGCGGCGGTCCAATTCATGGGACTCTGCTGCTGTCCGGCAGGCAAAGGTAAACGGACAACGAGTGTTGCTTCACGCTGCCCTGCACTGTGGGTAAGGCAGAGCGGTCAACATGCTCGACAGTTGATGATTTGTTTCGCATCTTTCAGCTCGCGGCTGTCGGTGTGCTTAGCAAGTGGTGGAAGTCGGGTCTGTGCAACAGGAGCAATGAGCAGCTGAGTGAAGAGATACAGCCAGCACGAGCATCGTATCCTCAATCCTTGCAACGGCACAAGCCTCCAACGCTTCGACCCCACACCCGCCGTTTCAACGCCGAGGCGGCGCGGAGCCGAATTGTTACCAGTGGCCGCGGTAGGGCACTTGACCAAGTATATAAACAAAGATATTTATCGACGGCCAGTCTTATTTCTGCGGACGTGCAGAGCTCTCCGCATGTACTAAGCACCATAGGTGTCGGGTTTCCCGGATTTGGTTGTGGTTGAATGCCCTCACGTTGAATGCTGAGACGGACACAGTCTTGTCGCCCAGCCGGTAATTGCCAGGCAAGGGAATCCCGGCAGCAGTCATGTTGCTTCGTGGACTAGGTCCGCATTGAGGTGCATCGTCGATGCTTCAACATGATTTCTGCACATGCGAGACTTTCTCGCAAAAGCTTGCACAAGTGGTGCGCTATCCTCGTCGCTTTCTGCCTCGACCAAGATTCGGGGCGACATGCAAAGACCCTTGCAGGGTTTCCCCAACCTGGATGGTACGCATGCATGGACTTGCAGCCATGTCCCCCACGCTGGAGGCCTTGTGGCGCAATAATCAGCATCGAAATCCTCCCCTCTCGGTCTAGCTGCTATCCAGTCTGGACAAGGGACAAAAGATGATAAATGACTTAAGGACGGGGGATTTTACAGAGATGCCTCGTCTGCTGGTCACTCCTCACATCACACAGCTCGCGAAGTGGACGATATCTTCGACGTGTGATGATTCGAGCCCATGCAACACCAAAGATCTTTGCTCCAGCCTTCCCGGCACCAGATCCTGTTCAAGTTGAGAATCGGTGGCTATCTCGAGGCCGCAGCAAGCTATTGAGTCCTCAGCTTTTGATACCTCCGTGCCGTGGCACGCAGGTGGCAGGCGCAGCATGAAAAGCAACTCCGTCCAAGGACGCCAGAGTGTCTGACTATGAAGCACTTGCGGGTTTCCGCTAACCCGGAAAGCCACGAGAGTCTCGCGACGGTCCGCTCAGGTATTTCACCTTTGGTACCGAATACGATGGCGACAGGCTGTCGTCAACAAAGTGGCCCGGCAGGTGAGCTCCGCCCAAAGGAATGCAAGAAACCCTGGCACCGTTTGAAATGCCCGGTGGTCGCGAACCAGGAAATCAGGAGGTTGGCTGTCAGCGCCGGCTGGCAGAACAGGTAACCTCGAGGCGTGATAAAGCCACGCCCTAGAGATGGGTAGCAGTTGGTGCCGCCCGCATGTCGAGGTTGGCACTAGGTTATCGTCGGACAGACGCGGTTGAAAGTGCGGTGAGACAGCGCTACATCACGGCTGGCCGTCACATGTCTACAGCCAATCGACTTTTTACAGGCGACGGAGCTCATTGTCGGACCAAGAGTTTCAACGACTCAATGGTCGGTCAAGAGGGGGCGAGAGTGGAGAGGGAGTGCGGATGAGGTTGACGATACTTTTCTAGATGGAACTTTGCGACGGGATGTCATTCCCATCCCCCCTTCACCACTTCCTCCGCCCCTCTCAACCTCTCTTTACAAGCTACAGGCTGCAAGGGCCGATGGCGCATCAAGTACGTGAGCTTGGGTGAAGAAATGTTGTGAAACGAGGGGAAAACTCCCCGACGACAGCCGGCCAAGACGGCGAGGGCGGAGAGGCGCAAAGGGGGCTTGCCGGAAAACAAGGGTGACAAGGGCTGCCTCTTGGAGCATATGGAGGTCTCGCGTGCCACAGCTCACCACCGAGGCTCTTTTTGGCCGTCTGCAACAGTGGCTCACGGGTTACACACAAAGGGATCGGACGACCGGCGGTGCAGAACAGACCAGTCGGAATGACAGCCCCAGACAAAGTTGCTGAGCCAGCGCATTTTGTCGAATGAGGCCTTTGGGATGGGGAAAGTCGAGAAACCACTCCTCCGATTTCCTGCATTTGGAATGATGTGTGTCTGGCCCCCAGAGATCCAAGGGTCGCCAAACTGACACGCCCCGCCACGATTCTCGGGCCGACGATGGAGGGATCGGATCTTTTGCTCTTGCGAATCTTCCCCTTTCGTCCAGGGATGAAACCTCACTCACGTAAAACCGCTCTCCGGCAACGCCATCGGGCGTCTCTCCCTGCTCTAGAAGGCTCGACGTGCCATCCGAGGCCGAAGCATGGTCGATCGCGACTGCAGGATCAGTGCACTTATACACGTGCAGGATGGAGGGACCAGCACGGTCATAAATCACTTCGAGGTGCTTGAGTACTTTCCGGCAAGGTTACATTTTACCCCAGAGCGGGAGCGGGACCACGATCGGCGCGCCGCTGTGGGGCCGAATGCTTGTTAGAGAGGCCCGAGACAGCCCGTGATGCGCTGACCATGCAGACAAGCGAGTATCCGTACATGTTGGGTACAAATCATGCAACGAGGGGGATGGCAGACGAGTGGGGGCCCCAAAGTTTGGGATAGGTGGTCTCACGGGACCGCCTGCTGCCTTCGCCGCCCCCTCTCATCCTCTTTGTCGGGATCTCGTTGGCTGGATGCGGGCCAGATGGTTTATGAAAGGGGCAGAACGGGCGTCTCTCCCTGGTGACAACAAGACCACTCACAGCAAGCACAAGCACCACGACCGCCGCCGACCACCAAATCCGCACACGTGCGCCCTCGACGTCGAGGCTGAGCCAGAGCTACGTTTGGGGGCACGGCAGCTGGTCGCCGACAGCAGGCATCAGCGGGCCCTTCTGTTTGCCTTCTGTTGCCAGGGGTTGAGCCCACCTAGCAAGGGGGCAAAGGCGACATGTCTTGCTTTGACAGAGCCAGTCATCATGACTTGAAACATTACGTACAGTACGTGCCTTGGCCCCTATGCAAGATTGCACATACACACATATAGTACTTGCACAACGCCATGGCTAGCAAAGTCTCGGTACTTGGCATCATACCTATGCGTCTTCTCCGTACTGCATGTACCCAGTTTGACCGTGGCGCGCTGCTTGACCGTTGTGACGACACGGGGCGGGAACAGGGATCGACGAGCCCCTGTCTTCTGTGCTTGGACCCTCCCCCGGGTTACCTCTTGGAGAAGGATGCTTGGTGGACCGTGTTGCCCGGGAGACTCCTTGTTGGAGAGACAACGTACAGTACATACGGCCGCAACAACGCTGCTCACGATATGTTGGTCGCGCACACGCACACCCCAAGAGACAGCATGAGGCAATCTCGACGAATTGTGACGCGACGTCATGTTGGCACACGGCTGATATGCAACCTTGTTGGCTCTACCAAGTCTAGGCAAAAGGACGGCCCGAGCCTTGAAACCAAGGAAGGGCCTTGGAAAGCAGCGCGAGCCGTCGTCGATCCGTTCAACTACCAGAAGATTGATCGACGCGGACACTCGAGCGAGGCACACAGAACACCTCACTTTGACTCCGGTTCGCTTGCCAATCTGCTATCTCATTGATGACGCACAACACTGGTTGTAGGCTGGTAGACAACTCGACAACAGATGCGACCACGCCCCCTATTTTCTTGCTCGAATCCCAAATTCGGGCTGGCTGCTCCCGGTCCAACCCGGTTCCTGGGGCTTCCGGGAGCCATCGCAATCACTCTTTGTCGTCTGACGCCTGCGGCTTCTTCTTCTCAGTCCCTAGGTCGACTCGAAGCCCGAGCGGCTTTTTCATCTTGTAAGCCGCCTCGAATGGCGATTCTTCCGGCCCGCCCACCGTTGAGGGCAAGGATGGCACGGGCGGCGCTGATGGTGGCCATGGCCGCGACACTTCGTCGATGATGCTTTGGAGGCCCACCAGGCTTGCCGCGCTCGATCGATTTGCTGAAGACGCCGGATTGGCGAGTCCAGACGGGCTGCCAACGTTGCCAATGCTCTTGTGGGAGCCGTCGTCGCCGCCAGAGGGCCTGGCATGACCTGACGGATATCCCTGCTTGACACCTTGGCGCAGTGTATCCGTTGCAGTATTTGGCATTCGCCTGGTACCGGCAGTTCCAGAAGTCCATGGCGAATAGGCCCCCTGGCCCAGCTGCAAAGGCGTGGCACCGCCAAATGACGCCCCGGCCTCCGAGGGTGGCGGCGGGAAAGAAGATGGCGATATCAAGGGAGGCGAGGTTTCTGGGGGAGACCGTCCAAACGCTGGGCTTTCGTGGTCAGACTTGGTGCGGCTGTATTTGCGGAAAAAGTGACCAAACGTTGACGACGGAGTCCGCACTGGTTTGGGCTCGCTGTCCGCGGGAGGCAAAGAAGTCTCCTGCTTGCCGGCTGCGTCGCGTCGGCCGACGGCTGAGGCGAGCCGGGCTGTAGTACTGAGGCGCTGAAAGGCAAGCGGTGCCGAAGCGTGGAAGAGGGCCTTGGCCTTGTCCCTGTGCGTGGCGAGGCGAGGCTTCGCGTCTGGCGAATGGTCAAAGTAGCTTCGGGATGCGCCTTGCTGCGTTATCTGACTGCGGCCGCGGCCCTGGTCGTCGTCACAGGGGGGTGGAGGAGCCTTTGCCCCGAGCTTGGGCAGGATAGTGACCGAGTCCCGATCCTTGGACTTGTCGAGGGCGAAGCTGCTGTACTTTGATTCCAGCATGCTCTGCGGAGCCTGGCCGCCTGGCATGCTGGGTCCGGTGCTGGGCACTCCCCAGTTTGGCCTGTGCACCGGGGTCTTGCCCATGCTGTCCAGAGGCTGGGCCTTGCTCAACGAAGCATAGGCCGCGGAGCCCGAGGGAGCCATCCCATAACTTTCCTTGCCGTGGCGAGCCTGCTGGGCCTTTGGTCTCGGCAAGAACGTCTCTGGGCCACCGCCAAAGTAAGGCCCTTTGCTGGGCAGCGTGGGCGAGTCCGGGAGGGCTGCATGAACGGCGCCGGTCCTGCGGCGTCGCGGCGTGAAGCCCGAGGGCTCCTGGCTGTCTGCTATGGTGAATGGAGGCGCCTGGGGAGTGACTGGAGCAGGAAGACCGGGCACGAGGATGGCCGACGCGGTACGCTGCAGACTGGGCTGCAGTGGTTTAGTAACCCGGGATCCAGGATCGTCTTTGGCTAGTCCAGCAATTCCATCCAGGCTCATATGCCGTACCTTTGTTGTCACCGAGGGCGTCAGCGGGCCACCCAGGGCACTCCTCTCGAGCAACTCGTCATCCAGTCTTGGGTCCTCGCCCAGTTGGCCTAGCTCGGCCATCTTTTCACCAATCTCATCGGACAGGCCCTGCCACATGCGCGAGCATCTCTCCGCCTCCTGGGGCTTCGGCGGCCGCCTCTGCCTTTGAACCCTGAGCGGCGCTGGCCGAAGTTCGACCATGGGTGTGTCATTGGGCCCTGAGTCGCCGGCACGGTTCGAACTCGTGCTATAAGTCAGTCTGGCATGCTGAAGACGCTCGCCACTCGTTTGGCCATGATCGCCGTCGCCGCTGGCCGCAAGGAGCCGCTGGCGCGCCGGCGTAGGCGGTGGTCCGCGAGACGCAGCCGGGCCGGGGGGGCTCGTAAAGCGGGTTGTCGTAGAAAATGACGAAATCGATACTGGGCTATACTCGAGGACGGGCCGCTCCAGAGCCGGGGAGATGAGGGCTGAGCGTGATGGCGTCAAATTGGCCCCCAGGCTCACATTTGAGTGCGAGGGCGTGACGACGGTGCTGTCCGGGAAATCCCCTTGTCCAACGTCGGTATTGCCGACGACAGACTTGGTGCTGCGCTCCGAGTATAGAGATGACGCTTCGGCAAGATCCAGCCCGGCCCTCGTTTCCGCGCGATCGTACGAGACGGCGTGTTTGTGGTCCTGAGAGGCCTTGCCGACCGTCGGTTGCTCATGGGGTTGCTCGTGGGCCATTTCGGCCTTGGCCTGGAAGTTGTCCTTCTGTACCTCTGTTCCGTAACTACGATAGCAATCCCCCGCAGGGGGTGCGACTGAGCCGAAGGTTCAGGCGTGGACAGCAGCGAAGCGTCACATTCACAATCCTCGACCGAGCAATACGTTTACACGCGAGTCCAACCTACCACGGGATGGAGGACCGCGACCGAAGGGGAGCAAGGGACGAGACCAAACACACAAAAGAACCGGAAGGTCACTATTGCACACAAACAGACCGAGCAGCTACATCCAACACTCTCCGTTGGGCCCGCGACTGGAAGGAGCTGGTCGACCGGAGGAGCCCTTGGACGACGGGACGGAGGAAAAGGTACGAGCCTGGAGGGCGAAGTTACTGTGGGTGACGGAGTCACTCACTGCATGTGCCCCCTATTACTTAAGTTTGGTTTATAGGGGGCCATGGCACAACGGCCCAACGTTCTAGAGCAGTGTGTTACTACAAAGTAGATACGCTGCAGTCTTTAGCACGAAAGTGACAGGAAGGAACGAAGTGGGTACTAAGAGCCAATCGAACGGAGGCAGATGGCGCGTCACATGTCTGTTTGCGTAGCTTACATAGACACTCCACACTTGGACGGGCAAGAGTCCGGACACAACTCATCATACGGGAGGTATAAGAAGGGCTGCGATGCCCGCTCCCTTTTTTTCCCCATCCCGCGAGGGATCTCCTTTTCCCTTCATTTTGTGCCGGCAGGGCGGATCACACGTGACCCAACCGGAGTATAAGAGGGGACCCCCTCGCACTTTTCCTGAGTGAGCAAACTCAGGCTTCCCTTTTTCACCTTTGTGTGCAAACAGGACGGAGCCCGCTTTCGAACCGCGAAAGTGCATAGAACCAAGAGTCCAAGTACGAGAGGACGCTTCCCGGGAGGACACAATACCAACAGAGTTCTACTCACGAGAGTAAGTGGAGTGCATGACGGACAGACTCGTTCCGTCTTTTCTTCCCTGATTCGAACGGCCGGAGACAGATTCTTGATTGCGGAGCCACAATGGGTTAACCCTTTCTACACATGGCCCGTGGGTGCGAGCTCACGGCCGGGGACTTCGTCCGTTGGACAATGGACTGATTTCGTCCCTTCGTCTGTGAGACATCCGCTTATCCTTTTGGACTGAATAGCGGTGGAACGGAGTGTTCTGCCTTGGACTTTGTGTTGGCATGGAGCCTACACTCTCTTCTTCACCTGTCGAAGCTGCGTTGACAACTTGTTCATGCTGCACGCATGCATCACGCGCCCCGTTGAGAGACCTTGAATGGTGCCATCGGGGTTTTCTTCGATGGAAGACATCAAACTCTGCTATGTCTTTGGACATGATACGAGAGCTGTGGGAGAATTTGGGCGAACGAGGGTTCCTCATCCAACCGGCGGTTGTCTGGAATACTGGTGCGTATGAGGCGCTTGCAAGGTCGAGCCTAGCGCCAGTGCTCCGGCCATGACATCTTTGCTTTACCCTTCTGCGGAAAGCGCCTTCTTCGACCGTGCAAAGAGCAGAGTGTGGCGTTTGCGATGTTGCTGGGACGCTGTGCAGTGGGACGTGCCGTTCTGGTTAGAAGGCTGTCGGTCGTGTGACGAGAGTGTGGTCCTGGGGGAAACAGATTTGGGAAAGCTTTTGCTTGACGAGATCCGAGAGGCTGCTGAAAGAGGCAAACGAAGTGTGGACGAGCCACCGGGGGAACCATCGTACTTTCCGTTTTAGGTATTCATGACGGCCTCATCCGACTTGATCGCCTTGACGTGGCAACAACGCTAGAATGAGATGATATATGAGAACAGATGATAGTTGACTTGACCTGATCCTCTCCATCAGGAATTCCCGACTACAGACAGATAAAGGGACCTCTGGCTACAGACGAGTGGACTAGAGTGAAGTGATAGCCACACAAACACCGTAGACCTAAGCCCGTTTACAAGTGAATGATACTCCAAGCGCTACCAACCCGAACCTCCAATCCCACTCATGACTACGGAATCCACGCCCGAAGGGTGTGCGCACGGGCCGAAGGACCGGGTGCGAACAGCAGCGAAGCGTCATACTCACAATCATCGATCGAACAAGGCGTTTACAAGATGCTTCACCCAGGAACAAGAGGAGTAGGCGTCCGTGAGGGCGCACGACGGACACTGACATCCACATGCACCACACACACGAGCGGAAGTCACCACCTCACACAAACACCGTTGGGCCACCCCGACCGGAGGGAGGTGCTTGAGCGGAGCGAGAACGGACGACAGGATGGAGGACACTGGTACGAGCAGGCAGCGAGGACCTTGTAGGAGTGAGGGAGTCACTGCTACTCTTGGGCCCCCTATTACTTAAGTTTGGTTTATAGGGGGCCATGGCACAACGGCCCAGCCCATAGAGCAGTGTTTACGTACGAAGTACATTCACTGCAGTCTTTAGCGCGAGAGTGACAAGCAGGAACGGAGCGGGTCATAACAGCCTATCCGAATGGAGGGAGGATGCTGGTCTGTCATTGGACAGCTTGCTTTAGCTTGCGTGTCCCTTTGGCACGGGAGGAGTGACGTGAGAAGCCCGGACAGATATGGAGATTTTGTCGGAAAACCGCTTTCCATTGGTGGAAGCTTCGTTAGCGGAGCTTTCGACCCGCTTTTTTGCCTACGTCGAGGGTTTAGGCCCGCTTGGGCGGCCATACAAGAAGTCTTGCAGTGACTTGAGGAGTCCGCCTTCTCTTCTCAATCCCCTTTCGCAGGGTTATGACACTGAGGCCGCGCCGTGTTTTCTTGGAATCAAAGGCATCGTTGCTGCGTTCAAGGAACCGAAAACTCTATCCCGAATACGTCCAGGGACTCTTTGCCCACTCGGAGCGTGGCTGAGATCTTGCTCAGCATATTTGGGAGGTCGAGGGATCGGCCCACCTAGAGTGGCTTAGTTGCACCTTTTCACCTTTCGAGGTTGCAGGTGGTGGTGCTCACCCCTGTCTTGAGCACAGGTACGTATGAGAGTGTCTTCGGTCGCGATGTTGGCCAGAGGCTGATCGCTTGCATAGCTAGCTGCGCATCCTAGCATCTCTTGGGCGGCCAGGTCACTACTGCCTCTCGACAGGATGTCAGGGACCACGGACACAGCGCCTGCAGCCGATCCGGGGACAGGGTCTCAGTCTTCTGGCAAGCCGGAAGGGTGTCTTTGCGAGGTTGACCGGCTAGAGCCTTACGGTGCGGACGATTTTATCTGGACGTGGAATACGCAATGCCCGGTGGCCATGCTCAGTCACCCCTGGTGTCGACCTTTTTTTCTCGAGGTGCTTCAGAAAGGGCGTGGCTTCGGCATTGACCCCGTGGGGGGCGGCGCGATTATCATAAACGCCGGGGACGTAGGTACTCTTTGTCTCTCTCAATCACCCAGTGTTGGGTACTAACCCGTTTTCCCCTTCTCCCGTTCTTTAGGATCGGAGGAGGTGACTTTGAGCCGGGGGGGTCTGCCCCTTCGCCCTCGGTTGTGAGGCGAACCCGCGATAGCAGTGGCACGCCGTAGCTTTCGCTCGAATTCCTTGCCGTGTGGACGGGTCAGCATTGTCTACATACGTTGTGGTTCAACCACGCGCTAGATTGTTAAGGTCGCAGCACGACTTGAGGTCAGATTTGTCTGGGCCATATTTTACCGGTACTACTTAATGGAGGAGAACTTACCCGTCTGGGACAGTACGATAGCCTCCCGCCCGGGTTGAGGTGAGGTTATCGATAGAGAGTGAGAACAAAGTGGCTATACACCCCTTGCACTCTGATTCCAGACCGCTTCTACAAGCGATTTCATCTTACGCCTCACCGACTACCAACATATATCATAAAGGTTACAAGTAGACCTCACTACGTTTACAAGATGAAACACTCATTCACTTCACTCCTAGGATAAGCCCCGCAGGGCACATCACGACTATGGTCATTACACCCGAAGGGTGTGCAGACGTGCCGAAGGTACGGCTGTGAAGAGCCACACTGACGGGACTTCAACTGAGTACAGCGTTCACAAGGAAATACACACCGGTCAGGAGGAGTGAGTGTCCCGTAGGGGCGCACGACGGACACACAACCACATACACACCGCAAAACAAACGCAAGTCACTTCACCACCCACTCACACTGACCAGCTACAACCCCAATACACAACCCGTTGGGCCCGCGACTGGAAGGAGCTGGTCGACCGGAGGGAGCCCTTGGACGACGGGACGGAGGAAAAGGTACGAGCCTGGAGGGCGAAGTTACTGTGGGTGACGGAGTCACTCACTGCATGTGCCCCCTATTACTTAAGTTTGGTTTATAGGGTGGATGGTAGAGTGAAGGAATGTATTCTCGGTAGACCCGTGTAGGAGGCACCTGTGTTCCAGTGCTGTTCTTTCCTAATCGAGTAGTCACGATGCCCTCACCCTCACTTTGATATCCCTGCGTGAGTCTGTGTCTAGGGCTGTATCCAGCGCCCACCTCCTTCAGGCTTGACATCACAGTGTACAAGATACTCTGTAGACTTGTTGATCAACTCGTCACCGACAGACATCACCCCGGCTGTAGAGTGGAGACCTTTTTTTCCTTTCACAAAGCGTTTACAAGAGAGCGACATCGAATAGCATACTAAACCCGTTTACAAGGAACAGACTTGAAATCCCCAATCCCTTCTGAGATACGAACACAACCCCCCCGAAGGGGGGTGCACACGCGCCGTAGGTGCGGGTGTGAAGATCCACACTGAAGAATCTTCAATCAAGTACAGCGTTCACACGACAGTAGATACAGGACAAAGAGGAGCGAGCATCCGTGAGGGTGCGCGACGGACAGACATCAAACACCTCTCCAGTCCAAACCTCAGCCAAGTACCACCCACACACAAAACACACCCAAGCACAACCCGTTGGGCCCGCGACTGGAAGGAGCCTTGTCTGAGCGGAGCGAGATCTGACGAGTGGAACGAGGTCAGAGGTACACGACAGGAAGGAGTGGACACAAAGGGACGGGAAGTCACTTTGACCCATGTGCCCCCTATTACTTAAGTTTGGTTTATAGGGGGCCATGGCACAACGGCCCAACGTTCTAGAGCAGTGTGTTACTACAAAGTAGATACGCTGCAGTGCATAGCGCGGGAGTGACAAGGGGGGAACGGAGCGAGTCATAGCAGCTGACCGACCGGGGGGGGAGGGCGCGGGTCCAACGAGACAGTTGCCGGCACGGCTTACTTGACTCCACCAACGTCCGGGACAGACACCCGGACACATGAGATACGAGAAGTATAAAACCCGGGGGGGCGCCCACCCACGTAGGCCCAAACGGGCTTGATCGTTTCACACTCCAGGCAGTGAGTTTTACGGAAGTAAATCTAAGAGACACGTTCGCCACTCTTCGACAACCGGCCGAGAGACGGTTTGCCCTTCCCACATCAGGCGGTGTGGGGGCTTTGACACGAGGCGGGTTTCTTCGTCCTCTTGGCTCGGGAGCCACTCTACCTCGTTGGAAGTTTGAGTGGAACGGGAACACGTTATTGATGCAACCGGGCTCAGGCGGGCGGAGGTCTCTCTGCCACTTGGGTGTGCAGATACAGCTTGGTAAGAGGGCGTGAGCCTTGCTGTTGCTGTTGCTGTTGGACCGGAGGAATCTTGGAGACAGGGTTGTGTCTCTTCCGCGACGAGATCATACGCCGTGAAGTATCAGCCCCAGTGGGCGGATCTGTTCTCATCATGGTCTTTCTGTCACTCGACAAGAGCCCGGCTGGCTCTTTCCCATCTTCTAGCGCATCGGACATGGACGCTCGAGTGAGCGAGGGGGCTGTCGGTCCCCCGTGCATCAACCCGGCCTTGCTACGGCTGTGGTACAACATGTGTTGCTGCTGGTTCGACACGACCCAGTACGAGTGCTGGGAGCAGTCCTTTCGCCACCTCTTTAGCCCCTTCCCGGGCATGTTTCGGCTCACACGTCTTGCGAGGGTCAATGACTGTGTCATGTACGGTGTCGTTGCAGTCACTCCCAGACGGGGGGACGTGGCCCTGGTCAAGTTTCCCGAGTGGGTAAACGTCATTCAGCCCATCGGACCTGAGGATGAGCGCGAGTTTTTCTCGTGGGCGCAAGGTGAGGTCTTGCGAAGTCATGTGGAGGCCTTGTCCGGCTACTCGGTCAGAGATCTTTTATCGCCTGGAGTTGACCGTTCCGCCTTGACAGTCCGTGCGGAAGAAGACGATGGATTCTCGTAATGTCTGAGGTAGATTCCCCGGTGGGTCTTGGCGTTGGCTTTAGCCACTGTAGGTGGTTCGCGGAAGTGAATACAAGGGCCGCAGTCATGACAGGCAGGACTCTTTCCCTACTCCGGTGGCCACGGACACCGTTCCAACTTCGTCGTCGGAGCAAACAGCGCATGTGAAGTAGAACATTTAGCCTTGACACGGCAACTCAATTCGATCCCTGCCCACGCGCCTCGATAAACACCAGAAATAATCGTGACAGTAGACATACACCCTTCACGCCCTTTTCTCCACAGCGTTTACAAGTGAACCACACAAGATACCTAGCCAACCCCGTTTATAAGAGATAGACTCCTTGTTCACCTCCGGAGGACTCCCTGATGACTATGGAATCAATCCCCCCGAAGGGGGGTGCAGGCGAGCCGAAGGTTCGACTGTGAAGAGCCACGTTGACGTTCTTCAATCGAGTAAAGCGTTTACAAGAGGTAAACACGAGGAGAGGAGCGAGCATCCGGAAGGGTGCGCGACGGACACTACACAGAATGTGCAAGACAGTACTCTTGACTGAGCAAGTGCAACGAGCAAAGGAAGAGTGTGGAGGACACACAGACGGGAGTCACTGGCACGTACATTGCCAGTACAAACTGTACACATGGGCCACGACCGGAGGGAGGAACTGACCTTGACCGGAGGGAAAAGGTACCGCAGCTGGAGGCGAGGATTGTATGTGACGGGAGGTCACTTACCCCAAAGGCCCCCTATTACTTAAGTTTGGTTTATAGGGGGCCATGGCACAACGGCCCAGCACATAGAGCAGCTTGAACGCACGTGATTGCATGCAGTCATAGAGCGAAAGTGACCAGCGGGAGGGAAGCTAGTACTAAGAGGCAGTGGAGGGACTGAACACGCCGCGTCCAATCACAGACAGTTTGCTGGCACAGCTTACATGGATGGATCCACTACTGGCCGGGCAAGAGTCCCGGACGGAAATGGGGGACCTTAACATACGGAGGACTATAAAGCGGGCAAGGTGCCCACCTTCCTGAACCTGGGAATGGTTCTTCTCTTTTCTTCTCTTCTTTCTTCAAATGGTGCTGCGCACCTACAATGTCCTGCGGACGGCCCTTTCACCCTCGCCTGCGGCTCGATACAGTGACTGTGCCGACTGACTAGTCCACGCGTTCCCGCCGCAGCCCTTGGCCGGGCTACGCTCCACTTGTTCCCGTCGAAGGGAATCAGATGCGTTCAACAACCCCTGCGGGTGTTTCGCTCGAAAGGTCGACAATGACAAGTCACCTGGCTTGGATGGTGCAAGCATGGCGTATACTGTTGATGGCGAGAGCCTCTCCTTGCGAGATGTGCAGGTGGAAGCGAGTGCATGCTGGTGTGGAAACCCGCTTTCTTGACAGGCCTAGAGACAGGCCTAGAGGGCTTCTCTCCTCTTCTCCTCTTTCCTTTCCCGGTGGGAATGCTCGCGGCCTTGTTGGAAGTCTCTGGTTCACCGTCGTCTTTGCAGACTTGGATCTGCGTCGGGCGGATCGTGTCATTGACGATATCGGCCTGGCCTTTCCTCCTGACTCGTGGTATTATGGTTGTCGCGAGGATCATCTCCGCGTGCTAGAGTACGGCCGTGAGATGGTGCACTCCTGCCTCGTGATCCTTGTTGGCTGTGCCTCTCCCCACGGAGTGGAAGTCATTCGCAACGGCGTGCAGAAGCTGATCGGCCTGCAGATGGCGCACGCAGCCACCGTCACCCCTTGCCCCCCCCATGTGTCGGAGCACACAGGCTTGAGATTTTCGGTGATAGCTTCGTGGGTGCAGGCCCGCATTGCATTCATCAACGCCGCCGGGAAGGGTGCTTCAGAGCATGGACTGAAGCGAGGCGTCTTCGGCTATGGCGGCATCTTGGCGGTCTTGAGGTTCCAGTTCGGCTCCGCGTCCGTGCCCTGGTAACGGAGATGGCACTTGCCAAACAAATATCCGACGAGGAGGATGGCATCATATGCGGTGGCTTTGCCCCCATGCTTGTAGACTCGGATGGAACAAGAGGGACGATCTACGTGGCAACATCAGATCATTCTTCGCTTGGGTCTGTTTAGCCGTTACGATGCCCTCACTTGTAAACATGTAGCGACACTGTACAAGACGAGCACGTATTATTTCTTCGTCCAATTGAATGCACACGTAACGTGACACCGCCTCACCCTCCACGTAGACCATCACGATGCGTATACAAGAATATTGTAAAAGATGGCGTACCCACAACGTTTACAAGGGACAGCCTCGAAGATCACCTCCGGAGGACCCAGGCAGGACTATGGAAAATACTGGACTGGGCGTGGAGAGTCACACTTGCAATCTTCAATTGAGTGACGCGTTCACAAGGGAATCCACCTCGACAAGAGGAGCGAATGTCCGACAGGGCATGCGACGGACTAAACACAACACACCAGACACTGACAGTCTTGAACAAAGTCACGCCAACACCCGAAACACATACAAACAGTACCCGTTGGGCCACCCCGACCGGAGGGAGGTGCTTGAGCGGAGCGAGATCTGACGACTGGAGGGAAGTCAGAGGTACCGAGCAGGCGGCGAGGGACTAGTAAAGGGACGGAGTCACTTCTACTCTTGGGCCCCCTATTACTTAAGTTTGGTTTATAGGGGGCCATGGCACAACGGCCCAGCCCCAGTACATAGGAACGAAGATCCTTGCAAAAGGGACGCAGAGAAGTACTAGACCGAAGGGACGGGAAGGAGCGAAGGTAGTGCTAAGAGCCAGGCGACCAGGGGGGGAGACGGCCGTTACTGATTGGATAGTTTGCCCGCAGGGCTTACGTATCCACCACTCCACAACTGGACGGGTTCAGAACCCGGACACTGTACGCGTCGGAGACAAATAAGAAGAGGGCTTCGCCCACTTCCAGGAACCGAGGATGGTTTTTCGTTTTCTCATTTTCCCGGAGGGCAGTCAGCGGAGTGATTTGATTCCTGCGGAATCACCTTTGCCTGTTCCCGACTCTTTGAAGGAGTCCACACGCAACGCTCTGCCCACCCGGCATCCGAGCCCAAGCGGGAGAGACACGTCACACAGGATTGTGCAACCGGTGGAGGTTTTTCGCCATGGGTTTTCACTTGTGCTGGAGCACAGCTCTTGTTACTTCTTATCCAGCGATCGAGTAGCGCCGGCTAGGTCTGACATCGCACCCACGGAGTCTCGCTTTGGACGGGAGTCTTTCCTCCCTTGGTCAGTGGGGGGAGGCAGCATGGAACTGCCACCTTTGCACGCGACATGTCCTGCGGACGATCTTTCTGGCTTCATGCCGAGGCCCTGGCTTTGTTACTGCTGCAGTCACCGGTCTTGCTCTGCCTCCCGAGCCCAAAGCCGAAGGTTTGGGCGTGGAGAGCCGCACTTACAATCTTCAATCGAGTAAGGCGTTTACAAGGAGGTCGATACACCACAAGAGGAGCGAGTGTCCCGTTAGGGCACGCGACGGACTGAGAACACACCCTGGCACTGATAGTCTTGAACAAAGTCACTTCACCACCCGAGACACATACAGACACTACCCGTTGGGCCACCCCGACCGGAGGGAGGTGCTTGAGCGGAGCGAGAACGGACGACAGGATGGAGGACACTGGTACGAGCAGGCAGCGAGGACCTTGTAGGAGTGAGGGAGTCACTGCTACTCTTGGGCCCCCTATTACTTAAGTTTGGTTTATAGGGGGCCATGGCACAACGGCCCAGCCCATAGACAGCTTACGTTAGTATGACTGTAGTACTAGCACGGATTGACAGGGGGGAAAGAAGTGAGTCATAAGAACCAATGGAGCGGAGAGAACATGGTACGTCACACTTGGTCGGGTTGCGCAGCTTCCACGACTGCTCCACACATGGCCGGGTTGGTGCAACCCGGACAACAACTCACGGGAGGTATAAAGAAGGGTCGAGGCGCCCGCTCATTTTCCATCAAACCTGAGAAAGGTTTCTTCTTTGTTGTAAGGTATTTTACGAAGTGCCGCACAGAAGCACGGACGAAGCGACGAATTCTCAGTGGAATCGTACCTTGAACTCGTCTTATCGAGTTGATCTGCGTGGGAGCGTTCTGGTCAAGGGACCACCCGACTTTTCTCCCTGGAAACATTGCTCTTGGCTGAGCTTGCCTTAGTCTCCATAGAACAGGACGCGGTCCGGTGGAGACTCATCATGGACTCGTGGCAGTCTTTCTACTCGCAGACCGAGCCGACGGGATGTGCATCGCCCGCCTCATTGCCTTGGGAGGACAAGGTGTTATTCCCATCTAAGTATGCGGATCTGGACTGCGTCGCCTGCGCTTGCCAGTGCTGCGGCTCATCCCTCCCGTCTGATTGCCTCTTATGACTCAGTATCTCCCCTCCAGTCCAACACTGCTAGGACCACAGTCAATCACGTGCGTTCATGCTGTCTATGGGCTGGGCCGTTGTGCCATGGCCCCTATAAACCAAACTTAAGTAATAGGGGCCTGGGTGTCCGAGTGACTCCGTCCTCTCACAATCCTCGCCTCCAGCTGCGGTACCTTTGACTCCTCCAGTCGTGCAAAGACTCGCTCCGCTCAGACATGCTCCGTCCCGTCGCGGGCCCAGTGTGTATTTTGTCCGTGTGCTTGTATGGCGGAGTGACCTGGGTGTGTGTGAGCAGGTGTAGATGTGTGGTGTGTCTTGTTCCATCGCGCGCCCGGTGGACGCTTGCTCCGTCAAGAGTGCTCGTCTTGTGTCGATGTTCTTGTAAACGTCTCACTCAATTGAAGAGTCGTGAGTATCTCATCCACACCCGCCCCTACGGCGCGTGCGCACCCCCCTTCGGGGGGGTTGTGTTCGTATCTCGGAAGGGGATTGGAGATGGTTGTCTGTAGCCGGGGCAGTGACTACTACTTGTAAACGTATTGGGAATACTTGTAAACGAGGGTGGGAGTCTACGATGTTTGTCCGTGGGTGTTGATGCGTAGCCGGGTGAGTGGGATACAGTACGTGGGGTGGCTCTCTTGTCAACGCATGGAGAAGTTCACCACATCACTTCACCGTGAGGGATCAGTCGGTAGCCTGGTGACCTCATCCAGGTCAAATCAATTATCTTCGTGCACTGCTACTATACTCCTTGCGTTCTTGCCGTCACTTGCTTGGTCTACAATGTATGTCCAAGGGCTTGTTGCTCATCCTGCACGGTTGAGTCTACCTGTGCACAAGGAAGTGAAGCTATCCCAGCACTGGTTTAGGCAGGCGGGGTGTCAAAGATGCGATGTGGCCGGACCAATGCGCTGCTGCATGTATCTGTTGCGTGGTGGGTGTCTCCGTGCTTGGGTGGGAGGGTTGTACAAACAATGACCGAGTACTTCGTAAGAGTACGCCCCAAGGCAATCCAGTCCTCCGCGGCTTTGACTCTCGTGCCCCTCCGGGCGTCCAAGCGGTCATTGACCAGAGCCTCCGCTGCTTCGCGCTTCACCGTTCCGCGGAACATAGACAAAGCATATCGAATGTAAGTCGAGCAAGGAAGCCTTTACCGCCTCGTAAAGAGAAGTGCGACAAGGGCCGTTGCCTTGAAACCCTCACGGGTCAAAAGAATATCCGTCATGAGATCGACTCCATGGTCTCTGTCCGTGGTGACGCCGTCAGTGAGACACCCTTGCGGTGTTGAACGCATGTTCAAGAATTTTCCCCGGGAGCAAACGGTAAACGGAGCCCGTGCAGGGCGCAGTGGGAGTGCAGTGGACACTTGTCCAGCCCTTTTCTCACGAGAAGGCTTCCGAGCGAGGCGCAGCCGAGGACCCAAAGGGCCGCCGGCAGGGTATCACCTCCCCTGTTTCCCGTCTCCTTTTCCCTTTTTGCTTCTCCTGTCGCTTCATTCCGACTGTTCCTTCCCAGTCACGTACTGCTTTGCTTTGCCGTTTGACGAACACGGTTCGCCTGAAAAGGACAGAACCAATCTGTCCATATCCAGCCTGGATACCAATACATACCCTCTCCGGGAATGACAGAGCGAGTGCAGCGCGCAGCGTGCACGTAGTGGAGGAGTGGACCACTCTCCTAGATCCGTGGGTGCTATTCCATCGTGTCCGTGCTTAGACAAGCGAATGTCAACCGCTGGGTTGAGTGTGTAGGTGGAAAGCAGAACAATCCAGTGTCCTGTGTGTGGGCGAGGCCCCTCTTTATACCTCTGGTGTCTGTTGTGTCCGGGTGCAGCACCCGTCCAAGTGTGGGGTGCAAGGAAACTACGTAACCAGCACTTTGTGACGTACCATCCTTCGTCCCTCTGATTGGTGCTTATGACGATTGAGCTTCCCCCGGTCGCTTCAATTTAGTACTACACTCAATCACGTGCGTGAAAGGTGTCTAAAGACTGGGCCATGGAGCAGAGGCCCCCTATAAACCAAACTTAAGTAATAGGGGGCCGAAGCACAGAGTGACCTCCGTCACATACAATCCTCGCGTCCGCTGCGGTACCTTTCCTCCGGTCAAGGGGTCGACTCGTCCCTCGTCGTGGCCCATTTGTGTTGGGGAGGTACTGTTTGTATTGCTTGTATGCGTGCCAGTGACTTTCAGAAAGCTGTTCATCTTGCTTACACATTATTCTTTGTCCGTCGCGCACCCTCACGGATGCTCGCTCCTCTTTGTCCTGTATCTACTGTCGTGTGAACGCTGTACTTGATTGAAGATTCTTCAGTGTGGATCTTCACACCCGCCCCGGCGCGTGCGCACCTTCGGGGTTGTGTTCGTATCCATGAAGGGATTGAGGGTGAGAGGTGGTAGCGCTTGGAGTATCATTCCCTTGTAAACGGATTGGGTGTTCTTGTAAACGTGTGGAGATATATCTAGGATACAGTACAATCACAGATTCATGCGTCCCGTACGCAAATCAAGTCTCTATTGTCTACGCATACATCTTGAACCCAAGCGATGGCATCGTCACTCAAGTGTCGTATCCAGCACTCCAGCCTCTTGTCTCGTGCATAGCATAGTCTGTTCTTGACCGACCGCGTAGAAGGTGATGCTATTCTGAGGTCTCGATTAGGCAGGTGGGGGGCTTCCCCACGCGTTGTCCGCCGTTCTCAGAGAGGAAAACACTTCACCCGCCATGTTTGGATGGTGCTCACGAAAGAAAGCTCAGCTGGACGGGAGGACAGACAGAGGCTGTAAAAGACGCGAAGCCTAGGGACTAACGCTGTATGATCGTGTAGCCCGGGACCCACAGACCTTCCTGGTCAATATCACGGTGCAGCTCCCCGCTCAATGTCGTGTCCCCAAAGACGACCTCATCGATGCCGTCTCTTACAGCAAGCATCCATGCCTTCGCGTCCCACTTGATAGAATCTTCGCAACAGGCCATACACCATGCACGGCTCAGCCTGAAGTCGAATTCGACGTCCCCCCGGTCGGGCAAAAGCGTCGATGCCGAGTCCAATCCCCCCTCGGACTCTACTCTTATCAGGATATCATAGACGCCCGTACCACTGCGGGAGGCACAGAAGCGAAACCCGTGTTTCTTCAGACGTGCGCGTAAGCGTTGCACCATCTCCGAAGGCATTGCATGATCCGATGCCACCCATCGGACAAAGAACCAGTGGCGACACCACTGACGCCCCTTCAAGCGGGCGCACGCTGGATGAGGACAGCAAAAGCAGGTTGCAGACCCTGCCTTGGGAGAAGACGAAGCCGAGGATGGAGAGGGCTCCATGCCCGCTACTCCGTGCTTTGACAACGAAATGCAAGGTCCACTCCGTTATGCTCTGCATCAGCAGTAAGCAAAGATCTCTGGCACAAGAGAGCTGGCGACTCTCGGTCTAACCAAAGGGAATCCCCTCCCGTGTCTCCGTGCGGTGCACTGCACTTGGGAAATGTAATCAGGAGGATCGGACCTTACCAGTGTCCCTGAGGAATCACGTCTCGTGATAGATCGGGTCGATGTTGCCAATGTGCCCATTTGCGTTGCTCCTCAACGACCAACCAGTGGAACTCTGTGTACGAGTTGAGAAGAAGAAACCTTGCCAGGTTTTGTCGAAAGAAGGTGGGCGGGCATCAAGCCCTTTAAACACTCCGTTCTCTGTGGGGTCCCCACCCATGTCCGGGTTGCCACCCCGTCCATCTCTGCAACTGGCTATGCAACCACTACGTGGAAGCTATCCAATCGAAACGTGACCCTCTCCCCCCTGTCGAGCTGTCTCTTATGACTCACTTCTTCCCGTCCCGTCCATCCGTGCTAGTACCACACTCAATCACGTGCGTGAAAGGTGTCTATGGGCTGGGCCGTTGTGCCATGGCCCCCTATAAACCAAACTTAAGGATATAGGGGGCCCAAGAGTAGAAGTGACTCCGTCCCTTTACTAGTCCCTCGCCGCCTGCTCGGTACCTCTGACTTCCCTCCAGTCGTCAATCTCGCCTCCGGCTCAGACAGAACTCGCTCCGCTCGTGGCCTCCCGTCACACAGTCCACCCGCCCTCCAGGCGTGTACCCTTTCGTTCCACTCAAGGGCAGTTCCTCCCTCCGGTCGTCTCAACTCGCTCCGCTCGTGGGCCCAGCATGTGTTTGGGGTTTGTGTGTGCAAGTTGTCGTGTTTGTGTCCGTCGCCCTTCGGTTGCTCCTCCTGTCGCGTGAAGACCGGCTTGTAAACGTGTCTACTGAATCGAAGATGGTTGAGCGTGGCTCTCCACGCCCGAACCTTCGGCTCGGTCGCACCCCCTGCGGGGGATTGATTCCATAGTCATGAGTGGGTTGGAGATGAAGGGTGGTAGCCGGGGCAATGTGGTGAGCTTGTAAACGATTTTGATCTACGATGCTGGCGGTGTCACAACAATGCATCTTCTCGATTTGTATCTACTTCCCATACAACATCTTCCCCTTTGGCACACGATAAATCACGGCTGTCTCAAGCAAATACTGACCAATATCCTTGTCCTTGGTAACATCATTGTCCTCATTACAAGTCCAGATGACTGGTATACCCATGCGAATGGTCCGCTGCTCGCGGTACTTGCCTGTGGCGGTGATGTACTCCTGACAGCCAGCAAGGTCACGCTTGTAGGGAAAAGCCCTCAACTTGATATCGTTGAGGACAACATGTGTAATGTCCGGCTTCATGAGTTCATCCATATTCCACTCACCCGTCATGTGAGCTGGACGACCAAAGGAAAGAGCCCACTCGGTCTTGCCAGAGCGGGCCGACCGCCGTGGACGAGACATGTCGGACGACCAAGCCGGGCCACGTCAAAGTTCTTTTGCCGCCACTGAAGCAACCTTCTCGGCACCTTCCAGGGTAAGGGAGGAAAGGAAGGCGCATGGGGTTTGGCAGAAGGACCCTTCTTGGTCCTCAAGAAAGCCTGGCAATTCGCATGGTTACGTACCCACCAGGACTTGAAATGCGTCTTGAGCAGCGTCTCCGCCTCCTCGCGGGACTCCGTCTCAACCGCCTGCTCCAAGTACTTGTCTTTTTCCGACGCCGTCGTCGTCTTGGGACCGATCCACTCGCCAAAGACGTCGCCACCCTTGGCGATATAAGCCTGCACGCACTGCAGGAAGTACGCAGGCGTCTCGTTCTCCGGCTTCTTGTGAATGTTGATCGACGTCGTGTCCACCTCACGACCATCCTTTACATCAATCCAGACCCTGAACTTTTCACGGGCGTTCCTCCAGTGCACGCGGGGCTCGAACTTGAGCATCACATGATAGTGGGGAGTGCCATCCTCATGCAGTTCCTTGCAGCCGTAGACCTGTACTGTTCCTGCCTGTCCAGTCCTGCGGTTAACCCGTGGCAGGCTCGGCGCCAGCGACTCTCGTAGATACCTGTGGAACTCCTCTGGGTCTTCGACCCGGCTGCGGGTGTAGGTGACAAACGCCATGTTTGCATGGAACACAAAGTCTTGATGCTTCTCGGTCACTCCGGGGATCTCGCGAGCATCCCTCTCGACAGACTCATAACCGCTATCACTAGCAGGAGGATCAACCTCCATGGTGGAAGACATCGTTCCTCTCTCTCTATCTCTCTCGCTCTCTTTTGCCACGCAGGAAACGAGACTCAAGGGAGACAACTCATCCGAGTTCAACATTGGGGCACCTTGCCCGCTTTATACCCTCCGGTGTCATTCTGTCCGGGCGTCTGCCCCGGCCAGTAGTGGATACATGCAAGTTACGCAAGCTACACAAGCTGTCTTTCCATGGACGGCGTGATCCCTCTAGGCTCATTCGCTCTTAGCACTGCGTCGCTCCCCCCGTCGCTTCCGCCTATGACTGCAGTAAATCACGTGCGTTCAATCTGCCTAGTGACTGGGCCGTTGTGCCATGGCCCCCTATAAACCAAACTTAAGGATATAGGGGGCGCGGGGGTATGCGTGACCTCCCGTCACACACCGACTTCGCCCTCCAGGCTCGTACCAGTGTCCTCCCTCCAGTCGTCCAGTTCCTCGTTCCACTCGTCAGATCTCGCTCCGCTCATACAAAACTCCCTCCGGTCGTGGCCCAGGCTGTGATTGGTTGTTGTTGTCGTGTGGTGAACAGTACGTGTTGGGACTGAGTGGCTGGGTGAGGTTGTGTTGTGTGTCTATGCCACTCAATCCGTCTGTGTACTTTGTCTGTCGGTGAGTTGCTGCATTGTGTTGATTGTCCGTCGCGTGCCCGTTGGACACGTGCTCCTCTTCACTTTGTCGAGTGCTCTTGTGAACGTAGTTGCTCGATTGAAGAGTCGTAAGTGTGACATCCACGCCTCGACCTTCGGCCTCGTCGCACCCCCCTTCGGGGGGGTTGTTTTCCGTAGTCCTGCTTGGGTCCTCCGGAGGTGATCACTCAGAGTTGGTAGCGCTTGAAGTATATTACAATCAACGCCGACGGGAGACCCACTGGTTCGTTGTCGAGTGCGCTAACTGCATCGGGCAACCGTCTAAGGTTGCCCAAAAGGACTGCTCGCCGTCGACAGGACGGGCAGCAAACACGCAAGAGATTGACGCCGTGCCTGGTGGTGTGTCAGTAGCCAGCTCATCAGGCTGTCAGCCATGGCAAGCCTCGTCGGCGCCTGAGCCTCTCTCTCGCACACTGGTGCGCCCGAGGCAGCTACACCATGTGGCCGAGGACAGCGACAGCGACAGCGACAACGACAGCGACAAGTCGAGATAGTTGGCAGCTCGTGAGCTTGGCACGCACGATATCCGGTTTTCGCATCTGCTGTGTCGCTCGTTCCGCCGACGGTGTCCAGCCACGATGACCTCTGGAGACGGTGCTTCGTTCTGTCGGGGTCGGGGTCATCGGCTGGTTCACGTGACTGCAGACCGAAATGAAGAGGCCAGCAAGGTACAGCAATTTCGCAGCTAAATTGTCCCTCATCTCCACAAAGCAATGAGCAAGCCTAACGGTACCAAAACAAGAGTTGCGTCATTTACGGTCCCAGGGAAAGCGCGACCTGTGCACACGCCAGAACCAGATACGTAGCTGTTTTGTTTGCGTGTAACTACTGTACGCTCCAGACCTGGACGCCATCGAACAAAGCCGAACAGCTCTCGTCTTCTTTGCTTGGCCAAACGTCCATCGCCTTTGCCTCCTTTTCTCCTTCCATTCTCTACTCGAGGGCCCGACACCGGGAGAGATGCGGCCATGATGATGCTGCGGCCACTCCACCAGGGCGCGTGTCGCATTCATGTTGCCCGCGCTGGCATCGCATTGCCAAGGCGTTTCACATGCGGCCGCTGCCTCTTGTCGCAGACAACCGAAAGCAGCAACGGTAAGCTCGTGCTCAGACGTGGTCCTGCGAAACCTTCATCCTCCAGCAGTTGCTGCCGCCGCGAATGTGCATGCGCCCTCTGTCACACTGGGAACGCGTGGACAGAAGCCCATGCCGTGACGACGTCTGCGGGTTGGCCTAAACAGCAGCTTCCTGCTTCGGATCCGTTGGCTGTCGGTCCCCGCTCATGTTTGCTGCTCTGGGGTCGTCGTCTTGATACCCATGTGTATCTCATCTTATATGCACAAACTCACACTCACTCGCACCGTGGTGGAATGACACATCCGCAATCAATAGTCCAAACCGACGAGAACCCGCCGACTGACAGCAAGGGGCACAGAAAACGAGCCTCGAAATGGCCCAGCCCGCGACCCAAAGTCGGCACAGCCGTCTCTCCTGGCCAGGATGGGCGAGGCCGCCGCCACCACGTTTGCCTCGATCCTCGTGCTCGGGGTTGGCTTCGCCGCCGCCGGCTACCTCTACCACAAGAGCTACAAGATGCTCGTCCTTGAGAAAATGACGGGCGCCTTTGAGCCTGGAGACCCCGTCCTCGAGCTGGCCGCCATCGGCAAAGACGCCCCCCACGCCCACAAGTCGGCCGACGAGCACTGGGTCGAGCGTCCCGAGCAGCGCCACGTCGACGACATTGTGAGCGGCCGCGAGGTCGGCCACTACTACCTCATCATCGGCGACAAGGGCACCGGCAAGAGCAGCATGATCATCGAGGCCATGCGCAAGGTCGACGGCGACGGCATCTCCATGATCGAGGCCCACGCCGACCTCGAAATTGTCCGCATCCGCCTTGGCAAAGCCCTCGACTACGAGTTCCACGAGGACTACATTGGCGGCTACTTTAGCGAGCGAGGCCCCCGCGACACCACGGCCCTGCTCGACATTGAGCGTGCCCTCAACAAGCTCGAAAAGGTGGCCATGCGCATGCTGCGCACCCGCCGCAAGCCCCTCATCGTCATCTTCAACCAGATGCACCTCCTCCGCAACGACGATGACGGCAGAGACCTCATCGAGCTGCTCCAGCAACGCGCCGAGCAGTGGGCCGCCGCTAACCTCGTCACAATGGTCTTCAACTCGGACGACTACTGGGTCTACGAGCGCTTCAAGCAGCTCGCCACCCGCATGGAGGTGCTGCCCGTCACTGACCTGCCCAAGCAGCAGGCCATCACCGCCCTGCGCAAGTATCGCCGGCGCTATTTTTGCGAGAACCCTTCCCAGTCCTTGCTCGAGGAGGTCTACGACCGGGTCGGTGGGCGGCTGAGCTTCCTCAACCGCGTGGCTAAGAGCAAGAACATGCTGGCCATCTGCGACAACATCATCGACACGGAGAAGAAGTGGTTGCTCAACCAATGCTGGATCCTCGGCTCCGAAATGGACGACGACGTCATGGACCAGCAAAAGTGGGCGGTAAGAAACAACCCCGTCCCTTGCAAAGGGGCTTGCTGACGGCGGCGGGCGAAACCGCGCGTGGGATATACAGGCGGCGGCCATGGTGCTGGCTCAGGCCCTCGTGGACAGGGAGTCGAAAATGGCCAAGACGTACGATGATGTGGGCGGTCATATCCTGCCGTCCTTCCCGTTCCACATTGCGCAGCAGCTCATGACGAGGTGCGACTTTATCCGCAAGCTGGACAGCCTTAACCTCTTCAGCATCACCAGCCATGCCGAGGTCCGCGCCAGCAGCGTGCCCATGCACCGCGCGTTGCGGGACATTTGCGGCGAGCCCGGGTTCCGACAGCATCTCGAGTACACGATCCAGAGAATCGCGGACATTGAGAGCTTGGGTCGCACGAGGGAGCTGGTGGCCAAGGATCTGGTGCTGGGAGGGCAGTACGACGTAAGCCAGGGCCGGGGCGGCTTGACCCTCAAGCTGAAGCAGGCCGAGGAGGACAAGTAGCTGTTGCTCTCTTTCTCACGAGATGGAAGCAGGATATGTGCCAAGGAGGGGTGCGCAGGAAACATTTGGCTCGGGCGGGCTCTCTTGAGCGATTTGGGGCGAATTTGAGGACAGGCGCACGGAGGAGAACGCTGGCGAGCGACGGTACGGGATAGACTCGGGTCGAATAGAATTCGCCTTTTTGGTGACGGTTCCTTAACCTGCACGAGCAGTCGAGTGCATGCAAGGGACCGTTCTCAAGCGTGACGCGGCCATAATAAAAGAGCAGGTGCTCGTAAGAAGCCTCGTTTGTTGAAGCGGCGACATGTGCATCGAGGCTCGAGCTCGGGCTTGGTATTGGTTGGTGCCTTACTAATCAAGCGTCTACTTCGTAGCGGGTACGGATACCGTACCCCGGGTCCGGCAACCCGCCTCGTCAATCGGCGAATCTCTTTGCAGCTGCGGCGACGCGCCTCATATTAAATTTCTGCGCCCCGCTGCCACCTTCAAGCAATCTGCAATCTCGCTGGAGCCCGCTCATTTCCAGATGGCCCTGTCTTTCGACCACGCCATCGTCCAAGGCATTGCAATCCCGCGGGTCTGAAGGAGCAAATATCCATCACCGCCCGCCCCCTCTGCCTCGACCGCTGAGCAGGGCGCCGCGTTTCACGACCGGCTTAGCACCAGCCGACAATGAGCGAACCGCCGCCTGTGATGCCGGACGGCATCGCCGACTTCCCCAGCGACATCGACGATGCCGATTTCGGGGCCCTCGAAATGTTCGACAGCAACTCGATGCCCCCTCCCTTCTCCTCGCAGGCCAACGCCCTGCCCATTGCGTCAAGCGGACAGGTTCCCGAAGCCGTCATGGCGGAGGAGGCAATGCCGCCGCCCTCGCCCAAGAATCACAGGCGCGGCAAGAGCGCATCTGAGCATGCCGTTGAATCGTCTTTGCCCTCGCCCGACGGCCGTTCCAAGAAGAAGCACAAGTCAAAGAAGGACAAACGATCCGACCACCAAGTCCCCGATAGCCAGGCCATCCCCGACGAATACCAAACTACGGACAATCCGATGCCATCAACTGACACGCCCTCGGAGCTGAACGGCGGCGGGGCCGAGGCGGCGCTTCTGTCGACCAAATCCAACAAGAAGCGCAAATTCTCCGACTCCGCACATGGCAAGCGGCGAAAGAAGCGGCGCTCGCACGGCCATCACGATACTCAGGAGCAAGGCGGGGCCGAGGCTCGGGCTGCCGCCGCCGATTTCTTGCGCAAAAGCAACGATGCAGGCATCCCATCAGCGAGTGCCGTCGACGACAACGTGGAAGGGTCTGACCCGCAGAAATCGCCCACCGTCGCCCACCTCCGACGTCGCAGCCAGTCTCGCGAGGCCCGGTCGAGGGAGAATAGCGTTCCCCCGCCAGAGGCCGATGGCATGGAGGTCGACCCGCCGGCCGGCCAGGGCGCGCCTGTGGACGCGATTGCGAACCATGGCGTCCCCGTTGACGCCGACGTGGAGGCTCTTGCACGAGAGGCTTGGAACGAGCATCGAAACGGCCAAGGCTCTATTGTCAATACCCAAGAAACCAACGGAACCGCCGTTGATGCTCAACCCGCAGAACCCTCCGACCCTTCTTCATCCAAGCGGCGATCGACTCGCAAAAAGGCCAAGCCCACCTTCTTCGAGCAGCCCCCAGCAGAAGTCTCCAATGACGAGGCCAATGCCGCTCGCGACGCCCTGGCCGAATTGCCGTCGCCAACAGCCGTGACACCCAATCCTCGAGGCAGAGCCAAGACTGCTGCGAAGAAGACGGCTAAGGGAAAGAAGCCAAAGCGGGAAAAGGCTGAGAAAGCAACGCCGCCCCCGCCCACGCATGGCGGATTTGATGAATACGGCGCTGGGGAGGGACATGGAGAGGACGAAGCAGGTCGAGCGCGACGAAACCGCTTGGTCGGCTTCACCCAAGGGCGGTTTTCAGACGACGAACTCGCACGCATCGCGAGGGCTGTGGAGAGCTTTCGAGCCGACAATGACCTGACGCAGGAGCAGGTCAACCAGGTAAGCACCCGGAACTGCCGATGTGACGGCGTGAGCAATGGCTGACATGCGGTACGCTCAGATGATTCATGTGCCGGGCGGGACTACTGCTGGCGAAGACCACGCCCAGCTCTGGGTCCGCATCTTTGCTGAATGCCCGGATCGGCATCGGCAAAAGGTCATCAACATTACTCGCAAAAAGTTCCACAACTTTGTCGCGCGCGGCACCTGGACCCTCGAGCAGGACATCGAGTTGTCCGACCTCATCGGCGTCCACGGCACCAAGTGGTCCAAGATTGCCGCCATTATCAATCGCCACCCCGAGGACCTCCGAGATCGATACCGCAATTACCTGGTCTGCGGCCAGAACCAGCGCAAGGATGCTTGGACTGAGGCCGAGGAAGCGCAGCTGACCCAATACGTCATTGACGCCATGGATGCCATTGACGAACTGAGGACGTCGGCGCCGAATCCTTCGCTCCTCGACATGTCGTATGAGGAGCTCATTGACTGGCAGAACATTAGCGAGAGGATGGGCCGGACCAGAAGCCGGCTCCAGTGCATCACCAAGTGGAAGTCGCTCAACATCCGGACGCACGGCAAGGACAAGCTCATCTCTGGGGAGCCCGACGCCCAGATTTCCTTTCGCCTGGAAAAGGCCCGTCGGCAGATTGCTGCGATGCCAGAGGAGGAGAAGTTTCGACTGGTGCTGGCCATTCAGGCCACCGCCGTTGGCAAAGACGCTAAGATCCCTTGGCAACGGCTGGTGGACAAGCAGTTCCGTAACCAGTGGCACCGCCCGACCCAGATGCTCCTTTGGCGAAGGCTGAGGCAGACCCTTCCCGGCTGGGAAGCCAAGACGACGCGCGACTGCGCCCTGGAGCTAGTCGAGCGGTACAATCATTCCGGAGAGTTGCCCGATGTCAATGGTGACGGATACGACGACACGCAGGAGATGGAGTATGTCCAGGGCATCCGGGCAGCCTCTTTTGTGACCAACATGGTGCCTGGAGTGAGGCAGCATGGGAACATGAGCGCAGAGTTCATCACAGACTCGGACATGGAGGAGGCCAACGGAGCAGCTGCCGGCAACGACGACGAGGGAGCAGAGGACGACGACGACCTCAATATTGACCCTGCACTCATCGAGACGCCCGCACCCGCCAAGAAGGCGACTACGGCGAAAAGAACCGGAACCGGAAAGCCTCCCTCGAGGAAGAAGTCCAAGAAGGCGCCCACGGCCAATATGGATCCCATTGAGGACGTCGGCCCGAGCCAGGAGCAGCCGGCCGACGGCCAGGACGGCGATTCCGAGGTGGAGGTGCCGCCGTCTCGGCAGAAGAAAACGCCCAAGCAGTTCAAGTCGCCGCAGGACAAGAGAAAGGTCCAGCTTGTTTCGCCTCGCAGCGCGGGTTCCGAGACCGGCATGGAGGACATGGAGGACTTGCCGGCGAAGCTTCCTGCTTAGCGTACGCATGGGGGACGAGGTTGTGATTTTGCTTGCTGCTGGTATGTGCAGGCTTGGCCTGGCGTTGTGGAGCTCGCTTTCGGCCGTGGTTCCGTGGAGTTGCGTGCCGAGCACCGTCTCCTTCTTATTGTTCCCTCTCTGTCCCTCTCACACACTCTTCCACAAAAACTCCTTGTTTGTCAGTCATGTTTCTCGCCCGTGTGTCGGCGCACAAAGACAGCATTCAATGCAACGGCTACACATACCTGGAGCATCCAGACTACAGCGAAGCATGTATGTGGGCTCATGCTCTTGACCCAGGTTGGCTTTTATGAAAGAATTGTACGTCTGATGGCGCGTTTCACAGTTTCTCGCTCTGGCTGCTGGGTATGTTGGAAAAGACAGAGACTCATGAAAAGCTATGTGCTATGATAGAAGTAGAAACGGCACCTAGGCCCGACTTTGGACTCTAGATGCGAGTACACATGGCCACCTGAGGGCAATTTGAGGCTGGGACCTGAACCCTGACTGATGATAACCACAGTGGCTCCAGCTCGGGTTCAATCCCAGTATCCAACTCATTCTCGTTTGCCTTTTTCAAAAAGGCCAAGCTTTGGAGGGATGCCTTCTAATTGAAGTTCTTCTCCATGGCCTCGTCGAGGTCATTCATGCCCTGTTCCAGGACGGGCTTGGTGGCAGGTTCCAACGCTCGTTCTGCTTGGTTTGCTGGGTCTCTGGCTGGAAACCGGTGCCCTCCTCCACAGGGTCCTCTGCAGGACCCTCCGCAGGAGGCCGGGTCTCAGGGCGGGGGGCCTGGGGCGGCTGCTGCTGGGGAATGCGAGGTCCCGGGCCCTTTGTTCCTTGCGTGGGGACGCGAACGCGAGTCTTTTGCGGCGGAGCGGTGGTCGTTCGCTGAGGGCGCTGGCCGCCGGAGACTCCGGTGCCCTGCTCAGGAGCAGCCGAACCAGGCTGTGTCTCGGTCGAATTGACCTTGTTGCCATACAGACCGGCGGGGACGCCGGCCTCCGGGGCCCTTCCGGATCTCAGGTCGTCCGTGGAGCAGTTGAGGGCGGCGGCGTGGGCGAAGAGGGCATAGGTATCGGCGTGCTCGAGATTCTGGTCGGCTGAGAGGTTCTGGACATCCTGCAGGCCGTAAGAGCCCTGGCCATTTGTCTTTTTCATGTCCGTCGTCCCGATGACGGCATGGCTCATCTCGTGCAGCATGACGCCGGGGGAGTCGAGGGAGCCGCAGGCCGGCTGGGAGCCGGCTTGACGGCCGAAGACACCGGAGTTGGCGTCGTCATCACCCGGGTTGCCATCGCCCCTGTTGCCAGTGCCCGCATTGCCAGTGCCCGCGCTCTCCGGGTTCAGCTTGAAGAACATATCGCAGAGGCTGATCTTGGGCTTGGGGCGACCCGAGTCCACCTGGTCGGGCGGTCCAAACGACGTGGTGACGGCAACGGTCCCCGGCCCGCACTGGTTCCGACTCGGGGCGCAGGTGACGGTCGTGTTGCTGCTGGCGAACCGGGCCTGGCACTCCTTGGCCATCTTGACGAAGTTCCCTGCGACTGTCTTGCGGACATCCGGCGAGTCGGTCTTGAAAAAGGTCATCATCATCTGGGAGTTTGTGTCCTGAGCCGCCTTCTGGCCGGCGCGAGCGCGGGCGACACAGTCGGCGAGGGACTGGTCGACGAATTGCTGCTTGCCGCCGCTGCTGCAGTCGTTTTCGACGGTGGCTCGCTTCTGCTCCTTGCCGGCACCGCTGGCCGGGGCAGCGCCGTGGGAGATGACGGTCACTCCAGGGTCCAGGGAGTCTCCCATGCGTGGAGCTGGGGCTCGCTTCGTATGGCCCTGGCCGTCGGAGACGACGGTCATGCCAGGCTTCATCGAGTCGCCCAGGGCAGGGGAGCGCGCGTTGAGGGACGGGGCTGCGGCGGCCGCCCAGGCGAGCGCGGTGACGGTTGCGAGACACTTCATGGCTAAAGATTGACGAACCGAAAAGAGGAAAGAGAAAGAGGGAGAAGGAAACGAGTCAAGGTCAAGACTCGGAGAGAAGCAGAACAGTGAATGAGAGTGGTCTTGTTGGAAAAGAGCGAAATGTCCAGCACGGGGCTCTGATCACTGACCAGGGGATCTGACTGAACGAAAAGGCGGTGCAATGAAGGGGATGAGGATGATGTCGAGAGTTGGTTGGGGGACACGAGACTCTTTAAATCCTGTCCGTGTCCCCCTTTCTTCTCCAACCCGGGCTCGTGGGCCGAACGCTCTGATCAGAGGACTGCATGAGGGCTCGAGATGGATCCATGTGGAATTGACGAGACTGGATGCCGGGCTAGGCAAGCTTGGATACACAGTATCCCTGCCGCCAAAGCTCGTCGTCTTGAATCGTGCCCGGCTCCATCACCGGCAGTGTGATATGAGCAGGGGACCTTGGGTCATGGCGTTGGACTCTGCTGATCCTTGGCGTGTCCTGATGGCGTTTATGCGCGGGCTACCCTTCACCAAACAGGCCAAGAGCCGACTCAGGACGGGAGCCGGGGTTGACGGGCCAAGTAACGTGAAAGGTAAACGCCATCATGGGGCTTAGTTACATGTAACGCTGGGTCCAACGTCCGAGGTATCCAGGCAAGTTCATCCATTGTCTTGAAGGCCGCACTCGGATCCCGCCAAGACAACATGTTTCATCCGACAATGGGGGATTGCGAGCTGTGAGCCGTGGTGAAGGCACGCACGGATGACGGGTGGCTGATCACGGCTGCGAAGATCTCTGCTGGACCAAGCCCCTTTTCGTCCGACATAAGCCACCCAACAACCGAACTCACGAGTCACCTGCTCCCCAGGGGTCTGATCTTTCGTCCTCCCAGTGAGACAGGGCGGTTCATGCAGGCAAGCAGAAGAGGTGCTGCCGGCCAGTTCAGTTCTCGGCCCGAGGGGAACAAAGGAGGGATCGAGTGCCGACTCGTGGAGAGCGCACAATGGGCATGGAGCACGACCATGTCTAAGCGGAGACCTGGTCAGGTCCGCGATATGGCCAAGGCAGCTTCTCTCATGCGGACTTGATATGAGAGTTGAGATGCATGTTATGTGAAACGTGAAACGGCTCCTGGTGATTCAGTGTCCGCCAACCAACCAGCCACACTCCACTCTGAACGTGGGACAAAGAAAGGTTAGCGCAAACCACAAAGAACCTTAAGGTCTGAAACGCCGACCTTGTAGTCTCTTTTCCCCCCTCCGGGGTGCAGAACATGTTCTGACGCCGGAGTGTTTGAGTTGGACCGAGCTAGTTGGGATGGCCGACACGTCGTCTTATGCGCCTGGCCTCGGCAAGAACGCCGAAGCTGCCGAGCAGTTTGCCTTGGAATAAGCTTAATCATTTGCCCCCCTTCTTACATGATTCGAGTGAAGCTTGGTGTGACGGATATGTCAACGACATTGGTGACAGGGCCGTGTATTCCGACTGCAGGAGCCAGCTAAACGTTGCCAACTTGTGCAGTGACATCGTTACTTGCACCTGCGAGTTCCACGTGTTGCTCCCTGGCTACCTTTCTCTGAAGCCGGAGAACTGGCGTTGCCCGAAGAGGCATTCTCGGCCGGGATATCACCGAGCAAACGAACGTGGGTCAAGTGAGACGGCCCAGGGCCGAGCGCAGGGATGCCTCAAGTCTGCTATGGAATTAAAGATGGGGGAGTGGCAGGGCATCTGCAAATCTGCAACAAGAGGCGCGGATTGCCTCCTCGAGCTGGACGAATCATGGACAATGGCGACTCACGCGGTACGCGTAGGTCTTGTTTCTGATACAGCACGCACATATGTTTATGGGCGGGCCTGGTGCTTTTTATGTAGGTGCCGTACGCTGAGCCCTGGCGGTGGTTCGGCGCAGGTCCTTCGGATACGGGCTTAGGGGGTTCGATTCCTTCGGAATGAGCGCCATGCACACAGTAGCGACCATGTGCTCTTGCTCATGCCCAGCTTCTCAAGCTCAGAGTAGGCCCGAGACCTCAGCCCTGGAGAGGAAAGGACGTGGGGGGTTGGATGTCTTCTAAACTCCCCTTGGCAGCTATTAACAACGATTGCTATGATAACCAGCTTCAACCCCTCTCGACTCTTGCCATTCAATACATCGTGTTTGGAAGATCAATGTCCTCGACCGTGGGGAGTGGGTGCTGGGTCTGCCGACCTCTCGGTCTCGCGTCTCGTCGAGAGGTCGGCAGACGGCGCCGATACAGGAGAAATTTCCAAGGAGATTCATTCAGCGGGCCCATGGCTGCGCCTCTGGGCCCTTTGTTTGCTTGATGGATTACATGCGCCCGCAACGAGTGGCTCAGGTCATCGGTTCGGCTCTTATCGAGAGGTCATCAACGACGGAAGCGTCGCCATGCTCGACGGCAGACAAGGCCCATCCATGAACGACTGCCCAGGAGATCCCTCAACAGACCAAACCTGCACTTTCGAGCCTCTGTTTTGTTTGCTGGCTCTCGTTGCCAGCGCACCGCCCAGCCGTTCCTCGTACCCCCTCAGCATGCTTGCGACCACCCCAATGTTGGGCATGACGGGGAGCGGGGAGGCCAGCGCTCGACTGCCGCCGCAGGTCTGATCTGTAAGTTGCCTGTCAACGTGTTGGTGTGTGACACCAATGCCCCGTTTCGGGGCCGCGCCCGCTCACTCGCCGGAGCGGGGGCGCCGTATAGAGACGGGAGGGGAGGAGCTGCAGCTGAGGGGCAGCCATATACCATGAAAAGTACATCGACTTGCCCAATTACCTATGGATCATTCTGAGAGCAGGCCGGCTGATCATTGGCGTGACTTCAGTCTCGAGCGCGGTGATTCTTCTTGTTGAACGATCGATGCCGGTGCCTTGATGGCCGGCTCCGGTTCCAGTGCCGGGGCGGCTCCATTTTTGCCGGACTCGGAGCGGAGTATCTTGATTAGGGAAGACGTCCGGGACATATATACACGTACGGAGTAACTTACAAGCAAGCACGTTTCAGAGCCAGCCCCGAGGCCTCCCTGCCTCCTGTCACCGCCTCTTCCGCGATGCAGGGCTCAAATCCGGGCTCACCAGTCATGCTGTAAGCCCAGATGGCTGTTCTGGTGCAACGAGCGTGGGAGCAGGAGGGACAACCAGACTTGGAGGCTGGCTAGTTGGCTGCTGGTCGTCGACATGCAATACATAGCTAGCTGCTTGGACGCGCATGCATATGCTTCCGAAGTTGGCGCACAAAACGTGGGGTTTCGGGCTCCGTCATGGAACCAACAACAGGTGGACCGACGCCCAGCCAATGGACAGTGCGCGCGCGTCTGGTTGGTTGTTGGCAGCCTGAACAACACAGCCTCCCAGTTCCCACCAATTCACGCCACCATGGGCATGAGCATTGGGAAAAAGACAAAGTGAATGGACAAGCTTGGGCGGTGATGAAGGGCAAAAGGGCGGGTCTAGGGTAGCGGAGATTGTAAACAGGCGGGGGTTTCGGAGAGCCCCTCCCCCTCTAACGTGCACCCCCAAGACCCCCCACCGAGAGCCCAGCTGAGCCACTCCGAAACCCCTGTCCTACCGTCCGTCAACCCGCATTGGCAAACGCTCGCGCATGCACAAGAAGCAGCCTTTCCCCCCCTTGTCCGTCTCCCACCAGGCGGAATACGGCTCCGATCGCCCTGCGCGCCGACGACAAGGGTGCTCAGCGGCTGGGCCGAATCGGAGCATCCCAGCACGGCCATCTTCGGCAGGGCGAGGGAGGGTCCAGAAAAGCATCCATTTGTTGGACCTCTGCTGCTTTCTCCCCCCACTCGACGGCCAACTGCTTCTTCTCTCTCCATCCAGTCCGGGCAGGAGGAAAGGAAAGAACAAGTGGGCGGGGCGAGCGCAAGATCAGCAAGCGAGGGACAGGATAAAGAGAGCAGACTGAACCGCAGAGACGAGGGAGGCCGTCACCACCTCCGTCTCCTCTCCAACGCGTCCTCCCGCCGCTCCTCTCCTCCTTCGGCGTCATGGAGTCGCAAACTTCTCCGCCCCCCGGCGCCGGCTCCGGCTTCATCGCCACCTACCTCCAACAGCCCGCCGCCCTCGCCGCCCTCGTCACCCTGCTCGTCATGGTCGCCGCCGTCCGCGCCGTCCTGTCCGGCCCGCAACCCCCGGCATCCAGCCCCGGGCCCGGGTGCAAGTCGAGCCCGCCCAAGGTCCCCTTCTGGGTCCCCTTCTTCGGCCATGCGCCCCAGATGCTCCTCAACACGGACGGATTCCTCGCCCGCCTGCGCGACCGGTACCCCGAGGGCGTCTTCTCGCTGCGCCTGTGCGGCAACCTGCATCACATTGTCCACGGCCCTTCCATGGTCACCACGCTGCTCAACCGGCCCAAGACGGCTGCCGAGACGCCCTCGAGCAGAGTCCTCGTCTCCATCTTTGGCTGCAGCAAGCAGGACCAGGCCCATCACGCCACCATGGCCAACGAGACCCTGTCCCACTTCAAGCACCTGCTGTCCGAGCCCGGCCTGAGCGAGCTCGTCTCCGCCACGGTCATCCACGTCAAGCAGCACATTGCCGACCTCGTCACCTTCAACTCCAGCCCCGCCGACCAGGCCGACTGGGAGAGGATGGCCGGCGCCGACGTCGTCGAGGGCCCGCAAGGCGACGGGTTTGTCGAGGCCGATCTGACGGAGCTGACGCGCAACTTCATCGCAAAGACGGCCAACTGCGCCCTCTACGGCACCGACTTTGTCGACAACTTCCCCGACCTGTGGTCGCTCCTGTGGATCTTTGACGACGCATTCCTCCTGCTGGCCGCCAGGATCCCCGCCTGGGTGCCGTGGCCGCGGCTGCAGCGGGCCAGGCTTGCGCAGCGACGCACCCTCGGCTTCACGCACGAGTTCAACGTGGCCATGGATAAGCATCTCCGCGGCGAGGACCCGGGCGTCAAGTGGCAGGACCTGGACAACGTGAGCGCCGTGGTGCGCGCCAGGCTCGAGACCTTCCAGAGGCACGGCCTGTCCATGAAGGCCCGCGCCAGCTGCGACCTGGCTCTGCTGTGGGCCATGAACGCCAACGCCAACCAGCTCATCCCGTGGATGCTGTTTGAGCTGTACCGAGACCCCGTCCTGCTCGAGCAGGTCCGCGAGGAGATTTTGCCCTACGTCCAGGTGACGCAGCCCGAGAATGACTTTGGCAAGGGCGTCTGGCTGCCGGCGGTCCTGGAGCACCTCGACCTCGAAGGCCTCGTGCACAAGTGCCCGATGCTCAAGGCGGCCTACATCGAGACGCTGCGCGTGTACACGGGCACCTGGACCATGCGGCGGCTCAACGAGGACGTGACGCTGGACGACAGGGGCAAGGCGGAGCCGTTTTTGCTGGGAAAGGGCACGTACGCTCACATCGCCCAGGAGATGCACCAGATGGACCCCGAGTACTTTCCTGACCCCGGGGAGTGGCGTCACGAGAGACACCTGAGAGAGCACGAGGACGAAAAGGGCGTCAAGACGCTCGTGGCCGACATGGGCACCGTGAGGCCATATGGTAAGCGAGATTCCTTTCCTCTGCTGCGAGTTCATGCGCTGACACCTGATTCAGGCGGCGGCCCGGCCATGTGCAAGGGGAGAACGTTTGCGCTGCGCGAAATGCTCCTGTACTCGGCCATCATCATCACTTTTTACGACATGCAGCCACCCAAGGGCCAGTCGTGGGAGGCGCCCAAGACTTACAAGCCAATGGCCACGAGGCATCCCAAGACGCCCATCAAGGTGTGGATCAAGAGGCGAGAGCAGCCGTCTGGTCGGCAAGCGGAGGGGGAAGAGGCGAGGACGTAGGCCCTAACTCTCGGGCACAAGACGATGACCTTAGTGATGCATTTCTGTAATGTCTTTTAGAGGAGTTTTGCTTTACCTGGTTGCCTGCTTTCGAGGCGGGCCGCTCAAGGCCCTCGAAGACGGATGCGATGACGACCTTTATTCTCGAGTCTCGAGTGTTAATTATGTGCTGTGATTGCCCCGTCTGCAGGAAAATGGAGCAGTAGTTGGAGGTGGCATAATTGAGACAAGGGAGGCGGTACCTGATGATTTTCCGGTGCCCGAGGCATTACATTGGACGGCGTCGATTGGCAGGCGCGGGCCTCGCCTTGTCCCGAGCTGCAAGCAGAGGGGGAAACGTGCTCGCGACACCAATCTTGGGAGCTTCAAGCGTATATACTCGCCGTCTCTCGGGAGAGCGCTAGGGGAAAGGCTCCATCTCGGCGATACGACGGCGCCGGCCGAGATAGCACGTCCAATCCACGCCCAACGTCGCCCCGGCCATCAGCCTCGCATCGTCCCGAGTCCGACGGTGACGAGTGAAGCAAAGGCATCCAATGTGGCCTCCGAAGTGAACCGAACCGCGCGACAATGGCATCCCGCTTGCTCTCCCGGCCGCCGCTACTGTGCCCGCCATGTAGCTTCGCCAATGCCCACAGCCGCCCGCTCTCGCCGTGGGCGCTGGCATCCTCGCCAATGCGCCAGCCTCTCCGGACGTCGGCCGTCTCGCAGACGCTGCGCAAGTTGAGCGACAATGTGAAGCCGAGCGCGGCCCCGAAGACGAGCGAGTCGAGCCCAAAGACGGCCAAGAACAACAGCGATCCCCTTGCCGCCGTTGACAAGTCGGCGACGGAGCAGCGCAAGGCCGACTGGGCCATCATGAAGGAAATGTCGCGCTACCTTTGGCCCAAGGACAACCTCGGCACCAAGTTCCGCGTCGGCCTCGCCGTCTCCCTGCTGGTCGGGTCCAAAGTGCTCAACGTGCAGGTGCCCTTTTACTTCAAGAGCATCGTCGACTCCATGAACATCGACGTTGCTGCCGTCGGCGGCACCGCCACGGCCATTGCCGGCAGCATGATTGTCGCCTATGGCGCCGCCAGAATAGGAGCCGTTGTCTTCCAGGAGCTGCGAAACGCCGTCTTCGCATCCGTTGCCCAAAAGGCCATCCGCAAGGTGGCCGGCAACGTCTTCGACCACCTGCTGCGCCTCGACCTGAGCTTTCACCTCTCCAAGCAGACGGGCGGCCTGACCCGGGCCATTGACAGGGGCACCAAGGGCATCAGCTTCCTGCTGACGAGCATGGTCTTCCACGTCCTGCCCACGGCGCTCGAGATCAGCATGGTCTGCGGCATCCTGACCTGGCAGTACGGCGCCAAGTTTGCCGCCATCACCGCCCTCACCATGGTCGGCTACACGGCCTTTACAATCTGGACGACGGCCTGGAGGACAAAGTTCCGCAGGCAGGCCAACGCCGCCGACAACAAGGCCTCGACTGTCGCCGTCGACTCCCTCATCAACTACGAGGCCGTCAAGTACTTCAACAACGAAAGGTTCGAGGTGTCGCGCTACGACCGGGCGCTCAAGGAGTACGAAAAGAGCTCCATCAAGATTGCCACGTCGCTGGCCCTGCTCAACAGCGGCCAAAACATCATCTTCTCCACCGCCTTGACGGCCATGATGTACCTGGCCGCCGACGGCGTCGCTGCCGGCACCCTCACCGTCGGCGACCTCGTCATGGTCAACCAGCTCGTCTTCCAGCTCTCCGTCCCGCTCAACTTTCTCGGCTCCGTCTACCGCGAGCTGCGGCAGTCCCTGCTCGACATGGAGACGCTCTTCAGCCTGCAAAAGGTCAACGTGAGCGTCGTCGACAAGCCCGGCGCGAAGCCCCTGGCCCTGACCAAGGGCGGCGAGATTAGATTCGACAACGTCTCGTTCGGCTACCACCCCGACCGGTCCATCCTGCAGAACCTGTCGCTGACCATCCCCGCCGGCAAGAAGGTTGCCGTGGTCGGGCCCAGCGGCTGCGGCAAGTCGACGTTGCTGCGGCTGCTCTTCCGCTACTACGACGTGCACGGCGGGCGCATCTTGATTGACGACCAGGACGTCCGCGACGTCACCCTCGACTCCCTGCGCAGATCCATTGGCGTCGTGCCGCAGGAGACGCCCCTGTTCAACGACACGGTGGAGCACAACATCCGGTACGGCCGCATCGACGCGACGCACGAGCAGGTCGTGGCCGCCGCCAAGCGAGCCCGCATCCACGGCATCATCGAAAAGTTTCCCGACGGCTACGGCACAAAGGTCGGAGAGCGCGGCATGATGATATCTGGGGGCGAGAAGCAGCGCCTGGCCGTGAGCCGGCTGCTGCTCAAGGACCCGCCGCTCCTCTTCTTTGACGAGGCGACGAGCGCCCTGGACACACACACGGAGCAGGCGCTGCTGATGAACATCAATGGCATCTTGCGCGACAAGGGCCGCACCAGCGTCTTTGTGGCGCACCGGCTGCGGACCATTTTCGACTCGGACCTCATCATTGTTCTCAAAGAGGGCAGGGTTGCGGAGATGGGCACGCATCGCGAGCTCGTCGACCGGGCAGGGGTGTACTCGGAGCTCTGGAGCGGTATGTCAGCATCGGCGAATGCATTTCCTACCCCGTTATTTACATGCGCTGACCACTTGCGCAGCACAGGAGATCCTTTTCAACGAGGACGGCACCGAGAGGACGGAGAACATAGACAGGGAGCTGTGAAGCAGGTTGTCACGAAGTGGTCGACGGGGAACGCCGAGCTTCATTGGGAGTTGTTGTTGGGGCAAGTCGCTTGTAGATCAACTCATAATATGCAGGCCGAGATGGCGCTGAGCACGAGAAGACATGCACGCACATGATGCATGGTTTGGCCGCCGCTACGCAATTTAATCGGCTGTTGACATTCTCACCAACTCTTCCAGCAAGTCGCAAGCCCGATCCGCGCCACCAAGGGCATTGAGCTCGCTCCCAAGCATCCGGGCTCTCGCCTGGTAGCTATCGTCATGGAAAATCTCGCGAGCTGCCGCTCTGACCTGATCTGGAGACGGGCTGTCTGTTTGGAGGTCGACCCCAACGCCGGACCAGACGACCCTGGCAGCCGTATCCCGCTTGTCTTCCGACTGGCCGGCGCACAGGAGGGGGACACCGTGCGAGAGCGCTTGGGTAATGCTGCCGTAGCCGCCGTTGGTAATGAGGAGACAAAGTTGGGGCAAGAGGACGTGGTACGGCAGCCACTCAGCAAAGCGCACATTGGGTGGACTACCAACGCGAGACTCAATCTCCTTTGCGTGAGGTGAGACGACGACGAGAAGAGTCCCCGGCTCATGTTGGAGCGCTTGAATGGATGGAATGATGAGCGACGTGGGGTCCATGGCCAAGGTTCCTTGGGTGATGCCCACGACGCGCTCGTGGGAGATGACTTGGGGCCACCATGACGGCAACTGCGGATTGGAGGAGACATTTGGTCGGGTGACGAGAGGGCCTACAAAGGCAGTGTTTTTGTTGTGCTGCCGGGGCCTGGGTAGTTGATTGAACTCGAGCGTTGGCGAGGAGGCCTGCAGATGCAGATGGCCGCTGTACGAGAAGTACTCGGCGGGCTCACCGTAGGGCAAGCTGTCGAGGCCGAGCGCGGCTCTTTGCAGATTGATGACACGTCTGAGACGTAGCGGCAGCAATGCCCACTGGTTCCAGGCGTGGCGAAGGGCGCCGACGGCAATACGCAGCCAGGAGGTCAGCGAATGCGAAGCAGGGGCCTGGCCGGAGGCGGGAAGAGGAGCAGAGGCGTTGGAAGTGTAGAGGGGAACGACGCCGAGGGTGGCGTAGACGGGAATCTCGGCGAGGTCACACAGAGCGCGAGCGCCATGAGGCAGGACGTCGACGACGAGGACATGGGGCGCAAAGCCGGCAGCGAGGACGGCGCGATAGTCGGCGACCTGGGCGGCGAGGCGGCGGTCGAGCAAAAGGCGGGGCTCCTCGGTGAAGAGACCGGTGACGTGGACGCGGGCCAGCGGGGCGTCGAGGTCGGCGAGGGCACGGGCGGCGACGAAGAGGGCCCCCGGGACGGCGCGGACGCGGGCCTCGTTGTCCGGGCTCGTCAGCCAGACGACGGCGTGGCCGCGGGCGACGAGGGCCTGGGCCAGGGCCTGCATGGGGTAGGCATGGCCGGCTGGGAAGTGGGAGTGGAGGAGGAACTTCATTGCTTCTTGGCCTCCCCTTTTGTTGGGCGACGGCGGCGGCAGCGGTGTTGGCTGTGGTCGCCGGCTGAGACCGGGTACTTGAGTGGGAGGTTGAGATGGCGCGCGATAACAGGCGGTGAGTGACCGACCCCGGTTGTTTGGCGCACCGAGCTAGACAGTAATTAAGCATCACGAGTTCCCGAAGCCCAGCAAGAGGAGGATATTGTCGAAGTAACTCGACTATATGATAGAGTTGGGATTTACAGCCGGTGGAATATAGCAGCCATGGACTTGTTGGTCATGTTGGACGTTTAGTTTACTCGAGCACGACAGCAAGACACCGAGTTTCGACTGGAGCCGGGCATTGCACACCCGACAACGGGCTCTATACCGTGATTCATGTCATGCCGCTGCAGACTTGCGCGTCCATCAGGCAGGGATATGCGAATCTTCTAGCAGTCGCGATATCATGACGCAACTGTGCGGGGCCGGTTGGAGCCGAAACGGGGCTTAAGCAGGCACCTATAAAGCAAGTACGAAGAGAAGCTTGGTGTGCTGCATTCTGCCGATCAGGCGCCAAGTCCTAACTTTACCCAGAAAAGGCTTCTTCTTCAGCCAGTGAAGAGACCGCTGACTAAGTCACGCTCGGTCAATCGATGGCAATGGCGCATGAACAGCGGGTTACGCTTCCAGGCAGGACCGAGCCCAACGATATCCGGGCCGTTTGCTCCCGTCCGCCTCTCACCACGTTTCACCATGGTCCAAACAGCCGTCGTATTACCACGGCAATCCTTGATGATGTCAGTCCTCCGCTGCGAGCCCAACCCCGATCTGCTGTCCTGGCGCCGAGCCTTCCGGCCCCGTCTCAGTGACTATACTCGGAGTGGGCGGGACCACCAAGTCTTTTATTGTCGGTTGTGGGCTCCACGTGCCGGGCCTCGCTGTAGCCTATCCGTCCCAAGTCGCGCGTCTCAGCTCGGCTACTCTCATTCATCATCCGCGGCCCATGGACGACTTGACTAACTCCAAGACATTAACTATGGGCCACATGGATAGCCCAGGACCGCCTCGGGCCGGGCCCCTATACGACAAGGAGCCTGCCTTCCCGCCGAGCCGCAGCCTTGCCTCCGCAACCTCGACCGAGTCCGGCACAGTCTCCGTCTCGGGAAACGAAAAGCCCTGCCCACTCAAATCGCGGTCAGAATTCTCTCGAGACAGACCGGCCGAGGATGAAGAGGCCGGCGAGCCGCGCAGTGTTGGGGCGTCGAGCGGCAAGGAACCCATCTGCAGCCCCGACGGCAAGCGAATCATGACTGAGGATGACTGTTACGACACCCTGGGGTATTCGTGGCCGGCCTGGAAAAAGTGGATGCTGCTGTCGTCCATCTTTGCCGTTCAGGTTTCCATGAACTTCAACACCAACGTCTACCCCAGTGTTGTCACGCCCCTGAGCGAGCATTTTGGCGTCAGCGAACAAGCCGCTCGTGCCGGACAATGCGCTTTTCTTGTCTTGTATGCCTTTGGCTGCGAGTTGTGGGCACCCTGGAGTGAAAGAATTTGGCCGGTGGCCGATTTTGCAGCATGTCAAAGTGCCATGTCATTAGGATACAAAAATCGGCCGGCTAACACCTCATTTCCTTTCCACGCAGGAGTTCTCTGTTTCTTGTCAACATTTGGCAGATCCTTGCGGCTCTTGCTCCCGACTTTGGCAGCATCATTCGTTGCACGAGCTCTGGTACGTTCTCCCTCTGGCGGGTGTTCGAGAAAGCCCCTCCCAACCCAACCTCTTGGTACTGAGTCTGGTCGACAGGGTGGCCTTATTACAAACTTAAAACCACGATGCGGGTGCTCTCGGGCAAGGGATGGATGGCACTGGCACTACCATGCGGAATTTGTGGTGGAATGGACCCTCTGCACGCTTTGCATCATGCTCATAGGTGTAAGAAATATAGAAAAGTGTTTGATTTGGTCGAAAGAAGTGAAATGGCCCCCTTCGAGAAATTAAAGCTGAAGGCATATGATCGGCGGCCAACTCTTCCTTGCGCCTCGAAACACAGCCTCCGGCCCCTCCTTTCAGGCAACTTCATATCGCCCGCAATGCACAGTCCGTTGCTCGCGGTACATGTAATCGAAAGACGGCGTTTAGTTTCCAGAGTCACGCCAACGACTGGGGTCAGGTTGGTATAATGCGTGCTTTTATGTACCAACGGCCGTCGTCCATTGCCTATAACCCAGCACTTCGTAACATCCAGTGCAGCTGCAGGCTGATGCAGTGCCACAAAAAGGCCTGCTTTGAGGACTCGCATGAACGCGAGATGACCTGCAGCCTGGATCGTCCCCTTTGACAGTGTGGTTGCAGTTTTGAATCTCTTCGCCCTCGACGCCTAGACTTCGCTTGACCTTGTATCGCCGCACAAAGAGGTGGCCTGTAGGAGGCTGACTCTACATCACTTGGTTAGGCTAAGGAAGGGGCCAGTGAGGGTATAATCAATAGTGTTTCCTGCCTGGCAGCTGCTGGCAATCAGGTGACATGTAGGGCGCTCCGAATCTTGACATGTACCTATCCGAAACTCTCTTCGTAATCCGCCCTCCTCTCGACTTCTCTATTCAAGAATCATCAACATGGCCTCGACCTACCAATACGCCGCTATTGCCGCCCCACGCACTATCCGCAGGCAATGGATCCAATCCCAGTCACCCTTTCCATCATCACATCAGCGCTCGATGCTACCGTCTACTTCGAGGCCATCTCGTACTGCTGGGGCGACGCGCCGGACCAGCGTCAGGTAGAATGTAACGGCGCTGTGCTCTCCATCACCAACAGCCTCTTCCATTTAATAAAAGTAAGAATGTAAGTCTAAGTGATCTTGAGTACTATAGCGCTCTAAATAATATCAATATAAGGACCTTTTAGGGCCTTGTATTATTATCCGCTATTTAGTGATAAGTCTATATACGTCGTATATACCTACTCGCTTCCCTCTTATTCCCTTTATTCTCTCCCGGTTTACTACCTAGCCATACTCAATACTCCCTCCTATCCTTTGACTCTACGATACCACTCTTCATTGCTCTCGAATGGCTAGTGACTGGGGAGGAGCCACACTGGTGCGTGGTTCTAGGTTCCCCGGTTTATAGGGGGCACATGGTCCAACGGCCCACAGCCCAGCCATAGGAACAGAATGTCCGGAAGGGCAGAAGTCATGTACCAGCAGTCTCGCACTGAAAGGAAGAGGCTGAGTGCTAGGAAGGTACTCCCCGGAGGGAGAATGCCGCGTCACACGTATAGATTACTGTCAGGACAAGAAAAGGGCCTATAATACGCGTTAGTAACACCTCTATTGGGGGTGCCCTCGTTTTGCATGGTGTAGGGGTATTTTACCAGCTTGACAGTTACCGCCAGTTTCCATACACGTCCATGCAGATAGACGGGCTGGAGAACCGGACACTAGTGGGGAGCACAGCAACGGAGAGGTTTATGCGTAGAGGGGGGGTGCCCCTCTCTACACACATCGGAACCTGGCCGGTTCTCTTCCTCTTCCGCTTCCTCTTCCTCTTTTCTATTTGCTTGTCAAAACACACGGAGTAGGCGCACGCAGACTTTGCCTAATTCCAGTTGTCGCGAGACACGGTTATACACCTTCACAAAAGGTGCAAGGGGACTTTTCTCAACTGGTCAAGATAAACATCTCATGACCACACGAGAGTATATTAGGCAGCTGGGTGCTCTTCTCACGAAGGAGCTCGTAACGGGAACGGAGTGCTTAATCCGGTCGTCTCTTCTTGCGGAGGTGCACCAGGCGTACGCGCGAGTGGCTTGCTCTTGTCGAGCATTGCATCTTTATCTTAACACGGGAATGTAGACGGGAGTCCGACATGGATGGCGGGACCATCACACGAGTCTTCTCCTTCTCCGCTTTCTCTGGAGGGGAGCAGGGTTTAGACCATGATCTAGGAGGGACCCACGGGCGCGAGGCACTACCTGGCCGCCGACTTCTTCGACCGCTGTCGACGCTGGATAGAGGATATATTAAATAGGGGTTTGATGGATGACGATTACGTCAAGTACCCTCGTCTAGGGAAATATCTACGCATGCTGGTGCCCTTGCTGGTCGAGTTTCTTAGTCACGTTGACTGCTCCAGAGGGTGCATATATATCCGCTACGAGCGGGGTCTAGGCCCTTGGCCCTCGTGGGTTTTCTATCCGTCTTCTTATAAAGGAACCCTTCTTCGGCGCTAAGCAAGGGAGGCAGTCCCTTTACCCTAGGAGGGTGCGTTATATACGGAAACGACGAGAGCAAGGATTGCCTATCGCATCGCCGTGAAGCTTTTCTCTCCCTGTTGCCCAAAAGGACTTTGCTAAGACTCGGCCGTATTAGCTTTCACACTACCGGAGGGACAAGGTGACTCTTTTTTTTACACGGAGACCCCCAGTTAGACTCTATACCCTCCTAAACACAATTACGCAATTTCACGATGCCCTCATTTCCCTATATAGATATATCTCCACTCCCAGATAAAGCTCTACAAGGATAGAGTAACCCTTATTCATAAGGGATAGGGTAGAGTAGGCAAGATGGTTATAACTACGTCACTCCGCTGTAGAATAAGAATAAGGATATGCCTCTTACCTAAATAAATGCACGTATGATTGGACGCTATTCTGCTTATTGTCACTCTACGTCGATAAGAGAGTAAATAAAACAATAGATACGTAAAGCGGTTATAAGAACGCCACTTAATATAGGATACCCTACACCGTTTATAAGAGCACTCGTTGCAAGTAATCCATATTATCGATCACCTCCGGAGAACTCCTCTATAACTATGGAAATTACCTCCGAAGGAGGTGCAGGTGAGCCGAAGGTTCGACTGTGAAGGAACACGCTGCAATCACTATACACCGAGCAGCACGTTTACAAGAACGCCGAAGAAGAGAAGCACTCCTGACTAAGCGAGGGAGCCAACCACGGGAACGACACTATAGAACATACCAACCAGAAACCGAAGTCACCACGCCATGCAAACATACTATTGACAATACACCATTGGGCCGCGACTGGAAGGAGCATTGTCTGAGCCGGAGGCGAGAATGACGACTGGAGGGAGCTAAAGGTACGAGCAGGTGGCGAGGATTGATGTGACCGGAGGTCACTTACTCCCCATGCCCCCGAATACCTAAGTTTGATTTATAGGGGCATATGGTCCAACGGCCCACAGCCCAGCTCTAGACACCATGCGCAGCTTGAGTGTGGTCCTAGCAGTTCCGGAGAGGATAGAAGGGATCAAAACCTATATATTGCGGAGCTAGAGGCGATTGCCACGGCTCTGCGATATATGCCAGCGCGACTCGAGCAAAGAGAGCTAGTCTTTATTATAAGCAATAGATCGGCTATATAGGCGATTGGCCAACCGCGCTAGTAGTCGGGCCAATATATTATCTAAGAAATCTATAAGCATATTAAGCTCTTCCGGCAACGGGGTATTTCGATTCGTATAATATAGGCCCCGGTAGGAGCTAAAGGGTTTACGTTAGGGGCAAAAGCAAAGGCAGCAGCGCGGAAAGCGACACGCGAGGGGCGTATCTAGGAGAACTCGCTATTTTAAGCCCGCTCGATTGCTCTCTAGACTATAATAGCAAAGACTAGAAATTCCTATAAGAGTAGGAAGATACTCGAAAAGAATTAACACGGCGTTACTAGGTAGATATATGCGAACGATCTATAACTTACTTAGTAGGAAAGAAGCGAGAGTACTTACGTAACTTCGTATAGGTAAATCGAGACTTAATAGTTACCTTTATAGAATATAGGCGGTAGAAAGCGACCTATATAGCTATAGTTAAGTAATCGAGATAGTAAAGCACTTCCTCTTTCGATATAAGGTATAGATCTTTAAAAGAGAAAGTATAATAAAATATAATTAAACTAAGATAGGAAATCTATCTTTCTTCTTAAGAGGGAAGTCGATATCCGGTAGTAATAAATAGAAGCCGAACCTACTAGTAGTACGCGCTACGATTAAATTCGCGATAGTAACTAAGAGACTAAATATAGACTAATAATAATAGTACTAGTAAACTAAAGTATATAGTACTAGCACTATATAGCCTCTTATTAATAGCCCGGGCTTTAGCTACTAAGAATAAGATATTAAATACTTAGAGAAATAGGCCTTTAAGTAGGCTTATTAACGGCGAAATTAAAGGCTAAAATATATAGATAGGAGTAAAATATAGGGCTTCTAGGTATTATAGTCGAAAGTAAAGGATCTATAAATAGCTTAGTATCGCGGCCCTCTAGGGTTAGTCCCTCTAGGAGGAATAAATTATATTATATTATATCGGTCGCCTACTATTACCTACTAGGCAACCGCTAAGTTAGTATACCTAGCTTCCGGCACCCCTTACTTCCGGTACCCTTCGTAGTACTAAGGTAGGCATATTCTAAATATAATTAAAGCCGTATTTTAATATTACGATAATTAAATTTAGTGTTTCTAGCTACTCTAGCTACTAGCTATTATAAAGAGCTTTAAATCCTACGTTCTAATTAGCTATAGCAGCGGCAGCTAGCTTAAGCGTGCGCTCGAGCTATTTCTTTGTCTTTATAACTTATTTAATCTATACGAACCGCCTATTAGGGTCCTAAGGGACCTTTTTTATTTTTAAGGCTATAGACAATATAATTAATACTCTAGCTATTATATTCGAAGCTAGGAGGCTATAAGCTACTAATTTTGCTTATTAAGGCTACGGCTAACCTTACTAAAGAGTAGTCGGATCGTACGGTTAACTT